TGTGCCTATTGGCGCCTTGGCGGCGATGCCTAATGGGACAAGGTGTTGGGCCTTGGGCTCGAGCACAAACTTGGTTATACAGTATACATCAAATCCAGCGTCATCTGGATATGCCTTGCAAGGCATCGTCGCATCGTCGTGTAGCAGCTGAACCTCCATGCTGTTGGCAGTTGTGCGTGGCACAAACAGTGCGCACAGTTTCCATTTTTCAAATTGGTCTATCAGGTCGTCGTTGTGCGTATTGTCCTTTGGCTGGTCAGTCTCCATGGTTGCACTCGTCGTTTCTGCAGCCACTGTCTCTTGTGTTCGTTTGGCTTCTGTTTCGGCTTCAGCGCGACATCCGCGTTGGTAGTTCTTGTAGTGCAGCGACTTGCGCACATATTCAGCACGGTTTAGTTCTCTGCGCTCATCGGCAGTCAAATATGTTCTGTCGACCACGGCTGGCGTTGGCGGAAAATTCGTTGTCTGTGCAGCTGGAGTGGTTGTCTTGATATTGGGCATGGGTATGGGCATAGGTATAGGTACGGATGTGTGTGCGGCGTCATCGTTTTTACTCGTGTTGTTCAGCGGGGCATCATTTAGTGGTATAGCTGGTGCAGTCAGTCCTGTCGGTGGCGTCAGTGCCATGTGTGGCACCTTGCCTGAATGTGACGCTGCGTATACTATGTTGTCGGGTTGCGATTCGAGTGAGCGTGACAAGCCGTCAGCAACTGCATTTTGAGCGCCCTTGCGGTAAATGATTTTCATGTCGAATTCCTGCCAGATATCCAGCCAGCGGGCCTGGCGCGGGGATATGTTGTTTTGCGTCTTAAGGAACTCGATTGATTTGTGGTCTGTAATCACTTCAAACTTGATGCCATGTAGGTAATGCCGCCAGAGGACCAGTGCACGAATGATTGCAAGAAGTTCTTGCTCGTGGACTGCATAGTTGCGCTGTGCTGGTCCCAGCTTTGCCGAATAGAATGCCACTGGGCACCACACCTTGTCATGTCGTTGGTGTAGGACACCGCCAATTGCAGAGCCGGATGCATCTGTCTCGACTCTCGTTTCGCAAGTTGGATCATACTGATGGAGTATTGGTGCTGTGGATAGTTGCTGCTTCAGCTCGGTGAAAGCCCTGTCAGCCTGGTCGTTCCACGAAAAGTCGGTATTGCATAGCAAATCGGTCAGCGGTAGTGCTATTCTAGCATAGTTTTTAATAAACCGGCGGTAGTAGCCGCTTAATCCAAGGAATGCGCGGATGTCTGTAATTGTCTCTGGCGTGCGCCACTCTTTAACGGCATCTACTTTGCGTGGGTCAGTCGCAATACCCTTGCCTGAAATGACAAACCCAAGGAAGTCGACTGTGTCTTTGAAGAATGCACATTTTTCGGGTTTTGTGTGCAGGTTGTGCTCCTTGAGGCAGGCGAGTACATCCTCGAGATCTTTTGCATGGTCGGCGTCATTCTTTGAAAAGACTAAGATGTCGTCTAGGTACACGATGCACGTTTTGCCAAGTAGGTTGCGCAGCGCATGGTTCATGACACGTTGGAAGACGGCAGGGGCATTTGTCAGCCCGAAAGGTACAACTGTGAATTCAAATGACCCTTGTTTTGTGCGGAAGGCAGTTTTGGCGATGTCTGCATTGCAAATTCGCACCTGGTGGTAAGCCTGTACCAAATCGATTTTCGAGAAAACTTTTGCGCCACGGGTGTCGTCAAGCAAATCGTCTATACGCGGCATTGGGAATGCATCTTTTATCGTCACTGCGTTCAGGCCACGGTAGTCAACACACAGGCGCATTGATCCATCCTTTTTCTTGACAAAGAGGACTGGTGCACCCCATGGGGAAGATGACGGGCGGATATACCCCTTTGCAAGTAAGTCAGTCACTTGTCGGTCTAGTTCATCCATCTCTGCATGTGACAGGCGGTATGGTGCCTTGGTCACAGGTGCTGTGCCCTCATGTACATGGATTTCCATCTCAGGGCCGCCTGGTGGTGGTCGTTTGGAGGGCGGCTGATCAAGGACTTGGGTGTATCTGGCATGTAGCTCCTGTAGCGCCCTGTCTTGTGTCGTCGTGGTTGCTGCCACATGGATTGCTGGATTGGTATCGTTGTCAGGGAATGTAATTCGTAGCCATCCCCATTCCTCAATTTGGTCGTTTGCACGTGCAGTTTTCAGTGCACTGATTGACATAGGCTTCAGCTGGTCCTCGTCGGTCCGAGGCTCTGCATTACCCCGGATGGACCAGCTTTTCCCGCCATAGTCAAATGTCACCTTGTCAAGGTGGCTGTGGATCGTGGCCTTGTGTTTTTTTAGCCAATTATTTCCTAATATTATATCTTCGGAAACTGGGAGAACAAGGCAATGTACTGTAATTGTTAGGTTGCTCAGGAGGCGCAGCGTTACTGTGCACGACTCGGTGCAGTCCTTGTAGTGTGCGCCATTGGCCAGTTGTATTGGTTGGCTGTGTTGTAGTCGTTCGGATTTCAGTTTAAGTCGGTCGCGGGTCTGTTCGTTGATGATGGTAATTTGTGATCCATTGTCGATGAGCACACGGATGGCTTTGGTGTCTATAGTTGCATTTAAAATCAGTTGGGGCTCAGGTGAGGTTTGTCTGTTAATAGCGGTTTTATTTGGGGGGCAAACGGCAATTTCAGAGATGATAAGGGTAGAGGACTCACATCCACTCATGCCCTTCTTGCTTTTGGGTGTGTATTCTTAGGGCAGCGATGCCACTTGTGTTCATCACTGCCACACCCAAGGCACACGTTGTTGGCAGCCCACTTCTCAAACATCTCCTTGGTACAGCCCGACTGCTTGGAGACACTTGCAAATGGCGGCAGGCCACTGCGTCTCCTTTCTGTCTGCACTGCATTCACCATTATTGCATCCACATTCATAGCTGTATTATCATGACGGCCATGAATGCGCAGGAAGGCTCTGGCACGGGAAGTCAGTGCATCAATCTCGTATACTGTCGAGCTTGTCGATTCGCTCAGAATCTGCTGGTTGAGCATTGGTGGTAGCTTCATGAGGAAGGTCGTGGTCACATGCCTGTCTGAGAGTTTGAATTCCAGAATTTCCGCGAGGTACTTGAATTGCACCACAAACTCCTCTAAGGTCTCTAATGTCCCAGGCTGTTGTAGGTGGTAGTATTTGTGCAGTGTGTCATAGTATGACACTGCACGCGAGTATGTAGTTGTCAGGAACTCCTTGAACGTTCCCCAGTCGCGGTGGTCCTTGTTGTGTTCTGTACAGTGTCTGCGGTACTCGTTTTTCTTGTCTGTTGGGATCTTGTGTGAGGCTACAAATACCCACTCACTCTCGTCTAGCTTTGCGTGGATAAAGTGTTCCTCAGTATCTCTCACCCAGGGTCCAACGGCAATTGCCACCTTCTCTGCGTTGTCCTCGTCTGGTGCCAGTGTCGGGCTGAATCTCATTGCCGATTCGTATGGCGACATTCCAGTCATGGTTACTGTTTTTTTTTTTTTTTTTTTTTTTTTTTGTTTTTATATATATATATTAACCAGTTTGTCTGTCGGTCAGTCAGTCGTTGATGAGGAAGCGCGGGTTTTCGAACTTGAGGTGCTACCAAATGTAATGCGATTTGGACTAGCTATAATATATATTAATAGAAATGAGACTACGGGAAGAGCTAAAGAGCTCACTATTCAGAATTCGCCGTACGCGTAAAATATCATAAACATATTTTACGCGTCTGCGCTGTCACGTGACTCGGCCCCCATTTCTGATGTCACACGAACTGTGAATTGGAAAGGAAAGAAAAAATGATAAAGTAAATTAAGAAATAAGAAAGAATAACGTTAAATTGAAATCATTTGGCAAAATAGCAGAAATCGAAAATTATGGATGCAATCAACCTTCAGTAAAATTGGTCAATGTGCGAGTTTAAAAGCATTTGTTGTTTACAGTTAAAGTGATCGGTGAAAGGTGATCAGTAGATTGGTAAACAAGAGGTACAGACAAGAGTTAAAATATTTATATTTTACTCATATTTTCTTCAAGTTTAATAAAATTTTAATTTTTTGCAGTTGATTTTTTGGGTCGTAAAAAGATTTATTAAAAACAAAAAAACCTAAAGTGCTAGCTTCTTGAATGACCCAGCATTGATCTCGTCCTCAGCTGGTCGCTTAAGCTGGCCACTATCCTCTTTGAGGAGCTCAATTGCCTGGGGATGCATAAATCTGGGAGCAGCATCCCAGTTAGCCTGTCGTTTAAATGTACTGTCCCACCAGAGCTGGTGGCTAATGTACTGGTTTCCCGGTTCAAATAAGAACCGGCGCATTGAGTGGAATAGATCCCTGAATATCTTGCTTGGATTTCCTATCCCAAACAACTCCAGATACTTTTCCTCAACCATCATGATGCTGTACCGACTCAAAGCCAGGCTTTGACTGTCCAGAAATTTGAAGCCTTGAACGTCATCTCTCTTAGTATCAGCTGAGCGCACTGCATCCATAACGACATAGAAAACACTCTCCATGTCGTCAAGGATTCCCCGGATGGGGCTGCTGCTGAGCATGGGAATTCCCATGAAAAGCGGCGTCCCTGTAAATGGGTCCTTGGCCACCTCCACCTGTCCCACTGTTGTTGCATTGAACCCCCACTGTTCGGCAACATCAATGTGTTTGAGTTGGGTTGGCCCAGTGTCCCTGGCAGCATCCTCAGCAGTGCCCCAGCCAATGACCTTGGCACAGCCCCAGTCAATGACATACACCTTGTCGTTTTTGACGCACACATTCCCTGCTGAGATGTCCCTGTGCAGGACACCGGTGTCATTTGCCTGGGCAAGACACAGGGTCAGCTGCTTGACAAAGCCAGGAACCAGCTCAGCCTTCTGATTGTCAGTCTTGACTTTCAGATACTCGGCCATTGACTGGCCGCAGTACTCCATGAGCACGAACTCCAGCCGGTATCCATTAAGGTTGCTGATGAGCAGGCCGCTCGAAAAGATCTTGGGAATACATTCGACTGATCTCTTGTTGAGGATGGCGTATGCGGCACCCTCGGGCAAACGATTGACTGGGGTCCAGGAAAGCTTCAGCACAGCATCACGACCTTTGCAAGTCCCCCTGAATAAATGGACATGGCGCCCAATCATGTATGAATAACGCGCTATTGTCTCCTTGATACAAAACAGAGCACTGCCACCCTTGACATCCTCAACATCCTCGCCATCCTTGCTATCCTCGTCATCCATGACATCCTCGTCATCCTCGCCATCCTCATCACCCATGAAAACCGAGTATAAGACTTCAATCTTCGAATTTCCCTTGCCCTTTTTTTCCCCATTGACGTTCTGCGAAAAAATGAAAGAGCTATATTTCTTCGAGACATCGCAGAAATGCCCAAAAATGTCAGACTTCAGAGTCAGCAGGAACCAAAACTGCATAAGGCATTCCTGAATTAGTTCAGCTATTTCAGGTGACCAACTATCCGTATTAAAGCATAGCTGGCCAAGCTCGACGATGTACAGTTTGTCACGATAATATGCGTGAAGCGTCAGGATGTGCCCATGGAGGTAGAAGACAGGTGCAAATGTGCGGGTTGCCTGCTTATCATTGAGCGCATGGCCGTAATCTGCGAGCTGGCCGCGAGTATCCTCTGGTGCTTCGTCGGGACAAACGTCTATCTTGGCCTCAAGTATAGCATGAACGGCATCGATGTCCTGTGTCTTGTATTTGTGGTAAAACGCAATGTCCGGCTTGTGCGGAGTGCCTCGTATGACCTCGCTCTGATGGTCCGCCGTAATAAGCCTCCAGTCTGGGATTGGAGTTCTGCCTGCTGGAATACGTCCATTTGCAACGCCAACCGCAGCCTTCATTCCAAAAATAAGCTCTCTTAGATAACCGACCAAAAGAGCTTCGGATTTCAAGCCTTTTAACATATCTTCGCTATCGCGGAAAATATTGACATGTTCGCCTTTGGCCTTCGTGATCCCGGTGACCTTTTTGGACTTAACTACTGGCGACCCCCTGGCTATGTCGAGGAAGAGATCAGGCCAATCCTTCATGAACTGTCTGTACTGCCCCTTGACACCCAGCGATTTGACAAACTTATCGAATGGATAGTTGTGCAATATGTTATTGCCGAGGCATTTCAACAGCCGCTGACGGCGCTTATCGCGTACTTCGGGGGGCTCCGATTCCCCTGGTGGCAGCTCGGTATATTTTTGAATTTTCTGGGGCGTTTGGATAGTGCCGCCTGTCTTGCTGTTCTAATAAAAAAGAAAACAAAATGTTTTAAATTAGTGTCCGAATTTGTTTTATATGCACACAGAATAAACAACAACAAACAATTCATCAATATCATAACGATCCGTTTATATTGAAGTACTTACGCCTATTTGATTCGGCGGGGTCTTATTCGGAGGAGCTATCTCAGACATCATTGAGAGAAAGGGAAAGGAAAAGGGAGAGGAAGAGAGAGAGAGAGAGAGAGAGAGAGAGAGAGAGAGAGAGAGAGAGAGAGAGAGAGAGAGTGTGTGTGTGTGTGTGTGTGTGTGTGTGTGTGTGTGTGTGTGTGTGTGTGTGTGTGTGTGTGTGTATTTGATAAGCACTAAAGTATGGTAAAAGTAATAAAAAGTGAAGAAAAAACAAATTGAACGAAATGGTGCGAATTGAGAAAAAAAGCAAATTTCAAAAGTAGAAGCAAAAGTGGAAAGTTGCAAAGGTGAAAATTTGTTGCGATTGATTGCGCAAAAAAATTTGAACAAGAAATTATTTTATTATAAACAAGAAGCTTCCGAGCTTATTTTAGTGCTCGCATTTGGTTGGCTGAAATATCAAAACAAGAAATAATTATATTTACGGATTAATTTACAATCGGTATTGTTCTTTCCCTTGCGCATTGATTTTGAGCTTATATTGTTTCTTTTGGGAGTATGGTGGCCCTGCCATTCACTGCTGTAAAAAATATGTGCTTCTCCAACGCATACACTGAACCGGAGATGCGTCTATGCTCCATCGCCTGGCTGTCAGACCAATTGAGACACAGAGCCACATGTTTCATGTGTCCGTGACGGGAGCATAAAACTCTGAATGCGAGAGAACTTTCACTTGGATCTTTAAAACTCAGCCGCAAGATCACTTGGCTGAAATGGTTAACAAACTCCAGGTGTATGGAACACCACGATAGATAATATATTGAAGAAACTCAAGAAGCATGTGGACGCCCACTACCAGGACAATGAAGCTGGAACCTGGATATGAGACACAGCTGGCAGGAGCTGATAAAGGTTAGGTACACAATGCTGATCAAGTAACTCCAAGGGGAGTGTGCAAAACAAGCAACAGTGTTTGTAAATGAGAGTATAGGCAAAGAGCACAACTGATACAAGGGATGGTGTAACCTACATATCAAACAAGAAATGACGAGATCCTTGATGCCAGAGAAACACCGATTGTTGATAACTCCAATCTTAACAAATGCCCTGACTATCGAATCCACAAGACAAAGATGATGGCCTGCCAAAGTGGCCACAGACAAATAGCAATGAGGACAGTAGATATGCACAGCATATTAGCCCTCTTTCCTATGTGGCCAACGTTGTCTCCTTTGTAGATTGGCAGCTAGCCAAGATACAAAGGCTGCAAAAACACAACAAAATGTGTTCATCTCTCTTCTCTTTTCTTAGTTTTTGATAGAATATAAATTGAGTCTAGTTATTCAATTTATTTGTCAACATGCAGCACACTCCCTTAAACCTAGACATCAGCACCAATGTCTCTTCAATGGCCATTCAAGCAGCACTGCCACCCAATGCGAGGGAACTATTGTGAATAAGTCACTGTAGCATTTGTCTTTATTGTTTTTATAATAAGATTCACGCTAAGTTACTGTATCAAAAAAGTGTATCCACTTTCTCTCTCCCCAATGGTGGCTTGCCTCCCTTTCCTTAACTCTTTTTATTTTTCTTAGTTAATGCCTGCCCTGCCGCAAGAACTGTCTCTTGTGTCTTGGCAAAGGAGAAAAATATCATTCTTGGGTACTCGGTTTTTTATACTTTTTTATCATAAAAATAAAGCATGGCCCAGAAGGGCTTAAACTGTCTTTCAGGTTGGCCAAAGGCCAACTCATGTTGTTGTTGCTGCTGCTGCTTTTTTCGCTCTGCCCACAACAAGAGCAGCCAATATTTGAAAAAGCTCCAATTATCGTCCCCAAAGAAGGTTTGCTTAGCTTTTTTGGTTTTCGATTTCATATATGAAAATGTCTACATTATAAAATAGAACTGAAATCAAGTGATGACGGTAGGTTCTTCGCGATTAACGAATTCTTTGAGCTGCGAGATATGCAGAGCAGCGTCGACCAGGGGCTTCAGCGCAACTTGTGTATCGACATCAAGCAGTTCCTGGTCATATCGCTCAATATAAATGCGCACAGTAGCACCCTGTGAGCCAGTTCCCGAAAGACGGAAAATAATGCGCGACGAGTCATCAAAGATAATGCGCAAGCCCTGGCGGCTCGATACACTGTGATCAATAGGATCAGTGTACTCAAAGTCGTCGACCTTGGCCACAGTATATCCGCTGAAGCTCTTACCAACCAGGCCGCTAGCATTATTGGCCGCCGGCGTGTCTGCAGCGAATGCGCGCAGACGGTCGATCATCTTTGACGCACCCTCGGAGTCGACTTCCTCGTAGTCGTAGCGCGTAAAGTAGTTGCGGCCGTAAATTGCGTAAAAGTCCTGCATTATCGAGCGCACAGACACATCAGGGTTAGTCTGGCCGACATGAGCGATAATATTGAGCCAGGCGACAATTGCCCAAATACCATCTTTTTCGCGAATATGGTCAGACCCAGTGCCAAAGGACTCCTCGCCGCAGATCGACAAGCGGCCGGCATCCATCAGGTTGCCGAAGAACTTCCAGCCGGTCGGCACCTCGAATACATCAAGGCCCTTAGCGTGCGCGACGCGATCAATAGCGCAGGACGTCGGCATGGACCGCGCCAGGCCATGAACGCCGTTACGCTGGAAGTAGGGAATGCACTCCATAGCGTAGTGGGCAATAAGCGCGACAGAGTCTGACGGATTCACAAAACAGTCGTTGCTGATAATCATGTTGCGGTCGCCGTCGCCGTCCGATGCGGCGCCCAGGGAGATGTTCTCACGGGCGACGCGCTCCACAAGCTTGTGCGCGTACGTCAGGTTGGGATCCGGATGGCTGCCGCCAAAATCCTCCAGCGGCGTGCACTGGTCGAGCGAGCTGTCAGCAAACCCCAGCTCGTCAACGAAAATCCGGCGGCCGTACGGCCCAGTGACGCCGTTGAGCCCGTCGAACAGCAGAGAGAAGCTGGGGGTTTGCTCGCGGAAGCGGCGGATCAGGTCAAAATCAAAGATACCAGCCAGCAGCTCAACGTAGTCCTCAACAGGGTCGATGATCTCAACCTCGAAATTGCCAAAGCTGCGCGTGCCAATGACTGACAGGTCCACGGGCTCAGACATATCGACAACGCTGTACTTAGTAATGTTGCGCGTAGCAGCATAAATATCATCAGTGACAGACTCTGGCGCGGGACCTCCATTGCGCATGTTGTACTTGATTCCAAAGTCATTCTCGGGACCTCCCGGGTTATGCGAAGCAGTCAGGATGATGCCTCCGTCGGCCTGGCGCTTGCGGATCACGGCGGATGCCGCGGGCGTTGACAGGATGCCGTCTTGGCCGATGATGAACTTGGCGATGCCGTTGGCGGCGCCGACGCGGATGATCGTCTGCACCGCGTCCTTGACAAAGTAGCGGCCATCACCGCCTACCACCAGTGTGGCGTCCTGTGGGCCTGGCGAGGGCATGGCGGTGAAGATGGCTTGAACGAAGTTCTCCGTGTAGTGTTCCTGCTGGAAAACGACTACGCGCTTGCGTAGCCCTGAGGTGCCTGGCTTTTGGCCCTCAAAGGGCGTCGTCTGGACGCGGCGGGCAGCTGAGGCGGTCATATGGTGGGGGTAACGAGCTTAGGTGTTGGATTGTGAATGAAAAGTAGCTGAAGAGAACTAAAAAGAAACAAAATGCGGACAGTGAAGGGCAGAACAGAGAAGAGAAGCTAGCAGCAGCAATAAAACACCAAAACAATACAAAGTAATGCGACGCAACGCAGCGCAGCGCAGGACTGGGTGCATGCTGTTGCCAGGCAGTGTGATGTATGAGGAGGAAGAGCAGAGATGCAGTAGCCCTGCGGGCTGGTTTAGGGGAGGGGGAGGACGAGGGGCGACCAGGGCGCGCTTGCAGCACTGCCATTCATTCCCTTTTTCTCTCTGTGCCATTGACAAAGAATGATGAATGATGCGACACGGATGATGGTGGGCGATCCCCTCTCCCCTGCTCAACGAAAGCAGAAAGACGAAAACAAACAGAGAGCCAAATAGGCTAGCAGCAGCAACAATAAAAGGGGGCTGATCTGATCTGGTCTGATCTGATCTGGTCTGGACTGGTCTGGTCTGGACTGGACTGGACTGGTCTGGTCTGGACTGGCCTGGTCTGGTCTGGTCTGGTCTGGTCTGGTTCAATCGCGCTTGATCACCCGGCCAGGGCACTCGTTGAGCACGCCGGTCTGGCGGTACGCGTCAACGAAGCCCTGCAGATTGGACTTTGCGGCGACGGCGACGGCGTCGGTGGACGAAATGGCCGGGATCCACTCGGTGGCCAGCACGTCGATGGCGCAGGCAAAATGGCGGCCGTACGCGGCGGCCAGCGCAGCGCCGGCCACAGACAGAAACACGTGCACCAGCAGCGGCGAAATGGTGCGCGGCGGCATGTTAAGCATGCGCGCCAGCCAGGTCCACGCCATGGCCACAGGCAGCACGCTGGGCTTGCCCGGCTCGGGCGGCGTCTGCACAACGGCGGCGAACAGCGCCAGCATCCCGGCCATGCGCTCATTGTAAATGCCCTCGGACTCCAGCGCGCCATCGTCGCGCTCCTTGTACCCGATGGTGCGCAGGAACTCCTCGGCGCCCTGGCCCGGCTGGCGCGCGCCGTACTGCGGCACAACGTACGGGCACTTCTTCACCAGCCGCACCAGCAGAAGGTCGCCGAGATCCGGGAATCGCCGCATCAGCTGCACGGCCGCGGCCGCCAGCGGGTACGCGGCATGGTGCGCCACAGCGACCTCCCTCTCGGCCTGCTTGACCAGCGCCTTGGCCGTCAGGTTGAGCATCCACTGGTGCGCCACTGCGCCATGCAGCCGCGACGCCTCCGCCAAAACGTCGCCAACCGTGGCGGCCACGCGCGTGACAAACGCCACGCTGTCCTTGAGCTGCCCAATGCTGCGCGTCACCAGCCCGCGCTGCTTGAAGCAGTACGCCTTGACGGCCCTGTCGGCCTTGACCTGCGCGCCCGCCCCGCCCATGAGCTGCTGGTACATGGCGCGGTACCTGTCCGCCCACGCCAGCGCCTCGGCCGACACGCCGCTGGCCAGCCTACTCTTCTCGGCCGCGTCGCTCTTGGCCTTTTCTGCGGCGTCGTCCTTGCTGCGCTGCGCCTTGTCTCTCCTGGCCTTCTCGGCAGCCTCCTCTTTCTGCTTCTTCTCAGCCGCGTCTCTCTTGACCTTCTCCGCGGCCTCTCGCACAGCGTCCTCCTCCTTGCGCCTCTCCTCGTCCTTTTTGCGCTGCGCTTCGTCCTTTTTGTGCTGCTCTGCCGCAGCCTCCTCGCGCAGCCTCCGCTCAAAGTCGCTGTGCAGCTGCTGGACGCGCCGCAGCGTCTCTGCCACCGCCGCATCAACCACCACAGCTGGTGCCGCTGCTGACGATGATGCTGGTGGTGGTATATCGAGCGCCAGCGCAGCCAGAGCCTCCTGCGTCCGCCTGAACTCCACCTGGATCGGCAGCGCATAACTGCGGCAGGCATCGGCCCTAGCCCTGTCGATTTTATCGCTGGACACGGGCGCTATCTTTGCGTGTGCGCGCTCGGCTGACTCGCGGTACCTGTCGCCCTTGGCATTTGCTGCCGCCGATGCCACTGTCACCGCGCTGCCGCCGCCGCCGCCGCCACCGCTGGATGTGCTGAGCACAAAGGATGCTGGCGATGCTGGCAAAGGAAAGTCTCTGGTAGGCAGTCTGATTGCGCCACTGGGCAGCGGCTGCTGGTCGGCTTTGGGCCTTCTTGGCTCGGCGAGCGTGGCCGCCGACGCTGCTGTCGCACAGGTTTCGTGTGGCTTGGATTGTGTGTTGATGTTGTTATTCTGGCGCACGCTTTGCCTCTGCCTCTGCCTCTGCCTCTGCTCTCTGCTGCCGTACGCGTGGTCGCTGTCGCTGCTGATACTGCTGCCACTACTGTCCTCCCAAGCCTTACCACCCCTGCCGCCAGACGAAACTAAGCCGTATCTCATATTTTTATTCTATTTTTTGAAGAAAGCTGTGGAAATTATAACAAAAAGTTAAAATGAAGAAAATAAATATAATGTACAGAATTAGTCATTTTTGAAAACAAAAAGTGTTTGTGTGCTTTCGTGTTTCCTATTTCACGTTCTGCCTCGCTCTCTCTTTCTCTTTTTCTCTGTGGGCCGTCGCCGTTGTGGCAAATGACAGGCTCAACTGCAACTAAAATAAAATAAAAAACAGCCCCACAGGCTCACCAACAACCACCAATTCATCAGATCATTGGATCACCTAATCGTTTGGAGATCCGCTGATTGCATGATCAATTGATTCCGCCCCACACTCACTCACTCACATTTTATCTGTCGACGCATGCAGCATTTATATAGCATATCTGACTTGAGCTCATGCCATATTATCTAGCAATGGCCCAATCCCAGCCGGCTCGCTTTACATTATTTCTTTCCTTGCACACGCACACACATTTGCAGAATCACCCTGCATTACTCGCTAAACAAGCTACAGTTTCGTTGGTATAGATGATCGGGACAACCTCAGTATATAAAGTTTTAATATACTTATCGATTGCGCCATATGGCCTGCTTATTATATCCCGCTGAATAATTTTCGGCCGATGACGATAAATATTCAATTCCATATACAAATATTTTTCGGTATTTACACGTTGCCGCTGACTCTGAAATAAACGATTAAATAAATAAAAGAAAGGAATATAATAAAAAACACGCCTGTCCTCCTTTTTATCACCCTTAAAGTACCATCATCATACATCTTTTATACCACTCTGCCGCTACAGCTATTACCACCAACGATTTTTGTAAAACATTGCTTTCAACCTATCCAACATGCCTGACGACGAAAAGTCTGAAAAGCCCGAAAAGCCCGAAAATCCCGAAAGGGCTGAATCGCTGTCTAACCCACCCACGCACAACGAGATGGAAAACACCCAAGCTCCAGTTGCTCCCGGCACCGCCCATTCGCTGGGTAATTCAATTTCCAGCTCGTACGAGTCTGATCTCGCTGACGAGCTCGACTCCAGGATGGCCTTCGGCGAGTTGCTGCACGTCAGCATCAGCCGCGCAACAACCCACTTCCAGTCCATCCAGCGAGCACACAGCCGCCAGCAGCCCTACGGTGACGAGGAGCAGGCCGCCGAAGCAGGAGCCGAAGGCTTTAACCTCAACACCTGGCTGCGCGGCCGCCAGGCTGAAGAGGGGCCTCCGTTCGCCAAGCGCTTCGGCCTGGTTTTCAACGACCTGTCGATCTACGGCGCCAACGTGTCCAACCGCCACATCAGCACGCTAATCACACCATTCTGGAAGCTGATCAAAAACAGCTACCGCGGCTTTGGCATCCTGCAATTGTTCACGGGAATGTCCAAAAAGCGCCAGCTGCTGCACAATATCTCAGGCGAGGTCAAGGAGGGTGAAATGCTGCTTGTACTCGGCCGCCCTGGCTCTGGCTGCTCCACCCTTCTGCGCGTTCTGGGCAACCACTGCAAGACATACACCAAGATCACCGGTACCGTGTCCTACGGCGGCCTGGAGCCCAACGAGGTCAGGAGGCACTATCGTGGCGAGGTCGCCTATAACCAGGAGGACGACATGCACTTTCCGACGCTGACTGTGCGCAAAACCCTCGAGTTTGCCATCAAGTGCAAAACACCCAGTCGCCAGGTGCTCAATGACCCCGAAGGCTACCGCCGCGATATGCTCGACATGTTGCTTGACATGTACGGCCTGACCAGCTGCGCCGACACCATCGTCGGCAATGCCTTCTTGCGTGGCATTTCCGGTGGTGAGCGCAAGCGCGTCAGTATCGCCGAACAGGTTGCTTCCGGAGCTTCCATTGAGGTGTGGGATGGCAGCACCAAGGGACTTGACTCCAGTTCAGCACTAGACTATGTGCGTTCCCTGCGCATCAACGCCGATATCCTCCAGAAATCTATTATCGCCACCATCTACCAGGCCTCCGAGAGTATCTACAAGCTGTTTGACAAGGTCATGGTCATTGACGAGGGCCGCCAGCTGTACTTTGGACCAGCTAACCAGGCTGTTGCATATTTTGAGCGCATCGGTATTGAGAAGCCACCGCGCCAAACCACTTCTGATTTTTTAACTGGACTGACCCGCCTCAACGAGCGCCGCGTGATTTCTGGCTGGGAGGGCAGTGTTCCTGAGACCGCGCAGGACTTTGAGCGGCTCTGGCTCGATTCTCCCGAGCACCAGACTATGCTCAGCGATGTTTCGGCCTTCGAGGATCAGTTGCAGCGCGATGACCGCGGCCAAGAACTGCGTGAATTCGTCGACCGCACCAAAATGGGCACAGGAAAGATTCACCTGCGTCGAAAATCACCATACACCACAACATTTGTGTTCCAGCTGCACCAGCTTCTCAAGCGCGAGTGGGAGATCTTCACCGGCAACCACGCCGAAATCATCTTCAAGTTCTTCTACAACATTGCCTTTGCCATTATCGTCGGCACGCTGTACATTAGGCTGCCGAGGGACACTTCAAGTTACTTTACTCGCGGTGGTGTGCTTTTCTTTGCGCTTCTTTTCAACTCGCTGACATCGATGGCTGAGATCCCGCGCGCGGTCACTGGCCGCCAGGTCGTCTACAAACACAAGGCCCTGGCGATGTACCATCCGGCCGCATTGTCGCTGGCCCAGACTGTCGTCGATATGCCGTTCATGGTGTTTCAGATTATTATCTTTGGCTCTATCCTGTACTGGGCGACATACTTGCAGCGCACAGGCGGCCACTTTTTGGCATTCCTTCTGTACCTCTACATGGGCTGCCTCTGCCTGACGGCCTTCTTCCGTCTGGTCGGCAATATCTCGCCCAACGTCGACATTGGCCATACAATTTCAGGAATCAGCCTGCTTTTCCTCATCCTGTATGTCGGTTATCTTATTCGCCCGGGCTACATGCACCACTACTTCAAGTGGATCTACTGGACAAACCCATTAGCCTACGGCTTCAAGGCGCTGGTGTCCAACGAGTACCGCGATATTAACTTCCCGTGCGCCTCGAACAGCCTGATCCCGCGCGGCCCTGGAATCGGCATTGCCAACCAGGTTTGCACCATAATCGGCTCCAACCCCGGTGAGCTGCGCGTCCGGGGCAGAGACTACCTTGAGCGCACGTACAATATCTACGTTGACGACCAGTGGAAGGACTTTATTGCCGTAGTGTGCTACTGGATCGTGTTTGTCTTGCTCATCGCGCTCACCATGGAGTTTGTTGAGTATGGCAACACTGGTTACACGGTCAACGTCTACAAGCGCCACCGGCCAAACATCGACAAGCTGATCGCCAGCTCTGATGTCGAGTCCGCAGATGGGAGCAACAACACCAGCAAGGGATCTAAAATGTTTGCTGACATTCCTGAGGGTGGTCCGACGGACGAGCAGATCACGTTGGGCACTACGTACACCTGGAAGAACGTGAACTACACGGTTCCGGTCAAGGGCGGTGAGCGCCAGCTCCTGCACGAGGTATCGGGCTACATTAAGCCGGGCACAATGACCGCACTGATGGGCTCGTCAGGAGCCGGTAAAACCACCCTGCTGGACGCCCTGTCGCAGCGCAAGACCATCGGAAAACTCGAAGGCGAGATGCTGATGAACGGCGCGCCCCAGCCCATTAGCTTCCGCCGCATCACCGGCTATTGCGAGCAACTGGACGTGCACAACCCGTATGCCACAGTGCGCGAGGCCCTGCGTTTCTCTGCCGCGCTGCGCAGGTCGGCCAAAGTCAGCACCACAGATCGCGAACGCTATGTCGAGTATGTGATCAAACTCCTCGGTCTCTCGGATATTTCCGACTGCCTGATCGGCGACCCCGAGTCAAGCCAGGGCATTTCGTTAGAGGAGCGCAAGCGCCTGACCATTGGCGTCGAGCTTGTGGCCAAACCCAAAATACTGTTCCTCGACGAGCCCACCTCGGGACTCGACGCCCAGGCCTCCTACTCCATTGTCCAATTTATGCGCAAGCTCGCTGCCGACGGTCAAACCATCCTGTGCACTATCCACCAGCCTTCCGCGCTGCTCTTCGAGCAGTTTGACCGCCTGCTGCTTCTCGTGCGCGGTGGTCGCACGGTGTACTTTGGCGACCTTGGCAAGGACGCACACAAGCTGATCGAGTACTATGAGAAAAACGGCGCAGACAAGTGCGCGCCCAGCGCTAACCCGGCAGAGTACATCTTGGACGTCGTTGGCAATAAGTCTCGCGACACTGACTGGGCACAGATCTGGAACGACTCGCAAGAAAAATCTCATATTGTTGCCGAGGTCGACCGCATCAATCAGCTCAAGCTGGACAGCGGCAGTCCTGATGCGGATGCCGAGCTGGATTCCTCACGCAAGTATGCACAGCTCCTACCATTTCAGATCCAAATTGTCACCATGCGCATGTTCCGGTCTCACTGGCGTGACCAGCAGTATAACCTCACCAGGCTCGCACTCCAGATTATCTGCGCCCTGGCCGTCGGTTTCTCCTTCATCAAGACAGGGAACAGCACGGCCGACACACAGAATAAGGTGTTTGCAATTTTTGAGACCGCTGTGCTGTCAATTTTGGTTATTAACCAGGTGCAGCCACAGTTCCTGCGCCAACGCTTATACTACAGTCGAGAGACATCCACGAACCAGTACGGTTGGGAGGCCTTTTCCTTTGCAATTATCGTCACCGAATGGCCATTTTCGATTTTCTGCAACACCGTGTTTTTCGTCTGCTTCTACTGGCTCGTTGGCCTCAACAGCCTAACGGACCGCACAGGGTACTTTTACATTGCGTATATCCTGCTCGGACTATTCTCAGTCAGTCTTGGCCAAGCTATCGCGGCTTTCTCGCCCAACGACGTTGTCGCTTCAATGCTTAACCCGATATTCACTACCATGATGACTTTGTTCTGTGGTGTCACCATTCCTTATACGCAAATGCCCCGTTTCTGGCGCTCCTGGATGTATTGGCTATCGCCATACACGTATTTCATCGAGGGTGTCATCACTAATGACCTGCACCAGACGCCGGTTCGGTGCAAAACCCGTGAACTGTTTAGTTTTGCCCCCGCTGGTGGCCAGTCTTGTGGCCAGTTTGCCGGTGACTGGATAGCCTCGGCTAGTGGCTATATTCAAGATTTGGGCGCAACAGGTAATTGCGAGTATTGCCCGTATGCAGTTGGCGACCAGTTCTATAAGGAACTTAATTGGTCGTTTAATCACCGCTGGCGCAACTGGTGTATCCTACTTGGGTTCACTCTGTTTAATATTTTCTTTACGGTGTTTATGACGCGCATCTACAAGGTCAACAAGCGGTGACCATTAAAATTAAAGATAGAATATATATTTCATATTTCAATACATAACCGCATGTATATACATAATTATCGATATCATGTCGTATATTTAGTTGCTTGTTTGATAATACAAGACAATACAAAAAATGTGTTACTTAAACTTTACTTGGTCCGCCTCGGCGCGCACCTGGCTGCGGCTGTGCTCTTGAGCAGTCTGCGCCAACGACGAGGCAATAGAGCTCGGGTCCTGCGAGAGAATCTGCTTGATCTCGTTTCTGATTGCCGCCGACACTGCGCTGCTGACAATATTGCTGAACATCATCTGCGGGCCGCCAACGTAATCATCAAGCGCTGCACTGGTGCTGCTGCCGCTGGTGCCATTATCTTTATCGTCTGAAGACCCGAAAACAAGTCTTGAAATAAGGCTCTTTGTCGCCGACACAGACTCAGGGAATTCTTTGACTTTGACATTCTTCAAAATGTCAGCCTTGAATACCGGCGGCCCTTCATGTTTGACCGCACCAAGAGCTGCTTCTTGATCATCGCCCTTGGCCACCTTGAGCTCAATAGCAACGACAGGCTTGGCATCGGTCGTGGCCGTGGCCTTTTTCCCTTTCGAAGCCAAAGCGATCTTCTCGACAGCCTCATCGACAGACGCAAACTGCTCGTACGCAACGGCTTTTTGAATCTCAGTGTTATTCGAGCGATCCACATAAAACTCCACAAGCTTCTTCGCAATATCTACGCGCGCCTCGTGGCCCAGCTGTGCCGCAGCCTCGATGGCCCTGGTGAAGCCGCCCATCTCGTCAACCAGGCCATTGCCCAGCGCTTGCACACCCGTGAACACCTGGCCGCGCGCAACACTCTCAGCCTGCTCCCCAGTGAACCCGCGGCCCTTGGCGACGCGCGCAGTAAAGTCACTATAAATATGGTCAACGTTGCGCTGGTACCTCTCCAACACAGCGCCCTCAGGCGCGTGGAACACCGAGTTGCACTTATTATCAACCGTGTACAGCTCCTCAACGTTGGTACCGATAAAGTCCATCAGCTTGCTGGTGAACACCGGGCGCATCGCTGCCACGCCAATGCTGCCCGTGATGGTGCCGGGGCTGGCGAATATGCGCTTACACGATGTCGATGAGTAGTACGCGCCCGATGCCGACACGTTGCCGTAGCTGGCAACGACGGGCTTGGCAAAGTGCGTTTGTACATAGTCGACGGCTGCCGCAATGGTGTCGCTGGCAATAACGTCGCCGCCGCCCGAGTCTATGCGCAGGACAATCGCCGACACCTGCGGATCCTTGGCCGCCTGCAGCAGCGAGGCGGCGACCGAATGCGAGCCCTGCGGGCCTAGCCGCTCAATGGTCCCCATTAGGTAAACGACGCCAACGGTGACCGGGCGCGACGGAATGAGTAGCTCGAGCGACTGCGCGACCTTCTTTATGTCGGGTCTGCCGAGCGCCTGTTTAAAGCTGCCCATCAGTGAGCCTTGCTTGCCACTGCTGCCGGCCGGGTCATCGTGCATCTCCTTGGACAGGATTTCGTCGCGCCGCTTGCTGCTGTACGTCGACACAAGCATAGGCTTGCGCGGGCCGATGATCGATGCGATCCCGAATGGATATCCCTGCTCACTGACCAGCCCCGCGTTGATAGCGTCAATGGCAGGCAGCGGGCCAACCTCCATCGCGCGGCGAACGACATCGGCGGCAGTCAGCGGAGCGCCGTCCTCGCTGCCCTCCTGCCCGGTCTGCTTCAGAATGGCTGGTCCCCGTGCCAGCGCAATATCGGCAACAAGCGTGTCATTGAGCGACGTCAGCAGGCTCATCAGATTTTCGCGGTGCTTCTCGGGCATCGACTCTTCCGAGTAGGGCGCAACCACGCTCTTGTACTCCTTGCGCGCCTCGACGTGCACGTTGACGCCAATCTTGTCCCCCAGCCGCTTGAAGTAAAACTGCGTCGATGAGAGTCCTATCAGCGGAACATAGCCGGTCGGCTGCACGATAATGTCGCTGAAAGCTGAGGCCAGATAGTACGTGGCCTGGTCGTCAAACGAGTCAATGTAGAAGTACGTGCGACCCAAGTCTTTGTCTACCATTCCAGCTGCCTGCTGCTTCTGGGCTTCTTTCTTGGCCCTGAACGTGGCCAGCGCCTGGCGCAGCTCCTGGATTTGGGCAATGCCCAGGCCAATCGACAGCGGCTCATTTCCCTTGGCCCCGGCCCCGGTGACTTCTGGCGTAACACGTACCACAAGGGACTTTACCCGCGGATCTTCAGCGGCCATCTCCAGGGCCAATAGCGCCTCCAGCATGGTCATCTCCTTGGGCCCGCCCGACAGCCGCTTGATCAGTTTGCTGATCATACTGGCGCTGCCGAAATGCGTCGGCGCCGTGGTTTCGACAATGGAGCCGCCGTTCAGTCGCCAGGTTAGCACAGTGCCGTCGATGATGTTCTCGGAGATATCTTTCTTGGCGGCGTTGACTTTGTTCTTTACGGCTAGGTAAGCGATGCCGGCGACGAGCAGTGATGTCTTCTTGTAGCGCCAGGCAAGCCCAGCAGTGCGCAGAAGCATAGACGAGTAGTGCTTGTTTGCACCACCAGGTTTCGAATTAGGCGAGTTCGTTTCAGACATTGTTAAATTTGTGAATATAATAAAAAAGAGCGATAATGGAGGCAGCCAGTGGTAGGGTGGGGGGACAGAAGAGAGGGTAAAAGAAGTATGTTTTAGACGCATTCACTTTTGCTCAGGCTCACGCCCACGCCCACAGCCCAAAGTGGGTACCAAGACTTGCGTATTTATGCCATCATCGCGATATCATCATGTCTCAGAGAGGGTGTTAAACATTTATTTGATTGATTACCATAAGTCAGAATTAACCAACTAAAAAATCAAAAGCATGCTGCTTAGAAGAAGGCCGATGCGGCGCCCGACACGAGCAGAGCCAGCAGCGGGGTGGCCGCGACCAGCGCCGAGGCCGAGCTGGACGACGACTTTGATGAGGCATCTGCGCTGCTCTCAGCATGCGACGCTGACTCGGCCCCGCTCTTCTCACCATCCAAGTCGCCCTCCTCCTGAACGTCAGCGCCAGAAACCGCGGCGTAGTTGAACTTTGCGCTGGACACAAAATCATTCTCCTTCAGCGTCGTCACCTGAGTCAGCCAGCCGATGTAGTTACCGAACGTCGTGAAGAAGTCCATCGCCCCCACATTGTTGCACACCTCCGCCGGCACATCGCCCTTAACCGCGATAATGTTCAGCAGACCAGCCAGCCCAACGCTGCCGTCGCCAGCGGTTTTGGCCAGGACACCGTCACCGTTGCACACGTTGGACGAAGTCTTGACTGGCACAAGGCACAGAGAGTTGGTCAGGTTGGCGTACGGCGCCCAGACATTCGCGCATGCGCTCTTGGAGCCCACCGCCAGGTTGACTTGCTTGAGGCGCTCAGTGTACGGCCCGGCAGTTGCCTTGCTGCTGCCGCCGGCATCAGCGCTCGTCGACCCCCACCCGTACGCTGTGTACGCGGTGTCCGCCGTCGACACCGGCTTGGAAATAATGCCAGCCGCCGTAGCGTTTGCCAAAGGCTGCGTCAGCTCCAGCACGGCAATATTGTCCGTGAACGCAATAGAGTTATACCCAGGATGCACTGTGATGCGGCTCACCTGGGAGTACCCACCCTTGGCCACCGCCTTTGTAGCATCCACCGTGCCGTTGCCCACCGCGCTGCTGGTCGCGCCAGAGCCCACGAGTACGCGGCCGGCTGAAACTGCCTGGTCGCTAATCGGGTCTGCCACGCATGCTGCACTGGTCAGCACAATCGTCGATGAAATCAACGCTCCTGTACAGACCCCGGTGCTGCTGCCGTTGTCAACAATGATGTTGGTCAGGAAGGAGAATAACTCGCTGGTGGACACTGTGGACCCGCCCACAATGCGCTTATCCAGAGCGTTGACGCTGCTGCTTCCGATAACTGCCGCTGAGGCCAGTGCGAAGAGAGAGAGCTTGACCATTGTTCTATATATGGGGAAATGTGATTATATTGCGATATTAAAAAGAGAGATGGTAAGCAAAAAATAAAGGGTAATGTTTTTGGCGAAAATAGTTGAAAGGTATAGAGTTATGAAAGATAAAAAAGCAAATACAATTTAGAGCAGAGAAAAGATGGTTTTAACAAAGTTGAGAGCACAAATTTTTTATTTTTTCTCAGCAAAAAAATAAAAGAGAAAAGGACAATATTCGAAGAAAAACAATAATAAAATAATATAGGTGCCAAACTGTCCATGATATCGAAGAGGGGATCTCCCCTCTTTTTTTATTGCTTCTTTGCAAACCAATAACAACATTCATTTTTTTGACAGCAAATAATAAACAATCGGTCCGGAAATCCCTTTTTCTCTTTTTTACTCTCTTTTTTACTATTGTTTGCATTTGTCTGATGCGAATCGTGCATCCAATAGGAGGGTTGGCTGGTTGGTTGGTAAGAAATGAGCTGAAAGAAAAAGATGGAATTCCCCATCACACTCAAATCTTAGCGATTTGGGAAAGAAAATGGAAAAATGACAGGCAGATCGTTTCCGAGTTATATCCAATCTGCACGTGCTGCTGGGTTAACAAGAATAAAAGCCAATGCACATGTCATTAGTACATGCCAGGGGACATGGCTGTCTGTAAAGTGCGCTTAGCAGCAAAACTGCCTTTTAATCTTTTTATTCTATTGTTTAGTGTAGTCACCTCCGTCGGACTCTGCATTAATTGCGTTGAACCTGCAGGTTGATCGCGGCAGCGGTTTAATTGTTTGCTTGACTTGTTGCTATATGGTAACTCCTGGTGGAATTTATAATGTTATAATAAGAGGGTGGTGACTTGAGTGAAGCACTAGTCGCCTAGTGTTAGAAGTATGTTTGGTTGAATTATGAAAGTTTTTATTATCAATGGAATCAAAAGTAGAACTAGTGCCGGCTTCATCTTATATATGTATCTCGTTGTCTTTATTGTGCACTTCACCAATTGTGCACTCCGTTGGTGAGAACTGGTTCTTCTGCGGGCAGACTGGCGTCTTGGCGTGTCAAGGCTGTGATCTTTGCATATGCGCATTCAAGCATATACATTATGGAGTGGAGGGGTATATCAGGGTGTCATTATTGTGTCCCCTGATTTGATCCTGCATGGCACCACCAATGCCCTGTTAATTGGCATGTTGAGGTTAAGAATCGTGAAACGAGTCTTCATCGACATCCACTTCCATATCATCAGGTTGCTCAACAATAATCCCCTTAAGAAATTTCAGGGAAAACACGGACATCAGCACAAGATCAACTTCAAGCAAAAAACTGTCAAGGAGGCAAGTCGTTATCTAGTGTCAAAGGATTCTTGCGCCATGTCAGAGGATAAGCTTCATACTTGGTATAAGGATCGTTTGCAGCAAGTGGATTTCCCAGTTCCAGGCATCAAAGTCATTCACAACGCTTATTATTGTAAGCACTGCAACTGTGCTGTTTGTTATAAAGATTGTATGGGAAAAAATTATAGAAAGGTGCATGAAATAGCTTGGATCTCAGTAAATGCCATTACTGGACTTGTTCAACAACTATCTCATAATGGTGCTGAATTAAAAAGCTATATCCGAGTCATTCTCACAGAATTTACGGACGCAGAACTCAAAAGCACGTGGGCATACATTACTTCAGATTTACCTCTTTCTCCCGACGGTTAGCTAATATTAGGTCAATATCACACACATACAAGTTGTGCTTAATATATTCAATTCATTAGTTAGTCAGTTTAAGTTATTCATTTTATTTATAAAAATGTTATATATGCTGCTTCATGTCGCCGAAAATATCAAATAAATATTTGTTATAAATATCCAAGAACTAAAATATAGTCCATTAATCCCAACGAATAAAAGTTACAAAATCTGTTTTGTTGCTTGTTAGACTAAATAACATTTATTACATGTGCTATGTGCTTGTAGGAAAAATGCATCGATGTGGGCCAGCCAAATAATATTGTGCTGCCTCTGACAGAGAAAAAATAGATTTATTGAGCAAAATATAAAACATGTAAAAAACAAGACCTAAAGGAATCAGTTATTATATATAATGATAAAATAGATACATTATAACAAAATAAAGAAAATTACTGATTCTTGAGCGAAAGTCAGCCTAAAATGCTAAGCTGCATCGGTTACTTTATACTTTCTCTCCCAATGGTTTCCCATATTCAATTTTTCAAACATGAACAATCATGATGGATGAATTCGCTGGTTATTAAACACAATTTGTAGGCTGTTAACATTGAATACATTTTTCAATTGCTTTTTACTTGACAAGATTTCTACTACTTTTCTGATATGCCTCCTCCCAGCAAAACCAAACACAAGTCAAAGGTGTTCAAGTGCTCCAAATGCCTGATGACATTTAAAATATATATTTTACGTTCCAAACACTCAAGACAACATAACCCAATCAGTCACTTCGGCCAGCGGCAGAAAATATGTATTGCAACGGAGGAACGACAAGCTCGAGTGTACTTGTGGCAAACTATATGGATATAAATATATGAAAGAGAGCCATGCTTTTTGGTGCAGTGTTCTCAACGCAGCAGATACCAACAGTCAAACTGACACTGGCAACGATGATAACACAAGTGTAAGTATAAACTGGATTGATTCGATACTAAATTGTGTATAATTGACTGTTAAGTACTAACTATAATTTCAATTTAAAAAAGTATCTACCTCCGTCAGAGTCAGCATTGACTTTGTTGGACTTTCAGGTTGACCGTGGCAGTGGTTTAATTATTTTTTGACCTGTTGCTATATGGTAACCCCTGGTGCTATTTATAATTATCTTAGAAAATTCCAGAAGAATCATGGACATCAGCACAAGGTTGAGTTTAACCAGCATGCTGTCAAGGAAGCGAGTCGATATCTACTATCAGAGGATTTGGGCGCCATGACAGAGGACAAGATTCAGCGTTGGTTTGAGGATCGTTTGCGGCGAGTGGATTTTCCAGTTTCAGTCATCAAAGTCACTAACAACGCTTATTATTGCGAGCACTGCTACTATGCTGCTTGTAATAAATATAGCATGTATTTACATTATAAGAAAGAGCACAACACATCTTGGATTCAAGCAAATGTGAGCACTGGGCCTGTTCAGCGACTGACTGTTGGTAGTACTCAATTCAACAAATATATTCGGGTTATTCTCACAGAATTCACAGACGCAGAACTCGAGGACACTTGGGCATACATTACTTCGGATTTACCTCTTTCGCATGATGATTAATTAATTTCATTAATAAAACAAATAATAGCTACGCTTTTTGTTGCATTTATTTTATATTTCATGTAATCGAATTTTTTACTAATATTATAAAAATAGCTGTGTTGCTTTGTTTTGCCATAAGCAATCAAATACCCGTTAAGTAGCAGAACAAAACAGCGCATGACCAGTATCACCAGGATGCGCACACTTCTCAGAAACATTATTTCATTTACTTGTTTACATGGTTACTAACGGTGCGCTTGTCAATTAGATACCTATTACATTATTTGCTCCCGCTTAGTCACCCGTTGTCGCCTTATATTGGCCGTTGGCATTGTTAATACAAAATTTTCACAATTATACCGGCTAACAAAATAAAAAAATTACAAAAAACTGTCCACCGGATTATTTGTGGCAGCCAGCAGCTGAGGTTGTTTGTGTTGTAAACATTTTGTCTAATGGGCACGTGTATTTTGTATTTCAAAAAGCACGTGCTTAGAATGCATTGGTTACTTGAGTGCATTCATTGATTTCACGCAGCCATTATTTACTGGGGTATTTTTACTTTAAAACAGGAAAAAGGGTGGCGCTACTAACCATCGCCACAATTCATGATTATCAACTGACAATCCACAATAATGACGAACAAGAAACATATAAAGATGGGGAAAACGGGTTTTTTTAATTATTTGTCCACTATGGCTGCCCATTGACATTTTGGTAATCGCATTTTTCAAGTCAATTCAATGACAGAACCTTATTGCTTTTGTTAATACTCAAAAATTACACTGACTAAACTGCTTGTAATAACGACATGTCTTTGAGGCGGATAAGTGCACCAAAAAGTCTGCTATATAACATGGGTGTGTAGCTGACGCTTAACGATACATACTGATTTATTGTACACTTTTATCCCTCCACACAAGCACTAATTTTGATACTTTACATTATAGTCACCATGAAGCGCACAAATTCCGTCAATGTTGTCATTGCCTGCTGCTCCTGGCTTGCCGCAACGACATCAACAGCAGCGGCAGCATCCTTGGGCTCAGTCAGCCTGGCCTCTGCCGCCGCAAATGGTAGCATCCGCGGCATGGATCCGACAGAAATACTGCAGCAAACGCTAAACAACATCCGAGTCACCAATGGCACAAAAGTGCCCCAAGGCAGCGGCTCATCTTTTGTCCAGTTGCTAATTGGAAGCAACAACAGATTTGGTCTCTGCGGTGGCACAATAGTGGATTCAAAGACAATCGTCACGGCAGGGCACTGTGTCTATGACAGACAAAAAAACGTGGTCAAGCCCGCTTCTGAATTTTATGTATTTTACGGCAATGTCGAGAATATGAGCCCCACATACGTCAAGGCAAAGAAGGTCACCATTCATCCAAAATACGACCAGCGCCAGATGTTCAACGATATTGCCATTATCGAGGTACCCGCGTTGCCCCTGTCAAAGGGAAAGGTTGAGACCATGCCATTGTACAATGGGGCTATCGGGACCAGGGTACCAATGGGAATTTACGGTTGGGGCACTATTCGCTCGCACGGAACGGCCAACGACAACCCGAGCAGCTTGCTGACGCAGACGGTGTACACATCTATCCCGGAGGACTGCCAGGCTATTGAACCAAGCTACAACGACGCGAACGGGCCGCAGATCTGCGCCAACAACCACTACAACATTGGCGTCGATGTGTGCCAGGGCGACTCAGGCACGGGCACAACCATCACGGCTGAGAACGGCAAGCAGTACCTGGCGGGCCTGGTCAGCTACGGGACAAACAAGCTTGGCGAAGCAACTTGTGGCGAGGACGGCAGCTTTGGCATCTACAGTAATGTATTCTACCACCAGAAGTGGATTGAGTCTGTCGCTGGAATCAACATCGCGTCAGGGCCGTTTAGCGAGCCGCAGGTCAGCCCAGCACCAGTCCCAGCAACGCCTACAGTTACGCCGATGAAGCCGCCAACATGCATCTTCTTTTTGTGCTTCTAGAATTTTCAGTATCACTTATTTTTCCTCGTTCATTTTCTGATCGTAATTCTATCATCTATCATCTATATTTAATTTACGCACAAATGTAAGTCTATGCTGTCATAAGCAATGCGACCGGCCACAGACGGCGACGCCAGCGCGGCATAGGCCTTAAGCACAGGCACCATTTTGGCTGCGGCGGTCGTCTGCGACAACGCGCCAGCCGCCGTCGCGCACTGTGGATTGCGACACGACTCGTGTCCGCACCCTCGCGTCAGCTGCGTGTGCAGCGAGCGCGCCAAGCGTCTTAGCAGCTTCTCGCGCGTCGGATCATACTGGCCAGTGTAAAACGGCCCAAAGCACGCTGCACACAATCCGAGGTCGTTGTCTGGATCGCGCTCTCTCGTGCACTCCTTGTTAGTGCAAGGCTTCATGTTCGCACGCCGCTCCCTCTCCCTCGCCTCGTGCAACCGCATGTGCACGGACACCTGGCGGATGGCCACGTAGGCCTTGCACTGTGCACAGACGATTGATCGGCTGCCGCAGTACGCCTCATGCGCGCGCAATCCCTCCAGTCGATCCTGCGCTGCGGTCGACAGCTCACCCTGTGGCTCGTGCGTATGGCAGTAGCGGCACTCGATGAGCCGCTCAGCGCAGTTCGTGCGCCGGTGCTTAGCGAGCTCAGCCAATGACTCCTGGGCAGAGCCGCAGGTGCACTCGGCGGGCGTGTGGAAAAACGCAGTGTGCTTGGGCTCATCGCTCAGCACCCCGCTGGCCTCGCAAAGGCCGCAGTGCCAGTGATCAGCCAGCTCGGCGCTATTGCGCTTGAAAATGCGACTGCAATAGTTGCATTTGACGTTGTGTCGCTCACAAACAATCCGATGCATGGCGAGCCGAGGCTCAGGCACCCGTGCGCCACAATTACTGCACTCAGCCAAGCCGTCCTGCAAGGAGTCATCCGTCAACGAATCCACGCTGGAACTCCTCGCGGCGCCGTCGCTGGCGGACAGGCCAAACTCGGCCGTCAGCGTCGCTTGGCATTCCGCAGTGAATGCCACGACGGACACGTAGATGTCGGTGTTAGCGGCAACCTGGCCCGGCTCAATGAGCAGCTGCTTTCGCCGCTGTGAGGGCGCAGATAGGTCGCACCAGTCGTTGTCCAGTACGCCGACGCTGCGCACAAGCCTGCTGGCGCACAGCGACGCGTCGCCCTCGTGACATTCAAGGGCGACACGCAACAGCGCTGCCTGCGCCGGTACATGCAACCGAACCACGCTAGTGCCGCGGCCCGCTTTGGCGCTGATCATGCGCGAAACCCCAGGTAAAAGCTCGTCAATGCCTTGACTTCCCAACTGCTGCAGCTGTCCGGCAGCGGTGTCGCGCACAATATCCACGGACAGGTCAGTGTCGACGGCGTCAACAGCATCCGCAGGCTCCAGCGCTAAAACCGAAAACACTATGGGCTCGGGATGCCCGCCTACGCGGACGCGAATTGTCTCTCCAACAAACAAGGCCGTCATCCTCCTTCGCATGTGCGCTTCCAAAACCGACCTCAAGTCCAAGTAATCATTATTCTCCGACACTCGCAGTTGGGCAAACTGTCCCTTCTCAAGCCGCACGTACTCGACAACTAAAGTGTCTCCCTCCTCGGCATGCGCCGCCTCCAAGAGCCATCCAGGGACGCTGACCGTCCCCTCGGATCCGCTGAACTCGCGCACACCGCAGTAGACCGCGCCCCCATTGGGCGAGTCGCTTTGTGGCCGGCCCTGTGTGCGTAGCCGGAATATTAGTGGCGAGGGCAGCCCCTCTTGGTCCAAGTTTAGTGTTCCGAGGAGTGCGGAAAGAAACGATGCCGGCAGCGTCACTTTGTCTGAATATTCGTTGTCGTTGGTTGCTGTGGTTGTCGTTGTGGCGCGCTCGCAGCGCAGTGTTCGACTGAATTCAGATTTGACGCCGCTCATTTGTGATACTGTATATAAAAGGATGTTTTAAATGTCGATGTTGATATTAATATTGAAAGTGAAAAAGAGAAAAATATACAGGACCATCATTCGCACCCCCATGCCTTATGCACTTGGCACAGAAAAATCGGAGATGACGATGGGGCCGTAATTGCTTAACCGCAATTTGATCTAGAATGTTCTGATAATGGTTTGATTTGATTATATGATCACCATATGCCAGAATACTGGCGATTTTAAATGCAAATGATGGAAGTACACAGAAGCCTTTTCTGGGCAATACGTCATGCCGATTAATTGCTCGTGAGAAGAAAACCGGTTGTGTCTTGAGCTGCCTGCAGAATAATACCGAGGCGCATTCCAATTGCATGACGCGCGGTGCAGACCAGCAAAAAAATAAGCTGTGCAGAGTTTCCAAATAAGTTCCATTGTCATTGAAAAAATGACCAAAAATGTAAACAAATACTTTTAAAATGACCTGGCACTTACCCCGCAAGCAGCACAAATAACCTGGTATTTTTATTCATTTCGAGACACAGCGACGACGGCCCATTTATGACTAAGCAGTTGTTGCTTTTGGACAGAGTGCCCAAATAAAGCTGGCCCTGGTGCGAAAATCAAAACAAATCCATATATTTATTTGGAATCCAATTCACACACAAAATTCAAAGAAAATATAAAAGTCAATTTTTTATTTTTCATTCTGCTTTTTGAGACCCAAATATAAATGGCAAAATGCAAGACTTCCAAAAATAAGTCAACCCAAAAACGCCCTTGCTTTCCTTCCTCCGTGGTATCAAGTGTTATCTTGTTTACTTGCTTTGTATTTGCATCGCTTAAACCGTGGCTTCAGCGCCGCTTTGGAACCTTCCTTGGAAAACAAAGTTGACAATCATTTATTTTGAATCCGCCATGTCAAGCAATCATTGCCAAATAAAAAATACAAGCCAAACAAGTATAGCTTGAAATCTTAAAAAAAGAAGTGCGCGAATCTTACAGCAATCACTTCTTTTTTGAAAATATACCGCGCCTCTGTTACCTATTATAATTTTCATTTTTTACACCCGCCTCCCTTTTTTAAATCGATTATGAATCTTTGGCCTCAGCTGCATATGGTTGCGGGGGTAAAACAAAAAAGGACCTACCCGTGCGTCCTAAATAAGTAATGTCAGGACCATAAACGGATGTGATTCACTCGTGATTTGTGATTTGCCTTGATTGTACCGGGAAAGAGCTGCACTCCAAATAACGACAGCGAGGCTGTTAAGGGGGAAATGTGAATACTTTTTTGTTTTTGATGACGGACCTGTGATGTGCGTTGCGCAATGGGAGCTGGCCGGCTTGAAGGACAACAGGTCAATCACATAATGTTGTTCTGCGTTTATTTCGCAACCAGCTGAGCAAATGTCAGAGATGGCAGTGGATGTCAATACATTTATTTGGTTGGCAGGTCACTAACAAGTTCGCACTCACATTCACTGTTATGTTTCTTGTTGTGGACTGCCTCGCAGCAGTGTCAAACACAGCTTCAAGAGTGTTTGTCCTCTCCCCTGTTTTCTGTTATACCAGGTGTCGCAGAAAATGGTACTACAACTGCAACTGTAATTGCGTCTGCGGAATAAAAATAAAATAATTCAAGTATATGGACATGGACACGGGTATACAAAGTATTGGCCGATATTTGGCAAATATCAATATATTGGAGCGTGACACAGCAATTAAATCCATGTATCCCAAAGTGGTCCTATACGTATTTTAACTGGTCCTTGCAGAAAATATAATTTTACTCGGTGTTGTCAAACATTGTGTAATTCAAACATTGCAATGCCAAGGCCGTCTCACAGACAGTTCGGTTGCATGCAATGCATTCGTGCATAAAAAATGATAAACAGATATACCCAGTCAACCAACTGGCCAAACAAACAAAACAAACAAAAAACAAAAAAATCTTGTTAAAAGCTTTCCCCATCCAAAAAACTACGAGTTCAACAATTTATTTCAAAATTTTAAAGCTAGAACGGACTCGGAATAGAACATTACATAATTGTGACGGATGCCAACCCCCCTACACAAAATTACACGGACGAGCGTGCATTTAAAAAAGCATGCATGTCAGGCTGCAAATACTGAACTCAGAACCAAGTGCAAGCATGAGCGCGAGTCGGACTTTGATGTTGGTAATTGCCTATGGGTTCTGATTGTATTCTTTTCTTTTTTTGGTAAATTTTCAGTTACTTGTTTTCCTTCTCTCCCTCACGCATCAGCTGCAGACCCCCCGCTTTTGCAAGCAAAACATTGTTTGTGAAGATGAAGAAAAAATATACTGAGCACTACAAAATAAAAAACTTTATATTTTTTTTGCTGAGCGAACGATAGACATGAAAACACCCCAAATAAAAGATAATCGGATATGTTTTGAATGAAGAGCATTTTTATTATGCAACACGGCTCAATATAATTTTTTATTAATTGTTTAGTTTTTAATGCGGTTATTTTGTTTACGCGGCTTTATAAAGTGTGCTCGTCCACAATTAAATTAATATTTTAAACTGCCCTCTTTGTGGCTCTTTAACTCACGCAATACATAACCTCAATTTCATTATGATTCAGGCTTTGTAAATGCTTACTGTGATCATTCGTTATCGCAATACAATCCTGGAATAGAAGATTGCCTCCATCCTACTGTTGCTGCTGCTTGCTGTACCCTTATTTTCTTTTCGTCATTAGATGGCCATCTTGCGCAAGAATCTCGTCCAATAAATCTCTATTCTCCCGCCCTCACCCCTCTGCTCAATTTAGAAAAAAGTATGCATGTGAATGTGATTATTTCTATTCCAGCTCATGAATTAGGAGAAAATCAACAGAGCACTTATTTGAGGTTGCCGCCTGTTGCTGCTAATGTTTTTTGGGACGCACATCGTATTTCCTTTTCGCAAAGTCCGCGACTCAGCTGAGCATTGGATCGCCGCCAGATTTCTTACTTTTTTAAGGTACGTTTCAATCCCAATTTGTAAAAAAAAATTACCTTGTTCTGTGTTTGTATTTTTCTTATGCTGGTTGTTGTTTGTCATGATCCGTTCATCCGCCCATTCCGTTCATCAATCCACATGCTTAAAAACTCGCACCAAAACATTAGCTGGCACCTTGGCGCTTCAATTAATGATCTTTTTTCTCATCGGTGGGAATGTATATGGTCGTTGATTTTATTATATTTTTCGTAGTTCGCAGAACGCATTTCTGGGTTTCATTTTATTTCGATCAAGACCAGAAAGACAGCCAACCATAAAAAAACGTAAACAATGCACAAATAAAAAGCGGTCTATATCCGAATACTTTGAGAGTCAATGGTCTGGCCAATGACTGGAACACACAACTCCATCCCCTATCCATTGGTACCCCGATCCAAGCATCCGCGAGGTTTATTTTTCGTTGTCATTCATTTACTGATTCACAAGTAATATGTGGGTACTGCGTAAAACCATATCCGAGATACAATAAAAATAATCTACTTTTTTGGTTTGTAATGATTTGGCAGGATTGTGACCTGCTATATATTTTTTGGCTGCACTTTTTTCCTATTTTATTTTTGGCATGTGTTGTCGCTATGCTTTTTTTGGTCTCGGTTTTGGAAAAATCGGCCATGGCAATCTTGCGCTTGCCGCGTGTGATTTTCGCTTCACTCTTTTTATTAGCGCATCGCTCGAAAAAATCACCATCTGTCCTGACTCCCTCTCCCCTTCTTTCTTCATTTTTTTCTAGTAGCCAAACGGAGGTGGGCCCAAAAAAATAAGACCATCGCAAAAAGTAAACAAACCAAGCAATTTTTCTTGCTTTTTTTGCGCAGATGCTGGTGAAATTGCCTGAGAAATAGATACAAGTTTATGTCATTTAGTTTCCTTTTTCTTAGCCATGTGGACTGTTCATGTGGCCTGCAATTTGTGGATTATCACACAAGTGACACTGTCCCTCTCACTTTTTTTGCCCCTTCTGCATATTGACTGTTTGTTTGAAAACATTGCCATTTTCGCCCTACACATGAAGTTTTTTGTAATCGTATCAGCGCTTTCACGGAAGAATGCATTGCAAATCCTGTGCCTGACGGACTGCCCAATAAAATAAACCTGTCAGACAGCGTAGCAAGAAGCGAGAAGCTTGCCGCTGCTTTTGATGGGAAAGTGGCTGGGCAAGATTGAGACCATTATTTTTGCAGGTGGTGTTTTTCTCCTCTGTAGTCAAAAACTTGTATTCATTTTTGTTTTCAACAGCGGATTATCCGCTGTCGTGGACGCAGATGCCAAAATAGAAGGCAATGGAGGGGAGAAGGGTGCTGCTGAGGGGCGGAAGAGAGGCCAAGCATGAAGGCACAAGTGCTTGGTCGCTCATCCTGAATGGTCCTCTTGCCGCCAAAGTAAGCCGGGTAAATCCTTCCCCACAAAAAAAACAACAGAATAAACATTCACTTTTCACCGACAAAATGGATAGCGTCGGACGAATCTGGGACGTCAATTTATGGAAAATGAAGAACAAATAAATCCTCGAATTCTCCGCCGCATGCAAAATTGCACTACAATTGACAACCAGCCGACAGACAAAAAAAACCGATGAAGGCAGGGTGCTTGGTCAGGTACAGCGCCACCCCCCCTTCGAACCTTGTTTCTCCGTGGCCTAATTGCCAAATATTTTACTCTTATTTTTATTCTTTTGGTTGTTTGGTTCTCAAGCCCGACTCGCGCATTCCCAAGAGCCTCATTACTTTATTTGTTTTCCGGTCAAATAGGTGGCAAAAAAACAAGTATTGCGATGCACTTCTGGCAGGCCATATTCGCCCTACCCTCCCTCTCACCCTCCCCTTCCCCTCCCCTTCCTTTTCCCCACACCTTTTTCCTCTCTCTTTGCTTCGCGCTGTAGTCTCGTATGACGGTCCAAGGGTGTTTTTGCTCGTCGATTCTTCCTTAAAACAACAAGGGGCCGGCACTCGCTCATAAAAACGCCTCTTGTTATTCATGTCGGTCACCCATCTCACCCTTGACTTTTCTTTCTCCTTTTCTTTTTCTATACCCCCTCAACACCCTCAACACCAACACCACTTCCATATCATCCTTTGGTCTACTGTTCCAATAACAAAACCACTTTCTCGCTCACAATATTTTAAAAACACCTCAACAGACCCTTGTTCATTTGCCTCTTTCGCATCATTCGATATCGTTACCCTTTTTTTCTCCATTTAGCCAAAGCCAAAAAAACCCTTTGCCATACTTGTTACTTTTGATATATATAGTTCCGCTTCCCCACTTCCCAACCGTTATTCAATTTCCATTATTTTATTTGCCTGCATAGCACAAGCCATTGTTCATTGTTTATTTCACTCGTCACTCGTCACATTCTTTTTCCTTTCTTTTTCTATTTGCTATATTTTTAATAGTCGTCTTTGATCAAAAAAGTGACTTATTCCTAAACAATCAATTAGTGTTCGCCATATCCTTGAACCTCTTTCCCCACACTTCATTTCCTTTTATATCCTTTCTGCCTCCAGGAACAATTGACTTTAATTTTAATTTTGCCTTTTTGTCGCATCATCACAGGAAACAAAAAATCCGAATAGCACATTCACACACACTCACATCAATAACAATCACAAATGGATAACTACCACAGCCACTTCGGATACACCGCCAGCACCGACGCCACCGCGTACATATCTACCCTGCGGTACCCAGCGATGAACATGGCACCGATGATGGGCGCGCCAATGCACATGCTGCCATCCGTCGACACTCTCAGCGCAGCCTCCGCTGCCGCCACCGTCTCTGCACCGGCCCCGGTCCCGTCAACAACCCTCTTGCCCTTCTCCTCGCGCATCGGCGGCAGCAAGTCCTCCTCCTGCCTGATCTTTCGCTACGACGACGCTCGGGGAACCAGCGAGTACAAGTGCCATCAAATGTCTACTTCTGATGGCCGCCTGTTTATCGAGCACATGCCGAACCACAGTGTCTTGTATATTCCCAACAACTGCTCCGTTGACCATGTGCTGAGAGATCTGCGCAAGCCTCGCAGTCTGACAAAGCAGCAGAAGGCACAGAAGGCACAGGAGTTGGCCCAGCAGCAGCAACAGCAGGCTCAGCAGCAGCAGTTGGCTCAGCAGCAGTTGGCGCATCAGGAGCAGCAGGCTCAGCTGGTCCAGCAGCAGTACAGCCACCCTATCCAATATGACCAACCTCCTATCCAGTACGATCAGCCTCCTATGCACTACGACCAGTCACATATGCACTACGAACAGCCGCAGATGCATTATGACCAGGCGCAGATGCACTACGACCAGCCTCCCATGAATAGCATTCAGCACCAGTACCAGCCAGAGCAGCAGGTGCAGCAGCCCCAGCAGCAGACCCAGGCCCAGGACCAGACCCGGAAGTCTGCCACCTCCACGCCGGCGCCGGCATCAACGCCAGCGCGCAAGCCAAAGGAAAAGTCTTCCAAGCCTATCAACGCCTTCATCAAGTACCGCAGCTACAAGATTGCCGAGCTCAAGCAGCAATACCCCGAGGTCAGCCAAACCGAGATCTCCCGGCTGGCCGGCGAGTGCTGGAAAACCGAAATCGAAGATATCAAGAACCAGTTCCGTGTGCAATACATGGAAGAGAAGAAGCTCTACGACCTGAAAAAGGCCAGCACCAGCAGCAAGCGGTCCCGCGGCTGCAGCGAGGCGCCCTCAGACACCGACGCCTCCGTGGTTTCCACCGCCGGTGACCTCACCGCCGACGCGATCCTCGCGGAGAACGGCAGCATCAGCGCGCCACTCCCCGGCAGCCTTGACGCAGCCTCTGGCGGCCTTGGCTTGCCATCGGGGTTTGATCCTAAGCGCCGCCGCCGCAGCCTCACGCTGCCGCAGAACACCGCCGCGGCTGCCGCCAGAGCAGCTTCCTCGTCGCCAATGCTGCTGCCGCATAGCACCAAGCGCCGCCGCTGCGTCACCGTCGATATGCGCAAGCAATTGGCGGCCAAAACATCGGCGTTCATGAGTACGCCGCCGAGAATCGATACGACGCCAGCAACTCTGTGCGCGCGCTCCAGCTCAATGAGCGAAACCACCAGCAGTAATATTCCGCACTACGGCGCCATTAGCGTCTATGACCAGCTAAGCTTTGCTACGCCCTCGATGCACCCGGTGGATATGGCCAGCCCGCAGATGCTTGGGCTCAACGCCAATAGCCCGTACCTGGACATGTCGCCGATGACCTTGCCTATTAACCAGACATTCTCCCTCCCCGCTCCCTTCACATCTATGTCGCCGCCCCAGTGCAACAACACCCTTGGTACTATGGGCTCCTATGGTCCTGTGGTTGGCGATGGCTCAGCTGTCGCCGCTGCGGCTGCGGCTGCTGCTGCTGCGGCTTTCGAGCTGTACACAGCCGAGGGCGACGACCTGGTGGCTGCCAGCTTGTCCACATTGATGGCCAACAACCAGGCTACGGTCAATGCCGATATGTATGCTTCCAATGGCTCGCTTATTCAGACGGCTGCTCCCCTGGGGGGAGCAGATCCCAATATGATGTCGATCCATGGATCTGGGTATTACACGCCGCCGCAACAGATCTAGAGACAATTTTTTTAATTGTTAAAATGTTTATCTTTGTCAATGAATCATTTAATTATTTTCTCAATCTCTTTTTTGGTTGCAATTTATAAAAAAAAACAGGAATTAATTATTGTTTTTTCTTTCTTTCATCCGCCTGTCCGTCATTTGTACATATGCAGTGTAATTTTTCTTCCAGTTAAAGTGCGGAATACGGCTTTTTTATTTAATTAATTCATTTCTGATTTTCAAAACCAACTTTTGAAATTACATTTTGCATGTTACATTATTTTATTTTTGTTTCATGTATTTGTTTTGATTTTTGTTGTTTTGATATTTGGTAATATTTAATTACACCCCTTAATTTTTTGTATTGTATCTTAGGTAACAGAATAAAATGAAAAATCGTGCCCATCAATAGTTTTTAATTAATTAAAAATTCCCAATTAAACTGCTATCAACATGGTGGAATAGTTCTTGTTTGATAAAGATAATTAGTAACAGTGTCAAGCAAATCACTCACCACTTTTATTGTTTGTATTCGTTTTTTTGTTTTTTGGATGTTTCATAAAAATTTAATTTGTTGAGTATTAATTTAGTACATCCTTTTTTAATAATTGGTATGGCTATATCTATTTGCATTTCACTATACCGAATCGATAATTACGCAAAACAAAAGAAAACAAAAAAATAATTATTTGTTTGAATCGTGATTTCTCCCTAATTATTTTGTCTAGTTGATTTGTTTCATATCGATAATGAGCCGATATTGTATTAGGCAAAAAAAAGATATTTATCTGTAAGGACAAACTGAAAATGTCAACAAGTTGTGACACTGCATAGACAAGTAAGCAAATAAATCAATAATAATAATGTTAAAAAAACAACCCCCATGTTCCTCTTTACTCTTTAAATTTCAGAGCGACCGCCGCTGCTACCACAGCACACAATATATCTAACCCGTGAAATCCATCCGCCACGACTACTCCCAGAACGACGGGCGTTATTGCTATTAGCAGCATAGTTGCTATATACAGGCTGCTGCTGGTGATGATGCTGATTGAGGTTGTGATGTGCAGGGTGGCCAGGGGGCCTATAAGATGCAGCCGCATAATAATCGTTCGTCGATGCACTTCCACCAGCTGCTGCAGCTGCAGCAGCGTGCTGTTGTCTTGCCTGCATATCATTGACCACAGCCATCTCCTCTGCTTTGAGTGGTGGCGGCACGTGGTCATTGAGCCGGACATTGTAAATATCGTTGTCTGTGAAATGCAACGACATATAGAGTGCTTGCGAATGAACAGGCAAAAACTGCTGATGGCTCTGTGCATGAGGCGGCAATGGAGGTGGTGGTGGTAGTGGCGGCGGCGGATGAGCGTATCCGAAATGCACTGGTGTCTGTACCGGGGATATCGGCGGATTCACCCGGTAGTCGTGCAGGTTAGGCGGCAGCCCAGCCAGCGCCAGCGGGTCAGTCGACGCAGTAGGCGAGGCAGAGTACGAGTCCGAGGTTTTCTCAGTGCCAAACCCATCGCTGCTCGACCGCCCAGCCTCGTAAAACCCGTCGTCCGCAATACTGGCCCCCGTAGACTGGCGCAGAAGCGGGGGTTTCGGCGGAATCGCTGGCGGCCCACCAGCCCTCGCGCCAGCCGCAACCGAGTCCAGAAGCCCTCCCGAAACCATCTGTGGTGGCGTCCTCGTCGAAATCCCCTGCCAGTCAAAGCCCTGGAAAAAGGCATGTGCCTTGAGCTCCACCAGCCCGCCCCTCTGCGTAGCACCCAGCCGCTTCTCCGGGTCCAAAACCAAAATCCTCTCGACAAGATCGCGCGCCAAGGGCGGCATGCCTGGTGGGAAAACATATTCGAGCTTGAGCACCTTCTGGAAAGTCTGGTACTCGTTCAGGCCCTTGAACGGAGGCCGGCCGACCAGCAGCTGGTAGGCTATGCAGCCTAGCGCCCAGAGATCAGAGTTGCGGTCGGCCGACTTGTCCGTTAGCAGCTCTGGCGAAACGTACTCGGCGGTGCCGACAAATGAATTTGCGCGCTGATCTGGGTCGTCCTTGTTGAACCGCTTGGCGGTTCCAAAGTCTGTTATTATAATGTGCATGTCGCTGCCCAGCAGGATGTTCTCGGGCTTGAGATCCCGATGCAATGTGCGCTCCATGTGCATGTACTCGACGGCGACGATTATCTCCGCCAAGTAGAAGCGCGCCGACTCCTCAGCCAGCCCTCCCAACTACACAGATGAAAGATAGTCAGGCCAGATAAATGTCAAATAAATGCAGCATTAGCAAGAAAGCTATGCACGTAAAAGGCAGGGTTGCTTGCACAATAACACAACACACACAGATATTGTCTAGTCAATAGAGCATAACAAAAATATAAAGGCCATTTTAAAACACAGGCACTATGCATGCGCAAAACAGGCAAAAATCAGCACTTACCTTTCTAATCCACGTCAACAATTCACCATTCGAGGCCAAATCAATAATAAAATAAAGGCTCTGTGAGTCCTGAAAGGCATAGTGCAAGCGAACAATAAAGGGATGGTGTAGGGCTTGCAGAATGTCTCTCTCGATATTGACATATTTGATTTTCTTCTCCTTGATGATGTGGCGTTTGTCGAGAATTTTGGCCGCAAATACTCGCCCTGTGGCCTTCTCCGTAGCCTCCACAACTGTTGAGTAGGAGCCTTCGCCTAGTCCGCGCCCGTACGCAAAGTCGCCAACGACGCGTTTCCGCGCCGCTGCCGCTGCCGCTGCTGCTGCTGCAGCCGCCGCAGCCTGCCTAGCAAGGGCCGCTGCTGCATCCTCTGAGGACGCCAGCGGGGACGACTTTGTCTGCTGAAGCAAAGGCGGCTGCATCTCTGCTGCTGCCGCCGATATAGCAGTCTGCGATCTCGAGATGCCGCCAGCACCAGCAGAAGCAGAAGAGGTAGTTTGCGGTAAGGGGTTTTGTGGTGTCATGGGCGTAGCCGCTGCGGCATTGATGGCCGTGGCTGTGGCTGTGGTCAAAGATAGCGAATGAGCTGGCGAATTAGCAGCCAACGGTGGCTGTTGCTGCTGCTGCATGGAAATAAGGCCGCTGCGTGTGAGGTCGGTGTCTATTAAGAGTGAGTGTGGCGACACTGTCGATGTCGTTGATGACCGCAGGTTTAGTGGTTTGGGCGGAATCCGTGGGCGCTCACGCATTTCGACCGAATCCAAAGCCAAGTACTGTTGCTGCTGCTGCTGCTTCTGGTCTGTATAGCCGCTACTGTTGCTGCTGCTGCTGCTGCTGTTTGTATTGCTCATTTGAAATATAAATACAGATAGAGGGTGGAATATAAAATGAAAGAGAAAAGAGAGAGAAAATACTTTTACTTTGCTAGCGTTGAATAATGGCCGGGGCCTGGTTTGATTTTTCTTCTTTTCCTTTTTGGGCAGCCTTTTGACTCAAGGTGATGTCAAGTGGGGAGTCGGAAGAGGAAAAAGGGAGGGGAGCAAACGCGTGCTAAAATAAAAGTTTTGTGTTTAAAATAAAAATAAGTGATGAGCAGACAAAAGAAACGATTTATTTGTTTTTCTCTTTATTTACTGCCATAAAAAAAGATACCCCGAAAGAAAGAGAAGAAAGGGAAAGCGCGAACAAAAAGACGTACAACTATGTCAAAAAATGGGTTTTTTCCGTGTGCTTTACTGCCGTGACTGTATCCTTTATTTTATTTTCTAGTGTGCTGCTCACACTCACACTGAATTTTACTTTCACCCCGCACACAAAATACGCTTGCTTTTTTCTTCAAAGCTTGAAAATGTCCAGAGGGCGAGAGCGATTTCCTACCCCTCTTGTTTTTCTTCTTTTCTTTCCAAAAAGTCGGAATTAAAGTGTAATGAAAATGTTTTAGACGAGTCTTGGGCATGTTCCAGCCCTTTTCTTCAACCTACAGCCTTTTCTCATTTTATCAGAGCCGACCAGAGAAAAGTCTAAAAATAGCAATACAAACTGCGCCCTTCTCTTTTTGCAGCCTCGCCACTATTTTCCATGTCTAAATTAAGCGGATTCCGGGCCTCGATCCCAATTGTTCCTTGCAATAAAAGGATGGCCTATCGCTGCTTCTGTGTGTGGCTCAGCAAATGGCAAATAAACTGCAATTGCAATTGCATGCATCGCCAATGCCGTGCACGTGACTGCGGTGTTAACCGCGGTCGCGCTGCTTCATCGTGTGGCCGTACAGCCGCACAGGCAGCGCAAACTCACGCGGACAGCAGCAGCCAAGGACCGCGCCCGCCTCTTCGTCCTTGCTATTTTCCTCGTTGTCGCCTTCCCCATTATTGGCTGGCTCGGAGCCACTGCCCTCGTCCTCATCATCGCCCCCATCGCCCTCGTCGGAATCGGGATCGGAGTCGGCCTCTCGGGACTCGTCTGCTGGCAAGTGAGCGGCCTGGACCAGCAGCTGCTCGAGTATGCAGCCGCCCAAGTGCGCGACCCTGCGCTCAGCCAACGACAAAACAGGCAAGTCGCCACGCTCTGCCTCAGCGGAGTCCGCAGACACAGCACCCGCCGGCGCCACCGATGTCGCTGGTGGGATCTTTACTTCTGCCGCTATCGCCACAGTGGCCGATGGCGTGCTGGCGGCCTTTTCGCGCGCCCTCGCGAACCCTGGCGAGTCAGCCAGTCCCTTCAATTCATTCGATACTCTCTGTCTCTTTGCGCTCGCTACCACTGCCGTCTGATCCCGCCCCTCGTCCCCCTCCTCCTCTTCTTTGTCGTCGTTGTCGGTGTTGGGTTTGGCGGGCCGCCCCACAGCCTCGTGTTTTTCCTCAACAACCACAGCCGAAGCCGAGGCCACCTCTGCATTGCGCATCTGCGCCTCCCGCCACCTCGCATACTGGTACAGCTCCAGCTCCCTATTACGCACACGCTTCTCCAAATACTCTGGCTTCCTGTGCAGTCTCCGATAGTGCTCATCAGTCAAGTCCTCCTCCTCCCTCTCCCCCTCCCCCTTCTCTGCAGCTGCGCACCAACGCTTCTGTCTGCGCCGCCGAAGCACTGCCGCTGCCGGCCCATCTTCATTACTTTGTGTGTCCTGAAGGTGGTTGGTTTCGTGGAGAATTTCGAAAAGTGGCAGTTTGTGTTTACTGTAGAGCCGCTCGGTATTGTCGTGGTGCTCGACTTGGGGCCGGTATTGGGGCGCTGGGATTTGTCGCCGTCGAGTGCACCGGTCTGGGAGGGAGCTGCAGGGGCCTGAGATCACTACTAGACCTTCTAGGTCGCCGCTGGTGCCGACTTCTTTACTGTGGTCTGCTGTCGTTGGCTTTATCATCCCTTTTAAGGGGGAGGGGGAAATTGAATGTTTTTGTCAAAGATAAAAAACGGAATTACAATAACAAAAATAAAATAAAATAAAATAAATAAAGAGCAAAGAAAGAAAATAAATAATAGCGAAGAATATGGCAATGAGGTGGGGTTGAGGTGTTTTGTCAAGATGCTCTTGCTTTTATGTCTCGATTTGGAACTCAAGCACACAAAAAACATGATCTGATCAATTTATTTATTTGGCTGTGAAAATCAGCATATAAATCTAAAAAGCGCGCATTTAATATTCAACACAATTTTTCAATGTTATACTATATTTTATTATTAGCGTCTATATGTCACAGCTAAGGCACATGGCTTTGCATGTTGCTGTTACGCAGCCCGAGGATATGGAGGCAGACGCTGAGGACGAAGAGCATGAGACAGATTCTCGTCAGCTCACAGATGGATCTGATATGGGCCAAATCACAGGGGATCAAATTAGGCGCCACAACTGACATCCAGCCACACTGCCTGTCCCGAAATGGATGCGCTGAGCGCACGAATACAGATATGTCAATAATGCTATATCAGAGACCCGGGTTACTTTCATAAGGACCAGTTCTCGCGAACGGAGCACACAACTGCCAGTGAGTGCCACAAAGACAAGGAGGTATATATAAGGCGAGGCCGGCGACAATAGCACTTTAGAAACACTAGTAATAAAAATCTTTATAATTTCACACCCATTTTCTAACACTATTACAGTAGTGCTCCCCACCCCCCCTCTTACATAACATTGCCTTACTAAGATTAATTGATTACGCGCGTGGCAATTAAGCAATGATGATAGGTTTTTATTATAGTTTATTTATGTGCCAAGGAGAGCATATAAGGAATGGCTGTCGGGCAACCAGGAATTGTTCTCCTTGGAAGAAATAAATATAACTTCTTGATTTATACCTTTGTAACGCATATTTGAAAAATGCCAATACCATGTTCAACATGCACCAACCAGTTGGGGGCTGTTATACACTTGGCTCTATATTCCCAATATAAACAAAGTCGAAAAAAAAAACAGATTTGCTCAAGCCACCCGCAGGGCCAACCCACGTCCATATGAAAAAAGCAGCCGAAAACATTGAGCATTGTTTGTTTGTTTTATCATTGTTTTGTTTTCTCTAACTTCATTTTCTCTTTTCTTTTTTTTTCTTTTTTTACTGGCAAATTTCAAAATTTTAATTTAGTTTTCTTTTTTCAAGGGGTAAAAAAAATGGTGTGCACAATTTGTCATGACCCTCTTTTGTGCGCCGATACAACTTCCGGTACAGAATCAGCAGTGCGCACGCCGAGCGAAAACCGGCCAGTGGCTCTCGGCTGTGGCCATACCTACCACAAGGTATGTATCGAGACATGGTTTAATGGTTCAAGCATGGAATACTGCCCAGTTTGCCACAAATTGCACATTGGCCAGGTACTACCCCTGTTCATCGACCCAGAGGATGTCCAGGTGTCCGCGAAACCGCAGCAGCAGCCTGCGGTTGCCTCGAGCAGCAGAAGCAACACAAACAGTGGCATTGTTGGCGGCGCTCAAATGATCCACACACGCCACCAGTTTTCGCGCAACAACACCAGCAGCTATGGCGGTCTGGATGCTGTTTTTGACGAAATGTCGCTGAACAAGCACCAACCCACAGCTGACTCTTACAACGGCGACTATTCATACATAATGGCGGTGCAGCTCGACCAAATCGACGTATTGAATAGCGAAAACGCCGAGTTGGAGAGAGAAATGGAAGAGTTGAGGGAGGAGCTGTACGACAACTTGTATGAAAAGGACCGCCATATGAGTCGAATGGCGGACAACCATCGTATGGATATTGATGCCATGGATGCCCTGCTTAACATTGAGAAAGCCAAGAATGAGTCGCTGGAAGAGGAGATTGCAAGGCTTAAAGCTTCGGCATCGAAGCATAAGGCTCACATCGGGGCTCTGCAGAGAACACTGAATAGGGAGAGAAACAGCTACGACAGAGAGTATTGAGCGTGGGTGCATTTTAATATTTTTGTGTTGTGGGTTTTTTGTTTTGAATGGATGGAAATCCTTTTTTGGTTGATCATTGGTGCGTGGAAAATACTGAATGTCGAATTGCAGAATTGTTTTTCTACCCTCCATTACCCGTTTTCAAACAAAAAATTGTTCCGCATTTGGATTTTATACATCTTTTCTTTCTATTTTTCTTTCTCTTTCTGTTTTGCATAATTTTATTAATTCCTTTTTTTCACACCACTTTTTTTTATCGTCAACAAGAATCACCCACATCGACATGAGCTGCCAATACTGCTACATTAACGCATACCCATGCCTGGGCACAGTTGTAGACCCCATGGCCTCCAACGGCCTCTCCCCACGTCTGCTAACATTATCCAAATGCGGCCACCGCTTCCACGAAGGCTGCATCACAAAGTACCGCTGCCAAATCTACGGCGGAGGCAACTGTCCATCATGCGAGGGCAGGGGATATAAGGAACCGCCCACCGTTGGCGTGCCCGCCCATATGGCCGCTCAACTAGGCGCCAAGCGGCCTGCCAAGCAGCCGGCCGCCAACAAAACATGCCAATCCCCAGCCAAGGCTAACCAGAGTAAAACCAACAACAAAAACGGCGGCAGCAGCAAAAAGAAACAACCCCCAGTATCGTATATTGTTCCTAGTCTTTTTGTGGGAAACGAGCCTTCTTCTTCGTCCAAGCGTATTCCCGAACAACAACAACAACAACAACAACAGCTCACTGTTCAGCTTGGCGGTCTAACCATTGATGTGGACGAGAGCGAGGACGACGAATACTTTGTGTCCGGCACTACTTGGCACAACAAACACGGCAACCCCTTAATGTCTAAAACCAGCGAAACGAGCACCCCTAAAGTACTCCAGGACGTGGTTACGAAGCTGAAGCTTCAAATTAAGGAGTCGCAGATTAGGGAATTGGCTGTGGCCAAGAATCACCGTATTGTACTAAGGGGTATTGTTGACGAGTATCAGGAGAGATTAGATGCTGCGGAGAAAAATTTGGAGGAAAAAACTAGGTTGTTGGCGGAGACTGGGGTAAGACTGGCTGAGAGAGAGCAGGAACTGGATAATGCTTATGTGTCTTTGGATGAGAGTAAGGCGGAGACCAGCCGCTTGAGCATTTTGTCTGACAGACATAAGGACCATATTAACTCATTGCAGAGGCTGGTGGATGTCAAGAAGAGAATCATCGGTGATCTTCAGGATAGGCTCTATTGATCGATAACAATTTTTGTTGTTGTTTAAGCTTCTCTTTTAATGATATCAATTGCAATCTGTAATCATATTCAAGTGAAAATGAAAATGAAAATTTAAACTCTGCTGTCATTGATTTTTTATTTGAATATAAATATAAAAATGCGCTTTATTTTTTTCTTACTAAATTGGGGTTTTTTTGACAATTAATAAAAAGTAAAATATTAACAATGGTTTGCTCAATTTGTTTCGGATCGCTGTTCGAGGCGCAAGGGGGTGGCGGAGACATTGAAATCGGTAACCGCCCAGCTGCGCTTTTGTGCGGCCACGTATACCACAAGGACTGTATTGAATGTTGGCTGTTGCATACCAGCAAAAAAGTATGCCCGCTCTGCAAAACCTGGCCCAAAGACATTGCCCTTCCCCTATTTGTAGATCTAGACGAAGACGACATCACCTGTGTGTTTCCCGAATCCTCACCCAAGAACAGACAAAAAGACGGTTTTGAAACTGTCTATGGCGAGCGAGGCGCCAATAACCCATTGGTCTTGGAAATGGACAGACTGGCGGTTGAGTTTCGCCGGGCCGCTAACGATAATATTGAAATTGGAGAGGAGGCGCAAATGATGGCTGTGCAACAAATTAGCATGATCACTTTGGAAATGGAAAATCAATCGCGTAAACTGCAAGAGGCAACGCGAAAGATCGAGCTACTCGTGCGTAGAACTGATCAGCTGAATGCGTCGTTGGGGGAGAAAAGGCTTTTGGTGGAGGATTTGGAGCTAGATCTGGAGATCAAATCGGAGTACATCATGGGTCTTAAAATTCGCACTTGCACTGATGCCAAAATCAACACTGATGGGGTTGGCTTTTTGTTTTTTGAAGAGTCTGGGTTTGGTGCGGACTCTAACAATGAAGAGGACTCGATTAGGCGTTTTTGAATTGAAATTATATGGGTTTTTTTGTTTTTATGGTTAAACCATATGTAACATATCTAGTATAAAACAAAAAATTAAACGCGAAAGCAATATTTGTGTGTAATTTAATTATTTTTATACAAGCTTTTGTTAGGATGTCAACCCAAAGCCAAACACGCAAAATCAAACACAGCTAATATATTTGAATTTTTGTGTATATTTGCGAGAATATTTTATTTTTCTGGTTAAAGTGAACTTTTTTAGCTTTAAAACCTTTTTTTGTGCATTATAATATTCGTACTTCCAAACACCACTGTGGCTTTTTCTTAAACAATGGTCTGCCTAGTCTGTTTCGAGTCACTGTTCAAGGTTCAAGGAAGCGATGTGTTTTTTGTGGACAAAAACCACATGCTTGGAGAGCGTCCTGCGGCACTCTCATGTGGCCACGTATTCCACAAAGACTGCGTCGAAGAATGGCTGAATGTTTCTGCCACAAAGACATGCCCCTTCTGCTCCGAGCTTTCAACAAATATTGCACAGCCTCTGTTTATAGACATAGAGGAATACGATGTCGAATGCGTATTTTTAACAGAGACGTCCGGCCAAAGCAGCGGCATCGTAAACGGCGAGAAGAACAAGACGGAAAAAAGCATTAGCCAAGCAAATTGCCAAAGGCTCCCTTGCCATGGAGATGAACAAACTCGCTGCCGAGTTTTTGCAGGCCGCTGACAATAACGCTGACCAGGGCAAAGATGCCCAACTTTTGGCTGCCGAGCAGATCAGTTTGATAACTATGCAGATGGATAAGCAGTCGCGCGAAATAAACAAGGCAAATTCAAATATTGAGCACTTCACACGCAGAATTGATCGCCTGAGTGTCTCGCTGGATAGGAAAAAGCTGCTTGTGAAGAGTCTTAGAAACGATTCGAATCTCAGGGACAAAGACGTCAAATTGCTCGTGACTTCCCAGCCAACCATTCAGCCAGCCAAACCAGCCAAATCAGCCAATGCAAACAAGGGCAAGGGTAAAGGCCAGTGGAAGGCCAAGTCAAAGTTCAAGGCTGGAGGCAATGTTGGCATTACCATTGCCGCCACAAAGTAGGCGCATCGGCGCCCTGGGTCAACAAATTGAATTATATTTTATTTTCAAACAAGAACAATATTATTTTGTTAAATTTTAATGCCCAGCAGCCTGCACTGCTCCTTCATTTTCTCCGGTACCTTGATTCTCTCGCGCATGACCTCAGGTGCCGTTACAAACATCATTGAAAGACCAAGCTCCATGTGGCGCTCAATATGGCAGTGCATCATCCACACGCCAGGATTATCGGCCCGGAATCTTAGCACAGCGTATGTGTTTGGAGCCATCAGAATCGTGTCTCGGCGCATCGGCGTGTTCGAGGACATTCTCGCGCTCACCGGATCGCCGATTGTTCCCCTCTCGACTATCTGGAAAAAGTGGCCATGCAAGTGCATCGGGTGATGCACCGTGTCTGTATTCAGCAACCGCAACTCTACAACGTCAAGGTGGCGCAGTATCTTGGCATTGCATTGGCGGCCAAAGTCAGTCGAGCTCACGCGAGTGTTCGCTGTGTGGTTGAGCGCCGTAAACAGCGAGGGAATGCTCGGCAGCGCAAATGATATTCCGTTAATGTACGCCCGCACAAGATCAGTCGGCGTGCGCTGGGCGCTCAAGATTATATCGTGGACGACGTCGGGCTGGAGCAATGGCTCATTGTCAAGCGGCACTAAACTCAAATCATCAAACTCATCCCAAAACATCTGCTCGACCGGGCCATACTCCAACTCCTCGCCGTACATTATCGACCCCATGTGCCTGCGCGGATTGTAACCTTTCAACCGGGGGAATATATCGCTAAATAGGTCAAAGTGGTACCTGAAGTTCTGAACGGCTGTTGGACGCGCCTTGATCAGAACCGACACTCGCTGAGCAATGCCCAAAGTCACGCTCTGCACCTTCTTCATCTTTGTAGATATTCCGTCGGCCTCGATCACGTGCATGTCGTGGCCCTCGATGCCAAACCGGAACATAGTGGACGAGCCAATATTCAACAGCCTTACGCGGTACGTGCGACCGGGAACAAATTTTAAGTCGGGTGCGTAGTCGCCAGAAATACCATTGATAACAGCCAATGGGTACTTTTTTGTCGGATCAGTGGTGTTGCTGGCCATCTTGTCATCCATGGAGGAATGCATGGGCGATGCCGCTGCTACCATGTTGACTCCAGAGTCTGCGCTGCATCTTACGCACGGCTCTGCCTCTCTGAGAATCCTGCGATTCGGGCTCTCTGGCGTCGTGTGGCCCATAGACATGGTCGACGCCTTAGGGAACCAGTCTTCAAAGGTCAGCACAATGTCCTCGTCATACTTGTAGGGCTCGCCATTTGGGTCAACAATAATCAGCGGTCCGCGCAGCCCGTTGATATATTGGCTGCCGTGGTGCCCATGAATCCAGTACGTGCCCGTCTGCGTAAGCGGGATTTCGTAGGCCATCTGCGATCTCGGAGCAATCCCGCACTCTGTCACCATCCCAGCCCCGTCATAATAGTTGGTGCCATTGTTGAGAATGCCGTGGGAGTGCAGCCCAGTGGGCTCATTCAGCTCATTGCGCAAGTTCAATACGAGTGTATCGCCGAGCGACGCAATGGCAAGCGGCATCGGTATTTGGCCATTGACTGCCACCGCGAGGCGATTGTTAACGCCGTCCATCTTGACGTTGATGTTGGACACTGACCAGTTGTACTCGACTCTGGCCGCATGTGCTGTGATTGCCACGGCAGAAAGCCCGCGTAATGCCGAGACCAACCCGACCATATCAATAGTTGAAAAATATAAATACGTGATTTTTGTTCAAACTAGTGCGCTTTTGTATAAATGCAAAACAGTTTTTTTTTAGAAAATACATGCAGTTGAGACAAAGTGTCGATAGTTAATCAAGAGGTTGACCAAAAATAAACTGAGGTAGAATAAAGCCTTACCGCATTTAGCACTTATTTGGTCTATCACATACGTATTTTTGATAATATGTAATTTTGTTTAGTTACAAAGTGGAGGTAAAACAGGTCAGCGTTAGTTCGCATGCTGCCTTCGTTTTGCAGTCCGCATGCCCGCCGACTTAGTAGTACTTTATTCTCTTCAAAGTCATGCGGAGGTGAACAAAGTTGATCGAGCAAGCACATAAAAGAAAACAACTTTTTGTGCGGGATGAAGATTTTTTTTATGGGAAAGCGTGTATATATGTTTTTTTTACATTATTTAATCATTTAGAAAAAAAGGGCTGGGAATTCACATAACGCGAGTGTCAAGTACCGACAGGTTGTATGCGGGCAAGCACAAGGACTCAGCCTCTGGCACAATGAGAATGCGGCTGAAGAACGGAATGGTGTGGAGCTTTTGCGTCTTGATATCAAGAACCTGGATGGTGACCTGCACCTCGTGAATAATTGAGACAGGAGCTGACCTGCAGTCAATATGGATGCCGCCGGCCTGCAGTTTGACGCCTGACTGAAGAAGCTTCGGGACCTGCAGCTTGAAGGTGCGCTTGAACTGGTCGTTGAACATGCCTTGGACTGCCGGGGTTGCCGCCGATGTGATATCGACTTGGGACGACTCGCGACTTGACTTTGACGACGCCCGCGAGCGCGACATCTCAAGCAGATCCATCTCCGAGCTCCGCTTATGAATGATGCTGTCGCCAAGGAGGGAGTTCAAGCGAGGGTTCTCGTGAATGTCGTTCGAGAGTCCGCCGGCCACGCCCGAAGCCACAACGACTTCGATTTTTTTGATGACCTTGCCCGACGACAGCGACTTGTAGACAGTCGACTCGATCAAGTCCATCTGTATCGCAACAATCTCCAGGCGAGAAGACAGGTCCTCGTCGTAGGCGCACTGTCCCGGCCACGCCATGGAGACATCGAGGCTCAGGATGTCTCCGGGGCTTGCTGTGCGCGCCGACAGCTTGGACATGATCCACCACTCGTCGTTCATCTGCTTAGTAAACACAGCCTCGTCGTTGACCGGCAGGTCAACTTCCAGCTGCGCAAACCTTGACGGCAGGTTAGTCACATGCACTGGGCAGGTGGCACTGACGGTGTTGTTTCCAGGCAGCATGGTCATCGAATTCTTGAGCTTCATCTGCGCCACAAGGTTGTAGTCGATGCCGCCAACGTGCGACACAATGGTTGATGGCATGCGCGACGGCAGAGTGAAGCAGAACTTGAGTTGGTGCTTCCCCGCAGGCAGCTCGAAACCAACAGCAAGGTCAACCCCGCAGTTGCTGTCCTCGTCCTCATCACGCTGGGCGCCTGTGCTCATCTGCTTGCGTCCAAACTCGTTCTTTGGCTGGGACACAATGTCCTCGAAGGCGAGATCACGCGCGTTGTCGCTGTCATCGCTGCCGTTCCGGCGGCTCATGTTGGAGTCCCAGATGTTGTCCGAGGCCATGAATTGGGGCAGCTCTTCCTGGATATCGTAGTTGTTTTGGTGCCGGCTGGAGCTCCTGCTATGGAAAGCCGGGAGCCTCTCGCTCGACGAGCTATTGCTCCGGCTCCGGCTGGCGATGCTGCTGGCAGCGCTTGTGTTGCGGGACCCCCAGTTATTGCTGATGTTGGACGCCTGGAACATGGGCAGAATGTTGTTGTTTCTTGTAGTCAGATTCTTGCGGGACAGGAGGATGCTGTCGCTGTGGAACTGCTTGTTCTGGAAGTACTCTTTCCGGTTCGGCCCGGCGTTCTCGACCCAGCTGGCAGAGTACACGCCTGAGAGCGCCAGTTTGATTGACTTTATCGATGTTGGCCGGCAAAGCTCGAGTGCAACGTAGCCCAGGAGCAGGTTGCTGTTGGACCCGCTGGTCACCGTGATTTGTGGCGTGTAGAGATGAACCGACAGTTGCGGCTTTTCCTGAGTTCCAATCCAGCGCATCATCAGATAGCAATGGTGATAGTAGTTGTGGTGGGGTGATGGGGTGGTGTGGGTTGTCTGCGTGGTTCGTGATAAAAAGGCTGCGTGCGGTGAGTGTCAACAAAAAATGATAATACTGGCGACTGTTTTGTAAATAAAAAGATGGTAAAGATATCAAAACGCGTTGGTCTAAAACAATGAAATGAGATGAAGAAAATATGAATAATAAAGTGTGTGTGGGGAAAGGAGAGGCTAAAATGGATAATGATGTGGATGAACAAAATGAATGCAGAAAAATGGAATGCAACAATAGTGTGGGCAATAGAAATGAAATTTTTTTAGACAAGTGGAGTAACGGAAGAAAACTGAAAAAGGTGCGGGCGGTGTCTATTAAATAGGATTCAGCCTAGTCAGAAAAACTATACAATGAGTGGCGGCTTTCTCTTTTTTTCTTTCTTTTTCTTTTTTCTCTTTGCCAGAAAATATCTTTTGAACCCTCTTTTTTATTTCTAGCAGTCGCTATTTCTTTATAGATAAATAAACAAATAGGAAAAACAGGTTTCCTTTTGGTTGAAGCTTGGAAACAGCTTTTTTTTACAGTGGCAAAGAGGTATATAAAAGGCTTGAGCCTTCGTGTTTTTTTTTCCTTTGTTGGCCGATCTCAAGTGAGAGGATCTTGGCGCAGTCTGCAAATAAACCAATCCCTCGTTTTTTATACAAATTCGTAAAAGGTTTAAGGAAATCCCTCAAAGAGCAAAAATAAAATCATCTTAACCAAACTCAAAAAAAATATAGAAGTGGGTGGAGACCCATGGGCCTATAAGAAGGCAGATTGATACTCCAAGGGAACAAGTGTAGCGCTGGGGGATAATGGCGTAAAAAAGTTGAATACGACCGCGCGCTAATTTATTCAGAAGATGAAGTCTGACAATGGAAATACGGAAACCTAAATTGAACTAATACCGATTGGCAAGTTATGCAGGTCATACAACTATAAACTGTCCGCCGTTGACAATGGTGCAAAGAAAACAGCCCAGTTTGCCAATATGCCATTGTGTCATTATCCAATCAACCAATTAGTCAGTCGGCCTTGTTACAAATCCGGCACTGGCGTCGGTCTCACTGTGGCAGTATTAGTTAGAGATCCATTCACTTTAGAGTATTCGTGATCGGCAACAGGGAATTCAAATAAAAAAGGTCGCATAAAATAATGTTGCTGCATTTGGGGCCGTTTTCCAATTGTAATCAAAACACGGTCATCATTAAATTTTTTAAAAGCGAAAATCAAAACAAACTCGAGGTTGTCAAATTGCCAACTTTAAGAATAAAAAGGATATTCACGAGCGCTCAACGCATTGGGAAAACCCCCAATTAGCCAAAACGATCCCTGTCGGCGCTATGATTTTGCGCACTGTTTCCCGAATGGGCAGCAGCGCTCATTGCTGTGGGAGAGGACTTGCAATCTCCGCAATCTCGTCCAAACCGACGTCCCGATTGTCTGAGCGCACATCCAGCAGCTCCGAGTACGGCTCATCAACCAGCAGTATGGCCTGCTCGTGTTCCTCCTCGACTCGGCGCCCGCTACCAGATACAGCCGCCGTGTCAAAATCTGGATCTCTGGCATAGTAGGCCTGCTCCTTGGCATCAGGGCCGCCGTTGGTGCTGGCATCAGCTACAACAACTGCGGTGTGCGCCGAACGCGCGCCCAATTGGCGGATTATTCGCCTGACCAGCCTTTGTGGCGCGGACAGAGCCATTAGGCGCACATCATTGGTTGATGTCTGTTGTTGGCTGCCATCCGCCTGATCATCCGCTTGACCTTCAATATCCTCATAGTCATCGTCGTCATCCTCCGAGGTTTCATCCGAATCCACAGTGGTGCTGACATCTGCAGACAAAAATTTGACTGGCAGCCATAGCGTCGGCAGCTCGCCGACCAGCCCCGGGTGCACGTAGTCCTGTATGCCACGGTCGAGGATGCCGCGGAAGTTGAGCATGGGTGTTTGCGAGTAGTCAGTGAACCCATCAGCCGCAAACGTCGACTGCGCCTCGACAGCAAAGCGCTGGTAATTGGCGGTCATGAGCAGGTCATCATCCTCCAGCAGGTTGTAGAGCTGTGAAATCGGGTAATCCTGCGAAGTCCGATCCTGCTGTTGTTGCTGTTGCTGTCGCGGCTGGTTGGATGGCTGCCAGTTGCTTTGAGTCGCGCTGCGCCGGGAGACGTAGTTGAGTTCAGACACAATGCGCGCTGGAATGCGCGCGCGAGCCTGTGGCAGCGAGTTTTTATGGCTGGCGCGTCTCCCGCCAAACGGCGGAGGCAAAGATCCTGTCAAGGACCCCGCCGACAAAAGCGCCGGGTTCATATTGTACATATTTTGCTGTTGCTGCTGTTGTTGCTGAGCTCGCTGGGCATTGAGTGGCTGGCTCGCTGATCGCGAGTGGCCCGCCAAGGGTGAACGAGCCCAAGGGGCTCGCGGCGGTGGTGGAATGTCGCTTGGATTTGGTTGACTATTGGGCCACATTTCAATGCTCGTAGACAGCAGCGGTATAGGCATCGGCCGCGGCGGTAGCACCAGTTGTGAGCTCTTGTAAGACAGTCCGAATTTTTCCTGCACAGGGGGGCCAGACAATAGATCATCTGCCCCCTGCATATCGCTACTGTCACAGTTACCACCACCATTACCGCTGCTGTTGCCAGGGCTCTCTTCATTTGCTGCCGGAATTGGTTCTGATGTGTCGCTGTTTGCCAGAATTTGGGCAAGTGAGGGACGCCATCCCTTTGGTGGCAGCTGCCGCGCAGGGGGGTCCTCAATAGGGCGCGGACTGGTCGCCGACCTGGCGCGCAAGTAGTACGGTGAGGTCGTATTATCAGTCAGTGAAGACCTCTGTAGCGGAACGGATGTTGATGCGGTAGGCAAGATCGGCGGCACAGGGGCTTGGCTGAACGTGCGCGACATTGATCTCGGCAAAACCCGGCCAAGTATTTGGCGCAATGGGGGAAGCGTATCACCATTATCCTCAACCAGCTCTCCATTGGCGTCCGTGTGCACCCGATTGCTCGTGTCACGCACGCCCTGCGAATACAGGCGGTCATAGGTCAGATCCAGGATCGGACCAGCTGGCCGGAAATCGGCCAAGAAATAGTCGCGCATGCGCTGGAGTGCACTGCGCACACGTCTGACGTATACTCGAGTCCGTTGGCTGGTGGTACCACCTGCTTCGTCTTCAGACGTGACATTGTAAGCGGACGAGCGCTCAGCATCAATGATGCTTGATGCCGCTACCTCGCCAATGGTGCTGGCTTTCCCGACTGAGGGCTCCGAGTTTGCGGTTCCGCCCCGGCCCCGAACCCGCCGCTGGCGCAGGCCGGATAACGGGGAGGACTCCAGGTGCTGGCGGCCGTCAAGCACCCCCGTGGCAAAGTGGCTCGCATAATTATGCCGCATCGGTCTGGCTCGCGCGCGTCCTTTGGCGGTATCCGAGCTGCCACGGACAATCAGGTTGAAGCGCTCCGACTCTGATACCAATGCGTTGTGGTCCAGGTCAGTGAGCAGCGTGCCGAGCGTGGCGCCGTTGCCGTCAGACTGCCCGCGCTTATCGTGCAATTGCACGTCACTGCTGCTAGATTTGAGATACACGAGGGGGTCCCAATCTTCTTCTTCGTTCAAATCCTCCCAGCCATTCCTGTCCACAGTCAGTGTCGACAATCCTTGGGCATCCATTACATCACTCTCATTCACCCATCCGTCATTGTCCCCATCCTCATCACTGTTATTCTCGGCAGCTTTGCTCATCTGGACATGCGAATCCAGCTGCTGAGGGCGACGCTGCTGTTGGCCGTTCTGCTGTAAATGGCGGCGGCGGCGTCTACATTGACGCGGCTGCGGAGACACCTCGTGGGACAACGGCGAGCGCAAATGAACACGCGCCTGGTTATAATAACGCGCGCGCGACGACTTCGAAGTTGATGTTGAAATCGAAGGTGCAGCCGCAACGCGCTTAGAAACAGCAGGCGCCACCTTGACAAGGTCGGAATCAGCACTGCCCACAGCACTATCAGAGCGCAGCTGGTTCTCTTCAGCCAAGGGGTTTTGCTCCAAGGTCTGTAGCTTTCCCCCTGAAAAAGACCACGGTCTGATGCGCGCGCCAGAGCTCACCCGCGACTCTCGCGAGGAAATTAGCTGGGTAGACATGTCTGTGATGGCGCTCATTGAGTTACGCTTGTTCTCGATGTGCCGGTTGTATAGCTCACTGGGTAGGCGGCCAAGCGATAGGATCAGCCGTGATCCCTCAACAGTGGCCGCCTCCGCCAAGCTCTTGTACCTCTTCTTGCGCTTATTTTCCGCGGTTCTCTGCAGCTGCAGCGGTTCTTGCGCCGGTGGCGTCAGGCGAGACTGGCCATTGCCACCGGAAACGCCCAACAGCTTTGTGTTCTTTTGCTGGTGCTGCTGTAACGCGTGCGACGCGCGAAGCTGGCTGTTGCTCGCACGCTTCTGGTTCCGCATACCTGCTGCCGCCAGCGACGCAGCCGACTTGCGCTTCAAAGGGCTGATGTTGCTAGACCCGGCCAATAACGGATTAGTATAGGATCCGGATGTTGAAGTTGTCAGTGGCGGCCTGTTATCGGGCCTGCTGGATTTTGTAAGAGTTCGGTTAGCTAGGATAATCTCGCGCGTGCGCACGCCGCGGCTGGACTCGCGCCTGTGATTCCCGGCACTGCGCTTAGCCACCCGGCTGCTGGACAACGGCCTGGAATGCGGCGATACAAGCAGCGACGAGGACATGGGCAGCGGCAGCGGCGGCGGTCGGGCTATGGATCTGGATCTCGGACTCGCAGCGGGAATGTTCTGCCAAGGCGGGCGGTCATGAGCACGGTGGCTGTCAAAGTCAGCGGTATAGGATCTGCCGCCGCCGCCACCACCACCCGAAAGCCTGTGTAGGGCGGAGGCACCCGGGTTGGCCTGCGAGACAGGGTGCGTGGACGTGTCGTACGCGTGGTTCATGAGGAGCGGTTGAGTAAACAAGTTCTTGTCTTCATCGTCAAAATCCATCGAGTCCGGCGGCAGCGGGTATGCGCTATTGGGTGGCGGGTTGCGCCACAAATACACAGGAAGCACGGTGCCTTGCTTCTCGAGCGACCAGCCGACGTAGTAAAAGAACCACAAGTACAGCACAATAATTGGCACCATACTGAAGGTGAACCAGCCGCCACCCTTGACAACGACAAACGTGAGGATGACAACCTGGTACAGGATTATCGAAAAAATCATCCGGCGGCATACCTTCGGCCACGCCATGCCAGCGGTCTCGAACGGGTGGAAGTACACGTATAGAAGCAGGTATTTCATCACAGGATAGCCAATGACAAAGTAGATGACGGCGCCAAGCACGACGGGCGGTGAGAAGGTCGAGTACACCATGGCGATGCCAAAAACAAGCAGCGGGTACGGATACACGGAGTACCAGTCAATGTACACCGGTGATACCAGCCGTGCATAGTCCCGTGGCGTGTTGCACAGCCACTGGCGCCCAATGTGCCAGATGACCGGGCGCAGCTGCAACAGCTTAAACGGCTGGTAGCCAACGCCCAGCACCAGAATGTACCCAGTAAAGAACGTGCCGACGCGCGGGATATTCGATGCCAGGTTCTGCATAACCGTGCTGGGCTTGTTCACAACATTGAGGATCTGGTCCCAGAAAGTGCCCGAGAACCCAAAGACCAGGATAACGTTGAACACCAGAAACGCCCACATCTTGGTCATCACCGAGTAGTCGATATCAGGCTTTGTGCGCACGCCCGTGGCAAAGTGCACTTGCTTAAGGATCCATGGCAGCATGTTCAGAAACAGCAGCAGGAAGACAGACGGCACGGTGGATGACAGGAAGGAGCGCAGAAGCTTGTGGTGTGAGTCCAGCAGCGTCGGGAAAATCCGGGCCAGGGATGCCGGCGTTAGCAGTGACGAGAACAGAATCACCGGAACGCTCCAGAATGCCCAAATGACAAATATCAAAAGCCACTTGACTATCAGGCCGGCCCACTTGCGGCGATTCGATATCCACACGTTCGCCCAGTAGACGCCACGCGGCTCAGGCGCCAGCTTGGCCTTCATGAAGCCTGGGTTCGGGTAGCACGACAGCTGCGTCATCATGTGCGCCGACGCGGCATCCTCGAACGTGACAAAGGCTGTGGTCGACTGCCCGTAGATGGCGTTGTCTGATATGGCGGCTGCGGCTGCCGTGTCGGTGCTGGACCCGGTTCCAGTAGCTGCTGTTAGGCTGTCGCGGAGCTGCTGGAAGTCGCGGTCGGCGGCTAAAAACTTGGTGCGCCAGTGATCAATGGCGTCGACGCGCTCCCATGGCCGCCAAAAGCGGCGAGGCTCCGATCGGACCCAGACCATGGGCCGGCGAACTCCAGCCGCGTCCGAATCACCCGGGTTCTCTCCATACTCCTGCTGCTGCTGCTTATGCTCAGTGGCAACCACGCCAACGTCGGTCTCTGGACTAGCAGAGGATAATGTCGACGGCGACTCTGCTGCTGCCGGTCGACTGCACTTTCTCGACTTTGCACCCTTTTTCTGCCTCGATGGCTTGGCCCACTCGCCCAAAAGCGCACGCTCAGCCTCGCGCGCACCCTCCGAGTGGTCCATCGCCAGCCCATAGAGCTTCTCAGGGTCATACTCCGGATGCATACATGGGTTTCCCAGGAGCCTCATATATGCCTGCTCAAGGCGCACTAAGTACTTTGCGCGCTCGCGCACACTGCTAGTCAGCCTTGTGTTGAACGGGCATACACGAACCTGCTCGACCTTCCCGAGCTGCAGCCCGGGCCCACAGAACCACTCGAGCTCCCTCGGACTACTGGCCAGGTGCCTGGGTACTCCTGTGAGCATGACTGTGCGCGAGACGCGCGCGTGTCTGGACTGCATTAGGAAATGCCACCGCAGCGAGGCCCAGCGCGAACTGAACTTTGAGATGTGGTAGTAGGCGAGGCCTGAGAATATATAGGCGAAGACTATGTGCGGCACAAGGTACCATTTCTGCTTCGGATCCGAGGTATTAAGCGTCAGGTTGAACAAATAGTCGGTGACCGAGTACGTCAGTGTAATATCCAAGTTGCCGTCGCTGTCGGTGCCTGCAGAGGCATTATTTCCGTTCGTCTGCGGGTTCAAATTGGCCTTTGACCAGCGGATATTCAGCGGCCAAATGATGACAATCGAAAAAAACGCAACGTCCAAAAGCAGCCTCATGCACATCTTATAGAAGCGCAAAAAAATGACCGAGTCCAGCCCCAGAGTGTTCAGAATGTGGGTTTCCGGCGTGTGCATTGTAGCCAGCAACCAGCCGAAAAAGCGCTTTGACAGGAAGGGGGGTGCTGTGATTGTCAATCGCGTTCGTGGCGAGAATATGTATGGCCATCGGAGCCGCAGTGCGCTGAAGAGAAGTATGAAGACTGTGAAGAAGGATGCAGCGAATATCGCTTGCATTCCCAGGTCGGTGCCATTGGATGCTGTGTAGACGCTAGAGCCGGGGACTTTGGACGGATCGAATATGTCGTTGATGTCTGCCTTGGCCTTTGCGAACAGCGATGTCACAAGCGACATGCTATATAAGTGCAAAAAATACAATGACACAATGACACAATGACACAATGATATAACGATATAACGATATAACGATCTAATGAGTGAGAAAGTGCGTTTCTATATGTGTTTGTGTAGGTGGAAGGCGCTGGAATACAATATAAAGAGGTTGTTGAATGGATTGGTGGAATACTGCAACATAGGCGAATTGCAAGGATAAAAGGCGAATAGATATTAAATGGAAAATCAACACATACACTGCTAAAAAATAATTAAAATAATTAAAAGTACCAAAGAAAAGAAATTCAGAGAACAGAAAAGCTGCCAGATATGTATGTGTTCACACTATTTTTTCGTTGTTTTGCTTTGCTTGGGTTGTTTGTATAGTGACGTTCAATTGTCCCTTGCTAGTGTACGTGTTGCATGTGCCAAAAGATAGTAATAATTACAACCTGGATATATTGATGACGAACATACCTTTTTAAATAATGAACAAAATAAATATTAGAAGGAAAAGTAAGTGGCGAAAAGTAACAAGAAAAAAGGTATTGTGTGCGGAGAGAGAGTAAAAAGAACAAAGCGACAGAATAAAAAAATGAGAACAAAAAAGTCGCGTGTGAAAAAAATTAAAGGTATTGTTTATTAGTAAAAAAAGTAACAAAAAATAAAATACGAAAAACGGTTCAATACGAATTTATTATAAAGAAGAGAACGCAGTAAATACAAAAAAAGTAAAAATTGGATGAGTGCTCAAGAAGAGTTCAAGATCTTGGGATGATCAAAATACACGCCTTTTTTCATTTAGTTTTTGTTTCTGGGAGAAAAAGGGAAACAACAAAAAAACATGCATCTTACCAGCGTCTAGAGACATGTGAGAAGTGATTTTCCCAATTGGAACATCTTTTCCCCCATCATCATCGTAAGAAAAAAAGGACAAGCCCTTTTTAGTTGTCATTGATGAGCTTTTTTTTGGTGCTTTGTTTGTTTTCCCATTCCTTGGTATTTTGGTATTTTGTCTTTCGCATTTTTCGAATACATCTTTATTCTTGTGATAATTATGGACGATTGCTGTTGTGCAATTTGATCATGACAACAACGACAATGGTGGTGATGATGACGCAAGTAAGCAAAGCAATCTAAGTTGTTTTATTATTATCATTCACATTTTGCAGTAGTTTCAATTCATTGTTGTTTTCCATCTACTTTAAAACATGCGAAATGGACAAGATCCCATGTTTGACCGGCAACAGGGGAGTGAAGAAAGGAATAATGGAAAAAAACATAAACTTTCTACTTGAGAAACACCCAATGTTCTCGAATCAAAAAAGGTCGATCGGCTGAAAAAAAGAAAGAAAAAAGATGTGCGCATCCACAAGCATACACAAATTGAACGAATTTTGGGCCCTCTCCCAAGGAGGGGCGAAAAGCGCCCAAAAAAGATAAATCGAATGGTGATTTAATCTAAATAAAACGGTAATCGGCCAAATGCTATCTATACGCGAAACCATCTAACTGTGTGATTTATTTCAGCTCGCTCTTTTTTCTGTACTCAACGCACGTGTGTGTTTGGCATCATGTAATTTCAAATTTCCTTTGTTACATTTCATGATTTTATTTTTCATTTGTCGAACTTGTTCTTTTTGATTACCTTTTTCTTTTCTTTTCTATTTTCTTTTAAATCCAATTTCTTCAAATCATGTTTAGATTCGCATCAAAGGCCTCAGCGATAGCGTCTCCGCGCAAGTTTGTTTTGGCAATCAGCCAGCGCGCACAAAGCACGACCACAACCACTGCCAGCAACAGCGACAACAACAGCAGCAACAGCAACAGCGACAACAACAGCAGCAACAGCAACAGCAACAGCAGCACGGCAGTGACAGAAATCCACCCTGCTCATCAAAATGAGCCACTCCCCGCCGAAGTACTTTCCGGTGCACCCATTGCTTTAACCAAACGCACAGTCCGTATCTACCGGCCTGCCAACAACCCGATGCAGTCTGGCAAGAATGCCAATCTGAAATGGCGCCTGGACTTTGACGGCTTGGAGAAGGGCGACCGGTGGTCTAACCCGTTGATGGGCTGGCAGTCGACTGCTGACGCTATGGCACCGGTGAGACTGGATTTTGCATCCAAGGAGGATGCTGTGCATTTCGCGGAGAAACAGGGCTGGGGTCATTTCGTTCAGGAGCCGAACTTCCGTCAGATCAAGCCAAAGTCCTATAAGAATAACTTTGTCTATAGGGCTGGCAAACTGCCCTTTGTGCACACCAAGTAGGGATAATAAAGTATAACAGTTTTCTATATTTATTCCAAAAGTTTTTTATTTCTATTATTCAGATTAAATGAAATATAAAGTATAAAAATCCAACAAATTATTATTATATACCTCTCTATTCTTTGTATTAATCCAGACGCGTCTTCCACAGGGGATCGGACAGATGCTGGATAAGATCCACGCCAGTGTTCTTGTTGATAGACTTGATATCATCCGTCGACATCTTCATAACGCCCACAGCCAAAGCATGCTCCTTCCCCTCCGCCATAACAGCAACAACTGTATCCTCCGGAATATTCTCCTCAGGCAACCAAGCACCAGCAGAAGTCAACCCAGGACACATAATATTAGCCCCCGAAAGAACAAACTTAATGGCACCGCGATCAGCTCTCACATGCGGCAGAATATCCGGGTATTGGTGCAGAAGACGCAAAGTCGGGGTGATCGGATCACTGAAATGCTGGAAAAACATAATCTCGTTGTCAATCGCGTACAAGGTGAAATGGTCCTTGCATTTGATCTGAATCAGGTTGACTTTCTTTGGCAGAATCTCGTCGATGTGAGGCTCGAGTCCGGGGAACTGCTCGACCAGCTTGGAACGGATCCCACGTACTACTGAGGATTTGACGGGGTTCTGCCCGCTCATGGTCTCTTGCAGATTAAATTTTTTAAACATTTTTGTGTGTGCGAGATATATAAGGGTCTTCCTGATATGAATAATAAAATAAGTCGGGCAAGTTTTAAAAACGATTAATTTTTTGTACCTAAATAAAATTTTTTGTAGCAGAGGCATTGTGGCCAAAGCAATCAGACGGCCATGTTTGGGACAGTGTCACCTGATATAGCATCATTATCCACTGATTTCAGTCGATTTTCGGAGGGGGGCTCTCCAACTCCAGGCCCCAAAAACACCAGCCCTTGTTCCGATGCGAGCGAGACTGCGGGGAGCCACCTTCTGCATTTGTCCACAGCGTCAAACTCACTCACGCTCCTCTCAAACGCCATGCCCATCGATTGGCCATTGCGATAAAACTCAACACTGCCACAGTCCAAGTCAATTTCAGTGCCAATAACATCCCCGGCCTCCCACTTCTCGCCATACTGATTGCTGTGCTCGCCCAGGGCCAGTGACGTGGCAGTTGCCGTCGCCGTCCCATGCCATTTGCGCATCCGCATGCCGTCATAAGAGACGCTCTGGAGATCATCTCCGACGCCCTCACCACTCTCGGGGAAAAATCCACACTGATCCGAACACCACCCGATCTGCATCAGCCCGCCAGTGAGCAGACGAACGTGGAAGCTGTGCTTACCGCCTGCGTTCTCCCGGATATAAGACGTGGCCACGACAGACTCGAACTTCCAGCTTGAGTTCCACACTGTTTTGCCATCGAGAAGCGCACTGAACGACGGATAGTACGGCGAATACAACAAGTGAGGCTCGTCTGCTGCAGCAGCAGCATTATCAACAATTGCAGCAGCAGCAGCAGATGATGGCTTGATCTTGAGGCGGGAAAACAAGATATCTGCGGCAGGCACCGGCTTCGGCACCTCTGTGAGCCCGCAGTCAATGGCAGTACCGCGTGGCCCCGAGCGGTTTACAACCAGCCCAGCATCGCCAAAACCATCGACGCCCTTATCATTACCAGCCGAGGCAAACATATCTGTGCCCGTCCGCCAGCCAGCAGCAAACCGATCAATCGCGAACTGCGCGTAAAACCCGCCAAACCGCGCAACAGCCGGCGGCATGGCCTCCGGGAACTTATCGAAATACCTGGCCGCAGGCACTTTGCAGTCATCAAAGCACACGCCCAATCCCTCCAGCAACCGCTGCTGCCTCACGCCCAAATCATCCACAAGGCACTTCTCATGCTCTTCCATTTCACCCGCCAAGTCAGCAGCCGACATTGGCTCCCAGCGGAGGTACTTAGCGCACATACGCAGCAAGCCGAACGCGTCGCTGCGGCACAGAGTGTACACGTTGATAGCAGCCAAGGCACGCAAAGTCAAGCCACGCAGCACCGGCGGCAGCTCACGGCCGAGGATGCGCAGTAGATATAGCAGGCGACGGGTAATTTCTGGTGACTGCATCTCGAGCCCAGCCACCAGAAGTGAGTCTGCCAACACACCCATCGTCATCTGGATCATTGGCAGCAGACTGCGCAGCCGCGTGTTGCGCAGCCCCAAGGGGAAATCTCCGCCGACGCCGGCTGCCTTCGAGTCATCGCCGCACAAAGCACCCAGTCTCCGACCTTTCCCCACTGCGCTGAACCATGGGCACTCACTGCTGATGTCCTCCATGCGAATTTTGTGCTCCTGCGACAGCTGCGCAGGTTTTCTGCACGCGCGGCAGTGCGCGTCGTCCTCCTCACCAACAACCACGTAGTACGACGCAACCACGGCGTCAACACCCATATTCACAGCGCTGCTCCAGATGCCCAGGCTTTTCATGAGATCCGCGTCCAGCCCACATGAGTACCGAATGTAGGCAGCCAGTTGGCCAAGCAACCCCATCTGGAAGTATCCGAGCGCGTCAAACACAAGCACACTGGAATCCGTCCACACGCCCTGCTGCGCGACCATAACCTGCATGGCAGAGAACAGCACCAAGGCAGCGTTCATTCGCTGGCCCAGCCTCGTGCCCTTTGCCACGCTCTCGCTCAGCGCTTCGTCGCTGTCGCTGACGGGATAGAACGCCAGCTCCAAAGTATTCAAATACATGCTCTCCACCTGCCGCAGGAGCGGGGCCAGCACATTGCACACAACATCCTTGGCCTCCACCTGCCCGGCGTACATCAGCGCAACCAGGCCCTTTGCCGCGTAACTCTGCGTTGGGCCGCTGCTGCTGCCTTTGGCCAAGACCAGCTCGACCAGCCGCGTTTTAATTGCGTCATCAGCCATCAGCAGTCGCAGAAAGCCGCGCGACGTCGCTGTGGCATTGATGACGGCCATGATGGCTGAGAGATGCGCCGACTCGACGTCAGCCGCAAGCAGCCTGACACACATGGTTGCGATCGTCGGACACTCGGCCATCATTGGCGCCACGTCGATTGAATGACACAGGCGCGAAATGATGCCGGCCATCTCAGGCATCAGCGTCAGACGGGAGTCCGGCATCAGCGCCTCAGCCACACCGGCCATGGCCTGAGGCAGTGGACTGCGAATAATCCACCGGTGCGTCGACGCCAGCACTGACACGCGGCTGATCAGCGCTACACTCCAGTAGTGCGCCTCAGCATCGTCGTCAGAGACAAACATCGCCAGCACGCGCCGTAGATTCTCCGGCTGCGCGACCTCCGCCAGCGCAGCCGGCGCCGCAGCCGTCTCCCGCGTTGTGCACAGGCACCAGAGCGAACGCAGAATCAATTGGTTGGTGTACGCATATTTGCCCGTCGCCAGCCTGCGACACAACCAGCGCACCAACCCTGGACTTGCTGCCAGCTGCGCCTTGCCGACACTTCGCGACACAAACTCATGAAGAAACCCAATACCCCACGAGGAAACACCCTGGTCATCCTGACGGACACACGCGGCGATGACATCGACGGCGCCCAGCTCTAGAAGCTGAACCATCTGCGGATTCGCCACCTCCGTTGCGTTTTCCTCTGCTGCCGGCGGCCGATATGCTGTGAGAAAAGTGCACAGCCGCACGAGGCTCTCCATCAGCGCGCGCAAAAGCTCAAGCTCAGCCACTGACTGGCGTGCGACACCGAGCAATGCAGGCAGAAACGCCAGGTCGATCATCCGCCGGTGGTACTCGGTGCGCAGCGCAAACTGCTTTGCCATGGCCGCACATACCGACACAAGCACGGCACCTGACCGCTGCCTCCGCTTGCTGCCGCCTCGGGCCGAGCCATTGGCTGACTGAAGAAGCACCTCGCTGAGAACCTCGAGCAGCCCGCAGCCGGCTGCCCGCCGCATGTGCCGCTTGGATACTGCCGCGTCCGACACGTCCAGCAGACCGAGCAGCGTGGCGGCTGCCCGCGTCGCCACTTCTTTCTCCCTGGGCGCGCGCATGGCGTCCACCAGCGCCTCGATGCCGCCGGCCCGAACCACCCTGCCGACCCGCTGCGGTGTCATCACCAGCACCTGCAGCAGCACAACTGCCCTTAACCGGCCCTGCTCCTCTGCTGCTGAATTTCCCTGAGCCTGCGCGACTATCAGCTGCAGCATCTCTCGCCGCATGGCCATATCGAGCAGCAGCTCAGACGCAGTATCTCGAAGCTTAAAGTTGTCCGAATTCAGCGCCAATTGTGCCAAGGAATTAACCATTTCGGGCGTCTGAATGTCCAACGCCGCCTCACTGTCTGCACTCCCGTCAGGATTAGTCCCGGCGTACCAAGCGTGTCGCCGTCGCTGCTTTTGTCGCTGCGTGTAGCAGAAATCTAACTCGTACCGCGATTGGTCCAAAAGATGCGAAAGTATCCGGTACGTGCCGAGTGCTGCTCCGGCGCCTATTGCGAGATAGTACCAGCTATCGTCTATGCCAGTGGAAGACATTATTGAAAGTGTGTGTAAAAAAGAGAAGAAATAATAAAATGTAAAATGCGATGTGTGGATTGGAATGGAAAAATGAGAAAGTAAATGGAGTAATAGGAAAGAAAACGTTAAAATGGAATCATTTGGCAAAATAGCAAAACTCGAAAATTATGGATGCAACCAACCTTCAGTAAAATTGATAAATGTGCGAGTTTAAAAGTATTTGTTGTTTACAGTTAAAGTGATCGGTGGATCGGTGAATCTGTAAATAAGAGGAACAGACAAGAGTTTAGAATTTTATTAATTGTAAACAAAAAAGTGAGTAAAATGTACATATTTTATCTTTTGCTATTAATTCGTTGTGTCATACAAATATTTATTAAAAAAGCCTAAAGTGCGAGTTGTTTGTTGAATGATTTAGCACTATCCTCATCCTTGACTGGTTGCTTAAGTTGGCCAATAGGTCCTTGGAGGATCTTGATTGTCTTGGGATGCATAAACCCAAGAGCAGCATCCCAGCTGGCATGTTAAACAAATCTGTTGTCTGACCAGAGCTGGTAGTTAATGACCTGGTTTTCTGACTCAAATAAGAACTGGAACATAGCATTAAGGAGCTTTTTCAGCCTAGCGCTAGGTTGTTCAATGCAAAAATCTTTCAGGTAAGATTCCTGTGCCTGAAACAATGCAAACCTGAAAAGTACAATAGTTCTACCTTCTGCAAAATTGAAGCCAGTGACTTTGTCTCTCTCAATGCCTTGAGGCCACACTGCATCCAGGATGACATAAAAAATGCTCTCCAAGTCTTCAAGGATGCCCTGGGTGGGATTCTGGCAGAGCATAGGAATGCTCATGAATAGTAGTCTCATTTTGTGTAACATTTGCAGCATCAAACTCCCAATTTTTGGCACCCTTAGCTAAGACAGACTGACTTTCACCCTCCCCCTCCACCTTGTCCAGAGCTTTGTCCTCCACAAACCTGGCACAGCCCCAGTCAATGATGTGAGCCTGGCCATTTTTATGCAGATGTTGCTTGCCAAAATGTCCCTGTGCAGAATACCAGCTGCTTGAGCACGGGCCAGGCACAGAGTCAACTGACTGACAAAAGCAGGGATCAGACTGTCTTTCCTTTCACTGTTTTTAAGCTAATCAGCCATTGGCTGGCCACAGTCCTCCATGAGCACAAACTCAAGCCATATTTCCCAGTCTTTTGTAGAGCAAACTACTACCGATGACCTCTTGGGAATATGCTCAACCCCACTACTGCACAAAACGGCATATATGGCTCCCTCTGGAAAACAATCCTTATTTGTCTAGGAAAGTTTGAGAATGACGGATGTCTCATTGTGCTCCCCCTGTATAGGTAAACATGGCCGCCAATGAAGTGGCTAGGGCAGGGTATGGGGTTACCAAGCATCACCAGTTTGCAATGCTTCTTGATATGCTCATCTGTTGTTGTGTGAATCTGATCTTGGCCAATGGTGCTGGTGCCAGAATTGTTGTCATGGAAAAGTCTGAAATAAAGCTTGTATAGCCCTCTTGGGACATCACAGAAATGCCCAAATTTGTCTGATGGAAGAGTCAACAAAAACCAAATTGCAAGAAGGCACTGCTAAACATATTCAAAGTCACTTGGTGAATTCTGCTTGACAACAGAAAGCAATTATCCAAGTTCAAACATGCGGCACCTGTCGCAATAATACAGACAAAGTGTCAATTGTGCCCCATGGAGGTAGAATACTAGCACAAAAGTGTGGGTCCCATCATTTTTCCAAAGTGCATTTGCATAGTCAGCAAGCTGGCCGCCTGTCTTATCTGAAGCCCCTTTAGTAGCTGGATCCATCTTGGCCTCAAGCACAAAGTCGATTGTAGTTATGTCATGCACACAGACAGCCCTGTGATAATATGTGAGGCCTGGCTTGTGTGCAGAGCCTGTTGTAGCTGTTTCTTAGCAAACCTCAATAACAAGCATCAAGGCTAGGGCCTTGGTGCTGTCATCCAGAATAGTTTTGTTGAGGGCATCAATCTTCTCACCCGTCACTGTAATGGGCTCATGCACAAATTTGACATACTGAAACTCCTTCACATTTGGCGATGTTGGTGGGACTGTTTCGAAAATGACAGATGCTTTAGGTGTGTGCTCAGTATTGGTGATGGGCTTTTTGTTCTGAAACACTGGCAATGCCCTGGCCAAGTCGAGAAATAGAGAGGGGAAATCCTTGATAAACTGGTTGTACTGCTCCTCCACACCCAGCAACTCAATGAAGGCCTCAAAATGAAGAGGCCACATATCTCCTTTAATGGTGGAATACAACTACTTATGGCAGACATCACGTTCTTTATTGTTCGAGCCCTCATATGTCAACAGGTTGGCTCTGGTTGAGGGAGGACTTGCTGGTCGTTTGTAATAAACTGCCGGCATAACTCTTCTATTGAATTATAGATGAGAAATTACAAATTTCAAAATTAGCAATAGGATTTATTATTGATTAACTTCGTCCAATTGAACAACTGCAAAGTGAATAAAGGTCAAAATAAAACATTGATTGATTCTACTTACTCCTGTTTCTGTCGGTGGAGTTAACTCAGACGTTGGGGGAGGGAGAGAAATGGAAAACAAAAAGTAAATGGAATAAAAGCAGAGAAAGAAAAAGAAAACGAATTGTGCTAAATGAAAAAGCAAGCGTTAAAAGTAGAAGCAAAGATGAAAAATTGGAAATGTGGAAATGTGGAAACATTTTAGCGATAGAGTGCGCCAAAAACATAAATATAAATTAATATAAACAAACAAACTTAATATAAACAAAAAATTGCGAGCCTGTCATTGTGCTCGCATTTGGTTGACTGAAATATGGAAACAAGGAATAAATATATTTACGGATTAATTTCCAATCGGCATTGTGTTCTCTCCCTTGCACATTGTTTTGCCTTTATCGCTTTTTTGGGGGCACTCTGGCCCGTCATTGAATAGTTTATTTGCTCTGAACTGTATTTTAGCTTTAACTCAAACTGTTTGCAACAGCCAGGAATTAAAAACTGGGTTATATGAATGAATCATGGACTGCATAGCTAAAATGGCGATGGTCTTATCAGAGCTTAGCACCACGCGTAGACCAATATGACCAAATATCTAGCAAACATATACTATCAGTAACCAAGCTGCAGTTCGACCAAAGTATTTTTATTGAAAAGCGTAAATAAAAAAGCTACGCATCTTTTTTACTATCAGCTTCAGCTTCAACTTCCGTTTCTGTTCGCTTGCTCTCCGCATTGCGCCGGCACAAAAAAACTAACCGGTTGAAGAGCAGCACAAGCATGCTCCACAGCATGATAAAAAACATATGCACTCTGGCCAACAAATACGCCCAGGTGTGCGTATAAGTAGACCCGCCAGCCATCAGAACTGTTTTCCCATCTAACCGGTCATCGAAAATACACCTGACCACAGCCTCAACGACCTGCTCGCAGCTCATAGTCAGCGCCGCGCCCAATTTATTCCCAGGCAACATTCTGCCGCCACCACCGCCGTCCACCAAACCGTCAACATAATAGGGCGCCAATGCACATACCCTGACATCGTTCTTCCGTCCGCGACTGGCCTCGGTAAAATGTATCAGACCAGCATTCGTCGCGCCATACACCTCCCTTCCCCTGCCAGGAACCAACCCAGCCATCGCTGTAACGTTGACCACCACGCCCTGCTTGCCCGCCTGGCGAACATACCGCGAGAACACCCAGGATGCCAAAACAGGCGCGCGGAAATTAACGTCGATGCTGTCGCAGATACGCTGCACGTCCTCGGCATCCGATGTTTCGTCCGCCAGGCTGTGTGCATTATTGACTAGAATGTCCAGGTGGCCAAAGGTCAGCACCGCAGCCTCTATCATTAGCCGCACATCCTGTTGCTGGCGCAGGTCGGATTGTATGTAGATTGTGTGGGTTGGCAGGATAGCGCTGAGTTGCTCGCCTGTGCCGTCGGACGGTGAGTCGACGAGCGCCAAGGAGGCGCCCAGGGCGGATAGCCGGTGTGCAAGCTGGCGGCCGACGGCAGTGAGCGCGCCTGTAATGAGGACAACCTTGCCCTGGAGTGAATTCGAATCGGTCATTAAAAAGAATAGAAATATAAAGTTTTTAGTTATGAACAAAAAATAAATTATACAAGGGTTTTAATATATTAGTAATGTAAAAAAGAAAAATGGTGAAAAGAAAAAGAAAAGAATAACAAAGCGCGAATAAAGACATGGAAAGAGGTTTCGTCATACATATCTTTATAGCCTTCCGCCCGCAAGCGCTGGCGCGTGTTGAGCACGTTCGTTTTATGTCATGCTCGCTTTTTTTTGCCGCCTTTTTTGCAAGTGATCAAAAAAAGGCCAGCAAACTATGCACAACATAAATCTACATTTGTAATTTAAAAATCATCACATTAGTCGTTGCGGGCATCCGCTATGCGACACAAAAACTCGTGCAAAATAAAAGCAGTCAACCCCCAAATGACCAGCCCCTCCTTATCAGTGCGATAAGAAGGTATGACGGTGCGGCCACGGAACACCACAGGCATCCGCTCCTCCTCCTTCCAAAACGTATCCAACGGCAGCGCAAACGCCCTATGCACCTCTCGGCGATTAATATCCAACTGCTTCGGGTCAACATTACCCAAATACCCAACCACACTATGTACTTTCAGCGTACCTCCCTTATTGGGTACCTCCGGCAGCACCCCAAGGATCTCCACGCGCTCAGGAAAAATGCCCAACTCCTCCCTTGTCTCCCTCAACGCTGTCTCCTCAAATGACAGGTCTGATGGGTCGGTTTTGCCGCCCGCAAAACAGACTTCACCGCCATGCGAACTCAGTTTATTGTTGCGCTCTTGGAAGAGTATATGTGGCTGGTGGTTTACTGTACAGAGGGCGAGGAGGACGGCGGCGGAGGAGACCTGGGTGGTGGCGGAGTAAGTGAAGTGCAGGTGAGGGGGTTTTGGCCGGAGTGAGGCGTTGAGTAGCCGCCGTCGGATCAGTGATAGGCTGGCTGCATCCAGCGTGGTGATGGGCGGCGCGCTGCCGAGGTTTTCCCACAGAGCGGCCTCTCGCACACTGCTGCTGCTGCTGCTGCCGTTGGTGTTGTTGGATACTGTCGTCAGATATGCACAAGAGTGGTGGCCACGGAGTGCTGGTAATAGCTGACGTGTGCGGCGGATCATCTTTTGGAAACTTTAAAATAGATGCTGTTAAATAAAAAATAAAAGTGAAAGAAGGCAAAAATACACTTTTCTCGCCCAGCCTTTGCCCTTGATTGAACAACAAAAAGGGGAGGGGAGAGAGTGTTGGTGGGGAAAATGCTCATGCTGGTGACTCAATTGAGCTCAGTTCGGTGTTTGTGTTACGATTTACTCGCTTTTATATAATATTGTCCAAGAAAACAAACCTGATTTAATTGTTTACTTTAAGCAGTCTTTGTCTTGTCAGCCTCCTGCTCTCTCTGGATCTTCTTAAGCGCCCTCTTGCGCAGGCCGTTGAGCAAGTTGAAGTTGTAGTCAATAGCAGCCTGCTTAGGCACGAACCGCTCAGCCAAAAATGCCATCAACGCATGTGAGAAGAACGGCACCGAAGTGTAGGGCTCGGACGACCCACCCTGCACGCCAATCTTGTTCAAAACAGTCTTAATGTAGGGCTTGGGCAGCGGGATGAAAAAGTTGGGCTTCTTGGTCTTGGACATCTTGGAGCAGACAAAGTAGGTCTGCAAGTGCTCAACAATGATGCCATCCTTGGCGACCTCGGACGCGACCGACTGGCTAAAGTACTTGACGAATCCCTTGGAGCCCGAGTACACGGACAAGAAAGGCGAAGGCAGCAGGGCAGCAAACGAGCCGTTGTTCAGAATAAGCCCCGACTTGCGCTCCTTCATCTGCGGCAACACAGTGCGGGTCATCTTGACCATAGCCCGCATATTAATGTCGACCAGCGCATCCACAGTCTCCTCGCTCACCTCCTCCAGGAACATCGGGTAATCGTAGCTCACGCCCACATTGTTAACCAGAACACCCACACGCACATCGTCCACCTGCCGCTGGATCTCCGCCCACTGCTCAACCGACACTTTAGCAAAGTCAACAGCCAGCACACGAGCCTCGACGCCCAATGCGCGCACCTCTGTTGCCATCAGATCCAGCTTATCCTGGGACCGTGAAACCAAAAGGATATTGAACCCCTTGCGCGCCAGCTCTAGCGCCGTTTCGCGACCCAGTCCATCGGTGCACCCGGTGACGATGGCCCAGAATCCCTGACCAGCTCCGAACTTGCTCAGCTTGACTCCAGGGCGCACAAAGACATCATAGGCGAACGTCACTATGAGCGACGCATAGTACGCCACCACGGCAATTCCAATGTACGAAAATACTGTTTGAAGGCACCTACCATATAACAACGAAATACCGGAATGGACATAAATAATTAGCCCGAAGATTCCCCTTTACATGACTTTAAAGCAATTGCGCTTCAAGAACGAGGTTGTGTGTGTTTTTTTGCTTATTTGGCAAAAAGCTACTTACGCCATGTTTTGTATAATTCTCTGAAGTTAAATTATTGATGAAATTCAATAAAGTGGGAAGAGTGAGAAAAAAGATAAAATAAAAGACAGCGCTGGGAAAGACAAAAAAAGCGGGGCTGAATTTTTCACGCATACCTTCATTTTGCTCTCTCTGCCTCGCTCACACCTAAACCCAGCTCAGCTTCAAGAAATCACTGTTATTTTTTAGTATTGTGGCATGTCGCGCGTTGTGTTGTGTTGTGTTGTGTTGTATTGTGTTGTAACATAATCGTAATTGTAATTAGATTCTACTAGCCTAATCATTTAATGAAAGTAAAAAGAAATCAAAATAATAGGAGAGCGGAGAGAACAGAGAGGGTCCGAGAAAGTCAGGCTGGCTGACGAGAGAAATATAAACATATATGTATCGACTGCATTTATATTCTTTTTCTTTCGCTTTCTCTTCTTTTCCGCATATATCTGCCATATCTCTATCGTGCAATCTTTTTTAAATGTTGTGGCATGATCCATTGCTAAAAAGGTATCCTCCGATAAATAAATAAAAATTAGTATGAAGGAAAAGAGGTGGTGTGGTTTTATCTTTGATTATTCCGGCCATAAATTTAGTCGTATGATTTGCTTGTGGCCGAAATTATTAAAAAGGAAAAAGATGAGGTGTTTTTTTTACCCTCATCACCTTGGCCGAAATAACATGAAAAGAAATATAAAAAAATCACCTCATCTTTTTCAATATGTCATGCCAGAATACCAAGACTAGGTAAAAAAAATCTTTAGATTATTTTAAGTAATGAAATCATACCACCTTTTAGTTTTTTTCTTTTACTTGTGCCGGTCACAAAATGCAAGTCCATCCCAGCTAAAATGCGAATGGAAGAGTTGAGTATAAAAGCTCTTTGCCAAGGAGACATTCCATTACTGCTTTCCCATCTATCATAACTAAACAACAACATCAGCAGCGTACTTTTCAATATTCGCCTTTACAAAAGCACTAACCTTTATTTATTTATTTCTACACACATACCCAAATTTTCAAGCATGCAGACTCGTATCTTTTTCAGAATCGCCGGTGTTCCAGTCACCCAAGATGCTGTCCCCCTCGTAACACTCATTGGATCCATGGTCCTCTACGGCATGTACACAGGCTACACGAGACTCCGCGACCCTCACTACATCACACAAACACCTGTACCAACATCCTTTAACAGCAAGAAATAAAATTTAATGTATTTATAATCTTTTTATCAAAATAAAATATTCGACCAAAAAAGTGGTTAAGCCTTGTACGCGTGCTTGGGTGTTCTGCGAAGATACCCTGGTTCTTGGAATTTACTGAACATCACGTAAATGCCGTAGGTGCATCCGGCAAGGGTTACGCCCAGGAGTGGGGCGGCATCGCGGGTGAAAGCCAGTGAGCCAAACTTGAACATTGCCTTGGAAGCTGCTGCAGGAGGAGACATTTTTCTTTCAATTAGCAAATAGAAAATAGTTAAAATAGGGTAAGAAAAATACAATATGGTTTAAAAAATTTAAACAAAAAAATTGGAGTAGAGGTGAAAAATAAAAATGGAAGGGGTTTGTGTAATGATTTTAAAATAAAATAAAAATGATGCCTGGTCTGTGTGTCTAGGCAGTATTTATATACCTTTTTCTCTTCTGCTCCCTCCCTCCCTTCGCTCGCTCCCCCTCCGAAACATCAATTGTCACGAAATACGGAGAATAAAAACAGTAAAACATTTTGTTCCCATGTGCCATTTTATTTATTTATTTTTGTTTCTATTACTGCACGGCACGGCACAGCATGGAATTAATACAAAAAATTATGCACCAAACATGGGCATTGTTATTTGTGCATTCCCTGTCCTTTTTTATTTTATTTTTTTATCTGTCCTCCTCTCCCCCCTGACCCTCTCTCCCTTTTTATTTTGGAAAACATGATACAACAATGTGAGTCGTAATGTTTGAATAGCTTTGCTTTCAGAAAACAAGAAAAAAGCCACGGACCATGTGAACAAATGCACGGAACTTTATATGTGCACTTGTTTTTTTGCAAGCTTGCTGCTCCTTCCGCTAAAAAGATATAAAATATAAAATATAAAAGGAAAGGAACGGAAATGAAAACAGGCCATGTGCTGCATCTCCAATGTCACCAACAACCATTGATCGATTTTAAAGATGAAAAGTTTGAATAAGCAAACGTATACAAAATCCAAAGGTGTAAAACTTCGAGAGAAAAAAAGTAAAGCATTATCGCCAGCTCTAAACACGGGGTCAAAGCCCTATTGATAGAAGCATCTAGTGCTTGATTGCCATCAGCGATCCGATAAATGTCAAAATCATCTTTGGCTTAACCTCGACAATATCCTCGGGCAGCAAAAAGATGGTGGCGCCAAGCTTGCGCGCAATCGAAATAGCGTACTTTGCGTTCATCTTCATGTCATCGTCCGAATGGCCGGCAGTGACTAGCTGTGGGTCGACAATACCAGGCTTCATGCCGTTGAGCACGTCGAGCAAGAAATGGCCAGACGAAAGCTTCGAGTCGTTGAACGACCTAATAGGCGACGCGCGGCCGCCGCTCGAGGCAACCACTTGGTTCGCCCACTTGACCATATCCCCATCGGTGATCTCGCGGCCGTGCGTCGATAGGCTGGCCAGCGTCTGGATAATGTTGGCGCGCATCAGCTGCCAGACAATAGCCAGCACCAGCATCGGCACACCATCGGTGATGTCCGCACCCTGGATACCCACAAGCGAAAACCGGTGCGCCTTGCCCAAGTCCACGACCATATTGGTGTTCTCAATCTGCTTGAACCGCATCAGGGGAACCCTGGTGTTGACGCGCTTCCAGTTAACCGAGCCCGGGAAAATCTTGTCAAAGGCTTGCAAAAGCACCAGCCCATCCTTAAGGTCCTCGAACAGGTAGTTGACAAAGGGGTCGACGTTCAGGCTGTTGAGCCACAGCGCAAATGCACGTGCCTCGCGGTCGTACTGGTCGTGGAACAGGAACTCGTCGAGCTCCGCGTGGTCCCCAGAGTCCTGCTCCAGGGGAGCCAGGCACGGGTGCGTGTTGAACAGGTGCGCGACAAACGCCAAGTTGAGCTTCGGGTTACCATTGACAATGGTCTTGGGCGAAACATAGCGCCGGCACCCGATCCGATCGGCATTCTGCAGCACCATCTCGGCGCGCTCCGTCAGGTCGCGCTCATGCAGGGCGTCGCGCGAGCACTGGCTGGGCACCAGCTGGTTCAAAAGCACAGCGTAGTTCTCACTGTCCTTGATGTCCCCGCTAAAGTTCGACACCCGCCGGTGCCAGCCAGCCGCAGCCAAATGGTAGTTGAACCAGCGCAGCAGAATGGCATCCGCAGGCAGCTTCAAAAAATCCTCAAGCGTCTCGCCGTCCAACAAGAGCCGGTACAGCTCGGGGTGCAGCTTAATATCAATATTGGCGAACAAACCAATCTTGATGATCTGCCAGATCAGACCCAAGAGCAAATGCTCACGGCCCTCGGCCAAATCCTGCGACCCAATGTTAACCACCGAGCAGCCAATGGCCTTGGCCGAATTGATAACCACATTGTTATTCTCTGTAACCTGGAACGGCGACAGCTTACGCCCACGGTTCAAAACACGCTCGTCGATAGTATCGGGTGTCGAGTAGTTGATCAGCTTGGAGAGAATCAGGCCGTCGCGGGCCTCGTCGAATATCTGCATCGTGTGGGGGTCAATTGGAAGGCGGTAGCCAATGTCCTTGTCCCCGGCGAGTGCAAAGTTAATGTGGTTCGTGAACTCCTCGCGCTCATCCTCGTTGATCGTATGCGCAGAGCTGGCGTTTTGGCGGGATTGCAAGATTGTGCGCCGCTCGTAGGCCCGGTCGCTGGTGATACCCTCGAACGCTAGTGCTGCGGGGGCCGCGGCCACTACGCCTGGCCGATTGCCCTTATCGCCCTCGCGCAAAAACGCAATGACCTATGTGTAAAAAAAAGAAGAGGATACAAAAAATAGTATCAGGTGCAAATAGTTAGAAAGAATAGTCTTCCTTCTTTTTTGATTTGACTGGCAGTAAAAGCAAGTATGCGGCAGAAAAAGTATGAAAAGATAAATAAGGAAAACCCCGTCGCAGGCTTTCTCTCTCCTTTATATCTTTGCACACCCTGCTGGCACATGCATGGCCACGCGTTCAGGCGAGCAGGCAGGCCAGCCAACTTTTCAAAAGAGAGAAAAACATAAAGAAATCCTTTTTTTTGGTTTACTCACCTCGACAAACTCGTCGAGCTCGACCATGCCCGCACGACTGACCTCGACCTTCTTTAGAGCCGCGCGAATGTCGTCGTACTGGCGCTCGGGCTCAATCTTCTGCACTGCTGTGACCAGATGACGCTGGTCAAGACCACGGTTGGCATCAAGTTCAAGCGAGCTACGCATACACAAAAAAGAAAGTGTAAGTTTGGTGAATTAGCAGCAAAAAAATGCTTGTGTGGTAATGAATACGAGTCCTGTTCAATTCACGCTTGTAACATTCAAACCAACTTACTCGAAAATGTTGACAATGGTCTCAATATCCCATGGCTTGAGAATGGGGTGCTTCTTTGCGAGTCTCTGGATATCTGAAGACATGGTTCGTTACTGTATGCTTAAAGTGTGTAGAAAAAATAATGTTTAATTCGAAAATAAAAATTACGAAGAAAGGAAAAGTGTCTTGTCGTCACTCAAAACGAAAATAGCTTGAGCATCGCGTCGCCTTACTTTTTTTGTACCGATTAAAGACCAGCTTCTAGACAGAAAAGTTTCAAAAATAAAAGAGAACATCACACTTTGCATCCCCACTTTCTGCACCCAACAAACCCCCTCATCCGAACACAAACTTAAAAAGTACAACCAATGTCAGTTGATTTTTTGATTGTCGAATTTTTAATCCCTTTTTGGCTGCTGCAAAGGCATCCAATGTCTTGGCAGACGAGAGAGAGAGAGAAAATATTTAAAAATAGAACACCAAATAAGCGTGTTAGTTCCGAGGCAGAATTGAACCATGGTTCTGCTGGTTACAATAAAAAATAAAAAAAACCATATGAATTCTAAAAAAACACACGCAATAGCCAAAAATGCAATATCAAAATGCACAGCGCATTTATATGAGCTGTGGTGCCCAACACACATTTCAAGCCACTATCTTCCCTTTTCAAGAATCAAGATTGCCCTCATGGCCACTATACACATTTCTGTTATTGCTGGCTGACATCAAGGAACACCATGATGTTTACAGCGCTGCCCACACAGCGCTGCCCCCCTTTTTCAGTTAAGTAAGTGATTTTTAAGACTTGAATATATCGATTTAGACCCACATTTTTATAGAGCACGACATGAGCGATTGGATTAATCTTTAATTTCCTGCCGATATTATATTGTAGCTTTCAGCACTTGCATTGTGTGTTTTGCTTTACTTTTCTATAAATAATGCCAACTCTGAATTTGCAACATCAGCTGTCCACTATATATATATATGATAAGAGCGAGTTATTTTATATTCAGAAAATGATTCATTATAAAAGCCTTCATTTTCATTTGTTGAGTTGTGAATGTTAGCCTCAATGTCGTTATTATGCTATCGATTGACATCCACTTGTTTTTTCGATGTTCTTGAAAAGTTTACACAAAACTATTGCTCTGCAGAATACACATATAAAATGAACACAATGTATGCACACCCACTCAATATCTTCAGACTATATTCTTAAACTACTTTTTATAACGCACTTATTCTCCTCTTACTCTTCATATCCTGTTCTCAATTATTTTTTTATATTTCATTTTTCATATTCATATTTTTCCTGATAACTTATTATTCGACGCACCCATGAAAGTCAGTTATATTACTCCGTCCGCTGTTATGCTTGCCACAATGATATCTAGTGGCGTCTTCGGCCATACGTTCCTCAACAACCTAATTATCGATGGTAAAGATACTGGCACTGGAAAATGCATCCGGCCAGTTACAGGTATGCAAACCATGTTTGTTCTCAATCCGTCCAGTGTAGACATACGATGCCGCCCTGGAAACCAATCCCCAAATGCAACAGACATCTGCCCAGTCAAGGCAGGCTCCAAAATAGGCGTAGAGTGGCACCACGACACTGGCGGTCCCACGGACAGAGTCATTTCCGAGTCCCACCGCGGCCCTTGTCTAGTTTACATGGCCCGCATGGACCAGCCCATCGCCGGCGCAGTGTGGTTTAAAATATATGAGGAAGGATACAACTCCAAGACCAAGCAGTGGTGCACAGACAAAATAAGAGCAAGCCACGGTGTTTTAAACATTACCATTCCGGCCAACATCCAAAGCGGCAATTACTTGCTAAGAACAGAAATCATTGCTCTCCATGAAGCCCAGAAAAAAGGATACGCCCAGTTTTATCCTAATTGCGCACAGGTAAACGTTGTTGGTGGCGGCAGTGCCAAGCCCCAGGGCTACAAGATTCCGGGAATTTACAAGGCTGATGACCCCGGAATCTTTGTCAACTATCGTAAGGATCCTACTAGCTACGTCATTCCTGGCCCTCCCGTCTATATGCCTGGTAATGTCAAAGTAGAGAGGTTTTATACTTCTTCAGCTGGCAACTGAATGACAGATAACACTCTGACCTATACAGAGCCGTTTGATATCAATGATTAAATTAATTAATAATGTTACGAGTAGAACCTTTTTATTTAGTGTTAACAATCAAAGCATACTAGCATGATAAAAACAATTTAAAGCCTAAGGCCATTGTCACACATACTGATTTACCCTTATACGACTTGATATGCTATTCAGCTTGTAAAGCTTTTTTAGGGAGAAAAATAATAAAGGGATAGTTCTCGGTATAATAACTACCCTGCATACACCAATGCGTGCATTTTGTTTTGTGTAATTTTAATTCCAGCTTTTATAAATATCCAGTGTGCTATTGCAAAACATCTGCTTCCGACTTTTTCTATACATGCGAGCACTCGTACACCTAATTTTTATTTTTAAAACGTGTCAACTACATGCTACAAATATTATCACCTGACCATTTACTTTTAAAAAGTAAGTACTCGTTATTATAATAAGACGGCAATGTGTCTTCTTTTTTAATTATTTCTTTTTACAAATTCTATGGAATAGTATTTACTTTGCCTATTAGTTTTGTTTATAATTGTCCACGTGTACACTTTTTTTTTAAATATTTTTACTCAGCAAAATATGTAGAAAAATATGAAAATAATACGAATTCCAATTTTTTTTCTAGGTTTTTTGTACACTGCTCGACAGAAAGAAGAAAATAATTAATTGAAAATGCCCACTTGAAAATACTGTTTTTTTAGTTGAACAGCCCAAACTGACCTATATAACACAGCCATTTCCCCACTTTTCCGTTTCTATTTTTCTTTAATTATTTTTTTTATTCTTTACTCGTCATAATTATGAAAACTATTTCCAACTTTTCTTCCATTATTGTGCTGGTCACATTAACGCTTGGTGGCGTCTTTGGCCATACTTTCCTCAACAACTTAATTATTGATAGCAAAGATGTTAGCAATGGGAAGTGCATTCGGCCTGTCACAGGTTTGAAGACCATGTATGTTGGTGACACATCTAGTGTTAATATGCGATGCCGTCCAGGAAACCAGTCCCCAAGTGCAACGGACATTTGCCCAGTCAAGGCGGGTTCAGAAATTGGCGTAGAATGGCACCATTCATCCAAGACTCCTACCGACAGGATTATCTCCCAGTCCCACCGCGGACCTTGTCTTATATACATGGCCCGTATGGACCAGCCCATTGACGGCGATGTTTGGTTTAAGGTGTACGAGGAAGCATATGACGAGTCAACCAAGGAATGGTGCACTGACAAAATACGCAGAAACAAGGGCGTGCTAAAGTTTACTATTCCGGCAGATATTGAAAGTGGTGACTATCTGTTAAGAACTGAAATCATTGCTCTTCATGGAGCCCAGAGAAGAGGTTACGCCCAGTTCTTCCCTAACTGCGCACAAGTAAGCGTTACTGACGGCGGCAGCGCCAAGCCCAAGGGCTACAAGATTCCAGGAATATACACGGCTGATGACCCCGGAATCTTTGTCAATTACCGCAAGGTTAATGTAAACTACGTTATACCTGGCCCTCCAGTCTATGTGCCTGGTAATAACGGCACAGTCAAGTCTGTTCTATCCTCGTCTAGCAGCAAAATGGCAGACGACACTCTGAGCTACACAGAGACATTTAATATTAATGATTAGATTATTTTAAGACCTAGTTTAAAAACTCATTTGATTACAAATATATTGCTTTATTCCGCCATCCGTTAATTCAATATAAACAACCTAGTATTACAAAAAAGGTTAAGCTCGAGCTTAATATCTGGGCGCTCAAATTATTTTAATGCAAAAATATTAAAAGTGAATAAGTCACATGTAAAGAGTGTCCAGTAGGAGTTGTCAAGGTATTAAAAGCAAGCAGCTTACATAGCTATTGACTTAGCATATTTTAAACAGGACTGGTACTGTGATGCTGATAGAGCATCATATAAGCTTGTCTAAGTCAAGAGGCCACAAGTTACTGCATTAGTGCCAAATAGGCATTTATACAGTAGCATTTGAGGGGTTTTACATAGCCTATAACAGGGAAATTAGGGAGGACTCAATAGGAAACTTCCCGCAAGGAATTTTGAGAATTTAGTATAATACAATGTTTATTTATATGTTAAAAATAGTTTTTTAGGCACCTCCCCAGGTTGTTAACGAGTCAAAGAGAATAATAAAACTACAATGCAGCACCTGTGTACTCCAATTGTTCTATTAACGTGTGTGAGCCTTTGGATTAGTTTTTGGGCACATGTCCATTTTTAAAAGTAAATAGACTGCTAGCTAGGGATAAAAATGTGACCGCATATTTATATAAATACAATGTAAAAGGCAGCTACATGTTTAGTGTATAGCTTTTATTTTGTCTACGTGCAAAGTTGTATTTGTATTCCACAAGATAATGTGCCTTAAGTTGCATATCCATAAAATTTTCTAAATTTACTCTATGTCTCTGGCACTTTTTTCTTTCAAACTTTAAAAAGCTGCTCTTTCATAGCAGCGCCAGTGATGAATTTATTGGTTGAAAGGGATCATTTTTCTTTTAAAAATATTTTTTAATACCCTCTATTTCTTTTTTATAATTTGGCCAATAAATGAGCGAATAATCCACAAATTCGCTCATCATGTGTTTAACTTAAAAAGTAAAAAGGAAAGGCAAATAATAATTTATTTCTGCTGCTGCCGCTGCTACTTTTTAGCACACGCGTAAAAAAGTTGGGACATTTTGTATATTAGCTCTCTGGTTTTCCATTTCTTCGTTTTAAATTTTTTTCTCATCTTCATCAACTCTATCCTCTCTTTTTTATTTATTACAGTACAAGGTATTTTATAGTTATTCTCAATGGTTAGCTTTTGTTTTATTCGCGCTGTTGTGCTGGCCACAACATCCGCATTCCTGGTCAACGCACATACCCAACTCTACGCATTCGACGTCGAAGGCGGCAGTCTGACAAAGAATGCGCACATGCTAGTAACTAACATGGGCAATGCTCCTCTCAGACTTACCACGTTAAACGACAACGAGCTCCGCTGCAGAAGCAAGAGTACCGACACTACCGGTATTACTCCTCTCACTGTCGCCGCTGGATCCACACTGTCCTTCAAGTACTACCATGCGCACACCGTTGCAAATTCCCATGAAGTTTTGCCTTCATCCCATTCTGGACCCTGCACTGTGCACCTGGCTCTCGCTAGCAGCAACGGTGAGGGCGACGTGTGGTTCAAGATATTTGAAGAGAGTTATGACCCCAAAACCAAGGAGTGGTGCGCTATCAAGGCCAGGAATAACCAGGGTATATTCAGCATCAAGATTCCTACAGATATCAAGCCGGAGACCTATATTATCAGGTCAGAATTGATTGCCCTGCATCAGGGTGCAAGCACGGGTGCCCAGCTGTACCCTAATTGCGGCCTAATCACTATCACCGGTACCGGCAAGTTGGAGCCAAAGGGGTACCCCATTCCGGGAATATACTCGTCGACCGACGTTGGATTAAATATGGACCGTAAAGACTTTACAACCCCGTACCCGATTCCAGGCGCGCCCATGTATAACGCGAAGAGTTAAACGCAGACCTTTTTTTTATCAGCGCACTCGAGTTGGCTGGGCAGGAGTGGAAGTAGCACATCTTTTTTAACCTTGGTGTGGGATTTTCCAAAGTAATAAAGCAGCCCTCTTTTTAATATACACATGTCCTCTGTATCTATTGTGCCATTTAAATAACAATGCATCATTAAATTGTTAGCCAAATGTTGGCGCCTTTGTTAAATGAAAATTCCAGCATGGAATTCCAAAGCACATGCTAGCCCAGCCCAACATGACCAGCACATGCTTGGCTGGTTCAGGGCGGTGTATATTTTGAAGAGATAAAGTCGCATCGTTTACCAGGTAGACGCTCCCTCAGAGCCTCTCAGTTTTACCTTCTTGACATTCCAAATTGCAGCTTTGGGCGAAGACACACATATGGCCAAGGCAACATCAACATATGGCATTTATTGAACTTGGCATGTTGAACATTACGGCGCTCGAATGCAGATACAAGTGTTATTCGGTCTTTTGTTTAGATTTTCCTTTAAAAACAGCTCTATCTTTAAAAGCTGGAATTCTTGCTTTTTAATTTGACTAACGTTTAAATATATGAAGTAAAAATAATATATGTATATATAACGAAAGAAAAGTATTTGAAAAAATAACAGCGCTACTTGAGTGCCTTTCTGAGATCATCAAATTGCTTAAACAGCACTTCGCGCTGGCTCTCACTCTCCGCGTACAAAATCTTGATCTGGATCAGAGCCGACTCCATATCCTGCAAGCTATCCTCCAGCTGTTGGTTCTTCACGACCAGCGCGACGTTCTTTTGTGCGAGCAAACCCATATCCTCGCGCAGCTGCTCCTCGGCGCTCTTCCGCTCGCCCTTCAGCCGACCCTCCAGCTCAGCCACGGTCTGCCGCAGCCTGTCGCCGTCCTCCTTCTGCTGCCTGGCCTCTGACTGCATGGCAGCATAGGCGGTGGAGAGCTCCGTATACTCAGAGCCCATGCTCTGCAGTGTCTGCTTGAGCTGCGCAGTTTCCAAGCGCAGCGCCTCGTTCTCTGTGCGCACACGGTTGCCCTCCTCTTCCTCCTCGATCTTGCGCTCCATCTCCTCGATGTACCGGCGCCGCAGCTTCTCTAGCATGCGCGGCGTCACGGCAGTGACCAGGTTGGCGTCCCTAACAAGCATATCTGGTGACGCGTGCGAGTAGAAGGCAAATAAGGGACCGTCGTTGAGGTACTGCAAGATGGCCTCAAACTGCAGGCTGAGCAGCCGCGTCTGCGACCGCTTCAACACTGAGATGGCTACACGCAGGAGCGCGTCGAGGCCCTCGGCAAATACAACGTCGAAAAGACGGAAGGTCAGCTCGATGGGCAGACGGTAGGCAAACATGGTCATGAGCCACTGCGATACGTACATGGTGGGCTCAACGCCCTGCTGCTGAAAGTGGCGCGACAGCCGCGGCAGCGTCTCGCGTAGAACGTGGTCAAACTGGAACAGGCGCAGCTGCAGGTCGTCCATGCTGGGCAGAAAGTGGCCGCGCAAGCCATAGGTGAACATGAGGCGTGCCAGGACGCAGAATGCCTCCTCATCGGGCATATTCAGCAGCAGCGGGCCGACAACAAAGGACAAGCCCTGGCAGTAGCCAACCTCGGGGTCATACAGCGCGTAGGCGCGCAGCACGCTGTACAGGCCCTCTTGGCCTGCGCCCGAGGCGTCGCGGAAGTAGTCCAGCTTGGGGAAGGTGCGGGCGAGGTCATGGCGGATCTGCTTCTCGTGCTTGGCTTCCTCCTCGCTGTCGTCGCTTAGCGGCTGCACAACCAGCTTGCGGAACGCCAGGTTGAGCGCCGGGTCGCTGCGCGAGCACGTCATTAGCTGCCACACAGTGCCGCGGATGGCCTTGGGAATGCCAATATGCACGGAGCGCGCAAGCTTGCGTGGCTCGGTCTTGGAAACGCGGTCGTAGTTGTTGATCAGGTTGCCCCAAAAGTCCCAGTCGGCGTTGCCCTCGCTGTTAAAGTCATCTACAGGTTCGTCCTCGACGAGCGTCTCGCGCGTAAACACGCGCGCCTTGTTATCCTTGAGGATCTGCTGGTTCTGTGCCTCCAGCTGGTGCAAAAGCTCGTCCATCGCCGGGTCGCTGGCTGTCTGAGACTCGGCTGCCGAGACAGGCGTGTGCTGGGCATCCGATTGGCTTGGCCGCATGCCGGGGAACTCCAGAATACCGCGGCTGTCTGCGCTCGCCGCCGGCGCTGGCTGTGCCACGGTTGCCGATGCGGGCTGCGCTGGCGGCGGTGCGGGCTGCGGAATGCTAGCACGGCCAAAGAAGGAAGAGACAGCGGCAAACAGGCTGTTCTGGTTGGGTGTCGGCGACATCTCCGACTGCGACGTGGCGCGCTGGCGCTCGGACACTGCCAACAGGGGCGGGCCGCTCTGTGGTGCAGTGCTGGGCGCAAAGGCGGCCGAGTTGCCCATGCCCAGCGACGCCGACAGCGAGCGGTAGATGGACCGCGCCGGCGGGGCTGGTGTCGTGCCCGTGGCCGAGCCGCCAGAAGCTGGCGGCGCGGACATCAAGGGCAGCGGCTTCTCCGTGTCCATTGTTGGCCACGCAACCACTTCGTTGCGCGGCGTGAGATTGATATCGGTCAGTGGCAGGCTGTCCTCATCTGCAGCGTGGCCGGCAAGCTTCAGCTTGGGCTTCTGCGGGACCTTTGGGGGCGTGGTCTCCGTGGAGACAAAAGCAGCAGCGGAAGCAGCCGCAGCTGCAGCCGCAGCAACGGCAGTGGCGTCGGCAGTAGTGACGGCCGTAATGGCAGCGCGCTCGGCGGCAACAGCAGCTATCGTGGCACGCTCCACCTCCTCCTTTTCCAGCGCCTCGCGCTTCCGGCGCTGCACCTCCTTGAGCCACTCGGGCTCGGCAGTCTCCTCCTTAATGACGCCCACAGCACTGCCGATGCGCTCGCCAATGCTCTGCAGCGCAGTCTTGGCCACAGGCTTGTCGTTCTCTGGAGTCAGGGCATCCGCCGCGGCGACCTCCGAGCTGGGTCTCAGGCGAATGGCGGACATGCCCATCTCGGGAGATATCCTGTTGCTGCGTCTCACCTGCTGCTGTTGCTGCGCACTGCCGTCGAGCAGTGACGTGCGCTGGAAGGTTTTGCCGCCGATCGAAATGTCGACGGCCGAGGACTCGGCGCTGATTGTGTCGGCATTAGCGGCGGCAGCGGCAGCAGCGGGGGCAGCAGCGGCAATACCAGAAAGGGCGGAAAGGGCGGAAAGAGCTGAAGACTGGCTTTCGACGGAGAGTCTGGAGGGACTGCCGGTGTTGGGCCCGCCGCTCATCCCGACGGGCGGCACAAATGAGGTAAGCATTATAGAGCGCCTGTTCTTGGCCTTGCTGCTAACTGCAAGCGATGGACGCCTGCGCCCAGTGCCGCCTGCTCCAGTGGCCGCGTTGCCATTGCCGTAGCGCATGCTCACGCTGCGACCCAACGCGTACTCCTTGGCGCTGTTTCCGGACCCGTTGGCTGTCTCTGTCATGCTGCCCAATGTGTCGTGGACAGACTCGAGAGCTGCCGAGGAGATCGACGGGATTTGCAGCATCGGATTAGTGTGGGAGTCGAGTCGAGCCAAAGAGTCTGAGCTGTGCGTATTGTCCGCCTGGTCGTGTGGAATAGTGTGCATCTTGGCGACAGTGGAGTCGATGATTTGCGTTGCAGAGTGGATTGCCGGCGTTTCGAGGTTGTCGTTGAAGTTGTTCTTGAACTTGCCATTGAAGTCATTCTTGAACTTGTCGTTGAAGTCGTTCTTGGGCTCGTCGTTGGAGTCACTCTTAGGCTCGTGGGCGTGGTCTTGGTTAAAATCAAAAGCCGGAGCAGGGTAGTTGAAATCAGAGGCAGGGGCCTGACCAAATGCATAGGCAGGCTCGTAGGAGGAGGCCTCTGGCTGCTGCTGCTCCTCCTTGACTGCATCCTTCCTTGGCGCCTCCTCCACGAAAGCCAGGGGGATCTGTGGCACATCCGGCATGTTTGCAAACCCACTGCCCTCGTCAGCCATCAGGGGCACCCCAAACTCAAAGGCATCCATGCCCTGTGGCGCGCCAAACTCATCGCCCTGGGTCCCCAAAATAACTGGCGACCTGCCATCGATGCTCCGGAACGACGCCCTACGCGCCTTGCTCGACCGCCTCGACAAGGCCTGCGAGTCCGCGGCCCTCAAATCAACATTCTCAAAGTCCATAATCCTAGCGCTCTCATCGTCCTTGAAGCTCCGCCCGCCAACGCTGCCAAAGCTGCCGGTACGAGACCGCGGCGTGGCAGCAGCAGAAGAAGACAATCTGGGCGACGCATTTTCCCTGCTAAGAGACTTGAACGACCCAGTGGTCGATGCCGCCGATGGGCTGCGGTGTCTTTCTGTGGTCGCCGACGCAAACAGAGTTTCGGTGTCAGTTGCTGAGTGCTGGTAGTCTGTTTCGTCCGTTGACATGGGTTTGCGGTTGCCATGCGTGTCTGCTGGCGAAGGGGTCGCCTTGGTAAAAGTGGGCATGGGCGGGATTTCCTCTGTGTTGAAATCCAGTGATGGAATGGGTGGCGGCGGTGGCGGCGGCGGTGGCGGTGGCGCATCGCTGGCTGCCTTGGTGCTGTTGGCATTGGCGGCTGCCGGACGCATAAGGCGCTTCGACCGTAGTGATTTTTTGACTGGAGCTGCTTCTGCTGTCATTGCAACTGAAGGCTCTGCAGCGGTCATAAATTAGGAACGAGATAAAAAACAAAAGAAGAGATGAGAAATATATAATTTAAATAGACAAATAGAAAAATAGATTTTTGAATAGTGGAATTTCGTTTCAGGAAAAGGAGCAAAAATAAAGAGGAGAAAATATGATAGACATGAAAATTAATGCGGGCACACTTTGGCACTATTTTTGGCACTCTTCCCCTCCCTCATTTTCTCCCTCACTCACCCTTGAAATTTTTTTTACTGCTCATTTTTTCTTCTGGCTTTTTTTCCTTTCGCCTCTTTTTTATTAGAGCTGTGCACAAGCACCCACACAGTAGGCTGACCGGGGCAGGGCAGGGCAATAAAAGAATTCGGACAAAGAGAAAAAGTATTGGAAAAGAAGGATAATTAATTTTTCACACAAAGAAATAAATAAAAACCATGTGTGATAGCATCGATTGTTCTTGTACAGATAAAATAAAAAACCAGGGCAAACAAAATTCTTATATTTAGATACTTAATCAATATATCAACTGACTGAGAAAAACAACCCGTGCGAGCAAGCGAGCGAGCGCGTGCGTGTGAATTCAATATACCTATTTAAAGTATTTCGGCGGTACATTACTCCACACTGGAATTAAGTAAACAGAAAAACAATTACCCGATCTTCATATTAAAAACAGTAACCACTAAACACATCACTGTAACAAACACCCCCCCCAACCTGCGGGGGGTAACCTTGGAGATTGTGTTTACGCACTTTCCTTTACATTTCGTTAAAATGTAGCGTGCACTAACAGTGTGCTAATATGTTTTGCCAGAAGTAGAAAAAGATAGCACACACGGAACATCTATGAGCATTTAGCAGCAGGTTACTCTGTAACCAAAACAAATGTTTTTTGTGCTGCTGCTGCTTTTCCAGAATACACTGTCGTATTTTTGCTACTGTGATATTGAAAGTGGCTTGTCAGACAAAAGAAGGCTCGATAGAATTAGCAACCTCGATGCCAGCATAGATCTCCTCCGCGCTCAGCCTCTTATTTCTCAGCATCTCTCCTCCATCTCCAACAGCAGCCATGGGCGAACTCTGATACCAGAAAAACACCCACTTCGTGCCCTGCGACGCGCGGGCCCTGCAATGCCCACTGGATCTCTCAAAGTACCACTTATTAACGCCATTATCGCTCCTCGACCGCCACATGCAGCTTGGGCACGCTCTCCTCAGCTGCGTCCACATAATATCCGCCATCCCCGTGCCCTGCACCGACGGCAACACGGCGAATTTATCGAGATACGGCAAATACGATGACATCCCCGGAAGCTGCTCATGCGTGGCAATGACAGCGCCCTGGTAGTCCCCGGCCACAATAATTTCTATGCCGCCGGGAGTTTTATTACGCAGCCGATCGTAGTACGAGGCTGCGTCGAGTGTTCGCTTGAACGACGCTTCCAGAAGCACGCTGAGCCGTGGCAGATCGACGGTATCCAGCGAAGTGTGGCGCTGGATGGAAAATCCATGGCGGAGCAGCGTGAACTGCGTCGGTGAAGGCACGGTAACCAAGGGTCTGGGCCCGCCAACGGCAGCCGCCGTGGAGTGGAACGGGTAGCTGGCCAGGGGCTTGTAGTTAGGCACGCCAAGGTTGTTCAATTCCTGAGGCTGCGAATCCTTTGCCTGCTCCCTCTCCATACGCTTGCCCTGGCGCTGCGTCCCAACAGGACGCTCCGAGATCAACCCCTTAATAACCAACGACGGATCAGAAATGGCCGGCGCAACAATGCCCGCGGCCGTGGGCGGCAAGATGCCCAAACACGTGCGCATCAGATCCAAGCACTTCCGCTGTCCGCACATTTCGCGGATCTCCGCGTAGTCCTCCTGCAAATTGACAAAGCGATGGAATGTGCCGTCCAAGGCCGATATGCCGTCGGAGTTGCCCAGCACAATGAGTCGCGCGAGCAAGAGCGAGAAGGCCCCGTGGCTGCCGGGCATGGCGCTTTGCGACGACGTGCATTGCGCCAGCGCAAAGGCCAATGCGGGCGCAGCAGCAGTGTCGGCCAGAACTTGGAGCTGCAGGGCGCTGTCGGCAACTATGGGCGAGATGATGGGGATCTGACCCTGCGCAATGGCTGCTCCCACAAGCTCAGCATCCACGGACACGCCAGCGCTGGTGCTGGCCGAGTCAGTGCAGAACACGCCCTCGTTCACAGGCCGCGCGCGGCCACCATGGCTCTCCACAGCATCCGCCAGCCGATGCGCACACCTAATGACATCCCGATACCTCGCGGCATCGGCCGACTGGCTCGAAAGCAGAACAACAGGCGATACCCCAATGCGCTGCATCTGTGCCAACAGCTTGCCTGTATTTTCCACTGCCCCTGCCGACCCATCGATAAACACCAAAGCCGTGAGTTTCTGCGGCACCGCATCGCCGACTCTCAGCTGCAGGTGCTCGCGCATCCCCTGTCCGAGGTGCATTTCTCCAGGAACAAGCCCGTTTGTTGCTGCTTCCGGAGATGTAGCAGCTAGCTTGGCCTGGTGTTCTTCGAACTGACGCTGGCTTCGCATTGTCTCTGTGCCGCTGACGCTGTTGAGAAACTTGCGCGCTTCGCGTGGGCTGGGCACTGTGCTGAGTACGCTGAGGATCAATTCGCGCTCGCGATGGTGTCGGGGAACAACCGAAACATTTTGAGGTTCCGAGTGCTGGTGTCTAAAGTGGTTGGTTGGGGCATTGGTTTCTGGATGCTGGGGGCTTGCCGTGCTGTTTGAAGAGAATAGTGCTCCTCGGCGAAGATTGATGGGCTGCTTTGCGCTGAGTCGTTTGGCTGATAGAAGGAGTGTCTTCATGACTTGAAAAATAATAATAGTAAAACAATATAAATGGGAGGGTTTTCTTTGTTTTATCTTGTCAGGATAGTGCGGTGTTGATCGAGGTGGTACCGAGAACGGCGACTGTGGTGGGGACAATGGCGTGCGGCAACAACTTTAACTGTGTATAGGCCCTTGCCTGTGAAAACATGTAGCTTATAAAAAACTAGACAATAATAAAAAAAACTAGTGAAAGTGAAAACATTTGGTGAAAAGCGGAGTGAAGAAACAAAAAAGCCTGCCGTTTATATAATAAAAAAGAGGAAATGAAAGAAAAAATTTTATCAAAGAAAAAAGTTGCAGTTTGTGCACAGGCCCTTTTTTGGCTCGGTTTCATGAATGGACCCAAAAAAATTCATGCAACTAAATTTTTTTTAGTTGACACTATCTGAATAGAAAATTTCTCTTCCCCACCAGTACAATGAAATAAAGGTGCAGCAACTGCTGATCTGGTTTTTTTTTTAAAAAAAATGAAATGGGCACTAAATTTAAAACTAAAACTGGCTCTAAATGACTCTTAATTTTTTTTGGGGGGGGGGGTGAAAGAAAAACTAAAAAAAATCCAGCATATGAATTGAAATGTTTGAATATGCCATTTATCATTAGAATTCCTTTATTCCCTTGTCGTTGTCATTCGTCTTCATCACTCGAGTTGCCACCAAACGCCAGCCTAATAAGCAAATTAGCCTCCTCGTCATCCCCCCCTTCTTGGTCTTGGTCACCGGTCTCTAGCCCTTCAAACAGCCGCCGATTGCAAGCTGACCTTGTATTATTAAAGTGCTTCATTGGATTATCATGATGAAGCAGCACTCCACACAAATAACAAAAGTGCGCAGCACACCTCGTACACTGCATATGGTTACACCCAAAGGCCTTCTGAATAAACAGCTTACACTTGGGGCACTGCTGTGACGACTCCCTAATGAAATCCACGCTGGCGTTATCCTGGTCATGATCACGCAGCATTTTCTGAAGCACACCCTGGCCATACTGCCTCTCCAATCGGGCTCTTGCCTGGGAATCAACGGTTTCGCGAACCACCCGGATGTATTGGCGGAGTATACGCTCGGAGCTCTTAATTTCGCAGTAATTGGTGCCGTGCCAGGCGCGCAAACACAGGTTGCAGAATGTGTAGCCGCAAGCACATTGGCTCAGATGCGGATACCGAGCATCGCATTCGACGCTGAGGCCACAGCCTGAACGGGGACACCAGGCAAAACGCGTGGTGTCCTGGTCGACCCTCCGCTGCTCGCTTAGCCGCGTGTAGCGCGCAATCTGAGACACATCCAGGAGATCCGCCATTTCCTGGTCGCTAATGGAAGGCTGTGCCGGTGATTTGCGGCACTCTGGATCGGGGCATTTGAGTAAAATCAGAGAGCCCTCGGCTATGATCATCCCCAGGTATTCAGCCAGACAGTGTCGGCAAAAAACATGTCCGCAGCTGAGTTCCATGCAATGCTTTCCCGGTTGGTCATCCTCCATGCAAATGGCGCACGCGTAAATTCCCTTTTCAAACTTTCTGCGCTTGCCAGTCTGGTTATGAGCCAGTACGGTCTCCCTGTCACTATGGAGGTCCACACAAATGGTCTCGCTGGGCGATAGGTCGTATGTGAGCAAGTCAATGTAACTGTGTATCACGCCCATGCCGCGCTCAAGCTCCCACATCATCGACAGCCGCTCCTTAATCGCCCCCAGGCCTTGGTCGTCCAGCCAGCAGCAAAACAGTGTGATTACGGGTGCTTCGTCTAAAGGGTATGCTGGCGGCAGCGTGAATTGTAGCTGAATTGGCGGAAGGTACTTTATGTCCTGGCCTTCAGTGTCTTTAAGCAATCTGGCCACACTGTCTGTGTCCACCTCTATGCCGACTGTGCCGCTGATCTGGTCTGTGCCGCTGTCTACAGTGAACGCAAACTGGTTATTGTCGCCGTCGCCGTATATGGCTGTCAATGCTTCCATTTCGCATTGCTGCAACTCGAAGCATTCCTCATTCATGAATAAATAATTTAATAAAACAGCTTGAATGGCTGGTGAATTATATAAAAAAAATACATATATTATGAAATGCGAAAGAGCGAAAGAACACTTGCTTTTAAATTAAAGTATACAGGGAAATCGCTTTTTTTGCTGATGAAACCGCAGCAGCAACGGTTTTATCACTGGTCTGCCCTTTTTGATCCGTTCATTGGTCTGTTTGATTGCAGACCAATAGCAGTAAACCATCAGCAAAATGACACCCCTCATCTCGCATCAATAACTGCCATTTTGTTCACTTGAGTGTTTGCATTCAAGACTCGCCGCGGCCTAGGTTAGTCAGGCATGCCATCTGGTATTCCCCAGTATTAGCAACTGATGAAACAACGGATACTGCTTCCTCCGTTAATAAAATGTATGCGGATTATCATACTAGGAGAGGTATTGCAGCTGCACTTAGAGCCCAGTAATTATTTTGTTTTTTTACACGGCTAGTTCTCCTCAGACACTTCCTTGAATTATCATCTATCCGTTTGTATTGTGCGGAACAAGAGCTGCGGATATTTCTATATGTATTGTTTGCAGGAGATTAATTCATAGCACTATAAGGAATCCCTAGAAACAAAGGGCTTCCTGATGTAGGACATGAGTGTAAAGATCCAATTAAAAAAATATGATGAGTTTGTTCACACCAGAAGCACAGAAATAAACAGCTGGATTTTTTGTGTGAGCCCCACTCGCCAATCATCGAGCCTCGCGCACCATTAATCAGGCAAAAGAGAGGAGGGCTTCGTTTTTTAATTATTCAGAGAAAATAGATACATTGGGCGAGACATAAAACAAGTAAAAGACAATGTCACATCAATATTAAAGAAGCCATATAATCTTGTTTTAAAACCACTAAGACTCGCCGCGACCCAAATAAGCTAGGCACCTCATTGGGTACTCCTCAATTACAGTTACCGCCGAAAAAACCAAAAGCTCATGCAACCCAGGGTCCAAATCACCATGGATGACCAAAGTGCCCAAAGTCGGATCCCTCTTTTTACGCCTTACAACCTCAGCCAACATTCGACCAGTCAACCTCTCCACGCAAACAAACTCTCTCCATGGCCGCTCCTCCGACACCTCGCCAGCATCCTTCGCCTCCTGATTACGCGTCCACCGCAGCCGATTGCCTTGGTCTTCAGGAAATGTGAAATCATAGGTGAATGGAAAGGGGTTGGTGGAAATCAGACGTATTTCCTCTAACCGATTGGGTTCGTTTTCTTCGTACGCTGGCGGCGGTGCCTCTTCGTTCCTGTACTCTCTGGTATTCTGTTCCTGCTGCTCTGCTTCCTTGTTGTCCAATAGTATCTGGGTGCCTATATCATCTTCAACCAGGTCCGGCATCAAAACATCTGGTGCCGCTGGAGATGGAGGTATCAACGTAGACTCTAGTGCTGACGCTGGCCTAGACCGTGACCGAGGCTCTGAAGCACATGGTCGACTAAACACAAGTTCAAACCCCTGTCTCTCCCTCTGACAACTCCACATTAAAGACCCTGCCGCTGTTGCCGCACCACTGTCCATTTTGTAAAACTGTGTTTTTGATATCGACAACCCCTTAGCCTTTTTCATATACCCGGGCCTCCCTGTATCAGAATCTATCGCATGTATTGTGCGGGACAAGAGCTGCGGATATTTCAATATGTATTGTTTGCGGGAAATCGTTTCTAGTGTTTCTTCGTAGCTTGGTAGGTCCTCGGTTTCATCTCGCAAGGGCGGCAGCGACGCATGTGGAAAGACATTATTGGATGAACTGCCTGAATTCATGTTTTTTATTTAAAAGAGTAAATATACAAAAAGTTAAATTGGAGGTAAGAAAAACGTTGAATTTGTAAACACCAAGAGCACAGAGATGATTACAGCTGCTTTTTTTGTGTGAGCGCTCCCTGTCATCAACCCTCGCGTGCCATCAATCAAACAAAATAAAAGTCTAACCAGAAAGATTTAATTAAATCAGGTGGTAGAAAAGCAAAGCTGAATCCAGAACACCGCGCTGATAGCTCCTGACAGTATCGACGTTTCTCCACAGATGCAACACTCACACATAGACAAGCAGAGCACAATTGCCATATTGCCATTTTCGTTCTCAGCTGTGTTTGTCTTGGAACCTCCGCTTTTATAATTACTGTGAAAATATTGGACCTAGTTTTCTGTTTTGGACAAACACTTTTTTTGACAAAGACAATGTGGGATTGTTACACAGCCCGAGGATATAGAGGTAGACACTGGGGGCAAGAATCATGAGACAGATTCCTGCCAGCTTGCTGATAGATCTGATATTGATCAAATTACAGTGGACTAAACCAGACGCCACTGTTGACATCCGGACATACTGTCTGTCTCGAAATAGATGCGCTGAGCGCACGAATACAGATACGCTAATAATGCTATATCAGAGACCTGGGTTACTTTCATAGGGACCAGTTCTCGCGAACAGAGCACGCAACTGCCAGTGTATGCCACAAAGACATTGAGACACATATAAGATGAGGTCGACGATAATAGCACTTTAGAAACATTAGTAATAAAACTTTATAATTTAACACCTATCTTTCTAATACTATTACAATAGTGCTCCCCACACACCTCCCTTTTACATAACAGGATAATATAAAAAACACTATCTACAACTGTTGACTGAAGTTATAGGGCCATATAGCCAGGTCTGCAATAGAGCCCATGACGGGCAAGGTGACGCGGTAGACAATCAGTCTTATTCAGCAATTTTAGGTTGTCTTTTTTTACTTATTTTATGTCTCGCCCAATGGATCTATTTTCTCTTGCTAGGCTGCTATGCAATCTGTGGGAAGGATGTCGATTTTCAGGATACGTGTAGTCATTATTTTCTTTAATGTAATGTGAAAATGCAAAAAATAAACAATCCGTGTAGCCACAGAGTTGAAGCATAACATATCTATCTCTTCTTCGTGTATCTGGTATAAACATCAAAGTAGAGCATATTGAGAACCTCGTCCTTGACCTCGTCAAGAATAGTCAGGGTGAGCTGACTCCTGCTGAGTTTTTCTCTTATCCTGAGTACCATTGATGATGGCAGATTGACAGCAGTGTACGAGTTGGAGTTGACAAACACGCTGAATATAGCGACCAGCCTGTCCATAGACGCAACCGGGAACGGCGTGTTGTCATTGAGATCGTACTGGGGATAAATGCCCTTGGCAGTGTCGAGAATACTGACGGTTGGAGGCGTCTGCACGCGCAGCGACTTTGCATTAGGGTTGATGTTGTTGTTGTTGGCTATGGCAAGGTAGCCCATGGCATTGCTATCTGAATTGTGCGTCGCCATGCGCGTCATGTATGAGGGATCGAGCTGGTCGACATCCTCGCGCCAGATGTCCTCAGAGCCCAGGGCAATAACAGTCATGCCCTTGAGCGCCTGATACTCGTCAATAAAAGCACACATCTCGGAGCAGAAGCAGGAAGCGGCAAAGTCGCAGAAGAAGCGGTACTCGTAAGGGTCAGACAGGATGGCGTTGAACTCGGCACGCTTGCCCATGTTAGAGCCCCCAGCACCGGAAATGACCGCCGCCATCGACGTGCCCAAGCTACTGGCGCCGTGCATGCGGTGAATAACGTCGCGCGAATGGCGAATAGCGCCATACAAGGGTACAGTTACCGACACAGTGTGGCAAAAGATACCGCAAACCCACGAGAAAAACCATCCGGACCATTTCAGGGCAATATGGAACAGCACGGTCTCCCAGACGATGGTCATAATGAGCGTAAAGATACCGACGAGGCTGGAAACAAGAATGTCGTTTCTGATACCGTACGCGTCCTTGAGGGGCCAGCACTTAACGAAGAGAAACGGCAGAATCAGAATACTGTACAAGCCAACAATGACTACGATGGGAATAAAACCCCACATCATTGTGCACGTATTGCTAGTCGGCGAGATACTAAACTGCTTGTTGACAATGTTGATGACAAGCGACATGATGAGGGCAACAACGAGATGACCAATGACAAAGAGAAAGAGAGACTTGTCTGTCACAAAACGCTGCATATTGGAGTACTTTTTCAGCCGCTTGTAAGTTCTCGAATCGGCTCCGTCGCCCAGGTGCATAGAGGCCTGAAGGATATGCTTGCTGTGATCAGGGCCATCTTTTTTCTCGTCAAGAGCGCGGATGCCGTCGCTCGGGTCAAAATCAGTGTTGCTCATAATGCTTGTCTGGCTGGCGCTGCGGTTGGCGCGTGTGGTCTGGCGCAGGAACTTCATGTTGCACTTTGGCGACTCCTTGAACATCGGGTTGTTGTTTCCAGCAAGCTTGTTAGTCATGGTGTGCAGGTTGGAGACAACAATATGCTGGCAGGCGCGCGCCGCGACGGAGGAGTACAGGAGCACGTAACCAGAGTTAACTAGCCACAGCTTGAGGAAGCACGGCCATTGCTGGAGAGAGGTACTGATCATGCCACTGATACCCATTAAAAAGCATCCTACAACCTGCAGAGTTACCAATCTGACGTTACGCTGCAACAGACCACTGTGCTTATCCCGCGCCTTGATAATGAACATTGTGAATGTGACTATAACATAGATGATATAGATAACGAAAATAGTCAGGACAACGCCTACCCGAATTTTGTATGGCCGCGAGCCGAGAACCCATCTTCCGTTATCATCCTGGGCCATGTTGTGAGTTTTAGTTTATTGGCTACGAGCGGTACGCCCTGTTGAAAGTATTAGAGAGGGTGAGAGGAAGAATATGGATGAAAGGTGAATGAAAAGAAAATTAGAAGAAAAAACTTGGTTATTGGTGTATCACTATATAAATAAAAATAAAAAATAAAAAATATCCCAAGGAGAGCTCTTAATAATAGTGCAGGTTAAAAGGAAACAGGAAATAAGACCAGTAAGAAGGGAAGTCAAAAATTAAGGGAGGCAAACTAATAGGGGAAGTGGCATGCAAAAAAAAGCAATTGGAAACATAAAGCGAAAGGGAATGGCGGAGACACACATATATATAAAATATAAACGGCAGAATACAGTGTGCCTGACGCACATGCAATACTCAGGAGCACATCCCCAGAAGCACACCATTTTTTTCAACGGATGCAATGCAACCACCAACTGGTTTGGCACTCCTTTTTTGCATCACATTTTCTGTTTATAATTTCTGCTTATTTTATAAGCGCCAAGCAATAATGCAGCACAGCCAAAGCTGCAGCTCTAAATTGCACAAATGGGCCCAGTGTTAGTCCAAGCTCTGTCATTAATACCACACCAAGTTACTATAGAAAATATTGAAGCACCCCCTTTTTGCGCTTTCTTTCTCACTGAGCAAGTATACCTACTAGCTGCCTCCCTCTTTTGACCGATTTGGGTTATCAGAATTATGGACTAAAAGCCCACACAAAAACAAGCGATTGCCTGTGTTCGAGTTTGCGGCCCTGAGTCTGCCAGCGCAAGTTGAACTAGCACAGCCAATGGTACCAGAAAAGTGGAGGCCATGGGTAGATTTACCAACACAAACAAACAAAAGCAAGCGGAAAACGAACTGCTTCCGATACCGACAGTTTTAGTAGATAAAAAATAAAGATACTTGCAAGACAGAGCGCACAGCCAACAATGCATTGTGGTTTTTTTAAAGTGTATGATTCTCGCACTCGCCAACATGCAAGTAAATATGGCAAGTTGGATCTTCGCCCCACGCATGCATTAATTGGTGTTAATTCGCGACCCTCCCTATTTTCTCAAATTAGTGCCCAATTTTTTTGCATTCAGCTCTCGGTCCCTGGCTCTCAACCCATTGTTGATATTTTTAGGCTCTGGTTGCTCGGCAATTTCAAATCTATCTAGTGCAGTAATCCACAATCCAGGTTGATCTTTTTTACCTCAATCGTCTTTGGCGCCTCCGCATACATGTTCAATTTATATGCATACGCTATAATACGTTAGAGCATTTGATTGCATCTCCCGATTAGAATGCTGTTGAGGTATTCCCAATGCTTTTTTGGCCTATTTTGGTGGACACCGAGAGCGCTTATCAACCCAGAAATATATCGCCTATTGCTTTCCCCAGCAAAACTGCACCACACCGAAGCTTGCGAAACTAGATTGTTTGGCAAAACAAACGTTTAAGTGCGCCCCAGTGCCGATCCAAGTCGAAGCATTGTCTTGTACTTTTTTATAATTGCAAGTTGTTGCCGATCTCAAAATTTTTCCTTTTTATGTAGCAACTAATTTTACCGCTTCTTTAGTTGATTATTTTGTTGAGGCTGCTCCATCTCTGTTGATGGTTCAGTTTATAATTGCAGACCCTTATTCCAAACCCAAGCTTGGATTTCTTGGGTTTAAATTTATTTATTTTACTCTCCGCAAAAGAAAAAGAAAAAGACAACGACTTTACAAAGAAATAGCCACGCACAATTTTTATTTTGAAAATTAGGTTTAAATCGCCGCCCTTTCTACTCACAAATTTTACTAAATACCAGTTAATGTATAAAAAAGTTCAATTCCGCCTGTGGTATTATCAAAAAGTATATATTTATATGCACCTTGACAGATCAACGGCCTAAAACCAGAATAAATCATTATATAATTGGGTGTGCCCATGCTTTCAGAGAGCTTCTGAATTTCTAAACAGAAGAATTATTTTTTCACATAGCCACGTTATAAAGACCGGTTGAATCGCCAGTTTGGAACAAATGGTTGTCAGTTGATTATTCTGATTTTGCTGACTCAAATACGCGCGATCTTCAATTTTATTCTTTGAATTGTTATTGCCTATTGGATACATACTGGCTTCGCAAAATTTATAGTCATTATGTGTGGCATTCCGAGCAGATGTTTTTTTAAAGCATCGACTACATGTAAGCCAATTGCTTGCTGTGACCTGATTCCGAATATGTCCTTAAAAAACAAGTTGTATGTTTTACAAACACCCCCAACCAAACAATCATGTGTAATTTGAATATGCTTTTTTTGCATTCTCGAACATGTCAAAAAATTTTAAGAACTACACCATTTCAGATATACCAAAAATGCATGTTTGTGTAAGCAGTTTTGTGGAAAATATTTTTCTAATCATTAAAATGTCCGAATTTACATTTGCCGGCGCATTTCTACTTGTATTTTGCATGTCAAAATCCTGTTAATTCAACTGCATACATTTTTCCATTAAGAATGTATGTGCCGAAAACAAGTATACAACAAAATATAGTCAACTTAAGGCAAAACTGCGAAAAAAAATAATGAAACCCTGTCAAATGTGTGCTTCTTTTCAGTGTCCAACACACATCTTGTTATGCTGCATGTGCTTGTTTGTGGCACTTCATCCTTTTCTCAAAACGTGTGAGCGACAATAATTGATATCTGGAATGAAAGTGCGGTGCTTGAATGTTGAGATTTGGCGTGGCCGTTTAGGGTGGGATATATACTATTTGCTTTGCTGTCTCATTATTTTTTAACAACTCACATTTATTGATGACTGTCAATGATTGCCACAATGGAGGCGCGCGCCCTAATGGCATGATTCAATTTGTGTGTGGATTCTAAATTTGTAACTCAAAAATAAAGTTCGGTTACCTTGACAAAAATTTTGTACTGGTTGGTGTGGGAATGCAAGCAGTGGATACAAGGAATACATGATAATGTAAAATGTAACAGCGAAAAATAGCCAGTTTAACTTTTTGCTTGGTTAGCATTTAAAATGTAAAGTCCCGCAAATTATATACACGTACTTTTATCTTTAAAGATACTCATTATTCGGATGCCAAAATGAAAATGTTCCATTTCTGGTAAATAAAAAACAAAACATTCACAGCAAATCAGGATTCTCCAGACCATATAGAAACTGGTGCAAATGAAAACCAAGCCACGCCATAAACTTGATGAGAATGAATAGTTTTTTAATAAAATAATTATTTAGTGAGAATGCCAAACAAGCGAAGATAAATAACTAATAACTAAGGCAAGCAAAGAAAAACTGATTTTCAATCGTGCCACTTTGCCCTTCATGGACTCTACTACAAAACTGGATACATGCCCCTAGCACATACTATTCTAGAGCTAACGTGCCTGGGGTTTATCAAGACCCAGGGCTAATTGCCTGGGAGTGGAAGTTGTTTTCCATAGTGCTTGAACATTTTTTGTTGCGTTTGTCAAATAAAGCAACATTTTAATGAAGATTCTACAAGTAAAATAAATATACTTTAAATGAGACTATAAAAAGAGCTAGGAAATCTCACATAATAAAATCGCTACACGCATGCAATATCAACAATGGGATTGCGTGCATCAGCGCTGTCACGGGACCCAGCCCAATTCTGGCGTCACAGATATTGTTCATGTCTTTCACGTTTTTCAGATACGCTGCCATTATTTATTTAAAAAACTTATGATGAATGCATTGACCAAAAATATACTTTTCAATACAATTTTTATATTTTACCTTGTCAACTATGCCTCCCAGCAGAAATAACCACAATCCAAAGGAGTTCAAGTGCTCTAAATGCCTGATGACGTTTAAAACAAAATATCTACGTAACATCCACTCAAGACAACACAATCCAATCACTGTCACTTCGGCCAGCGGCAGAAAACACATATTGCAGTGGAAGGGCGAAAAGCTCGAGTGCCTTTGTGGCAAACAGTATACTTTTAAACATATGAAAAAAAGTCATGCTCTTATGTGCAGTATCCTCAACTCAACAGATTTCAATGCTCAGACCGACCCTGGCGACGATGACGACACAAGTGTAAGTATATGCTAAAGTGATACAATAGCAAATTGTGTGTAATTTGGCTGTTAAATACTAACCATACGTTTAATCTAAAATTGTAGCCACCTCCGTCAGAATCGGCAATGACTGCGTTGAACTTGCAGGTTGAGCGCGGCAGCGGTTTAATTGTTTGTTTGACTTGTTGCTATATAGTATACCCTGGTGGCATTTATAATCATCTTACAAGATGCCAGAAGAAACATGGACATCAGCACAAGATCGAATTCAACCAAAAGACTGTCAAGGAGGCGAGTCGTTATCTGCTGTCAGAGGATTCTTGCCCCATGCCAAAGGATGAGCTTCAGCGTTGGTTTGAAGATCGTTTGCAGCGAGTGGATTTTCCAGTTCCAGGCATCAAAGTCATTGACAACGCTTATTATTGCGAGCACTGCTATTATGCTGTTTGTAGTAAACCTTGCATGTATTTACATTGTAAGAAAGTGCACAAAACAAATTGGATCCCAGCAAATGGCATTACTGGACCTGTCCAGCAATTGACTGTTGGTAGTTATAAATTCAGTAGATTTATCCGAGTTATTTCCACGGGAATCACAGGCGCGGATACAATTAATCCTTTGGCAAACCCGGTTTTAGGTATGCGTCTTCCATCCAATGATCAGCCACCTGTAGAGCCATCAATTATACTATCTTCACCCGCCGTTCAGCCAGCACATCGGCCAGGACACACATCCCTGTTTCCCGCCGACGCTGCGACACAACCCACTGCTCAACCGACCACAGCCGCACGTCCCATCCCCACCTCGACAATGTTTGTGTCATCTCAAGCCGCTGAAAAGATCAGGAAGATACTTGTTAAATATCAGAACAGTGCCGAGCGCAAGGCCACCAATCTCAGAGAGCGCACACTTCTCAGAAATATTATTCTTCATATTCACGACTAAAATAAATAACTTTTTTATGAATAAAGCCATATCTTTTGCCAATTAAATATATTTTAGTTGGTTTTTTTCCAGTGCTTAGATGCAAATATTTAACCGATGTTAAAAATTAGTTAAATTTTGAAGAAAAATATACATTGTTTTCCCATACTCAATTTTTCAAACATAAACAATCACGATGGATGAATCCGCTTTTTATTAAACAATTTGTTGGCTGTTAATGCTGAATACATTTTTAAATTGCTTTTTACCTGACAAGATTTTTACCACTTTTTCTGGCATGCCTCCTAGAAAAACTCAACACAAGCCAAAGGAGTTCAAGTGCTCTAAATGTCTGATAAAGGTTAAAGCGGGTGGTCTAGGTGATATGCACTCAAGACAACACAATTCAATCAGTCACTTTGGTCAGCGGCAGAAAACATGTATTGGAATGGAAAAACGATAAGCTCGAGTGCCTTTGTGGCAAACAGTATACTTTTAAACATATGAAAGAGAGCCATGCTCTTATGTGCAGTATGCTCAACTCAACAGATTTTAATGATCAGGCCGACACTGGCGACGATAATATAACAAGTGTAAGTATATGTTAAAATGATACAATACTAAATTGTGTGTAATTGACTGTTAAATACTAACCATACGTTTAATCTAAAATTGTAGCCACCTCCGTCAGAGTCGACATTGCCTGTGTTGAACTTGTAGGTTGAACGCGGCAGCGGTTTAATTGTTTGTTTGACTTGTTGCTATATAGCATGCCCTGGTGGCATTTATATTCATCTTTACAGCTGTCAGAAGAAACATGGACATCAGCACAAGATCGAATTCAACCAAAAGACTGTCAAGGAGGCGAGTCGTTATCTGCTGTCAGAGGATTCTTGCCCCATGCCAAAGGATGAGCTTCAGCGTTGGTTTGAAGATCGTTTGCAGCGAGTGGATTTTCCAGTTCCAGGCATCAAAGTCATTAACAACGCTTATTATTGCGAGCACTGCAACTATGTTGCTTGTAATGAGTGTAGCATGTATAAGCATTATAAAATGATGCACAAAACACAGTTTGGATCCTAGCAAATGCCATTACTGGGCCCGTTCAGCAACTATCTGATAATGGTGGTGAATTTAAAAGTTATATTCAAGTCATTCTCACAGAATTCATGGACATAGAACTTGAAGGTACTTGGGCTTATATAACTTCAGACTTTCCTTCTTCTATCAACAATTAATAAAGTAACTTCCACATATCACAGCACTAAACTACACTGTCACACAGCTCACTGCTCAGCTAACCTCAGTTGTGCAACGCACTTCTACTTTGAACCTGCACTCAACGTTGCTCTAATTTTATTTCAGGTTTTTTTTACCTATTAACAACTTTAGTAAATATATAATTTTATTCAAATATGTCAAAAATGTTATGCTTCAAATGATAGGTAGTTTCAGAATCTCTTGCTGAAGATTAACCTCTGGGCGCATTTTAAATATAAACTTTTCCTTTATAATCGCCTTAATATCATAGGCAACCGTAGAATCCTCATTTTCAACCCCATTATCGTTCACATTGTCGCTATTATCATCAATGACGCACCGCTTTGTCATTACAGCCAGCGGTTTTTTCAACGGTACTACGGATCCAGCCGCACGGTGGATGCCAATCTTCATGATTACTTTGCCATCAGGCAGTCGCTCGATCTGGCCAAACCTTTGCTGCCCGTTCAGTCCTCCCGGCATGTCTGTCTCCAAGGAGCCCTGTGTCTCGATGAGGCAAAACTCGGTCTGCTGCGCTTTACTGTAGTGAATATCAATCTGCGACATTCAATCAATTTAAATTATGTCGAGTAAAAATAAAATAAAACTGAATGAATGAAATAACAGTTCAAAAATATGGAATGTTGAACTTGGATTAGGGCTAAACCCCCGATTCTCAAAAACAGTTCAAAGCATTAATTACTGGTCAAATACAATTGGACTGGATATGGGCAAATGTATAAAAAAGTCTCCGAATATAAAATACTCATTTGTTAATTTCTATCACGAGTTCTTGTCTTTCAATAGGTCGCTGGTGCTATTGCTGGTGCCTCTTTTGACAAGCTTCAAGGTTCTCTGTCGACCTGCCGGAGCCTCGAGTGCTGACACAGTCGGCTGCTCATGAGATTTCTGCGATGGTCTTGTGCTTGGTCGTGGTGGCTGCGCGTAACCAACACTTCTATTGCCGCTGCTGCCTTTAACTGACAAGCTCAGCTGCCTTCCCAGCCAAGACAACGGCTGCGTTGGCCTCACATTTGCATTGCCCTTGTTGACACCACCGACCCTCAATGTTGATTCAACTTTTGTTCTTTGTGGTTTAACATATGGGACCTTGCGCGCCCTAGTTGTCGATGATGCTGGCAGCAGTGTCTCGGGCACAACTAAGCAATTGGCATAATTGCTATTGGTACGTGAAGGCGTGTTGTTTGATGGAGACCGCTTGCTGCGGGGTACGGAATTAAGCGACAGTGTACGCTGCAGAGCCGCTGGCGTTTCGCATACGATAATTCTGGATCGCTTTCTGACAGGTGAATGTTGCTCAGCGACTGGCGTCTCTTGTGCCAAAATCACTGGTTCTGCGCTGCCGCTATTTTCAAATCTTCCTTTTCTTGTAGGGGTTCGTTGCGCGCCTTCGCTAATTGTGCGTGCAAATACCGGTGCCGCCGCCAACATTGTTGCTCGGTGGCTAGTGGTGGGCTGACTTTTGTGCTCGTGCAATTCTCTGAGAGTGGACTCGAGTGTCTGCTCGAATGCACTCAATGATGCCGCTGCTGCTGGTGTTTCGCATGGGCTGCGCAAAATGCTATCGTTGGTACACATAAACGGAGACATGGCCAAAAGTGCCGATAAATCGCAGTCGTAAGGAATTCCAGCGTCAAAAAGCACGCTTTCGTTAGTGCCGCTGCTACTGTTGCTGCCGACAGACTGTGGCTGCTGCGAGAGTGTGCTTTCGCCCTGCTGGGAGTCTATAAACAGGTTGTGCAAGTACTCGTCATAACGGCTCTCGTCCAGGAGCTGGGCAGATAACAGCGGGTCGCTTGTGTTTGCTGACCTGGCCTCAGGCCTCACCGCGCTATTGTTGTTGGACAGCAGAAGCTGCGAGCAATGGTCAAATAGGTCGTCAAGGTCGTCGTTGTCTATAATGCTGCTTATCTGTTGCGCAGAAGTGGTGTGTTCCCAAGCTCGAATCGTGCTCGCACATTGGTCGGCTCTGTCCAATCTCCAGAGCTGAAAAATGGCATCGCAATCGAGGTGTTTTTCTATGTTCATGTCTATAGCGAACTGGTCCGCAGCCAAAGTGCCAGTGCCTGGATCACAAAATGGGAAAATGGGCGCTGCGGAAATAATATCAGCAACACACACGTTCTTGAATGCCGCAGCAAATCCTAAACCCAATATTTGCTCGGCTCTAGCAGCACCGAGCTCTGCTGACAGTGCTCCAAAAGCCACCATTTGCCACAGATGTATCAATGGCGGTCCTCCAATTTCTGCAAGCTCCTTGCAAACACTCGTTCTGCTCATCCGCGACACGTTGCATTGGTTGGTGTTGCTGCGCGCGTACGCATTCGATATCTGCTTGCATTCAAAAATCATGAACGGGTCGAGTACGCCGGCAGAAATATCAACAAGTGCAGCGAGCTGGTCTGCCATGCGCTCAGCCAATGTGGCGGCCGCAGCACAGATGGAGTGCGTGCTGTTCTCAAGCGCTTCCACCGTGCGGTCCACCGCCTCAACCCATTGGGCCGCCGTACACCCAAAAAGCACATCAGCGGCCGGGCCCAGGATGCTGACGGATACCTCCTTCATGCTGCTACTACTGCCACCAGTTGTGCTAACCACATTGGCCAGAGTGAGAGATATCCGGTAAGTCCAGCTGACGTCCTGCTCTTTAAGATACAAGCAGCAGCTCTGGCACTCCCACTGTCGACTCTGTGCGCGCGCAGTATCATTCCAGTTCATTTTGGCCGCGCCTTTGTGGTGATGCGTAACTTTGTGGGTGCAAGAGGGGCACGCGGGGAACACCAAGTTTAATCCTGGTGTATTCAGTTGCGCTGGCGAATGCAGAGGCTGCGGTGCTCTGGTTCTGCCTCTGTCTCTTTCCTTGGCTCTTCGATTGAGCTGAGACCGCTGCAGGGCCAACGACGGCAGCCGAAGCGCCTGGAGTAGCTGTGTTGTCATTCGGTTAAATATATGTGTGTGTAAAATTCAGTGTTTCTTTTCTTTTTGTCACATTAACCACAAATTTGAAACAAAGGCGAAATTGAAGAGTGAATACATGCAAATTTAAATAAAAAATTACGAATGCCAAAGAGGAATGAAAAGAAAAGAAGGAAAGATAACAGGGAAAATGCTGTTATCCCATGTCGTCATGTGAGAGGTCAAGTCTGCGGCAATCATGCCCCGCTCAGGCCCCCATGCCAACCATCGATATTGATGTGCGCCTTTCTTCGCGATGTGTCTTGCAGTATGTACAATCACAATGCATATAGTCGCTCATACTGTCCCTTTCGCGGAGAGAAAATATGTAAGGGCACTTTTCATCACCACAAACACCTGGGCAAACCCTGCTGCAAGAAAGACAATTGCTGTTATATGGCCCATCCCCGAAGCCACTGTCAGCCTTTTTTCTGAGCCTCTCGCTGTCGCCAAAAACGTAGTCCTCGAGTATATTCAGGATTGCCAGGAAGAGTAAAAGACCGATACATATCAAAACTATGAGTGCCATGTCGCCCATCATGCTGCGTGAGTATATTGATGATTTTATAAATGCCATGAATATTAAATAAAAAATTTATAGGTTGAAGAAATGCAATATGAAAAATGAAATGACCGCTTTGTTCGAGGGATAAGAGAACAATAAAGCAAAGGAAGGTAAGGGGGGTTGTCCCCTTCCCTTTTTATATGATGCTGAAAGAAGAAAGAATGGAAATAAGTCATCATCACCTGCTCGCTTCGCTTGCTGATTATTCAGACTGCCAATCGAGAGCGAGTTCAAACCTGTTGAGAATAAGTGAGGAAAACATGTGGGAAAAATATTTGGCTATCTCAATTCTACGTTGCTTGAGCCCTTTCTCGTCTGATGACAGACAACAGATACAGGCTAAATTCTGCGCATATTGTCCCACTCGTCTTTTGTCACTGATCGCGTGAACCAAGCAGGAATCCTCAATCCCTCGCCGAAGCGGTTGAAGATGATGCGCATGTTTAGGCCTACAGCAATATCTGTTACAAAAGCGCCGTCTGATTTTGGGCACTGTTTCTTCTTCTGGGTGGGCTGCATCATCTACAGGAGAAGCCATGCCAGTTGCAACTTGTGCTGTGCCATCAAAAATGAGGGTAGCAACGTTGGCAACTGGGAGTTGACCATCTAGAAAAAGAACCAGCGTAAATAAATGTAGTAGAAAGGAAATATTTCGGCACGCTTCTTTCCACCCTCTTTGCTGTTTTCTATTTTGCATTTACTGCCATTGTCCCCAATGGTGCTGTTTGTAATTAAGGATATTTTCAATAATTTAATTATGTATCCTATTCTTCTTTTATAACACCAAACCATTATGCATGTGATAACACGTTTGGGGAAATAAATAAAGGACAGAATAGCTAAAAACTTGACGACTTTTGCAAATGATATGTATTTATTTAATTGCATTTTATTTGCTCGATTTAGAATCAAAATTTGAATTAGTGTTGGTCGCTTCTGTGATGGCGGATTTCAGGCTGTCTGAGCTTGTGGATCGCAGTGTAGATTCCATAGGCACCTGCGGTCGTGAGCACTGTCAGAAGGGGAGCTGCGTCACGGTTAACGGGTATCGAGCCGATACGGAAAAGAACGTTCTTCATTTTATGATAATTTTTCAAAGAAAGTGTGCGTGCTGCGTGTGTGTGAAAATAATAATTACAAAATGTCGAGAACCAATTTTTAAAGCGATTGATATTCAAAAATCTGCTGTTGGGAATAGAAGAAAAAAAGCATGTTAATATTGTTGTCTAGACCGTGTACGGGGGAAAGAGGGGAAGCGCGCTGCTCAATTTATATATCTAAGAATGTTTATTGTGCGACCGTCACCTGCGATCATGCAAAGTTGTTCTGAGTGCTCACAAAATCATCACCCCCTAGTCTTGAAAATGCACTCTTAGACTGTGATCAATTGTTCAGGGTCTAGGGTCAGTCGCCAGTGACGTTTTTGTAGACACAAGAGGTGCCACAGAGGATCGTTTAATTATAATTATTTTCGTCATACAAAAAAGTGGTTTTTTTTCGTGTTCTAGCCTTTAACGCTGAGGCAATATAACAAACCAACAATATTATCTTTTAGATGCAGATCGCTTTCCATATGACCGCTCACTTTAATCAAAAGAGTGAGGGGAAATTTATGACCATGCCATGCATGTTGTCCCTCCCCCTGTATATTTTCTATTTGCTTGTCGATCGAAAAGGAAAGAAAAAATTCAATGTAGATAGCAACAATATTGTGTGTGGGGTAAGTGATGAGGTTCAAATGCGACGATTAAACAATTTGGTATGAAAGGTATTGAAAAACACATTTTCTGAATGAAAATGCGCCCAGAATGGTTTTTTATGAGTACTTTAGGATTCTCGACAACCATTATTATTCTATACTTATCGTTTGGCTTTGCCGTTTTTTTATTTTTGGCCACGATGACTAAACTGCTTGCAGCAACAAAATAACTGTACACACACTTGTACACACATACGCAAAATGACCTTACAAAAATGGTATAAAAGGGCAGCCGACGCCCGAGTAAAATTCAAATTCAAAACATCATCACTACTACTACTACTACAACAACAAATATTGCTACTTTTAACAACTTTAAAAAGTTCTTACCAACTAACCTAATCTTTTCAACAATGCAGTCCACCATCATCGCTTTCGCCGCCACCGCTGCCCTCGTTGCCGCCAACAAGGCCCCCGCCAGCGACTACTATGCTCAGCCCGCTGCTGTCGCCGTCCAGCCCGTCACTGTTGTTCAGAACGCCGCTGCCGCCGAGAACACCGTCACCGTGACCCACACCAACGGTGCCATGAGCAACGTTCTGTCCCTGGGCTCGGCCTTCCTTGCCGGTACCGCTCTCCTCTCCTACTTCTAAATGAAGTAACCCTTTAAATAGGGGGTTACCGTATGGTCATTCCTAACTTTATTTCATTGCTCCATTTCAGTTGCAATTTAAGCACAATGATCATAGTTTTTATGTTTATTGTTTTATGCGAGTAGCCCTGGAATATTTCTCGAGCTTCTCGTTCATATACAAGTTTAGACTATCAAAAATAAATATTAACTTTACGGTTACATGAATTGTGGATTGTGATTAACAGATTTGTTTTCGAAAAATTGCAAAATATAAACAATGGTTTGTTTTAAAACAAGAGAACAATCGGTTGGGTTCTGTATTAATGCTAATTGTGGCGTCGACCCCGATTCATTCTTTGAAAGTATAGCATAATAAAGTCGACGGTGACCTCCAATTATGCAAATGAAAATAATAACAAAATATGCAATATGTAAATTCCAGCGACAATTGTCAGCTAACGTCGAACGGTAGAGGGCCTCATCCCCTCTCCCCTCCCCCGTCTTTGTCTCTTAGTATCATTATTTTTCTTGTAACAAATTGTATTTTTTCAGCTATCACTCCGTACTATTATTTTTTACTCGCTTTTTACGTTTTATATCATGGACAAAAGTAACCAACCCGTCGTACTGGCACCGACTGAGACCACTGAAAGCTTCGGGCCGGAAGAGAGCAGCCTCATTCGACTGATTTCCCACAATAACGCCGACTGCGATGGTAATGGCCACTGTTACTACAAGCATATGCCCGTGATACACATAATTTGGCCAACCGTTCTGGTCTCGCTTCTATTGAGCGTACTTGCGTGGTCGCTTATCAACAGGTATCGTCGGAACAAGCTGCGCCTGAGCAATGGCAGTAGCTGCGATACAAAGCGCCGATATTTTGAGCCGCTGCCAAAATATTCTCCCGAATATGACACCATGTCCCAATCGTCAGTGACAACTCCAGAGCCAGCTGTTCACCGCAATGCGCCGTATTCGCCGCCGCCATACAATTGAGCGGAACGGTTTTTTGTTTTTGTTTTTGTTTTCCAAGATAATAAATTGAATTTATTCCAAAACAAATATTGTCAACTAAACTAGAAGCTTCCAATTGAATACTTGACACTTTTGACCTGGTCGCAGTCCTTGTACATGCTTCTTTTCAGCACAAGGTTAATTCTTCCAAGAATGCTACCCGCGCGCGAGATATTAACGCTTCCAATGTGTACTATCTGTACGCTTGTGAGAATACTGGTCATTAGCACAATGTACTCAGCTTTTCGCCGCGAGTTTGTATAGTATGCCCTATCTATGCCCAGCAGACGCACACTTGACGAGTAGCCTTTAAACTGTGCCTGGTACTCCTGAATTTCATTAGCCATCGGCATGCGGGTCGTGTGTTGCACATTATCGTCCTTGATGCACAAATTGGCCCTGTCCAGGCGCTTAAATCCGCAGAGCAGCTTGATCGCCTGGGCCATCGTCAAAGTGGTTCCCTCAAGATCGAGCACTTGAAGTGGGTTAGTAAAATTGACCTTTGACAGCAGGGATGCCTCAACATCATAAATATGCAGGTTGTGAATGAGCACCTGTTGCGGGCTAGTGGCAATGCTGAGCGCTTTGAGGAACAGCGCATTCGCATGGTCGGACACCGGTGCGTTGTTGCGAACCGACCACCCGAGTATAACCACGTCTAGCACTTTGAACGACCCAGGGGCCAGCACTTTGTGCTCGTCGAGAATGCTCATCAGCTCATGGTCCATGTCGATTTTGAGCACGCGGATATGCGATCGGCCCTGCTGTAGAATGAGAGGCGAGGAAAAGGGAAAATGGCCGCGGCAAACGAGGACCTCGAGTGCTGGGAACGGATCTTGGTTATGATGGGAGTGCGCAATGTTGCGCCGGCCTGAGCATGATGAGATATACAGCTTTTTCAGCTGCGGATAGACCAGGGTGCCTGCCTTTTTTTCGAGCCACGTCAGCTTTTCAATTGCGTGTGACGTGGCATGGTCAATACGCAGGAACTCTAGACACTTGTAATTGCGGCGAATAAGCTCCAGGTGCTGCTGCGAGCCCTTGTGGTGTGCAATTGAAATGCGGCGCAGCGCTGAGGCCTCCAGCTGCTTGACTATCGGCTTGGTCACGCTGAATTGGTGCAGAGAAAGATGGCCCAGTGCGGTGCCCAAAAGGTTATGTATAAACAAGTTGACCTGCGCATATACTGCCTTGCTTGTCTCGCTCAAGTAACACAGCGGTCTGGCCCTGTGCATGGTCATTATGCGTCTGTTGGGCAAAAGCTTGTCAAAGAGCTGTGCGTACTGAGCCAGCGTGGCATCAACAAGCTCTGTGTCAAATTCAGTGTCCTCGCTTTCTTGGAAAGTGTACGGATGGTAAGATGTACTGCGGCAGTCAACCAATAGGGTGACCTCGTGTATTGTATGCAATGGCCCGCCTTGGTCTAACGCAGCTTTTATGTCCTTGATGGCCTTTTCGGTGTCAGCAAAGCCCAATGTGTTGATTGATATTTGCAGTTGCCTGATATGCTTGTGGTTGCCGGTCGCTATCACGTCGCTCAAACGGATGACCGATGTATTCTTTTTATGAAATTCCTTATTTCCATCGAATTCCAAAAGTGCCGAGCAGTAGAACAGAGGGCAAACAATGGACCGCCACTGCCTGCATGTGCCCATGAGCGGCAGCAAGGGAGGCTGCTTGACTTTCGACCGGAGGCCATTCATCATCGGCAGCATGACGTTCGGGAGCACGGGCATGTAAGAAGCAATACTTTCAATGATGAGTAGTGGGAGCACCTGCGCAGGGGAGTAAAGAGAGGGCATGGTCGGTGGGCTTTAAAAATATAATCACTGCTGGTAAAAAAAGAAGTAAAATGCGAATTCAAGAAAAAAAGATAATACGAAAAACCGAAAAAAGAGCTGAACGTAATCAAAGGAGTAATATGAATTGTGTTTGGTTTAAATTTTAATTGACCTGCCGTCAAAACTGCCCTTTTAACACACCCGTGAAATTGTGCCGCGGCTGCGCATTTGTGCTTTGATGCATTGACTAGCCCATTTTAAGATATTTTGATGGCCGATGAGGACGAAAGTGAGGATGAGAATGAGGATGAGAGGATTTCTGTCCTCAGTTCCAAAAAAGAATTAGAAAATCATATGTTTCCGGGATAAGGGTGTCGCGACAAATAATCAACAACACGAAGCAAAATTGAAATCAACACATGCAGCTCGAGCGGCAAAAAAGGGAGTGTGTAGCTCTCAAGCCAGCTGCACTCCTGTTTTCTTCTGGGCTTACCTGATTTTGTCTTGTTTTTCAGTGTTTTTTCTGCGCAGCAAGTTGTATTTTGGCGCTATTAGTTATTCAAAATGGACAGGGTACATAAATTTAACTATATGATGTCAATTTAAAAACATAGTCATTTATTTTAGACAATTTTCAACCACGGTTTGAATGTTTACGATCAAGCTGCTTGGCATATTTCTGTACATGCCATATCTGCAAATGCGTGGACGAGTTTTTTATGGTTGAGTTTGTAACGTTTTTACGATGGTTTTAAATCCTCCAATCTGATTAGACAAAGCATTATGATATGAACACAGAAATATTACAATGAATTATATTTTACAATCAATCAATCAATTTGCACAGCAGTATTAACGCAACAAACTAAATATATTAGATTGATTTGACTTTGAAAACCTACATACACAACTTATATAAATAATAAATATTTTAGTCGTGAATATGAAGAATAATATTTCTGAGAAGTGTGCGCTCTCTGAGATTGGTGGCCTTGCGCTCGGCACTGTTCTGATATTTAACAAGTATCTTCCTGATCTTTTCAGCGGCTTGAGATGACACAAACATTGTCGAGGTGGGGATGGGACGTGCGGCTGTGGTCGGTTGAGCAGTGGGTTGTGTCGCAGCGTCGGCGGGAAACAGGGATGTGTGTCCTGGCCGATGTGCTGGCTGAACGGCGGGTGAAGATAGTATAATTGATGGCTCTACAGGTGGCTGATCATTGGATGGAAGACGCATACCTAAAACCGGGTTTGCCAAAGGATTAATTGTATCCGCGCCTGTGATTCCCGTGGAAATAACTCGGATAAATCTACTGAATTTATAACTACCAACAGTCAATTGCTGGACAGGTCCAGTAATGCCATTTGCTGGGATCCAATTTGTTTTGTGCACTTTCTTACAATGTAAATACATGCAAGGTTTACTACAAACAGCATAATAGCAGTGCTCGCAATAATAAGCGTTGTCAATGACTTTGATGCCTGGAACTGGAAAATCCACTCGCTGCAAACGATCTTCAAACCAACGCTGAAGCTCATCCTTTGGCATGGGGCAAGAATCCTCTGACAGCAGATAACGACTCGCCTCCTTGACAGTCTTTTGGTTGAATTCGATCTTGTGCTGATGTCCATGTTTCTTCTGGCATCTTGTAAGATGATTATAAATGCCACCAGGGTATACTATATAGCAACAAGTCAAACAAACAATTAAACCGCTGCCGCGCTCAACCTGCAAGTTCAACGCAGTCATTGCCGATTCTGACGGAGGTGGCTACAATTTTAGATTAAACGTATGGTTAGTATTTAACAGCCAAATTACACACAATTTGCTATTGTATCACTTTAGCATATACTTACACTTGTGTCGTCATCGTCGCCAGGGTCGGTCTGAGCATTGAAATCTGTTGAGTTGAGGATACTGCACATAAGAGCATGACTTTTTTTCATATGTTTAAAAGTATACTGTTTGCCACAAAGGCACTCGAGCTTTTCGCCCTTCCACTGCAATATGTGTTTTCTGCCGCTGGCCGAAGTGACAGTGATTGGATTGTGTTGTCTTGAGTGGATGTTACGTAGATATTTTGTTTTAAACGTCATCAGGCATTTAGAGCACTTGAACTCCTTTGGATTGTGGTTATTTCTGCTGGGAGGCATAGTTGACAAATAAAAATAAATAAAACAAAAAACAAGCTGAAGAGAAAAAGAAAAGAGAAAGATGATAGTAAGTAGAATAACGACATTGTACTTTTTAATTGTTTTCACTTTTTTTTATCAACAAACCCCAAACAATTGCACAATTGCACAATGTAGTGTGGTCTGTTTTCTCCTAATATTTTCACAATGTAATTATTAAAACACCACACGTAATTTAATTTCCAAACAAAAAAAACTATATTCAAGTAGAATCCATTAATCAAAAACATAACAAAAAAAAGGAAACTAATTAAAATGTTTTATCATTTTTCAAGCAGACAAGCACAATGAATTATCCTGCTTCCTCTGCCACAAACCATACGGAACTCCAGGCAAACTCTGCCACAACCTAACAGTTCCATCCTCCGAACCCGTAGCATAAACCTCACCATCCGGGCTAAAACAAGCATCATGCACCATTCCATGATGACCCTTATAAACCTCTACTTCCTTCCCGCTTTCAAACTCCAAACACCTAATTAGCAAATCCTCCCTGCCTCCACATACCACCCTGGATCTCTGGGGATTAACAGCAGCCACCGAAACGTCAAAATCCACCTTTACATCCATCGCCACCCGCCAACCCTTCGTATCCCAAGCAACAATGGATTTTCCCGCGGCGCAGGACAAGAGTGAATGGTCATGGGTGAGCGATATATTAGTAATCGGTGCGCTCAACTGCAGTTGATGCGCGGGCGAGGGTGAGCGCAGATCATGGATGGTTATTTCCCTATCGTCTGTCGCGACTATAGCGAGTTGCTGTAGCTTGGACCATTTGATATTCCGAATTGAGGAGCTGCGCGTGGATACCAAGGTTGGTTGCTGCGGGTGGTTGAGATCGAAAAGTCGGATGCTTTTGTCTCGCCCACCTGTGAGGATCGTTGTTGCTTCGTCGTTGATGAAATCGGCGCTTTTCACAATGTGCTCGTGCGGGAGTGAGATCAGCTCGGTTCCGTTGATGGCGTCCCAGACCTTGCTAAATGCGATAAAATAAAATATTTGTTGAAAAGAATACAAAGCCACATTAGTAATAAAAAACTATTCGCATTGTGTGTAAAAAAGAAGATCAATCCAACATAATCCCAAAACATAACAAAACATAAAAACTGCGCCTCACACACAAAAAAAGACATTATTTTTAGATTCGTATACTTACGCAGTGTAGTCTGCCGAAGCAGTAACAGCTTTCGTAGTATCAGTATTCAACACAGCGCTCCAAACCGCCCCCTTATGACCCAAAAAGGTACCGAGCCAGTCACCGGTCGAGCCATCTCGCAGAATAGGCTTCCCGTCCTTGCAGGCGCTGATAAGCATGTAATTTTTTGTTCCATTGATAAAGTTCGAAAAACTCAGTTGAACTACGGGACGCGTGTGTCCGGAACAGGTTAGTGGGATTTGTTGAGGTGGGGCAGCAGAGGCAGCAGGCGAACCATTAGCGGAAGGCATCAGTTATAAAAATAAAAGTTGGGTTGGGTTTGGGTAGTTGTATACTTTTTAAAGAGTAAAAAGATAAATGATAGACGTAAGAACAAATGAACAAAAAAAACAAAAAAAGAAAAAGTATGCGATGAAAAAAGTGCGTATGAGATAATGTCAATAAAAGAAATAAAAGTGCAATTTAGAAATAGAGTAGAAAAAAGAAAAAATTCAATCAGAAAAGAAAAAGAAAAAGGAAAAGAAGGGATGAGATGAGATGGGATATAATGGATTCAAGTCCGCTTTCGCTTCAAAACCAATTTTTTTTTGAACACCAACCATGACTAACTCTAAAAATGGAAGCAAAAAAATTTCCCTTTTTAGGTATGTTCTGATCCGACTGTACAAAGAAACAACAATATCCAAGAAACACATACACAAAGGAAAACAAAAAATAAAAAAGGATACAAATAAAAATAAAATACTTGTGCCCTACTCCTATTTTTTATTATTTCAAAATAGATTAGGAAAATCCACTAATTGATCATTCATTTCTTGCATCATCACCCACAAAACTCTCCCCTCTTCAGCAGGCTTCTTGACAGTTAAAATAACCACACATTCCTTCATTGATTATGTTTATTAATATTCAAACCAATTTATCAAAATATTGAAGGGTCCTATCCGGCCCCCACTCCTCATACAACTCTTTCTTAACAAATCTCTCTGAATCATTCATTTCCCTCGCGCCACCCCACCAAGCACACTCTGCAGGGTCATCACTGCCCGCACATCCCACAGTCACAGCAACGTGATCCTCAACCAAAGCCAATGCTCTCACCTCCCTCTCCACCCTCTCCCTCAGCCCGTCCAATCTCGCAGTACCGCCAACCAGCACAATATTTCCCAACATCAGTCCCCTCAGATCCTCGCCACACGCTTCCGCCGCCTGCATTATGGCCAGGTGCACGCCTCCTTGGTCATCGAGGCCGACATCCTGTGGGAAAAACAATGCCTCGGGAATGGCGAACCGCTCATTACCCAGGGGCAACACCTGTGGGTTCTCCATCAGCGCTAGGGCCTTGGGATCATCGCCGTGAATGAAGCCCTGCTTGGAATGTGTAAAGTCTGGAAGCACGTAACGCAATGGCTGCTGCAGGCGGGCGGTGGCCAGCCGCTTGTGAAAATCCAATGCGACGTAGCAGGTTTTTCGCTTAACCGAGTCCACAATAAAGGACTCATCCATCATGTCCCAGTGGCGGAAGGAGACGGTTTCCTTGAGGTAGTTGGTCAGCATGCGGCCGCCAATATCCACACGACGCACTGCGCCACGAACCACCACACCATTGCACACAGGAACCACGTATGAACAAGTATGACCCAAATCCACTACCAACACGCAACCATCCGCTTGTTCTCCTGCTGCTGCCGCAGCACATAATATGGGTGCAGGCATCCGTGCAAAAGACGCAAACCCGTATTCCTCAAAAATAATCTCATCGGTTTGTTTCTGGCACCGTGAGAAATTAAACATTGGTTCGGTCATCACTAACTGGGTCACAGCGGGTGTGCATTGGAGGCAGTCATTGCTAAGTAGTCGGTCCCAGATCGGCAGCTGCACGTCCCAATGCACCAAGTGGCCGCGGTCGAAGGGTGATCGGAAGTAGAGCCCGGAGAGGTCACTTGTGTGGGTTGAGAGGTCGCCCACTTGGATACGCTTGGTGCGCCGTGTTCGAGTGATTGTGTTTGGAAAGTGCTGTGGCGCCTGAGTGTCTGCGTACCCGGCTTTGATAGTGTAAGAGCCGTTGTCGAGAATTAAAGTGCGCATAGGGAGTGTGTGGCTGAATTTATTTTTGGTTCAAAGTATTAAGGAATAATGCGTTCTATAAGGACTGTAAAAGTTTAATAAAGCACAATTTTTTTTATAATTTTTTGCACTGTCCATGTCCGATATTCCGATATTCAGGGTTCCCGTAGAGAGGAATTGTGGGGAGAGTAAAAAAAAGGCTTGGTTATTTCCACGCCTCTCCGATTGTTTTCTGCCTTCGTTTGGTGCCGCTCCCCTGCATACCCGGGCGTTTCAATCCTACAGCTGTTCTCCCGGGGTCGTCCGCGACAAAGGCGTCCTGGATTTGCCTGGCCACCTCATCATGGCGCATCTCCCTTTCCTGCATCTCCCTGGCCAAATGCCAGTCCCCATGCGTCAGCCACTCCAGCGACGACACCGGCTCCGCATTTTCAGCGCACCGCGGACACCTAATCATCATCACCGACTGCGACGCACTCAGCGACTCCATCATGGCGTCACGCGCCATGTCCATGACCAAATCGCCATCAACGTCGCCCTCATCGTCGGCCGTTGGGTGTTTGGAAGAGTGAAAAGAAATGGGGTTGTCGCCTGGTGTAGGAGGCAGCAGGGCCTGTGTACCGATGGCGCCGTCGGGTGCGTCGACGCGGTTCTGGAAACGGAAGATCTGGATCTCGCGCTTGCGCCGTGTCGCGGCAATCAGCGCCGGAACAAACCCGTCACCGCCACCGTCACCACCACCAGCGGAACCAGAACCGGAGGCGGAAGCGAGTGGGTTCGTCGCAAGCAGGAGCGCGCCGTCATCGTGGCAGTCAATGTTCATATGCCTGTAGCCTTCGCCGTACCGCGCCTCGCTTTCAACATCAGCGCTCGGCTGGATATACACGGAGTGCCGCCTAGCAGGCAGTCCCTGGCAGCTGCTGCCGGGCATGGATGTGCTGGCGGCACTGGCGGCACTAGCTCTGGCGGGCGACACAGCACCGTCCTCGGGGTCCGGCTCCGGCTCGCTCTCGCTCTCCCGCGGCGTTTGCAGACACGACATGTCCGAGTCGCTGCTGGCGCTGCAGCCGCCGCCGCCCGGCTCGCCACCGGCCACCGAGCTAAGCTGCCCTGAGCCGCGCCGGTCGCCGCGCCGCTGCAGCCACCGGCCCATCATCGCGGCGCTCGCCAGCTCGCGGCGGAACCCGCGCGCCGTCAGCATAAAGCTGACCATCGGGAGTGCCGCCGGATCCTCAGCGCAGATGCGGCGCAAGCACGCGCGCGCAGCCTCAGCCACGGCCGCCGCCAGCGCGTCACCTGTGCCATTAGTGACATTGATGACATTGGTGCCATTGGTGCCACTGGCGAAATTGGTGCCACTGGCGAAATTGGTGCCATTGGTGCCATTGGTGACATCGGCTCCATCGATGCTGCCAACCTTACCAGTTCCGCTGGTGCGTGGTGGAAACGGCACCGAGCGCGTGCGCAGCGGGCGGCCGCCCTCAGGCGTGTATGCCACGGCGAGCATCTGTGGCCAGCGCCTGCGCTCATCCCATTCGTCCATGACGCGCATGCCCAGGTCCCGCGCATTCATCAGCACCCAGCGGTCCAAGTCACGTAGCAAGCGCACCGGCTGGCGCAAAAACGTCTTTGCCGACGTCAGCGTCTGCGCACCCTCCCCGCCGGCAGCAGCCTCGCCGCCTCCCTCGCTGCCGCGCATCACGGCGCTATCGTCGATGCCGCGGCATAGCGCATATGCGTGAGCAGCCTGCGCTCGGCCGAGCTTTGCCTCCAGCTGCACGAGCGAGTACTGCAGGAGATCACCGGCTGTGCGCGCATCAAAGGCGGATGCCAAAAGACCGCCGAGCTTGCCGCCCAGCGACGGGATGCGCACAATCGGGAAATCCGCGAGAAACGCGGCCACCTGTGAGTGCCGCAGGATGGTTTGCTGCGATGGCTTGTGCAGTGCGCTGCCGATTTTGGCCAGCGCTCGCGTGTGTGCGATTCCGGCGGAGCTGCGGAAGCCAAGGGTGCGATGCACCGCTTGGCGCACCGACAGGGCGAATGCCGCCGCGTATCGCAGCTGCAGGTCCGCCCATCCGCGGGTCTCTTCTGCCGGCTCGCCCACTTGCACATCCAGGCTGGCCCCCCCCTCGTGCGGCTCCCTGCCCTTGCCCTTGGCCTCGGCCTCGGCCTCGTATGCCTTGGCAGTCCACCGCACCACCGGCGTGTTCGGCAGCTCCGCGTCCCACTGCAGCATACCACGGTCGTAGTCGCGCAGCACGTGCTCCTTTACAATATTCGACGCGTCCAAGTACGCCTCATCAACGCTGGCCTTGCGCATATCCGGGCAGTGACGCCGCACCACCTCCATGATCCGCCGGCTGGCCCGCCGGTACTCGTCCAGGCTCACCTTGTGCGTGGTCTGCTGCGGATTCGCATGGTACGCTGGTGCACTGCCGTCACCTGTAAATGTCGCTACGTGGACTAGCCGTATATCGGGGCACTTCAGCCGCGCCTCTTTGGCTGAGTCTGACCTAAAATGTACTGGGCAAGTAAAGGGGGAGGATAATAATTTAGTTCGGTGAAGCACAAGCGCTACGTTTTTATTACCCTGTCTCATTATTGTGACTTTGCTTACCGGTTGACTCCGTAGGCGCGCGCTGCGTAGTTAACTGCAATTATCCCGTGCCATTGCTGCACTGCCAGCGGCACATCATCACTAATCCCTAACCTCAGCTGCTCTACACAAACAAAAAACAATTGAACAGCCTTTTTAGTCTTGGCAAAAGAATAAAAAAGAATAACAAGCCTTTAATTTTATGATACTTTACCTACTTGACAATAAAAGCAGTCTACAAAAATAAAAGGAAAATAAAAAGGAAAGAAAGAAAGTGTATTAGTGCCAGAAAACAAAATAGCTTTCTTCATACCGACACAGAGTGACTCTTCTCACAGTGTGTATGCGTTGTTTTTACCCAGGTCAATGTGGATAATCGCCCTCTGCTTCGAAAGCTCCGAGACCACCACTTGCCGCAAACTGTCCGTAACCGTCATTTGAAGTTAAAGTTGAATTTGTATACAATGAAAAGCTGTTTTTGAATAGTGAATAAATAAAAGACTAAATAAATGTGTTGAATGCCAATGACTGAATGAAGAAAAATGCCTGAATGCTAAAATATAAATAAAAACTAAATGGAAGAAGAAAAGAACTGCCCTTTTTTCTTTTATTTTTCATCAAATAAAAATATAATTTGGGGGAGAGGAGGAGTGGGGGAGGTAGGTAGGTAGGTAGGTAGGTAGGTAGGTAGGTAGAGAGGGAGGACACCCCTGCAGTCAAAGTCTCAATAGAGGGAGAGTGCGTGGGTGAGAGAGAGAGAGAGAGAGAGAGAGAGGAATAGAGACTAAGACAACTCATGTATGAAGAAAAAAAGTAGACGAATATTAGTCGCTTTTTTACCCAACAAATTAAAATCAAGAATAATAATGCCTTTTATAACCCTACGCCTAATTAAATTAATATGCTGCAAATCGCACACATTCCATCTCATCTATCCATTCTCTAATTAACTACTTCTGAAATAAATAAATAAAGCAAACAAACAAGCGAAGTCAGAAATACAAAATTAGAACTGGAACTGGAAATGTAAATGTAAATACAGAAATAATAATAATGCCAAATCGAATCAAATCGTCTATCATCTGAGATCACAGATTGCAAAATAATAATTTTTGATTTTTCTTTCTGACAGCGTCATCGTCCATTGCCTTTGCTGCCTAAAAAAGGGCAAAAGTGGTGACTAACAAAGATAGCAATATAAAAACAACAGGGATCATACAAAAAAGCGCAATCCTCTCCTTTTTCCATCCATCCACCCCCTCCTCCCCACCTACCATCCACCCTTTCTTCTCTTTGCTTTGACCCCTACCCTTACCCTTTGCCCTTACCTTTATTTCTTTTTTCTTTATCAAACAACAGGATGAAGTACGGCAACTACCTCACGCAGCAGCAGGCGGATTTCCCGGCCCAGTGGCAGACGCACTTCATCGACTACGCAGCGCTGAAAACCTTCCTCAAAACGCAAACCACCGACACCAACGTGCGTCTCTCCACAGCCTTCGCGCCCACCCACGTCTTCACCTGGACGCCCGCCACCGCCACCGACGCCACCTTCGACCAGCAGCTCTCCACGCGGCTCGCCGCCGTCGCCAAGCTCACCCCGCAGTTCATCCGCCTGCTCGACGCACAAGTGCAAAAGTTCAACAATTTCTTTGTCGCCGTAAAGGGCGAGACCAAGAAGCGCGTCCAGCACGTGCTGGATAAGGGAGAGGACGTGGATGTGGTGAAGTGTGAGCGCGCACTGAGAGACCTGCTGATGCTCGAGCGCTTTGTGTATTTGAACTTCACGGCAGTGGCAAAGGCGCTGAAGAAACACGACAAGTGGACGGGGTTGCAGGTGAAGGAGCCGTATTTGATGCGTACGTCGCAGCTGTCCTTTGTCCAGTCTGTGTCGCTTATGCAGATGAAGCCGGCGCTGATGGCCAAGCTTTCTGCCGCTCTGGTGGCCCAGGACGTACAGCCAATGGGGGCCAGGCTGCCCGAGGACTCGCCCGTGGTTGCCCACGGGATGGCGAAGCTCCGCGGCATGACTGAGCCGGCCGAGCCCACCATTGCCGCCGCCGCTGGTAGTGCCCTGGGATCGACTCTGGGCCCGCTGGTGAATCTCATGCATGATACCCAGACCGTCAAGATCTCACTGCGCGGGCCCCACGGCACCGACATTATCGGCAGTGTTCTCGGCTGCTTGACCAAGCATCGTTGCCAGATCGCAGACTTTTCGCTCTCCCGCCTGCACCACGACGTCACCTTCGGCGTCCTCGTCCACCTGCCCAACCATGACCTGGACCTCTTTGGCGACCTCGCACGCACCGCGCAAAAATGGGACGGCACCCTGGCATTTGACATCCAAGACGCGCAGCTCAAGGCATCGCAGCTCGCCGACCCACTGCAGTACGCATTGAGCGAAGCGCCGTACTCAGGACGGAACAAGTTCATCGCCACGGTGTTGAACGAGCGCGGGCTTACCCCGGAATTCCTCAGTGCTTGGTTGAACTGGCTTTTGCAGAAGAAGATCTCGGTTGAGCAGATGCGTAGGCTGGATGGACATTCGACCTTAATGTGTGTGGAGTTCCGGCTGAGCGTTCCTGAGGGGTTGTCGCCGGAGGAAATGCAGTCGGAGCTGATTGCCATTAGCCATGCGCACCAGGCGGATGTCGCCCTGCAGCCGGATAATGTGTTTAGAAGGCAGAAGCGCCTGGTGGTCTTTGACATGGACTCGACGTTGATCCAGCAGGAGGTCATTGATGAGATCGCGAGGATCGCCGGAATCGAACCACAGGTGGCGGCGATCACTGAGCGCGCAATGCAGGGCGAGTTGGATTTCAAAGAGTCCCTGGCCCAACGCGTTGCGCTGCTTAAGGGCACGCCGGTGGACGCCCTGGAGCAGGTCAAGCGCCGGTTGGAGTTCACCGAGGGCGCGCACTATCTCTGCCGCGCCCTCAAGAATGCCGGATTTAAACTGGCTGTCATTTCTGGTGGGTTCCTTCCGTTGGCCAAGTACGTTAAGGAGGAGCTTGGGTTGGACTATGCGTTTGCGAATCAGCTTCAGGTTACTGCGGATGGGAAGCGTCTGACCGGTGTGACTGTGGGACCTGTGGTGGACGCCGTGAGGAAGGCAGAGCTGCTGGAGGTTATTGCGCAGGCGGAGGGGATTGCTTTGGATCAGGTTGTGGCCGTGGGGGATGGCGCGAATGACTTGTTGATGCTTGGCAAGGCCAGCTTGGGCATTGCTTTTAATGCGAAACCCAGGGTGCAGAAGGAGGCGAGGGCCAGGATTAATCAGAAGAGTTTGGCCAATATCCTGTATCTTATGGGATACTCTGAGAGCGAAGCCGCGGAGTTGCAGCTGCAGTCATAGGCTTGTTTTTTTTAATTGATGATAAAACCATTTTTCAATAGGTTTTTTTTTAAATAATAAATGAAATTTGATAACTCAATATTACATATTTAATATCCACACCATATAAATCAACATATGTTTCCATATTGTTATTATTCATCAAAACAATACCAGGAAACAAGCTTTGCATTTCGATATTGCATCATGCTTAAAAACACATTTATTTGCTTCACATTTCATCATTTCTTTTTGCATTTCTTTAGCCATGCCTCCCAGCAGAACTGAACACAAGCCAATGGTGTTCAAGTGCTCTAAATGTTTGATGGCATTTAAAGCGGGTGGTCTGCGTGATATGCACCCAAGACAACACAATCCGATCACAATTGCTTCGGCCAGCGGCAGAAAACACATATTGCAATGGAAGAACGACAAGGTCGAGTGTCCATGTGGCAAATTATTACCATATTATCATATGGAAAAAGCCATGCTTTTGTGTGCAGTATGCTCAACTCAACAGATTTTAATGATCAGGCCGACACTGGCGACGATAATATAACAAGTGTAAGTATATGTTAAAATGATACAATACTAAATTGTGTGTAATTTGGCTGTTAAATACTAACCATATGTTTAATCTAAAATTGTAGCCACCTCCGTCAGAGTCGACATTGCCTGTGTTGAACTTGTAGGTTGAACGCGGCAGCGGTTTAATTGTTTGTTTGACTTGTTGCTATATAGCATGCCCTGGTGGCATTTATATTCATCTTTACAGCTGTCAGAAGAAACATGGACATCAGCACAAGATCAAATCCAACCAAAGGACTGTCAAGGAGGCGAGTCGTTATCTGCTGTCAGAGGATTCTTGCCCCATGTCAGAGGATGCGCTTCAGCGTTGGTTTGAAGATCGTTTGCAGCGAGTGGATTTTCCAGTTCCAGGCATCAAAGTCATTAACAACGCTTATTATTGCAAGCACTGCTACTATGCTGTTTGTAGTAAACCTTGGATGTATTTACATTGTAAGAAAGTGCACAAAACACAGCTTGAATCCCAGCAAATGCCACTACTGGACCTGTTTAGCAATTGATTGTTATTAGTTCTAAATTCAATAGCTACGTCCGGGTAATTTTTCACAGAAATCACGGACGCAGAACTTGAAAGTACTTGGGCTTGTATAACTTCAGGCCTTCCTTCTTCTTCCAAAGATGAGCCATTTTAATATCAATAATATACATAAGAACAACTAATGTTAGCACTGCAGCTTGACTTGCAACTCATCAAATTCCAGCCCATCATTATATTCCCTCTTTGACAATATCTGTGCTGGTCTATTTTGCCAAGATAATTTCCCATGTTCATTACCTATTATATTAAAACATTAAGAAGTTTTAATGTTAAAAGTTTGTTTTTGAATCCTAAAATCGACATGAAATTATTGCAGGTTTGCCTGTGTTTACCACAAAATTCGCAATATGTAGCCGCGGCTATGTATTTCAAATAAATATTAACAACAAAAATTATTATATTTCAGTTGACTGCTCCATAGCCATACTCTTTACGCTTTCTTTCAAATGACACACTAGTGGATCACCAGCATTCAAATGGTGCTCGCACTTATCTGTGATGATCCTCGAAACCGGCAGTACCAGCCTTGAGGTTGACGAGACAAATGCACCGGTCCACCGGTGAAAATCAACCTTCGGCTCATAGACAACATTGATATTGTCTCTTTCGCAAATGCGCAACACCAGCTTCATTATCGTGCCCAGGAGCACGCTATCCCGGGGTGCCGACACTAGCTCGTAGTTCCTGTACTCCGGCTGTGCATCCTCCTCCCTTGTTTCCAAAGCTCTCCGGGTGGTAAAAAAATTTGAGGAAATACCTTCGTAAAACCGGCCTCCCGGTGTCTCCTTGGGATCGGCCAGGACAACTTCATTGATCGGCGGCACTATTAGTTTCTCCAATGTCTCCCGTTCATGCACCCATTGCAGGTTCTTGGCCTCAGGATTATCGCGTTTACCCGATACGAATTTTACCCAGCACGATCCGTCATCTAGGCTCTTAATCCTAGTCAGCTGCATGGAGATATGGTCATTGCCGACCAACACAGTGATCTTCCTATCGTCTCCGTCCTGTCCGCCACCAAAGCTATCCAGGCCGCGGCGAATCAACGGCACAAGCAGTTCACGCCAATGCTCGGGACTCTGGCGGCCGTCTTCCTTGTCTGCTGCCAACACCATTTTGTGAGAATCGCTGATGCGCTGGAGGTGGTCGTCCAGGAGAAACACTCGCCGGCTGCCACTTATCGTGCGCATGGCTGTGTAGATGCCCTCGCCGCCCGTAAGCATAAACTCGCTGGCTCCCATTGAGCTCAGGCGCTCGGTCACTTTGCGTGTCTTGTATTCGTAGTCGATGATAAGCGACTTTTTCGCTGCAATGGTTGCTGGGACGGTGCTTGGGGTCATTGTCCGCGAGTGTAGTTGGGCACGAGTGCTGGGGAGTAAAGTGAAAAGATTTGTGAGTTTACAAGAAAAAAGTCTCATAGAAAGAGGGAGAGGGTGGGGATTTTATATATAGCAGTAGCGAGAAATAAAATAAAGCTAAAGAAAGAAAGAAAGAAAGAAAGCTAAAAAAATGAACAACCAAGGAACTCGACGCGCATTATATTTTTATTTTCCCCCATATCAGCCTGCACACTAATTAGGTAGTGATTCGCTCGTCATCATCACAAGTCGATTTAATCTCACCTGCTGTGCTCAATGATAACAGAGACGATAACGTGGCGCGTAGCACGCCAATTGACTTTGATGTGTGTTTAAAACAAAATAAACCGAAAAAGACAAAGTGAAGGAAATTGAACCGAAAATAAAAAATGTAAAAGGGAAAGGGAAAATATGATATACGCCGAGTGCGGGCTATGAAGAAATAATAAGAAGCACTGTCGTATATGGGCAAAACAACCACACACGCGCGCATCATGTTATTTCGGGGATTGCTCACTCCTTGCGTCCAAGCATGCTGTTGATGGTTGTCATAATGGACGACCGCCGGGTTTTTCTTTTGGACTTTGATTTGCGCCCTGGATGGTCCGCCAAGTCCGTGTCGCCAGCAACATGGCCCCCGTCGGACTCCGTGGCCTGCGTGTCAGACAGAAACTCCGAGATGTCCTCTGACGCGCTGGGCGGTATAGGAGGGAGGGGTGGCATTTTGGGCAGCGGTGGCGGACTAAGCACAGTGTACTCCTCGTGCTCGCGGTCCGGCGACGCCCTCGATCGATGCTGCTGCTCAGCTGAACTGCGTCCAACGTTGGTCATAAATTTGCGCGGCGGTTGCGGCAGTGCGGCTGTCGGGGCCGTTAATTCGCCTGCGTCCTGACGCTGCCTCCTGCTGCGCATGCCCGCGGCCTCGCCCGCGTTGCCGCCGCTACTGTCGGCAGTAGGTTTGGGTGCAGTAGGGCTGCCATTGCCATTGGACTTGTCAGGTTGGAGGCGCAGCAATTCGAGCTGCTCGCTGGTCAAGCGAATGCTAGGCTCCGGCGGCACCGATGTGGATCGCTGGCTCTGCTGGCGGGTGTACTCGGCTGACGAAGTCCGCGCGGGTGCCCGACCACCGTGCTTGCCCGCGTGCTTTGTGCCAGGCGCTGAAGACTGTGTGGCAATCACGTCGTCGTGGCCCTTGCGCTGTCCGCGCGATGCCTCGGGCCTGGGCAGCGTGAACGCGGAATCGATGTGGCCTTCAGACGAGGGGGCGGTTGCAGGAACTCTCTTACTACGCCTGTCGGAGTGTTGGAATCCCGACGCCGGTGCCAGTGCCAGTGCCAGTGCCGGTGCCGGTGCCGATGCTGATGCCGATGCCACAGCCGCCGTGGCTGCCGCTGCTGATGCTGCAGTCGTGGGTGCATCACTTGCTGCATGCTTCTTCCGTGGTAATTTCGGTGGCAGCTTTGGGGGCACCTGTGGATAGGTCTCAGGAATGGCTGCTTGCGTCGGCGGCGGAGAGACACGCGATTTGACCTCAGCATCACTGCGTCGCCTCGGCCGCTCGTGCGCTACAGCGCCTCTGCCGTCGCTATCTCCGCCATTGCCGCTTTGGCCAATAAGATCCATTTGGTACTCCGACACGCCGTTCACTGTCGTACCCTCCGCGTGGACCTCAGATGCGCTCGCAAGCTTGGCAGCTGTGCCTCTGGCGTTGCTGTGAGTGCGCGAGCGGAGTCGGTTTTTAAAGAAATCGCGAGTGCCGCCGATAATGCCGCCGCCGGTGTGGTCGTCGTCGGATGAGCGGCCGCTTTTTTGGTGGGTTGACGATGTGGTCGCCCGCCTGAAAAGCCGCCCGCCGCCCAGTAGTTGCTGCTGCTGGTCTGGATGGTTGGCGGCATTGCCCGAGCCCATCTTTGCGCTACTACTAACTGGCAGCATCATATACTCCTCGTTGAGGGACTGCTCTGCGCGGCGAAGGGACGGGTTGGACCCATCAAACGAGTTCCGCCTGCGGTGGTGCATTGCTGCCAGGTTATCAGGGTTTCCGGCAGACTGCGCGGACTCGCTGCGCTGGATCACCTGTGCCGGGATCGCTGGCAGGTCTTGCGAGTTGCCCAGTCCATCGTCCGAGCGAACACCCCTCCTGCTCACAGAAGACTCGCCCTCAGGCGCAGGGCGAGCCATGCCGAGCGCAGTGAACGACGGGGACACCGAGTAGCGCTTGGGCACTGTGATCCTGGTGGTGGACAAGGTTGGCTGCGCGGTCCGCAATGCGATTCGCCCGTGCATGTCCTTTCCCGAATTAGCCCCGTGCCTGCTTCCACTTCCGCCCGGCAACTCTACAGCGGCATCATTTGCGCCAACGTCCTCGGAACCCAACAACCGCTGTGAGCTCGTTCCCGCCAAGTAACCATTAACCGCGGCCCCACTGTCCGGCCGGGACGCTCCGCGGCCCTGGTTGCCCAGCATGGATGCTTTCCTAGCGTCTGGCCTTGATCCGCCATAGACTGCTTCGACAGACGAGCTGGCTGTGAAGGGAGAAATAACGCTGCTGCTGGTATCGCTGTCGTTGCTGCCCAATCCGCCTTCGCCGAGGTTATCGCCTGTGTCAAAAGCACGATTAGCGCGTTCGATTTCGGCCTGGATGCCGGCACCCCTGCTGCTTCTGCCAATGGACCCAGTCCCCATACCAATCTGCCTAACCAGCGAGGAGCTGCGCCGCGCAGGTGCACCGATGCTGCTGCGAGAACTATTGGAGAATGTTGCCGGCGAATCCCTATTCGTATTTGACGTTGGGTTCTTGGTCGTGCTGTTGCTCATCTCCTCTGTATCACTGGTTTCGGGGTCCGACGGTTGCTCAAAAATCCCAAGCCAGCGAAACCGCACGTCGTCGGGGATAATAAATTGCACTTGCTTTTTGGCCTTGTTCGCGTGGGTTGTTTTCTCGCTGGGGTTTAGAATCTCCGTTTGTTTGAGAGTCTGCTGACCATTCACATCATTGTTGCTATTGGCTGCATTGGTCATATTGGACACCCGCCGGGCCATGTTTTTGGCCTCGATGCCTACGCCATCTAATGCCTGCTTCAAGCTGGACGCCTGGCGGATCTCCTCCTACTTTGGTTTCAAAGGGCGAGATATACTGTGAACTTGTTTAGCTGAGGGCTTTGTGATAAATTTATTTTTCTTTGGCACTGGCATTGGCATTGGCATTGGCATTGGCATTGGCATTGGCATTGGCATTAACCATTGACTTGCACTCAAACACAGCTTGCATTCAGGCTTTGGGAGGAGTTTCGTTTTGTTTTGTTCTGTTTACTGTACCTTGATCATCTCCGCCAGTAGCTCCAGCGAGGGTGACTCTCTCGGGTTGAGCACCATGCTCATCTGAGCGGCGCCTATACGCGGCCGCATCGAGCGAGACAAATCCATAGGATCAAATGCCGAACTGACTCTGCCGCTATCCAATAAGGAGTACTCCTCGGCAGTGGACATTGAGAACAGACTCCTCTGCCTCTTGCGCCGAATCCTTTTATTGCCCATGTATGTTGTTTCCGGTTCTCCGCTAACCCCGCTGTCTGTATAAAAAACAAAGAATTGAGCTGACAAGTGAGCAATAAAAAAAGCGGGCGTGTTTTCCCAAAAGTTATTTTGTCGTGTATGGTGAGTTCTGTGTGTATGCGTGCTCGTTTGTGGTTGTAATAAAGGGGCTTTTTGAATTGGCGTGCAACTGAATGTGAAAAAGGTGAGCTTTGCGAGCGTAAGCGAAAAAAACGAAAACGAGAAAGAAAAAAGAAAAAGAAAGAAAGGTGAGTATTAAGTGCTAAAAAAGTGCGCAAAGTAATGTAGGGATTCGTAATGTGCGGAAACGTGAAGTGCAACGAATGTAAACAATAACGAAACGAAAGAGAGACAGTGCAAAAGTAAAGGGGGGAGAGAGAAAAAAGTAAGTAAAATAGAATTAGAGTAGCCGTAGAATACTGAAATTGAAAAAAGTAAACAAAATAAAATAAAACAGGAAGAAAAAAGGACAATTTATGAAAATACCACAAACGCGCATATCCTCATTCTGCCTTTATTTTTTCTTAGCTGGCGCACGCTAAGACGTACGATGTATATATATTTTTTTGCTCAATTAAAAAAAGCTGAAAATGGAAATGGCCCTTGGCCTTGTGAAAGAAAGAAAGAAAAATATTTCTGGCAGTTTTATTTTTGCTGATGACAATTAAACTTGTTTGTCTTTTTTATTTTTGCGGGACAATCGCACGTACAAAAAAAAGGGATATTCTTCAAACTGCTCCTTTAAAATAAAAAATACAAAGGTTTAAATTATACTTTTAAACATGGCATATAGAGTTGGAGATAGGAAATTGTATGTATGTGTGTAAGAGAGAGAGAGAGAGAGAGAGAGACGGGAGGGGGAGGGGGAGGGGGAGGGAGTTGTGTTCTGGAGCAAAGAAGCAAGATGACCTCATGACAGGGGATCGATGCTCTCCATTTCGCATGGCACATCACAGAAAGAGATATTGGCGTGAAAAAGAGGGGAAACCATTTTTAAGCGTACATCCACATTTCCACTAGCCCCTCTTTTTTGTGTGTTTCTGAGCCTAGATTGATCCGGATCATATCCGCTCAAGGATGTATAGGTTGTAATTCAGACACTGGGCTTTTGAAAGCCGATTGATTGGCAACATATGCAAGTGAGATCAAACCAAGCTCGGAATTTAAAAACTATGATAAATCTCTTAGCGGTTTATCAGACCATAAAGTTTCAATTTGGGCCGTTTCACACAATGACAAAATAAGTCCACTTTCTATAAGTTTCGGCCTGTTTACTGATTTCTCATTCGATATAAAAGCACCATGCTCGTACACTCCGATACTTGTCATGTGAAGCTGTTTCATTTTTAAAAAAAAGGTATTTTCCTTTGTGGGTTATGCGCCCGAAAGACCGTCTGAGCGACATGTGTGAATCTCGAGCAATTAGGGTTTAGCTCCAAGACCAGTTTTTTTATCTTTATCAGACTGTCAATGTCATCGACGCATTTCTCAATCCACTTCCCTCCCCTCTGAACTTTTTTGTGCAAATCGCCAGACCACCATCTCCCTTGTTTTGTTGTTTTATTTAATTGTAGGCGTGTTTATGCATTCCAGATATTGCGTTCATGCATGTATTTAAAAAATAAATAAATAAAAAGGTATAATCTGTTTCACATTATTTTGTTGTTTTGTTTTTGCAATGCACGCCATTTTTTCAATCGTGCATACCGTGGGTCTCAAGATACAAAGAAAAATTGATTTAATACATTGTTCTGTCATGCGTATTTTTTATTTCCATATTTACTTTTTTTTTGGGAAATTCTCATTTATTTTTATTCTTCTGTGGATCGGATCAAGTCATTGTTTTTTTTACAAAAAAAGCACATGAATTACTTTTGCTCAGTCCCTCCCTGCCCCCTTCTCCTTTTTTGTTTACGTTTCATGCGAAGAAATGTATTTTTTTGTCCACAATTTTTAATTTTTTTAGATTTGCGCACAAATAAAAAAAACAAATTGCAGTGCTGCAAATGCACAACGGATCAAAAGAAAAGAAGGGTGAGAAAATACTTTTTTTTATTCACAATTAATTACAGAAAGCGACAAAATCATGTTTGAGATAAAAAAAACTGTCTCACATCCCTTTCATTGTTAAGGCAAAAATCAAAGAAAAATTCCGCAGAAAGAAAACTTTAAAAAGATCGAGCGGGAAAACTGTGGAAACGAGGGGAGGGAGAGGGAAAACACAAAGTGCACATGCGCAGCAAAGCAAGGCTTTTTGGCTTTATTTTTAGTACTGATTTTTATTTATTTATTTACGCTGTCTTTTTTAGAAAGAGAAATTCTTTGTTGCCACTGTCGCTGCGGTATTATTTTTGGCCCTGGGCTTGGTATTGCTTGGCATGTTAAAAATTAAACCCCCCCCCCCCATCCCCAAAAAATAAGGGCCATGTGGGTGCGATCATGCGTGTCTTGGCTGTGGATTATAATCTGCGGCAGCCATCGTAGCTTCATGTATTGTTTTTTATTTTCTCGTCTGGTCAATTTATTTGTCCAACTAGTGTTTTGTCTGCGATCCAGTAAATATCAGCGCTGCTCATGCAATAATAAAAGATCGAACTGCACAAACAACAACGACAAACGGCGGCCGGCAGCGGCAGCGGCAGCGGCAGCAACAGTATGTTATCTGAAACCCAAAGATTTATCCACTACAAACCACTATCACATTGTCTTATTCATTGTCCCTTTACACTGAGCATGGCTACACATCTAATAATACCATTATTGTGATGAGAAGGGTGTGTGTGAGTACTACTTTGATAGTGTTAAAAAGAGGGGGTGTTTTTATAAATATTTTTTAATATTAATGTTTCCAAAGTGCTACCAGCGCCGGCCTCGTCTTATATGTGTGTCTTGTTGCCTTTGTTGTGCGCTCCGCCAGTTGTGCACTCTGTTGACGAGAACTAGTTCTTATGAACGTAGCCCGGGTCTCTGATATGTCATTGTTGTGGTCTTTGCGTGTGTACGCTCATGCACACGTATTTCAAGACGGACAATGTGTCTGGATGTCAATAGTAGCACCTGAGTTGATCACCTATGATCTAGTCCATATTTGATATATCAGCATGCAGACGGGAATCTGTTTCACGATTCTCAACTTCATCATCCGCTTCCATGTCCTTGGGCTGCGCAACATCATAAATAAAAAATTTTGCTTTCTCTTTGACACCAACATTCTCAATTTTACACACGCAAAGAAAAATTAAATAGAAAACATAAAACTTGTCTTGGCACAATTTTTTTAAAAAAAAATTATTTGTTGATCGCACACGGGATGATATCTATCTTTTTTTTTATAGTAGCGCCCTGTCATGGCGAAAGAAAATAATTTGGTTTTGATTTCGCAGAATAAAAAATAGGTAAATAGCGTTGATTTTTACAGTGGCATGCGCCATCAAAAACTATTTCGGTCATTTTTTATCTTATAAAAGGATTAGCACGCTTCATGAGTGACGACTCCGCGTTGATCGATGATCCCGTTATGTTATTATTCTGTTTGACTAAAGCTGAATCTATTGGTTGTTTATCCACCTGCGCATGTCAAAAGAAAAATAACGCGTATCGGATAAGTGGACGGGATTGGCTTCTTGATCTTCTCTTTTACAATTTCACTTATGATCCGCGCAGCCATGGCATGGTATGACGATGGATATACAATCACCATGTTTTTATTTTATTTTAAAAACGGATGTTTGTGCTGCACACAATGATCTGTACCAACAAGTTTGGGTTTTCTGAAAGTGTGCGGAATTCTGGAACAAGGTCATCATCAGCTTACATTCGCAAGCGCAGATCATATCCATCATTATCTTGGCAGCGATTCCAAGAGAGAAAATGAAAATAATACATTGGACAAGGCCCGAAAGAAATTACATGTTTTTTTTTCTGCGCAGATCAAATGCTAAAATGTTTTTTTTGCGCAATGTCCGAAAAACAAACTAAATAATAATTGGTCACTTTTTTTCTTCTATCCCTCAGCCTCCTAAAAAAACAATATGGACAAACTTGCATGGCGGAAATTTATGGCGAAATTTAGAACAATAACCACGATCATTCAAAATGCAATAAAAAATACCATGGGCTGTCAGATTTTTTTTTAAAAAAAAGCGTTTACATATAATAAAAAAGAGGCGTTTGTGGCACACACACGCATTCACAATGATGTGTCCAATGAAAATTTCGAATTAAATATATAGAAAATATACATGGCCAATTATTTTTTGTGCGCTACTATAGTTATACCGTTTTTATTATTGCATATATGCAGTAAATTGTGTATATAATAAGTTGTGTGGCGGAAAAAAGAGGCAAATGCATATATAAAGTAATTAATTCCGCATATGGCTGTTAGTGGCAACAGTATACACTTTTCATTCTTGGTCACAGAGCAGTAACGCTCATAACTCCAGTCACTGCCATTGCGGATTCTCGACTTTGTTTTGTGTGTTGGCGTTTTTGTCGGTGTATGCATGGCTGTATATTATCTTTGATGTTTAAAGGTATTGGGAATAATTTTTTTTGACAAAACATGTTGGATTACATATGTGGCTCCGACTGCATACAATCCAGAGAACAAAAAAACAAGAGAATATAAGCATTCACACAAAGAAAAAATGAGGGAGTGCAACAAAAAAAACGAGATAATGTCTGAGCGAGTGTGTTGTTGTGCAAGTGTGTGTGGGAACCACAAGCAAAAATTAATGTCTGGTGTATATCGTTTAAACCTCCTCTGGGATCTGTCAAGGCTCATATAAAATTTTTCCCGGGAAAAGAAAAAAACACCGACTGCTTAGAGGCCAATTCACAGATATCCATTGATCTACGTGTAAGCAGTAAACCCCCCCCCCCCCCGAAAACAATAAACCACGCTATTGCCAGTTATTGTGCCAAGAAAAATTGTAACCTAACAGTGATCCTGATAATTTTGCAAGCAAAAAAATATAAAATATAAAATATTTTCATTTTTTTATTGTTGCATGAGTACGATTTGATTTACAGTCTTTTCTTTCCCTTACATGTTTGCGCTTTGATCTTTTCCTGCTTTATTGGCGAATGTAGCATGAGCTGCGTTTAGTGGCGAGCAACAAAAACAGAAAGAAAAAACAAGAGTGCAAAAGCAAGAAAAATAACATGGCTCATTATTATCTTTAATTTTTGTTGCATTATCCTTTGCCTTTTTATCTCTTTCGTTTTTGACAATTGCACTCAATATCTCAGTTTATTCCTTTTCACTTGTCAAGGAGAAAAATAAGAAAAAAACAAGTCAAAGCAGAAACATCCATTGAAAAAAGGAATATAAAGCAAAAATAACGCTGGACTGCTGATGTTGCTGCTTCTGATGATGCACTGCACTGCACTGCACTGCGTGCGTTATGTGGAAAGGTTGTGTCCCACCTTTATTTTTTTGCGGTTGGATCCATTGATCCTTTTTCTGTTGTTTATTCTCTCGATAGCTGATGCAAACCCACATGCAAGCAGTATGGTGTTTCATAGAAAAGCAACTATTTGCCCTTTCTTTGTTTTTCTTCTTTTTTTGATCCACTTGGAAATGGGCCTGGCCCGCAAGTTCTTTTTCTGACAATATCAATCGACAAAAATTGTTTTAAAATGAAATGAAATAATGTTTTTAATCGGTCGTATCCTATTTTATTTTATTTTTCTCGTACGCGCGATCCTTCTGGCCACACACCCTCCCTACCTTTTATTTTTAAAACACTTCGTTATGTACAATGCCTACAGCGTAAAAAGGCAAAGAGAGCCAATGCCATTTGAAAAGCATTTCTCTCTCTCCCCCTTCTTTCTCTCTCCGTTCAAGCAATCTGTGGAGTTCTTGTGCTTATTGCTCAGATGACTTTTATACAGATTCCATTTTTTTTGCTCACCCGGCTTCACTATGGAGAAGTGAGAGTTGACAGAGAGGGGGGGAGAGGGGAGGTGGGCATGTGCACACAATGAATGAATGAAATTTCCTGTTCGCCTTTTAATTGGTGGATCAAATGACAATACACGTAAAAGGCACAAGAAAACAAAGATGAGCAAAATAAATCCGAACCAAGTGACAACAGGCAGCAGGCAGCATGCAGCAGACAGCGGCAGCAAGAACAGCCCAGCTGTGGTTTATACCAGCGTAGCATTAAGACGGGCGAGTGTAAGCGACTCGGCAGAGGCAGAGATGAGGGCGCAGAGGTGCAGAGGCGAAGTGGCATGGATGAAGTGGAGAGGAGGGAGGGGGGTCGGCTACCAAGGGGAGGGGGCGGTTGCAAGTTGATGATATCACACGTACTTTTCGTCTGTTTTTGCGTGCTTTCCCTCTGGTGTATATCGCACGGCTTGGAAATCATCACCATCATAATAAATGAAAGAGGGGGGTACTGAATCGGGAAAAATAGGCCCATGTACCCACCCACCCCCTTCCACCCTCCCCCCCTCTTTGCTCCCTCTGCTTCCGTTCTCTTTCCGTTTTATTTTTGGCTGGCCGCTGCTTTCCACGCAAGGAGGAAATACCTCGCTCGCTTCGAACCCGTCCTTTTTACCTCTTTGTGACTATTCCTCGTTCCCGCCTTTGCCTCCGTTCTCTTTTTAAGCGCACTCTTCTCTACCCCCCTTTTAACTGCCATTTTTTGTTTCTTTTGGCAGAGCTTGGCAATTTATAAAAAGGCTTGGCCAACACAGGGGGGAGGGGGAGGGGGTGGGTGGCATCAGCCAAAAATATATTTTGAAAAATAGTAGTCTTGTTTTTATTTTACCAGCTTTTATATAAAGAGGAATCTCTCCTCCCTTCACCACACAAACTCCCCTCCCCTTTTTTTGCTTTTTTGCAGCTCATCTTTTGCCTCTCTTCTTGTTTGAATCAATTGTTTTTCATACCTTTAGCTTCAAGCTTTTAATTCTATAGTTCTCACTCACTCGCTCTTTTTATTTATTTTGCTTTTAGGCTCTTCAGTTTAGTATTCCATATCGAGGATATCGACCAAGCAACCCCTTTTTCATTTTATTTTTTGACCCCCAACCGGCCGTGCAAGTATTAAAAAAACTCTAAGCACCGCTGTACTGGGATCTGTTTTATTTTACTCTGCTCTTTTAGGTCATTTTGCTCGCAAAGCCAACACTGCGCACGCTCTTTTTATTGATCTTTTTATTATTTTGAAACCCAGTCTCTTGTTTTGTGCCTTTGATTGTGTCTTACTCTCTCCCAACCCTTTTTTGTTTTCACTGCAAAGCGGCTTTCGATCGGGTTCGCTTTTTTTGTACTTTATTATTCGACACTCTTTCGCTCCACACACACGCACACATAATGGCGACCTTTTACGATCGTATCGCTGGTGGTCCTGTGCGGCACAAGCGCAAGGGCATTCCCATGCGCTCGCCGTGCCAAAGAGACATGGTCGAGGCACCTGGAGTAGTGTTCCGGTTCCCTGACAAAATCAGCAGCAGCCCCGAGCTGAAGCCGGTGGTTCCCGGACTGAACATCCTGCCCTTCTCGGCCGGCCTGCCCTCGGGCAACGGTGCCAAGTCTGCGGCCGCCGTTATAGCTGCGGCCGCTGCGGTTTCGGCTGCTGGCAGTCCCACACTCCGCTACCACGCGCTCTTGCCATCCAGCGCCATTGTTGCTGCTACTTCCAATGCCCCTGCTACTACTACCATCACTGCCGCTACTATTGGCGCACTCACAACAGCAGCGACAGCAGCAAATGCCGCGCAGGCCGCTCACACCACGGCTACTGCCGATTTGTTGCGGCGGGGCGACGCCGAAGTGGAAATTAGCTCGACTTTCAGCACTCCGATCCTCAGACCCACTGGCTCGGCCATCCCGATCCACCGCTCAGCCAGCAACGTTCTGCACTACCCAGAGCTTCTCAGCGACTTGCGCGACAAGCTGATGCAGGTTCATCAGATCAGCCACCACCACAACAACAACAACAACAGCAGCAGCAGCAGCAACAGCAACAATGCCGCTTCAAGTGGCGTCGAGAGCGACGAAAATCACACAATCAAGCGCGTGGGGCGTGGCAAGCGTGCGGGCAAATCCACCGCGGCTGCTGCTGCTGCGCCTGCTTCGCGTGGTTCGGGATCGTCGCCCGGCCCCGCCCCTGGCTCTTCTGTCGGAGGCAGGGGGTCGAGTGTTTTGCGCACGACGCTGCGCTCGCGGCACGAGACGGGGGCAGCGGCTGCGGCTGCGGCTGCATCTGGAGGCGCCACTTCCGGCAGCGCCACTGCCTCCTCCGCCTCCCCTGTATCCATAGCCTTCCAACGGCGGCACTCCATTGGCACAATCCAGTCGCAGGTGGACGAGGACGAGGACTCTGAAATTGTCGTCGATGACGATGGCGATGCTGGCGCCGCTGCTAATGTCGTTTCGGCACCCACGCAGCACGTGCAGCATGCGCCCACGCAGCAGCAGCAGCGCAGTCAGGTGGGCGCAGCGGCCAAGCGGCACCCGAAAGAGGGCGGCAGGGCCAGCAGCGTTGGCAACAAGGCCAGGCGTGCGTCAGCTGAGGCGAGTGCGGAGACACCGCGGGTCACCAAGCGCAAGCGCGACGCCAAAGAGGACACAGCCGACCACCGCAGCCGCTCGCCCGCGGCCAAGCGCTCAGCACTCCAGCTGCCCGTGGCCGAGGGCGGCAGCACCCCAGCAGCCGCCTCTTTGGCAGCTGTCTCCAAGCCCGCCAGCTTTAACAGCAACCCGAGCAGGCGGTCCTGCGCTTCCTGCGGCTCCTGCACAACCCCCTGCTGGCGGCCTGGACTGATCGACAGTATGACTCTGTGCAACTTGTGCGGGCTGCGGTTCAAGAAGGGCAACGTGTACTGTGGCTCTTGCAGCTACGTCCCGACGAAGACCGAAATCGCAACCGGCGGTGCCTCTGCTTGCAAGCGCTGTCTTTTGCCCATCCGCATGAACAATGTGAACAGTGCGTCGGCTGGGGGGGCGATTATGTCGTCGCCACTTGTTGTGCTGTCTTCGTCAAAGAAGAACGCTGTCGCAAAGGTTAAGGCTTCTGCTGCTAATGCCGCTGCTGCTCATGCTGCGCCACGCGTCATCCTTCCAAACAATCATAGCTCTGCTATCCAGCGGCAGCCACAGAACGGCAGCACTCCGCAGCAGCAGCAGCAGCAGACTAAGCATATCGGCTACTAAGCGGTAACTAGCAATCCACTTACTTTATTAACTTTTTTGCTGTCTTCCACTGTCAATGCTGGTTTATTGTACGTGGAACTCGTCCCTCTATTTTTATTCATTACTCGCATTTTTCCATATTTTTTGTTGTTTTTGTTCTAATACTGTACTCGTTTTTTGTCACTCGATTTCTTTTTCTTTTTCTTTTTCTTATTCTTATTCTTTTTAGCGATTTCTTTTTCTCATTTTTTACACTCATGCCCAACCTCCATCTTTTTATATAGCTCTTTTGTGTTTTTTTGCTTTATTCTCGTTTTTTATTTATTTATCCGCAGCCATCTATTTCTTTCTTTAGTCTTTGCTGATTACTTTTCTTTTCCCTTTTATTTATTTTATTTCTCACACTCGACTCGTAAAAAAATATCTTTATTAATTTTGAAACGTGTTTTGCAAACAGTAAGTCTGTGCACACACGCTACCTTCCCCCATTTCCCCTTTATTTCCTACTTTCTTTATCCACATATATTTTTCCTCAGTATTTATTTTACAAAAAAAAATTATTCAATAAAATGATTTTATCAACAATTACAATTCGGTTTTTTTATTTATATTTAAGTACTATTTCAAGCAACCAACCTTTTTATTTCTCAATATCAAATGCAGGGGGGTGGATAGCAATGTTTTCATTGTTTTTCCACCGCACTACACACATGGAAAGGAAAAGAATGAAAAAAAACGTGGTTGAGTCATGCTTGTTTAAATTTTTTTCTCACATGCAACAAAATAAACAAAAAAATAGAGCTCAAAAGAGAAAGAGAGTGGACGATCTCAAATGTTTGGGGGGGGGTTTAAAACGCTCGGACAGTTTTTTTGTTTGAATAAAGTGTGTCTTGTGTAGTGAAAAAAGGACAAGAAATAAAATCACACGTACTATGCAAAAAAGAAAAGAAGTGATTTACACTCAATATTATCCCAACAAATGTTCAAGAATAGAAAAATAGAGTGATATGCAATGTAAGCAAAAATAAAATAGAATAGAATAAAACTGAGAAAGAAAATTTGAGGCGGGTGGGCAGGCAGGCAGGCAGAGGTACGAATGAGCTTTTGTATTCATAGATACTAATAAATAGTGTTGATTTTCGGGATAAAAATACAGTTGGTTTATCCCCTTTTAAAATCACAAGCAATATGCTGTAATTTTACCTCGTTTTTCCCTTGTAGTTTTTTTTTATACTTGCAAAAGGGTAATAATCAGCACAGGGTTGGATTATGCAAGCGATTGCAATTAAACAGCATACACAAAAAAGGAAGGAAGAAAAAAAACACATGCCCTGCACTACACAGAATAAAAAGTCATACCTTTTTTGTATTTTTTATTTTTATACTCAAGAGTCAAGAATCACAAATGAATTATTTATTTTTTCATAGGATATCATGTGCAAAATATAATTCCACCACTACACGCAAAAAATGCAACTCTTTACGAATACGAATTTTTTTATAGGAACAGAGGGATGAGCGAGATTATGTTGTTTCCTCGCCTATTGTGTTGTATTTGTGTTGCGGAAACCCCCCCTCCCAATGATTTTTGATACAGTAATTTTTGACATGGCATCTCTGAAAAAAAAACTCCTACTCTGGTCTATAAAAAATGAACATCAACTAACAACAAAAATAAAGATAATTGGTCTCGTAGGTATGAATTAATGTCGGCAATTTACGGAACAAAATGAAATAGTTTTTTCTTTCCAATTACATGTAGTTTTTCGAAACCATGGGAAAAATATATTTAATAAAATACATCAACAATATTGTCCTTTACAGACTACAAGATAAATTACAATTACATATAAATCGCCTGATGTTTTATATATTTACTGAAAATGCTTTTACACTCTAGAGTCCCCACATTTTTATTCCTTTTTCACATATTGCTTGTGCATACATGAGGTTTTTTTTGGTTAAAACATATATATATACAAAAATAAAAAAGGGGAGAGGGGAGACATGGATCAAGTGTAAAGTACGCTATACATATGCAATGCACAGCAACAGCAACACATAAATTATTCAAAGCTTGGGATACTTCAAGTTTTTATTCTCCATTTTTTCTTTGATTTTTAATGTAACAAAGAAATAAGATATTATTGTGTGTCTGTGTGTACATGTGAACATGTGGCTGTTATTCGTTTTTTTTGCACCTTAAAATACCTGCATTGCGAATCCCAATATCCCCCCCCCCCCAACATCCCTTTCCAAAAAAAAATTATATTCGTCACAGAGATTAACATTGTATATTGCATTGTATTGGCAAATCGAGGCTGCTTTTTCGGATACTGAGCCCCTCCCTTCTTTATATTTGCATTGTTTGTGCGTGCATGTGCTTCCCTTCTCCCCACTTTCTGATTTTGTTCATTGTAAACTCGACTGATGTTGGTCGGAGTAGTTTTTTGTTGTTGCGATATTAGATTTCACGATACGCAAAAAAAAGGGATGTTAATAAAAAGCAAAAATTTTTTGCAGGGATTGTATTCGGCATTTTAAACAAGTTTTCAACAAACAAAACAGTAAATAAAAAATTGTGGATAACACATTGTCAGCTAGTATGTGTTTAACTGTTTTGTGTTTGTATAAAATATATTAAAATAAAAATATTGACAATAACATGTTCTTGTTCTTGGGCAGTAAATAGGAAACTACAAGTAAACCATTCAATCGACCTCCTTTTTCATCCCCCTCCCACCCAAAAAAAGCAATCAACCTAGAGCTGTTGTTGAGACGAATTTTGTGAACCAGATTCCCTAAGCTCAGGAGCGATTTTTCCAATAATGGAATCGAGGATATTGTAGACCAAATGCTTATTCAGCTGGCGATTCTCAAACGGCTCAAGAATCCTCTGCGCAGCCAACAGCCGATCCTCCTCTGACTGACCATAGAAAAACCTCGTAGCTACATACGGCAAAAGCTCAGCGACCAGCTCCGCAGCATCCCTGCGCAGCATCTCCTCCTGCTCCAAGGTCTTGTACGGTTTATTTCCGGATTTGAACTTGCCCCCATTCTCGGGTTTCCACAAACTGTCCACAATCAGATCAACGTATGATGCAATCTGCTGCTCGCCGAGGAGAAACCAAAGAACCTTCACCAGTGTGCGATCTATGGCGGCGCCAGCAATGAGGTTTATCAGAGGAAATATGTAAAATATAAACTGCGCCCATGCCCATTGATTGTAAAGATCAAGGAGAAGGAAGGTGTTTACGAGGCCGAGAATCGGGTGGATCGCGCCGCGGTAGCTAGTCTGCACGGTGTCTGGCTGCCAAAGCTGGTTGAGAGAAAAGGTGTACTCGGAAAACATTGAGAAGATACGGCTGATTGTCTGCGTCACTATTAGGTGCAGGTAGATGGCCCAGCGGATCGTGTTGTTTTTCCAACCGCGCCACCGCGCCTGCGAGAACAGGTCACTGATCAGCCACCACGACGCAAAGCTCAGCTGGCTGCTCAGCAGCTCGGTGAGGTTGCCTTGCGCCGGTTTGCCAACCGTTTGGGCGTCTCCCAAGGCTGCTGAGTGGTTGATAGGGTGAGAAGCGGCGGGCAGCGGTTCTTTGCGCAATGTGGGTGGCTGTATCGCGGAGCTGATTTGTGAGGTCTGTGCATCGCGCAGCATAGTCTCAACCGTGGCATTCGGGGCATCCGGATCCGACAAATACTCTGACGGGTCAACCGCAGAATCCTCATCCGCATCAATACACATAGGCTGGGTGATGTACCGGGACATATCCGCATTGCGGAAATACTCCTTCTTCGAATGCTTGCCCAGTGCACGCACAATGCCCTCATTTAGCGTGCTTGGGTCGGCAATCGCATCGACGACATTGCGTAGGACGGCGCAAGCAAGGATCTCGCGCACTAAGTTCAGCACAACCTCGTCGTTTTGGGCCTCGGGCGGCATGAACACAGTGAGCAGCTCGTTGGAGAGAAGCCGCAGGTAGGCGAGTTCCGAATCAGCAGCCTGTGCCAGTGCAACGTGCGGCTGCATAGACTGGAACATTGCCTCAATGGACGTCTCCCTGCCGACATACACCGTGCCTAGCCGAGCCACACACTGATGTGCATCGCGCACATGCAGATGCACCATATCCGGCACTTCAAACAAAAGAAACTGCACCCAATCGGCCTTGCGGCACCGGCGCTCGATATCATTAATAACTAGCTTTAGCTGCATACTGACTTCGCTCAAAAACTCCTTATCGTCCGTGACCTTCTCGTACCACTCCTGTATGAAATCTCGGATGATTAAATTGACGAGACGCGATACGGACGCGTTCACTTTGGCGGACGTGTGGATGAATGCCTTGCTGGTGGTGGATGCGCTGCGGTGCGGTGTGTTGCGCAGGGATATGGGTGTGCGGTGGATCGCGCGGAACATGTGGTTGCCGGAGAGCCGCCGGAGAGTGCCACGTCGCGTGTCCCAGTAGGAGCGCAGGCTTTCGGCCACTGTGCTGGGCGCTGAGGTTACGGAGGATGCTCGGGAGACGCTGGGCATTTCTGGCTGCTCTTGCTGGGAAGACACCCGGTGCACCGGTGCTGCGACTGTGCGCCTTCGACCCGATGTTGCTGATGTTGATATTGAAGCTGGTGGTAATGTCGCCATGCGAATTTACAAAGTGGAGGGCATAAATAATGCAATTGAAAAAAGGCAAACCTTGAAGAAAATATAAAAGTTTTTTATTTTCCTTTGGGTTTTGTGACTTTGGTATGCAAAATTCATGCACTATTCCGCTGGCGTCACTCCCAGCAATGCTGTAGTGCAGCGAAACAAAAATGAATTTTGATCGGTTGATAAATTAATCGTTTGGGCTGATCCAGCTCCCACAGCGACAAATATTATTCCCATCATCAAGGCTCAACGCAGTTGCTGCTACTGCTTGCCAAGGCGCGCCCGACTCTCATCTGCATTTGGCCCTCATACAACCCCTTCCTTCTTTTATACTCTCTTTGCTCGCCCCATTCGTATAACCTCATTTTGTCCTTAATCAGCAGAAATGCACACCCAAATTGCACGCATGTTCGCTTCAACCGGCGCACGCAGGGCCATGGTTTCCATGGTCAGCAGGGCGTCACCATTCACACGAATCACTCACACAGCGCTACGCGCCCCGTCATCACCCATACACCAGCGGTCGCCACTGAGCACTACCCGCAGCCTCCTTCAACAATCTCCCACCACCCCAAACACCTACACCATGAGCACACTGGACGAAGCCAAGTACCATGATGTATCAACGCAAGCAATGGAATCCTTGACCGAGTTTCTCGAGGACATGGGCGATGAAATGGATATCACCGATTACGATATCGAGTACACCAGCGGCGTACTGACCTTGCGGTTGGGCGAGAAGGGCGGCACGTATGTTATTAATAAGCAGCCACCGAATAAGCAGATTTGGTTGTCGTCGCCGTTCAGTGGGCCGGAGAGATACGATTATGACATGGAGAAGGGCGCGTGGTTCTGTAGGCATAGCGGTGAGAGCCTGGGCACTTTGCTTGGCCGCGAGATCTCCCAGGCTTTGGGTGTTTCGATTGAGGTTCCAATTAAATAAACAAAAAACATACACAGGGGGTCTTTTGGAGATCAGAACAATATGAAAGCGGAAAGTGTATCGACATATACATTCTCTGGATGATGGCTCGATCGATAGAGACCGAGCCGGCAATTTAACTGCCGATTCGCGGCTCGGATGCTCACAGCTCGGAAGGGCATAAAGAAAAAATTTGGTGCTCAACAATTTTTTTCTCAGTTTCTCAGTTTCAGTCTAGACTGAGTCACCAACAATTTTTTTTTCCAGCTAAGAAAAAAAGAAAAACAGAAAAAGCTATAAATTGCAGACTATTCGGCTGTCGGGTCTTCACAATCTTTTTTCGATCGAGAGAGGGAGGAACAACACCTTATTTTCTCTTTTGTTCTCCACACATAATACCTAACTTTTCTTTACAAAGTCAAAATAATCTGTAAAAAATGTCTTCCATCGAGGCCGCGGCTCAGGTCGCCAACATGTACGATACGGTTCTTATTCTGGACTTTGGATCGCAGTACTCGCATCTGATCACCCGCCGTGTGCGCGAAGCCGGCGTCTACTGCGAGCTGCTCCCCTGCACGCAGAAGATCTCCGAGCTGAAGTTCAAGCCCAAGGGTGTGATTCTCTCCGGCAGCCCCTACTCGATCACCGACGAGGGCGCGCCCCACGTCGACCCTGCGGTCTTTGACCTCGGCGTCCCAATCCTCGGCATCTGCTACGGTCTGCAGGAGGTTGCACGCAACCTCGGTGGCGAGACCAGCCTGGCGGTCAGGCGCGAGTACGGCCATGCCGAGCTCACCCTCGACCCGCAGGCCGACCACCACTCGTACAAGCTGTTCCAGGATGTGCCATCGCCCACTAACGTGTGGATGAGCCACGGTGACCATTTGGAGAGCCCTCCCAAGGACTTTGTCATCATCGGTTCCACGGACTCCAGCGCCTACGCCGCCGTCGCCCACAACACCCTGCCTATCTACGGTATCCAGTTCCACCCCGAGGTCACCCACAGCATTGACGGCACTATTATACTGCGCAACTTTGTCATCGGTATCTGCCACTGCGAGGCCAACTGGACAATGTCGTCGTTCATCGACAAGGAGCTCGAGCGCATTCGCACGCTCGTTGGCCCTACCGGCTCCGTCATCGGTGCTGTCTCCGGCGGTGTTGATTCGACCGTCGCCGCTGTTCTGATGAAGCGCGCCATTGGCGACCGCTTCCATGCTGTTCTCGTTGATAACGGTGTTATGCGCCTTAATGAGTGCGCGCAGGTTAAGAAGACGCTTTCGGATAACCTCGGGATCAACCTGACTGTTGCCGATGCCTCGGATCTGTTCCTTGGCCGCCTCAAGGGCGTCACGGACCCGGAGCGCAAGCGCAAGATTATCGGTAACACTTTCATCGAGGTGTTTGAGTCGGAGTCGTATAAGATTGACGAGATCTCGCGCCAGAAAGGTCTCGGCCCTATTGAGTGGCTCCTGCAGGGTACCTTGTACCCGGATGTCATTGAGAGCATTTCGTTCAAGGGCCCCTCGGCTACCATCAAGTCTCACCACAACGTCGGTGGACTCCTGGAGAACATGCGGTTGAAGCTCATTGAGCCCCTGCGCGAGCTCTTCAAGGACGAGGTGCGCGCTCTCGGATCCATCCTGGAGATCCCCGATGAGCTCGTCTGGCGCCACCCCTTCCCCGGACCCGGCATTGCCATCCGTGTCCTCGGCGAAGTCACTCCCGAGCAGGTTCAGATCGCTAGACTTGCTGATAACATTTACATTGATGAGATTAAGAAGGCCGGTCTCTATCGCCAGATCTCCCAGGCGTATGCTGCTCTTTTGCCTGTTCGCTCGGTTGGTGTCATGGGTGATCAGCGTACCTATGAGCAGGTTATTGCTCTGCGTGCTGTTGAGTCCAAGGACTTTATGACTGCTGATTGGTTCCCTATGCCCTACGAGACCCTGAAGCGTATCAGCAACCGTATTATTAATGAGGTTAAGGGTGTTAACCGCGTTCTGTACGATGTCAGCTCGAAGCCCCCTAGCACTATTGAGTTTGAGTAAACTGTAAAAGTTTTTTATTTTGTTATCACATGAATATAAACTCAATAGCCATAAAACCAGCAGATATTTAAGCGCTATTTGTATTTAAACGTGTAAAAAAGTGAATCAAAGATAAAATGTTGTATATTTGAATGTTTTTTGAAGACATTAAAATTATTTTTATATTATATATAATCAATCAATTTATTTTTAAAAAATGGGAAACGATGGAGGAAGTATTCCGCGTCGCAGCGAACTTGTGCGCGAAAAGAAAAAGGACGAAAAAGCTGACCGGAAGAACCAACTCCAAGCAATGACCACCAACTGCTCGCTCTCCAAGCGCCCCCTCCGACAACCCATTGTATCTGACGCCCTCGGCCGTCTCTACAACCGTGAATCTGTCCTTGAATACCTCCTAGACAACCGCGCCTTCGGTGACGGCTCTCAAATCTGCGCCCACATCAAGGGCCTTAAGGACATTAAAACCCTGCAACTTAAGGACAACCCCTCATTAAGCAAGCATGGTTCGAGGGATTCTACCAGCCTTGTGTCGGGTCCTGAGGAGACGGAGGAGGCGCGGTTCGTGTGTCCGGTGACGATGAAGGAGATGAATGGCAATTTGCCTTTCGAATTCGCATGGTCCTGTGGATGTGTCTTTTCGGCGATGGCACGGAGGGAAATGGGGAAAGCCAGCGGTAACGTCAATGGCAATGGCAATGGCAGCGGCAGCGGGGGCTTGGGTGCTATGGCGGAGTGCGTAGTGTGCGGTCAGCCTGTTTTGTCCGACGACATTATTCCAATTAATTCTCAAGACGCGCAAGTATTGGACACGCTACGCTCGCGGATGGCAGAGCGGCGCAGGAGGGAAGATGATGAGAGGAAGAGTAAGAAGGCCGCGAAGAAGACCAAAACAAAGCCCAAGGGAAAGCGCGGCCGCGAGGAGGCGGGGCAGGAGAAGGAGGAGGGTGAGGAGGAGGACAATGGTGGGTGTGGGCCTGAAAGAAAGCACGCGAAAAAATAAACAAGTTTTTATTTTGAGGCCTGATGATAGCAACACGAGAGATAAAGCCTTGAAACATACAGTTTAGCTGGACTGGGGAACCAAAGTAAACTATACAATGCTTTCTTTTTTCCTTTCGTTAATTTATGCAGTTTTGTAAAAAAATATTGAAATTAATTAAACGTTGGTCCCGAGCATGTGCTGGGTCTGTCAGCGTCTAAAAATAAACCATGTATTTTTTGCAGCAGAAAAATTAAAAAAAAGGCAAACCATGGCAAACCAGGACCGTTTATAAATATGAAAAAGGGGGAGGGCGAGGGAACGAACCCAGGGCAAATAACACTAGAATTAGCGGTCCGAACCCAGGGCAAATATCCCAAAAATGGGCAGAGCGGTTCTGGGCAAAATGAAGATCACATGCAAGTCGCCCCTTGACATCCCTCTTTTTTGGCACCAAAAATAAGCCCCTTGCTCCCCTTTTTCTTTTGGGCATATTGAACATATTGGAATTTACCACTGCGGTCGCCCGAAAAAGAGTAAGAATGCTGTTTTGGCAACACCTCTGCGTTCATATTTAATTGTAATTGAATTTGAGCACAGTGGCGGCCGATATATTTAATTTTTTCTGGGTGGCCGATTGATTGTCCATGAACAAAAAATCAAAAAGTGAACTTTAGTTCTTGCCTGTTTCAGAATCCCAATATCAAGTATGCATATATGCCATGCCGTGTGTGTGTGTTTCCGCATCCCATCATGGCGTGCTTGTGGCAGATTAGTGGAAAAATAGTAGGATAAAAAGAGCATGCATATATCGCTAAATACAATCTCCAATACTTGTTTCTGGTTTCGTTGCGCGAGCCAATAAAAATTCTGGATTGCATGCGTTCGTGTGTTAATACTGAAAAACAAATATGAACCAAAAAAGCCGATACATATGCTCTCTATTTTTTGACACTGCCACTGCTGCCTTTGTTATTGCTGAATTTGCCTCATTTGAACACGTGCGTACAAAAAAATATACACCTATTTTCTTCCAAGCCATTTTTTTGTAATTTTTGGTCGCCAGATAGCAAAAAAATGAAGTACATATCGCACGTAGCTAGTGTGTGCAGAGCAATTGCCATTAATGTCAAATTCGATTTGTTGACATTTATCCAATGCCATGGTTAAAGATTCAAAAAAGTAGGACCACTAGTTCCAGATATGCCAAAAAAGAGAGCAAACAAAGGTGCACTTCACCACCCAGAAATAAACATTTTTTTACACCATGATGCTTATTTTTAACAACCACCCCACTTACCGAGCCACCCCCTCTCACTCAAACAAAAAAAAGAAAACTTGTAAAAATATCTTATGTCAGTCCGAGACAAAGACCGTGACCGAGCCAAAAATATTATTTAATTCTGGTTTTTTTTAAAAAGATGTAAACAAACGGATCTGGAATTCTTCGGCACCTCGCCTGTTCGCACACCCGCACACCTTTTCTGACCCGCCCATTCGCCAGATAGAAAAAACATTTTATTGAAAACATAAAAAAATTGCGGGTATATATAACATACCTTGCTCCTGGCGGTTCCAAATCATTTTTTACTTCTTCCAACTACACTTAAATACTCCTATCCAAGTTTCACTTTTTCACCTTGACGGTTGAAAACATTAATTGTAAGTGCAACCCACACTAAATTATACTCTGAATTTGTTATTTACTCCGCATGATAATGGACTTTTTGTTTTCTTTGGAATGGTTCTGCCGGTCTTTTTTGGTCTGGAACATCAATTTTATTTCAATTACATTTCCAAAAAGCTCCCCGAATCTTACATTTTGTTCGTTATTATTTTTGCATAAATTCCATGGAATTTTGTTAAAAGTGCATAAGCTCGAGCGCCTCTAGGCGTGTAGAAGACAAACAAACAAACCGTCTGAATACATGCTTGTAAAAAAAAGACTTTTTCGCAACTGTCTAAAGACAATTTTTTACTAATTTTTATGACATTATCACTATATAGAATTTGCTACCGCTTCCATGGCTCTTGCCATCACGACCCTTAAAAAAACACGCATTACAAAATTTATAATTTTCTTTTCCGCCGCCCACTTTTTGGCATATTTCTCTTGTTTCATTATTATTATTAGTACAGCTTGAAGCTGCTAATTTGCACATATCAATTATTTTTTTTACTTATTTTAGAGACTACGCTCTCACCACTAACATAATTTATTTAACAAAAAGGTAAGAATTTAAAATGTTTAAATTCCCACTCTATACCCTATCTAATTTACATGCCCACCTCAGATTTTTTACTTTAATTACACTCGAACACGCGCACACTTTTTTCTTCACTTGACTAAACGTCGTATACTTTCTGCCACAACATTGCTTAATTATGTTGGTTGACCGGTAAGAAAAATAGCATTAGTGTTCTTCCTGGTACTTTCAGCTGCTCTTTGTTATTGCTACTTTCACACGTCCATTGACTTACTCTTGGCGCCGAGTCTTTTTTGTGGCTGGATTGTACACAAGGTCATGCATCCATTTTATTGAGCCAGCTGGCTGCCCCCGTAGCTTTTCCCGAACTCAGTTTTTATTTACCTCATTGCCAATTTCTTTGATGCCACAAATATTATGCGCCACTTATTTTACTCACCCCTTACCCAACCAACCATTTTGGCTTTCTTTTGTCTTTCTCACAAATTGAAACAATGCACCGCAGTTGCCAGCTGACAACATTGAGCATACGGCATAAGGTGACAAATGTGTCCCTGAAATGAGTACGCTCTAGAGCACTTGGGAGTCAACGATAATTATTAATGACATCGGCGAGAGGCTAATGCAATAAATAAGGCAGAAATTATTACATTTCTTTATTCTCGATAAAATTGTGCTTGTCATGACCAATCTCTTGGCGCTTTACCGAAATTTTGTACACATGCTCATGCACTCACATACACATTGAAACGCGCTTGTTGGCCAGTTGGGTGGTTATTCGGAGAAAAGGTGCTTTGCAAAAAATTGATCCAATTTGAAGACACTCATTGCTTTAAATTGTACTTCAAAATACCCTTACCAGAAAATGGATATTTTTCTACATGTTATATTTTCAGACGACAATAATTTAAAACTTCTTTCATTATCATCCTCGTGTTCAATTTTTGTTTAGTTCAAACTTCTATTAAAATCTCCCAATGGTCTTGGCCGCTGGATCATCCGCAGACATTAACGATTCCATTTTAAAACTAATTGCCAATATAAGAAGGAAATCCCAACTTGTGCCGAATTATTATTTAAATACTTGCAATTCTATAGGTTTTACCGATCCATTATCTTCAACAATGACTGGTTTCAATAGAACTACTGGTAGTGCTCGGTCCGCTGCCGCAAGGTTTAATCCGATTTCATCTAGGCGCAGCGCGCCGCAACCCTCAGTTTCATTCCACCACCAGCAGCAGCAGCAGCAGCTTCACTGTTCGAGCATGCCGGTGATTCCGGAAGAAGTGTCAGCTGGGGGGACTGAGCGCTGGCGCATGCAACTCCTTTGTGATCCACTGGGTCTGCTTGATTTGGGTGAAGCTGAAAACTTTGATTTCGCACCGGTGTTTGGATACTTGGCTCCTGCCCCGGCTTCTCACAACGCGGCTCCTGCCCCAGCTTATTTTAGCCCGGCTCCTGCCCCAACTCCTGTCCCGGCTTCTCGCAATGCGGCTCTCCTCCATGTTCTAGGCAACGCAGATTTTGCCCCGATTAATCGCAACACTGCTCCCGTCCATATTACAGACAACACGGTAGTTGCACCCGTATCTTTTGCTGCTGCCCGTGACTCAGGTTCTCTCGCCGTTGCCTCTGTGCCGACTTTGTCCACCGCCGCTAATGCATCGGCTTGTCATAGTAAGATGGCTACTGGCCCACCTCCCAGCTCGACCCGCAACGCAAATAGAGTGATCAAGCACACAAAAAGGTTGGCCAAGCGTAGGTCCGAGAAGAAACACCCGTGTGGAATTTGCGGAAGAAGTTTTGCCCGGCCATCGTCCTTATCTTCGCACGTGTTAACCCACTCGGGTGAGAAGCCGTACGACTGCCCAGCTTATAAATGCGGAAAGTCATTTTCTGTTCTGAGCAACATGCGTCGCCATTACAAGCAGCGCCACTGCTCTGGCTACGTGTACACTTACTACAATCCACACGCGCTCAACGATAGCAACTACATGATGGATGGGTTTTACTATTCGCCGTTCGAAATGCGGGCGCCCCTCCAGTCCGTACCTGCGCCCCCAGCAGTGCAGTACCCGGTGGTTAATGGCCGAATGCACGTGGTGCCTTCGCAGTGTTCTGCGACAGAGCCGCAGCCGTTTTTGGGGCACACTTTGGCCAACCAACTTTATGCCAACATGACTCCACCAGTCCTTGTGGCGCAACAGTCACATCCTATGGCTACTCTCACTTCCGCCTGTGTACCATCATCTGTGCCCATTCGAGTGCCTGCATTTGTGCCCTCTCCCGCGCCGGCAACTCCGTCTGCATTTTCAACTGTACCAGTCACCACCCCCGAGCAACTGGACGCAAGTCCATATGACTTCAACTTGGCGCAGGCGCCAGGGACTAATGGTTGCCCAATCGATCTGGGGATTCAACAGCAGCAGCATCAGCAATATCTCTCACCGGTGCAGCAGCAGCAGGTCCTACAACAAATTCAGCAGCAGCTTAATTTTTCGCCGTCGCAGCAACAGCATTTTACTTCCTCTCCCCCGCAGCAGCAGCAGCCACACCAGCAGCAGCAGCAGAGGCAGCAGAGGCAGGAACCGGTTCGTCGCAGCTCGGCACCGGTGATTTCAGAGCAAACGGCAAACACGTTTGCAAATTCTAGTTTTGGCACCAGCACTCTCGAGATTGGTCATAGCCCGATGATGCCCTTGCCCAGCCGCAATTTCCCGGCCAACACTGGCAATGTCACGCCGGCCGGCGAAAACAGTTTACAGGTGTCTGCTTTTGCTGACCTACCGGCGGAAACTCTGCACCAGATCATGCCCATGTACAATGCGGCTATGAGTCTGGACATCGACGAAATCATGGATATGTACAACAGATCCCTGGTCAACCACCAGCAGCAGCAGAACCAGCAGCAGGTGGCGACCAATGCATCAATGTCTACCATTTCTGTTCGGCGAAACAGCGTCAAGGGGGTACTTCACAGGATGTTAGGACCAACATGAATGTAGCCGGAGTTGTGTGATTGTGCGGCTCTCCTGTCTGCAAATAATAGGCATTGCCTTTGCATTCTTTCTCACTTTAATTTTTAATTTTTCATATTTTTTGCCATTTTAATCCGTATTTTCTTATTTCAATATCCAATTCACTGCAGAGTAAAGCTTTCGTTTTATAATAACAAAGTTAAAAAACACATTATATCGAAATAATTATATATACTTGTTTATTTTTTTACATGAGGTTTTAATACAAATATTGAAAGAGAATACAAATAAGGAAAAAGAAAAATTGTCAAAACCCCATTTCAAAGCAGTTAATGGTTGTTGCTGTTGAATAGGAAATTGTGGAATGTTACTGAAGGAATATCCGCCTCACCCGCGTCCTTGAAGAAGCGTGGGTGGCAAATATGCAGGACATTCTTTCCATTGTCCAGGGTGTTGCTGAAGGACACCAGGCCATAGTAGCGACACATGGTGTGCACAATTAGACGAGTATAGCTGTCCTGGATAGCCCATTCAGTAACCAGGCTGCTTCTAATTCCGGCAGTAATAGCTGGATTTGCGCGGCCATTACGGCCTCTTCCGCTGCCATCCGCCTGCTGCTGCTGCACGCGGGCCAAAGCCTGGCCCAAAACCACGATATCATCCTCGTCAAACAGCATGTCTTTATCAAACGGCGTGAATATTCCCTCTTCTTGCTCAATCATCTGCCACTCGCTGTCATCAAACCCGCCAATCTCTGAAACCCCATTGTTGTCGGTATCAGATATTCCCAGGAAGGCGCGCAGTCGGGACTCGTAGTGCACAACCATGCCCTCGGGCGTGTGCGCGCGCTTCATAATACGGCGGATGCCGCCTATGGTTGGTGAGCGCCTGGAATTAATCTGCTGTTGCTTTTTGACTTTGGGTGAGTCCACATGAGGCTTTGTAGCTTGGGCAAGCTTGTCGGGCAAAGTTTGTGTGGGGTTGGTCAGTCCAAATAAGCTGGTCACTTTGGTTCTGGCATATGCAATAACGGGTGGCATGTTTTGCTGAAGCCTGTCGTGGATTGAAAGTGAGCTTGTTGGCGCTGCTGATGCTGCTGATGCTGCTGATGCGGTGTCTAAAAAGAAAATAAAGTTTAACAAAAAATTTGAACTTTGGTTTTTAGAACAAAGGGATATGTGGGATATGTATGGCTAAGGTTGAGAGAGAAACACCAAAGTAGTAAAGAGGAAAAAAAGAAGAAAAAAGGTAAACGGTGGAGGCGGATTTCCATAAATGTGAGGAGTGGCTGCATTGCCGCAACAGTGGCCAGAAAACAATAGAATAGAATAGAAAAAACAAAACACACCCACATTACAATATATTTCTCGTTTATTTCCGCAGAGAAAATAAAAAAAGTGAACAGGTGAGCGACCAGGAGACAACCCAAGACTTTAACATGACTTTATTCAGTGGACAAATGATTTTAATTACTCATTATTCAAAAGTTTGCAAGGAAAAAAAACAACACCACCAGAGTAAAAAGAAAAGAAAATAGAATCCGCAGTCAATGTTCTGTGTAAAGCGCAAATATGAATAATTGCATGCATGTCTTTTCAATTTTGAGCTCAATCTTACCATTGTCCTTACTCTGGAGCTCGCTGCCATCGCCATCACTGTCAATGATATTGACTGCATCGCTACAAGGCGCGCTGCTCTGGCTGGGGCGCGGTGCAATGAACGAATTGATGCTTGGACCCACTCCGCGACGAGAGTTGCTCCGAGAAGCTGCTGAAATTGGCCCAATACCAAGTGCCACAGAGATTGCCATGCTTAGAAAAAATAAGTAGAAAAAAGTGGTAGGGGGGTTATAAAATAAAAATATTAATATTAATATGAGTAAAGAAAAGAAAAACACAATAAAATTGTCAGCAAGACGATAAAGCAAAAATATATATAAAGCGAGGCAAAAAATAAGTCACTTACAGTTGACTATGAGAATTGGTGGGATAGTGGTGAGTAACAAAAATGATAAATGTAAAACTTGTCACAATAAAGAAAAAAGTGGCGTTAAATAAACGCTTTGACAGTAAAGAACAAAATGATGTTGACGTATTATACTGAAAACTCAAACGAGAAAAATGCATCATAATAGGCGTGACACACAAAACATGCGTATTTAAATATAAAATAAATCAGCAAAAAAAACAGGTTGTGATGTAAAAATTGGTTTGCAAAAAACTCGCTACTTACAATATGAAAAATATATCATTTTTCGTCCTTTATTTTTCTAAAAGGTCATTTTCAAAAAAGACATTGACAATCAAATGCGTACGCATGTGTGACAAAAAACAAATTGTACGCTTGTATCTGTTCAAAATACATTTTCTTTATTGCGGCGTCAAGCACTGCGAACTCTTTCACACACGAGCGGCTATCCTCTATCGTGCTTGGACAGCACAGACAGGAGTCGAAAAATGCTGCGTGACAATGGGTAGTAAAAAATAGTGGACACGTGCCGGGGAGAAAAAATAAATAAATAAAAAAGATGCCACCACCACCTCAAGTGACAGGATTTTCCATCCAGGCTTTTCTCTTCCAATGGCCGCGCCAGGTGATGGGCGCCGATAGGCAAAGAAGGGCTTTGCTCACCCTGGTCAAACAGTGTTTAAGAAAAGAAAAGAAATACAATAAAACCTACTTTGCCCTGCTCATTCATCAAAACACCGATCATGTTAGCCATTTAAATGTTGCCATTCCGACAGCACAGCATACTAATTTGAATAAGCAGCAAAATAAACAATGTGCGTGCATCCCGTTCATACATTTTTCTCTGAGCCAAGATATGCACATTAATTTGCTGCCATATGGCCCACTACTATAGGAGAAGCATGTAAAAACTTGTTTTCAAGAAGTAAAGTTTACCGCAATGGCATCCATGTTCAAGGCACCCTTTAAAAAGTAAGGGAAAATGCGCAGAGGGGCCAAAGAAAAAACCGCACAGAGGCTTTGTAGATGCAGGTGATGCATGACGCATGGGAAGATGCAGGATTAAGGATCTCATTGATTTTTTTTGCCGCTGCGTCATCTGTATAACCACCACATAAAAAAGCACATGCCCCACAGTGTCTGTCATTCGCAAACAAAAAAAACAAGAAAAAGGCGTTATCCACTGGTGTCACCGTGTAGCTCGATAAACCGCTGCTTCTGCTCCTCCTCCCACATACGGCACTCCTCCACAAACCACTCCGGAAGCGATTCTGGAACGGTGACCAAATCTGTATCAAACAGCTCAATAAACAGCTCCTGCGTATACTTCCCCTTTCCACCAGCAAAACTGCGATACTCATAAACGATTGAGTTAAAGTTCCAATGCTGCAATTTCCTCAAACACCCAACCAAAGTTCCCGTCTCTCGCACACCCGACGAGCACACAATAAGCAACGGGTGGTTATGCAGGTTGAGTAAACACTCGAGGGCATCTTTAATCAACTCCTCGCTTACAGGTTTCCAGCCCAGATTAGACTGCCAGCGGGTCATGCCGAGATGTATGCGTCGGATGTCTTGCTTCTTCATGTATTGCGAGAATGCGCGTGAGGGGCCTTCGACTGAGAGAATGAGTACTGTTTTGAGCTTGAGCGTGTCTAGGTATTTTATTTGGTCTGGTGTGAGCACTCCGCTGCACCGATAGACGCCCTCTTCGATTAGCGAAAACGCTTCTGGAACTTGAACAAAGTATCCTGGTAATTCCTTCATAATAGTTAAAAAAGTGGGTATTTGAAAATTAGTGGTGAGTTACATGAGAATTGATGGACACAAATGAAATTAGAAGTACTAAAAAACCCCATATTTAATATTACCGCTTATCATCAAAGATAAAGCGTGTATGGGGAATCCACGTGGATGTAAAATTCAGAGGCAGCACGCTATTCTTTGGCTGGTCCACATCGGTGCATTTTTCCTACAAGCACATAGTGCAAGTGATAAAAATTATTAAGTGCAGCAAGCAATAAAACAGACATTTTGTAGCTTTTATTCCTTGGGATTAATGGCCTTGCGCATGGAGCTGTTATTATATTCATTTAATCTTTTCGGCGACATGAAACGGCATAAACAACATTTATTCAAATAATATGGACAACTTAAATGGACTGACCAATGATTTTAATATATTGAGCACAGCTTGGATATGTGTGATATTGACCTAATACTAGCTAATCGTCAAGGGAAAGAGGTAAATCTGAAGTAATGTATGCCCACGTGCTTTCAAGTTCTGCGTCTGTAAATTCTGTGAGAATGACTCGAATATAGCTTCTTAATTCAGCACCATTATGAGATAGTTGCTGAACAGGTCCAGTAATGGAATTTGCTGAGATCCAAGTTGTTTTGTGCACCTTTTTATAATGCTTTCCCATATAATCTTTATAACAAACAGCACAGTTGCAGTGCTCACAATAATAGGTGTTTTTGATGACTTTGGTGCCCAGGATTGGCAAATTCACCCGCTGCAAACGATCCTTATACCAAATATGAAGCTCACCCTCTGACATGGCGCAAGAATCCTTTGACACTAGATAACGACTTGCCTCCTTGACGGCTTTTTAATTGAATTCGATATTGTGCTGATGTCCATGTTTTTTCTGACAATTGTAAAGGTGAATATAAATACTACCAGGAGTTACCATATAACTACAAGTCAAACAAATGCTCAAACCACTGCCGCGCTCAACCTGCAAGTCCAACGCACCCATTGCCAATTCTGACGGAGGTGGATACAATTTTAGATTAAAAGTATAGTTAGTATTTAACAGTCAATTGCACACAATTTAGTATTGACTCAACTCAGTATATACTTGCACTTCTGTTATCATCATCGCTAGTCTCAGTCTGATTGTTGGAATCTGCTGCGTTGAGTACACTGTATACAAGAACATGGGTTCTTCTCATATAACATGATAATATTTTGCCACATAGTCACTTGACCTTGTTGCCCTTCCACTGCATTAAGTATTTTTTGCCGCTGGCCGAAGTGAATTTAGCTGGTCTGTATTCTCGTAAGGTGATCTCCGCATAGATTTTGAATTAAAGGAATAGAATACATGGGTCACTTGGTATCATTTGGTTTGCTTTCGTTTTTGCTGGGAGGCATATCAAAAAAGTGGTAATAATTTGTTAAATAAAAAAGTAAATGAGAAACAACTTATGTGTAATATTAACAGCTAACAAAATTGCATTTAAGCGAGAAAAATGAATCTGTCCATTGTGGCTGTTTATGTTTGAAAAATCGAGTATGGGAAACCATTGTATTTTTAATATTGCAAAACTTCCATATATCAACTTGTTATTCGCAAAATATATAATAAACGTAATGATAATTTTTTTACCGAAGCGTCAATTTAGTCGTAACCTGTTGTACATCCGCAACCTCGCGACATTCAGACGAACAGCACATCCACTTGAATGGCAACTCCCACTCTCCAGCACGCCTAACAACCTCAAAGGTCTTAAAAAACACTGGCCGTGCACACACTGAGCACAGCGGCATTCCCTTCACAGAATCCAACAAATTCAGCAACAACTCCGCCACACAGTACTCCTGAGGCCTCCTCCTTATCTCCTCGCAGACTTCCCTTAGCCCAGCACCAGCACCACAGCCTATTTGACATAAATCAATGGCGGCGTAGATAGAACGCAGACAAATATCCTTCAATGAGGGCACTGACCTTTTCCTCCTTGTTTCTAAATACATGCCTTCCGCATCACACCGGTTAGCTGCCAATGTGCCCAAACTCGCCGATCCTAACATCTCCACAGGCAAGCACCCGAGTCTTGGATTATCTGAGACATCCAAGTAAAACAGCCTCGGCAACCGCCCGACTGCTGACGGCACCTCGTTGAGCAAATTTGATCCCAAAAATAAAACCCTCAGCCGCACCATGCCTCTCCACAACCGATCCTCCCCGGCATCCTCCAGCAAATTACTCTCCAAATTTAGCACCTCCAACTGCGTCAATTTAAACAAACTCAAGGGCACTGTCTTCAGCTTGTTATGTGGTAACCGGATCTCTACCAGGTTCTGCATATGCACCATGGACGCTGGAGGAATGACCAAATGGCAGATGGACTGATGGCCAAAACTCAGGCGGTGTGTGGCTGGGACCTCGGAATTAATCACAAAGCGGCTGGTTTCCATGCAGCTTGTGCGCGTTGTTTGCCAGAATTGTTGCTTTCGGAGCATTGTAGACCGTGTGTCTAGATGCGTCGCTGTGTTTGCTTCTGATTGTACTTGTGGTGGAGGAAGCACCCAGACAGTTAGCTGGTTGTCAGGGTAGGGCGACCAGTAGTGTGGTTTTGCCAGTGTTTTCGATGGGGCTTTGCTATGCATGTTTTTATGTTGGAATTTGTAAAATGTATATAATGTAATGGGGAATAATATTATAAATAAATTGGTAAAATAATAAGTAGAGGTAGCGATATGCGCCTAGGTAAATGAATGAGTATAAAATAAAAAAGGGAGTGAGGAAATGAGTGTAAAAAAGGGATAGGGAGAGAAGAGGAAATAAAAGAAAAAGGAAAAGGAGGTGGGAAGAAGAGATAAAATGTGTGAGAAAAAGGACAAATAAAAAATAATCAGATCAGGATAAAAACAACAAATAATCAAGCAGGTAGCCAGGCAGTCAGGCAAGGAAGGAAGGAAGGACAAGGACAAGAACAATATCATTTGCGCCGACGCAGCTCGCCGCGCAGCCAGACATTCTCAAGCTCCAAAGTTCTCAAGCGCATCTTCACGCCCTCAGGCATACTATCCATCGGGTCCACGGTAGTTAACTGGACCAAGATATCGTTCTCAGCCTCCAGCCTCCGCGTCCTCGACCGAAGCGCGTCAATATCAGCCTGTAACCCGCGCAAATACTCCATATTGGCCTCCGCCGGCGACCCCTTCATTGGTTCCACAGGCTCACCACTCACTGTCGGCTCAACCACCGATCCTGACTCGATTTCGGGCTCTACTATGGGCGACCGCGGTCTCGGCGGCAGAAGAACAGAGTCCGGGAATGAGCATACGGAGAACCGCCGATCTGTCGGTGTATTGGCACCGCTCTCGCTGGTAATAGTTCCCGGTCGCTCCACAACAGTAGCCATACCCATAGCAGCAGCAGCGGCTTTAACATCAGCGAATTTGTCAACGACAACACTATGCACTACAGGCTTGATCTCGTCAAACGGCTTGATGTTTCTCACAACGTGCAAAGTGTCCTCGGACACAGTCTTTGTCAGCGCCCTCAGCGGCGGCCGCCGCCCGCCAGCACTGTTGGGAGGACCCGTGGCCAACTGCGCAGCAAACCCTGAACTGCGGCCCAATGAGTAATCGCCACCTCCCGATGAGGCATCACCCAAGGCGCCATCGTCCTCGTAAATAGCCACAGGCCTGCCCGTCACGCTCCCGCCCCCGCCGCCAGTGCCAAACCCAGGTGATCTCAGCCTTGCAGCCTCAGGCGTCTGATCGCCCAAAGTCGTGTCATTGCTGGACACGGTAAACCCGCTATTCTCCGAGAACCTCTTTGCATCAGCAAACACATACCGATTAGCCGCTGCTGCCGCAGCAGCAGCTGCCGCTGCCGCACCACTCGCGGCATTCTCATCGTCCTCGGTAATCCGTGCCAGCAACGCCAAATCAGCAGCCACTGCTGCTCCGCTAATAATTGGCCTGTTTCGCTCGGGCATCAAAAGACGGCGCAAACTGGGCCTAGAGTCCTCTGTCTTTCCTGTATACGCCCCCAGAGTCATCCTTATAGACTCTGCAGTGATTTCCTCGGGATTCCAATGATTAGGCGTACGCCGCAAATCCAAACTATGCCCGTGATCCAACACCCCCGTCCTCGGAATATCCAAGCTCTGCAAGTTCCTCCCCTGCTGCTTATAGCTATTCGATCTCATCGGCGTTTTTCTCCCATGGCTCATAGACACCCGAGAAAGATCAGGCCGCCTCTCCGCAAGCACTGCTGCACTGCTGCTGCCGCTGCTGCTTGTGGTTGGAATGGGGGCCAGGTTGATAGAGGAGAGCGAGTGGTTCTCGGGCTGTTTGCTGCTGAAAAAATCAACACTCGGCGAGTGAGGCAACTGGGGTGTTTGAATGCGACTGGCTTGTTTGCGGAGCCTACTCCATAGGCCCTTGGCCTCCTTTGTAGGGGTTGCAGTGAGGGGCGGTTCGTCGCTGCTCCAACTTTGCCGGTATATCGTGCGGTCAGCTGTGCTGTTGCGTGGCCGCGCAGTACCTGCTGTGGTTTTGCTGTGATCAATGTCCAGCATCGTACATATAATAGGGTAAACAAAGAAAAAGAAGAGGGAGGAGGGACGAGAAAAGCAAGAGGAGGAAATGCGAAATAAAAAAGAAAGGAAGGTTTAAGGGAACAGCAAGAATAAGGGTGAGAGAGAGAAAAGGAATGAAGGAAGGGGTGTGCGTGTGTTTGTTTGTTTGTTGTGTGAAAAAGGGAAAGGGAAAGGAAATTTCTTGAATTGGGGTTTTTTTGTGTGCGAGAATAAAAAAGGAAAAAGGAAAAAAGGGTAAAATAGGAGTATATAATATGAAAGCGATAAATAAGATAACGAAAAGAAAGTGAAGAAACCTAGCGAAATGGATTGATAGATGGGATTTTTTTCCTTTGAGGGAGACAAACCGAATAAAAAAAGGCTTTTTTCACGCCACTAATCAACATTTGTTGACATTTGCCCTTTTATTATTCTGAGGTTCCTTTGTAAATCCCTTCAAATTTTCCCCACTCATCTCGAATCGGTTGTGCATTGTGGATTTTCCTTACAAAAATAAATAAATGTGTTCACTTTTTTTGTTTGTTGTTGTTGGAACGATTTCTTTTTATGGTCCCAATTTGGAAAGCCAATATCCCAATTTCGAAACTAAAAAATCGGACATGAATACAACTAAAAGCGGATATTTAGCGGACAACTAGAAAATTCATTCATCCTCATTTTTCTTTAAAAATTAGAAAAATAATTGAATTGAATTGGCTTGGACTGTTATTTGCCACTTGACATATTTTATTTTTAATAATACCGGTATGCATGTGTATACAGATATGTGGGACATGTTAAAAAAGCCACCTAATTGTTTTACAAAATCAGAAAACAAAACAATTAAAGTGGCGTGGTAAGTGGGGTGAAGTTATTTATACATATTTTCTGGGGATGCACAGGAGGTTGAGAAGACAAAACCCTCATCATCGGTTTGCTTATTCTACTATATTATTTAATAATAGGGCGGAACCACCATCTCTTCCTTTGTGCATTTCTTTCTCTATCCTTGTTCCCGGCTTACTGCCAGATCGCGCACGCAAATCAAGGTGGATTAACGCTGCCCCCTCTTTTGGATGGTCAAATCCCAGTTGCCAACGCTGCTACCCCCATCTAAAGAAACAGTCCCTGAAATCAGACGGCACTTTTGGAACAGAGATATTGCGGCAAGCCTAAACATTTGCATCATCTTCAACTGCTTCAGCAAGGGATTGAGATAGTCAATTTCTTTTCCCAACATTGTTTTTTCCATATTCCGGTGGTGTTAATACCTCACATATTCTCAACAGGTTTGAACCCGTTTTCAATTAGCAATCTGAGTAATCAGCGAGCTAAGCGGGTGGGTGATGACCTGTAATTAATCAACTGTAATTGTATCTACTTTTAATTAAGCTATAGCAACCGCCCCGATCCCATTCTAGTGGTCACGCAATCACGTTGCCAATGGCAGCAAAATAAGCAATAAATGCATTTTCTCATCAGTTCACATGATCGATTCATTCAACCACACTAATTTTATACGCTTTACAGCCAAAAAAATAAGAGGCTTTCTTTTCGCCACTCTATGAAGAAACATGCGGGAAGAAAATACCCCGAGGTTGGAGCCCTTCACCCCTTTTCTTTTGCTTTTTTTACTCAACCTTTTAATCATTTTTATTGCTACACTATACTTGCCACTATTTTATTTTAATTTCTACAACTCGACAACAACAATAAATTACCCTCATTTCACAACACTTTTTATTATTGTACTTTAAATTCTCTACCCTTAATATTTGCATTTACTCCCGCTCACTCCCTCTGTTTTTTGTTTGGTTCGTTTACCAAAATGGGCGTTCCGGAAACAGTGCTGCTGCAACACCAACGACAACAACCGCCGGCACCCGTCCCAAGCCGTTTCCGGCATGCATCCAAACTCCTCCTCCTCACCTTTATTCTCTCCCTTGTTGGGTACATGAGCGGGGGCAAAATTGACATGATCTCGTCCAAGCCGCCTGCAGACAAAAGTAGTCCAACACTGAAGCTTCGCCAAGTCTACATGCAATCGACGCCCAAGCCCCCGCCTACGCTGGTGGCGCTGTCAACGCAAGGCACTCATGCGGGCAAGGTGGCGCTCAGAGACTGGTACGATGATCAGGCACAGATGGCGAAGGATCGCGGATACGCTTTTCCGTTTCGGCTGTCCAGATGGCAGCAACCAGAAGGGGAGATGGCTGTGGCGGAGGCTGCGGAACAGTACAGCGTGCAGTTTGAGGGTCGGCCCGCAGAGCAGCAGCAGCAACAGAGCGAGTTTATGCTCATGGAGCAGGCCTCGGAGAAAGGCGTCAGAGCAACGGGCACGGGTGCGATGCTGGCGAGACTAAGGGCACAGTATTTGCGCAGTGCGCATGGCCGGCAGTACAGCTACTGGTCAGCCACGCCCCACCGTTTTACCGCCACCAACACGACGCAGGATCCTGAGGATCCGGAGGAGCCGAAGAATCCCGATGAACCAAAGGAGCCGGGAGAGGAGCCTCATGAACCAGCACCAGCCACGCAGTGGAACTATTTTGTCGAGGACGGATTGCGCGTGCCCAACATCACACACAAGCCGACACTGGCCAGCATTGCACGCATGGTTGCCAACGCCTACCAGCCAACGACCTCCGACACATGGGAGCATCTGGGCGACCCCTGGCGCACACACGACTCGTTTGGCTGGCAATCCGACGGACTTCGCGGCCACGTTTTTGCCGATGAATCAAACACCACCGTTATTATTTCGCTCAAGGGCACATCCTCGACATTCTTTTTGGGCGGTGGCTCGGAAACCTCAGCCAGGGACAAGTACAACGACAACCGTCTTTTTTCGTGCTGCTGCGCTTATGTAGACTTCACATGGTCCACTGTATGCGACTGCCATTTGGGCGGAAACAAGTGCAACATGACTTGTCTGCAGGAGTCAATGGGGGACGAGACATCGGATAATTACTTTTACGCTGCGGCGCAGATTTTCATGGATGTCGTCAGGCAATACCCTGAGGCGAACATTATTTTCTCCGGCCATTCTCTTGGTGGCTCCCTCTCAAGTCTTCTCGGTCTTACCTTTGGCTTGCCCTCGATTGCGATGGAGGCGCCTGGCGATCGCTTGGCGTCAGAGCGCCTGCACCTGCCGCGTCCTCCATCGGCCATCATGCAGCGGCTGCCATTGTTCCATGTGGGCAATACAGCGGATCCCGTGTTCATGGGCATGTGCTCGGGTCGCACATCCTCGTGTTATTACGCGGGGTATGCGATGGAGTCGAGGTGTCATAATGGAAGACAGTTGGTGTTTGACACTGTGCTGAGGAGGGACTGGCGTATGGATATAAGACATCATCGGATTAATGAGGTTATTTACTTGGTCATTGAGCCTTGGGGTAATTTGGATCCCGAGGAAAAATTTCCAGAGCTGAGACTGGAGGACCCTGAGTGCGCTGACTGTGGGCTGTGGAAGTTTATGGATAATGATTCGCCGCAATAAAAATGTAATGAATGATGCTATGTTCTTTCAAGTAATGGAATGTTTTGCATGACATGTAGAATAAAATGAAAAGACTGCCATCAGCATGGGTGCCAACAGTTAATTATATATTTGTATGTCAGCCTTTATAGAGCAGGAGCAAATAAAAAATAGAACAGGATAGAATAAAATAAAACGAATTATTCAGTGAGAACAAGGACGCTATAAATTTTCCGTCGACTGCATCCATTGTCTCATGTCCAATTTCTATCATTTAGTTGGTTCAGTGCCTCTTCGACAACGCTTGCTTATTTGGCAAAATGAGCTGACTATTAAATAATAAAGAACTTGCAAACAAAATCCGTATTACCCGTTAATATAAAGAAAAAAGAAATTATTCTTGACATTCATCCAACTAATTTTTATTTTCTTTGTTTTTTAACAAATAAAACATTCAAAGAAAAACCACCCAAATGAAACATACAAAGGATGCTAGCATTGCGTAAAAAAATAAATGTTGTAAGGAGGGGTAACCCCGAGCAATAAAATAAAATAAAATAAGGGTGCAATAGTTGTCCCTCCCTACAGTATATAAAGCTGAATTATTTTTATTCCTTACCTCTGTTATAGTAAGAGGGGGGTGTGAAGAGCACTAGTTGTCTAGTGGTAAAAGCTAGGGGTGATTTTATAAAAGGTTTTATTACTGATGTTTCTAAAGTACTACTAGGGCCGGCCTCATCTTATATATGTGCCCTGTCGCCTTTGTTGTGCACATTGTCAATTGTGCGCTCCGTTGGTGAGAACTGGATCTGCTGCGAGCAGACCGATATCTTGGCAAGTCAATGTTGTGGTTTTCGTGCGTGTACGCTCATGCGTGTGCATTGCAAAATGGGGAGCATGTTTGGGCATCAATGTAATGCCTCCCTAATTTACGCCTGCGTTATCCAATTAGCGTCCTATCGATCAGCACGCAAGTGGAAACCTGTTTCGCGATTCTCGACTTCAACATCCACTTCCATATCTTCAGTCTGCGCAACATCTCTCTTTTTCATTTTTTCCCTCATCTAAATCCAAAAAAATTGATACACTCCTATTATTTTTTAACAACTATTAAACCCAACAGTACATATGAGCGCAGCACTGGAAACGACGGGACAAATGTACGAGTGTATAAGCGCGCAGTTAAAAGTTTTAGAAGCTTATGAACTTAAAGCTAACAAAAAATTGATTGAAAAGTTGGAAAAAGAAGGTAAAACATTCAAATATGTACATGTACCAATCAGAGATACACTAGTTAAATTTAAAATACTTTTACATGAGGAGTATAATTTACAGAATTTAAGAAATGCTGTTGATACTCGAACTAAAATATTGAAAAAGAAAATAAAACATTTTTATATAGATATTGATAATTTTGCTACAAGTCTAAACACACGTGATTTATGTAAAATAAAATAAAATTTAATGATCAATTTGAAGTATACGAAGAGACATACCCAAAAAAAATATCTAAGAAAAACTCTGGAAAAAAAGCGTGGCGAAAATTAATAGCTTTTGTCATTACTATTTGACGGATAAAAGAATAAGCTATATGCACTAAATGAATTATGTTAAATAAATTTGAGAGTTGTTTTAATAAACTTTTTAAAATGACTTTTAACCAGTCAGCGCCTGCATTTTTAAATGACCCAAATTATGTGTACTTATTAGTTAAATGGAATCAACTGATCAACCAGCCTTAATTATTGTTGTTATGTTGTAAGAGTGACCAAAGGGAAGGCCAATAAATACAAACTAAACAGTTAAAAGGAACACTGTTAAAAGGGTAATTAAATAGTTATTAGAAAACCAAGGTATTGTCATCCTCATGGTGGGAGCACCTTAGTATATATCGAACCTAAACTATAATAATGTATATGGCATTTCCCATGCCACACACATGCATACAAACATCTAAAAGGGCGCTAATAGTTAAACAAATGGTATTGTAATACACCTCGAAATTACATCAATTTCTGCTGATATAATTCTCTGGCAAAAACAGATTCAATCATGAGCACCGTGTACCTTCAAAATCAATGTAATTTGTTTAGAACATCGGGTGACGTCCTACATCTGTCCAATGCATCTGTGCGCGCATACGGGTCTCAGCCTGGGTCGCTGGCCTGGGTCGCGATCCCCCTAAGGGGTTCTCAACAGTTAGTTATGCCTAATTGCATCCAACTCCAACAGACCTACAAAAACAGTGAAGGCTAGTTCAACAATTGATTCTGATTAACTAATAGATTGGTTGGTTGATCCAAATTATCATCCATGTGAACGTGTGAACATGTGAACAACAACAATCAACATTTAAAAATAAGACACCCAAAGTCTGATGCGCATGTGGTTAATTGCTTAGGGAAAATTAATATAAAGAAATATTTCGAGGAAAAATATTGACCGACCATTGTATACATGTCAATACTAAAGAGAGAGAGAAATACAAATTACTCGCTCAACCACCATAAATTGTCCTTACCAAAGCTGTAGCATAGCCAAGCTGTTATTGGCTTTTTACATCTATAAATGAGCACAACATATTATGATAGCTGTGGCTTATTAATTTCCAACCAGCCCCATTTGTGACATTTGATCACATAACGCTTTACTCGCACGCCATCAACTGTACACATATTTTGCTGACAGTTTTTCAATACGCTTGGTTTTTAACTATTAAATTTTTTATTAAAATAATGTTGGCAGACAAACCAAAATTATTTTAAAAAAAGGCATTATGCTTTGAAATCCAATTGTTTACAATACATCTCGGATCACTAAGCAAATACTATTGCTACTTTAAATTTTTTGCTTTAAAGTTTGTTTTCCATTCTGACCATTATCGTTACTGGCGCTGCTTCTGTTGCTCTGGTCTTAACCTAACAAAAAATGCGCGCTGAATCAATATGCAAAAATAACTGGACTTAGTATAGCACATGAATTATTAAATACTAAGTATCGTTTCTCGAATTTTTCACTGGACGCAGGCATAACTAATACTATAATTGATTATGATAAAGAGCAAAATACCTTTATGGAACTTTTCGACTACGTAAAAAAATGGCGTCGAATAGTAAGTTGTAAGAAGGTGGAGAATCCAAAGACCAATATGACTTTATTGTTAAAGTAACCAAACAGTATTGCATATTTAATTATTGGAATGTGGTCTAAATGTTGACATTGCAATGCCAGTACATTAGGTTGCCTGGTTTTTTAGTGCACCCAGTGAAGACTGCATTTTCGTACCATTTTCGTAGTATTTCAGTTAACACTTTTGAATTTACTAATTTGGAGACAATGATGAAAATTGAATATCATTGTAAGGCAAATTAAGTGAAAAGAAAAATAGAAAACTAGCACCCAAGCAAACACACCTTCTAGGGGACCAACCATGGACCTATGAGCGTAAACAAACTATTGGAAATCCCTTGGTGAGGAGATTCACCTTTGGTGATGATGCCTGTTGGAATGGAAACCGCTGAATGTGTGCTACTATCTGGGACAAGGTACATTCCTAGCACTCGCAGGAGCTCTGACTGTCTCCACGTCTGGGTGATATATGTGCTTGCTGGTGAGGTTTTCCACTGAATGGGCGCAAGAGACCATTGGTAGATTATGCCTGGCGGCTTGTACGTGTAATGGGCCATATGGATAGGCTTTCTTGCATTGACTTGGATCCTGATAGCCTTGCATCACTTCATGGTGACATCTGCCATTTCTTGGAGTTTTGGCCGGCTATCCGAGAGTAATGTAATATTGTCGGCCATTGCCATGGCCACCATCTTGAGGGGCATCAAGTCTTTGGTTTAGTAGCTAACCTGGTACTGCATTGCATCGAATCTGGAGTTGATTATGCACAGGAGCGGGTCGTATATGAAGAGCTATAGCAAAGGGGAGATGGCATCGCATTGAGAAAGGCCACATATCTGCATAAAGTTGTCTGTGGAGGCCATGTGCTGTGATAACCACGGAGCTTGCAGCTCGCAAGTCGAATCAATAAAACACCCAAATCCCCATGCGTTATTTGAAATACAAAAAAATATATATATATATATGGCTACAAGTGTCAAGCCGAATTAATAGCGCAGATGTATAATGGCTCATTAGGATTCTTTGGATTAACTAAAATAGGAACTGAATAGCCAGCCCTTGTAACCATCGCCGAAGCAGCCGGATTGACATTGTTGAACAACTGGCTAATCGTATCTGTGCCAGCAACCATCGGGGCCAATAAAGCATCACTCACATGTACCGTATGATCCACCGTGACGCCGCCAATTCTAGTTGTAAGCTTGGCAGTTCCGAGGGTCCAAGTAGGCTGAATCCCACCAGAGGCCCATTTGGTGCGTTCATTGGGGTCGGGTGTAAGACCCAGCCTTGTTACTTTGTCCATTCTGATCATCGACATACTAGACCCTGTGCTTAAAATCACCTTGGTCTTTACCCTGTTGGTCCAGCATGTAAAATGCGGGAGGCCACCGGGGACAACATCAGGCACCTCACCTGCAGGCTCGGCGCGCCTTTCGGGCTGTATGGGTTGTACAGGTTGTGCAGGTTGTGCGGGCTGTGCGATTTGTGCGGGCATGGGTTTTCCAGGCCTACCAAGTGCCACATTTTTGATGATCCTGTCCACCGTATCTATGATATCGCGGCCCGAAACCACCTTGTATTGGTCAAAGCCGTACTTCAAGCACACGTCGGCGGACACCCGGCCGGCAATACCCCTGACGGGAACATCCCAGTCCCAATACGTCCCCATGGCGTCGTAATCCACGCGCGCCCTTACTATGGCCGCATCCAGCGGAAGATTAGCCAGGTAATCAGATGTGCACATTTTCATGCGCCTGTGTGCCTTGGCCACGCTGACCGGGAACCGCTCGAGGATGAATGTTTTGAAGGCCTCATACGTGTCTCCTTTGTATTCTCTAAGCACCTTGAGCGCATCGCCGGTGATTAGGTAGGCTTTGGTGCGCTTGGGCCAATGGTCCTTCAGGTGAGCGTAGGTTGCCCAATGCGCCTCGAGTGTCTTGAAGAAGACGTCCGCTATGTTGTCGCTCTTGCCGTGAAATTGTGGCAACCCGGTGGTCGGAAGCTGCAGATATGTAAAAAGGCCTCTTCCGGCATTGTTTTTGGCCATGGCAAGAGAGAAAGAGAGTGAGAAACATTACTGAAAATATGCAATTGTTAAAAATAGAGCAATAAGAAAAAGAACAGACAAAACAATGATATGGAATACTCGCTTATTATTTATGTTTGTTTTTTGCTGGTTTTTTTGTTCCCTTACAGGTCAATATGCGTTGTTTGTTTGTTTGTTTGTTTGCATGCGCGCCCAGCACAGAACGCATGCCATAAAAGTTGGCCTCTCTTCAGTATAAAATAATGAGACAGGAAACCCCAAAAAAGCTTTGAATAAAGGATTTTTTTGTAAAAGATAAAAAGACAAATAGAAAAGTAACCAAACCACCAAATGCTCGCTCACTTGTAAATTTTTTTGTTTTACTCGGTGTCGACATCCATCTTCTGTCTCTTTCCGGGCTTGCCACCGTCCAAGTTCTTCTTCAGAGCCCTGACCTTGCGTGTCTGGATCTTGTTGATCTCCTGCTTGCCCAAATGAACCCTTCCGTACTTGTCGCCGAGCCCATCACGCGAGATATTCTTAACCTTGACGACCTTGAGCTCCTTAGGCACCTGCACTGCCAACTTCCACATATCTTCGGTGGGCAAGCGAACGCGACGGACCCTCAAGTCCAATGAGGGACCCATTTCCTCCAGCTCGACTCTGGGCTGGCGCAAGCCCGACTTCTTCAAGCTAGTGGTGTACGTGCGGAAGAAAACCAGACCGGTCTCGCCGTTAGGACCGGGGGGGCCAGCGGTAACCGTAATGATGTATTCCAGGCCCTTCAGCGAAACCTTGTCAGCGACCTCACCGCGGAAAAGGTCCAACAAAATGCTCTTGAGCCTAATAAGGTTCTCATCCCTGTTAAATGCCTCGCCGTTGAACACCATTAGAGGCTTCATACCGACCGAGCATGCCTGGGACTTGTGTTCCTGCATAGTCGTGCATCTCTCGACACCCATCTCAATCATATCGAGGATCTGGTAGTTGAATGTTCTGCCGAGAATAAGGTTGTGGGGTCTCTTCTTCGAGTGCATGCCGACGGCGAACAGCGAGCTGTCGTTTTTGCGCGCAAAAAACTCAATGCCGGTTTCGTCCTCAAAGGGGTGGATTTCGTTCTTCCTTGTGAAATTAATGGCATTTGGTTTCCGCAGGGAGTGGAGGTCCTTTAGGGTATCCAGGATCACCTTGCTGGTTGTGCTGCCGCGGACAAAGATCGCTGTCTTTTCGTTCTCGACTACCTTTGGGTCGCGGTTGGTCAGGAAACGCTTGGAGCGCGCGTTCTTGGGCTTACTACATGCAGGATATAAAAAAGTAGGTTGTTTGGTTTTCCCTTGAAGCATATGGATCAGTTTGATTTGTTGTTGTTTGATGTTTCTGCCGCTCTCTTTGTGTGATAGTTGTGGTTTGGTACTTACGGTTGAAGCAGCATTTTTTAGCGTGATCTGGCTCTGTTTAATAAAGGGATCCTCTCGGGTAAACGTCGTGATTTTTGATAAATTGAAAGACAAAGAAAAGTTCAACTCGAAATATAAAAACGATAGAAAAATAGAAAAAGAATTATATATACTAACGAAGGAAATACAGAGAGGTCAAACAAAAAGGTAAAAAAAAAGGCAGAGGTAAAAAAAAAATTAAAGCAAGTGCAATTTTATTTTTGTTGATGTACTTTTTTTTTCGTTCTTTTCTTCTTTCTTAATTATAATCCCCGATCACTGATTACAGTCAGTCTTGATCCATCACAGACAAGTTTAAAAAGCTTGGATGCGCTAGCCGCCTGCAATTGGCCAGAACAAAAACGTACATGAAAAATGATGTTTTGGCATGAGAAGAGACGCATATTTAAACATCATTTTCTAGTCAGTTGCTAGCATTCTTTTGGCTCAATTTCAATTTTATTTTTACTAAACGCATCACAATCTGAAATTATCTAAAGATGGGGTCCGGCACCGGTATGCTTCTGGTGTACATCGTCGGCTGGGGCATAGTCTTCGGCACGTTTGTTCACTACTACCACAAGCGCAAAGCGCTTTCCCTCAGCAAGCTCGAGTCCTGGTACCCAACCCACCCCGAGCGCGATATCTACTTCTCCCTGATAAAGCTGCAAAAAGAATCACCCACCTCCGTAACCACCGAGGTACTCATGGCCGCACTCTTCCGCCGCGCCATGACAGACATTACGCGCATGGTCGAGATCCAAACAAACAAGGCCACTTTGGCAACTTTGGTCAAGTCGGGAGCAATGTCTGAGGAATACCTGCATCAATTTATGGCTTCAGAGGCTGAAAAGGAGGCTGAGTTGATGAGTGTTGCTCAGGAGGCTGAGAGACTGAGACCTGGATGGGGGAGATTGATTTTCGCCGCTGCTTCAGAAATGGTCAATTGCTCGAGGCTGAGAGAGTTGCGCGAGGAGATGACCAAGCTCAACTATGAGTCGGCGAACTGCGTGAGGTCGGTGATGCTCGAGGATATGGAGCCTGAAGTTAGGGAGAGGGCGCTGAGGGACGGCACGGAGGAGAACAGGGCGTTGGTGCAGAATGATGTTTTACTCAGTAGTATTTTTAACATGGCTATTGGTGAGGGCGTCAAGGTTGCTGCTGCTGCGCAGGCTAGACGCCAGGCAGAGTTGGACGCTAAGAAAGAGAGCCCCAAGGTTGAGCAGAAGACTGTTGAGGTCCCTGTAGTCGACAAGGTCACCCCTGCCGTTGCCGCTGCTGATTTGGTGGACAGCCCAAGGGTCGAGCAGAAGACCATCGAGGATGAGTCTCCCGAGCAGCCATCCGCTGTAGAGGTCAACTAAGATACTCCTCCATTTTTCATTCTTGTCAGGCTTTTTTCTTCCTTATTAGTATGTGTGACCAATATATCACAATAAGAATGTTTTACAATTTCATGCACAAATTCCCTTGTTTTTTGTTATTATTGAAAGTGTTCTGATGCAAATGTATGCAATGCGAAAAAAATGATAAGAAATGAAAAAATTCTAGTGTTAGTGTGCTGGCGAGCGTGAATGGCTGGAGCTGCCAGCAAAGGTACTTGCAGCCTCGTATTCCTCGTCAGGACTTGACGCCATGCCGTCGTCCAGCAGAAGCCCGTCCAGATCCAGGCTGTTGTTGGATTTGCCCTGCTTGGCGAACGAAAAGTCGCTCATAACAAAGGCATCATCCATACCGTCAAGTGTTCCACCACTTGCGACAAGCTCCTCCTCCAGTCGCTGGGCGCCCCTGCTGCCGCCGCCGTACTGATGGCTGCGCCTCGTAATCCACCAATCAAAGATGCGCCTGCGCACAAAAAAGCACAGCAAAAAGGACACAACCAGCATAAAGAAAAATGCAAATCCGACCCAGTGCGCAGACTCCAATTGGCCTGACGGGGCAGTGACCGGCGACGGCGAGTTCTTCATCTCGTCAGATACAATGGCCGAGCGCAAGGACGAGGAAAAGGAGAGGTTATCCGGCGTCGAGTTGGTGAACGCTGTAAAGAGGTCTAGGATTTCGCGCGGCTTGTCGACGCCGACCATATGTGACGCGTCGTTAATCAATGCGTAGGTCAGCCCGCGGTCCGACTGTACGCGGCCAACGGTCTTGCCCAAAATGGCCCAATCGGCAGCCTGCACGCTATCAGAAAAACCCGTCGCACCGGCCCACGTCATATTGCCAATTGTCCATTCGGTCCCAATATGGTTGCACAAATAGTCCATCTGGCCGACAAAGAACAGAACAGGAATATGGTCAAGAATATTGTCGAGGAACAGGACAGAGGGTGGAGAGTTGTCGCTCCTGAGCATGGCGTTGGGAGCCGAGCTGCACTCCTTCCAGACTGCCGGCGACAGTTTTGGATCCACATTGAGCGCGTTCTGCACGTCCTTGCGGTTAAGGTACTGTGTGTAGAAGCCGACCTCCGGCGGCCAGTTCATGCCGCACGATGGCTGCGTGTCGGTCAAACGCAAATCATACATGTTGTAGCAGATCCCGGGCGATGGCCCACCCTGATCCAGAAACACCTGCGGGATGCGCTCACATATGTCCGTGTGCACTGGCTGCGGCGCGCGGCTGAACTCGCGCGCACACTTGTCCATCAGCTCCAGCATGCTCTTTTCCACATCGGCGCTGAGGAGGTCGCGCTCCTTCAGCACGTCCACGTACGACATGTACATTGGCAGCGGGTCGACCCAGCCGTTGCCGATCATGAGCCCGCCCAAGTTAAACCTCTCGTCCTCGGGCATCTTGAGCACAGCGTCGGCCAAATACGGAATATATGTGCCCGCCTCCGACTCACCAGCAATGTACAGCTGCTTTTCGCGGAATTCCGGGAATATTTCATAAAACTTGCGTAGAAAGTCCAGAAGAAACGTTGTGGCCTCCTTGAACGAGTGCGCGTAGTTCTTGATGTTAGCCACACTGAAGCCCGTGCCAAACGGCTGGTCAATGTAGAGCACGTCGAACTGCTGTGTCAGGCTGTGGTCGCGGAACCCCAGTCTGTTGCTGCCGTCAAATTTGTACGGCCCGTTCTCCATGAATACTCCGTCCAGACTGGTGCACCCGGGTCCGCCGTTCAGCCAGAGTATAAACTTATCCTTGTTTTGTGTGTTGGTTGTGTTGCTTATAAGCCAAAAGAACATGACGTCCTTTGCGCTCTGTATGGGAATTTGGCCGGCGTACTGCTCCAAGGAGTCAAATTCGCTCCCATCTTGGAACGGAATTGCTGAAACCTCAAAGTCGCTCTTTGCTGGCAACACCGTGGTGTTGTCCCTTGCTTGTAGCATTTTCAACGTATATATATTCAGAGTCAGGAGGGGGTGGGTTTGTGTGCGGGAGAAAGCCAGGGAATAAAAAATAGGGGGATGAGAAAGTGGGGAGGATGGTCTGGAGAAATAATATAAAAGGAAGCGTTAGAAGAAGAGGAAGCATAAAAGAAAAATAGAATAACATGCTGGCGGTGCAGTGTGGTGTGTGCAGTGGTATTTTTTAATGGCGTCACAAAGACAAATTAACCCAGCCCAAAAAAGCAGTGTCATCAAAGTGATGTGATCAGCATTTGTCAAATTACGCTGTTCTGATCAAATGAGAGGTCCAATGAGCAATAAAACTAAAAAAATACTTTTTTTTAATCTCAGCCCCCGCGGTCTGTCCACTCAAAATCGTCGATAAAATTTATAGCCACAAAGGCGACACAAAAATACTTGCATCCGCGTCCTTTATGGCCAAGTACCATCTGTCGCTACAAAGCTCTACCCAGGTCGCTTTATCTTTTGCCATTAAGCCGACTCTGCAGCTGGCGTTTGTGTCGCTGACGCTGTTCAACATGCTGCACACTGAATTTTTCACAAAAACCCCAATGGGCATCTCCGACGCGTCAGATGCATCTACAAATGACATGCTGGCCAGTGCCAGGGATGGTACGTTCAGATTTATACCTGTCTACGTGCAGCCGACGCTCAGCAATATCTACATCGAGTGCAAGCGCAGTGAGCTCGTTGCAGTGATTGGCAGGGCCGACTCGGGCAAGTCGTCACTCATGTCAGCAATTCTCAGCGAAAATATAATTGACCTGCCAGGTGGCCAAAAGGCGCGAGTGTCGCTGGGACATGCAATGTACTCACGAGCTGATATCTACATTCTCGACGACCCACTGGCTGCCGGATATTGTTTGAATTAATGTTTACCAAATTACTTTATAAGAGATTTGGAACAAAACCACCCTTTCAATTTGATCGTCGTCTTCTGTCTTTGCCGAGATTGACAATAGTAGATATTTTATAGACCGCCAAAGGATTTAAAGGCTAATTAACATTTCGATTGTTTCAATTTCAATTGCAACCCTGTGAACCTGCTTTTTTCTTTCTGGGGCTTGTGATACAAAACTGGCCAAACACGTACTTATAGTGAAAATAAAACTATTTTGTCAATCTTTTGAAAGAAAACAAGTTTAATAGCAAGATTAATATTTATTCGAACTCACCCTTCTCCCATTGGGCTCTGTTCTGGCCAGTTTTATTATTTAATTTCCTCTTTCCAAAATTACGCTAGTTTCTATTTTTATCTCTTATTGCGTTTTCATCCTTATTTTCCCTATTTAATTTTATTTCATTTTCTATTAACACTATCATTTCAACGACAAACATGTCAGCCACATACAACCTTCCACTAGTTATCACCCATCTTATATTGGAATACGCGTCAACGGTCAACAAAAGGAACCTAACTTTGGCATGGAAGCACTCGCTCAAATTACTCGCCGTTTGTCAGGAGTGGAGAGCTATAGGCAAGTGTGTAGTGTACAGAACGGCGTACCTGATCGAAGAGACGCCAGACGAACCTGACGACAAAACAGAGATAACAAACATTGATCTTATCAAATCAGTCAACTTTGCGCATCTGGTCCGGACCGTGTTTGTCATAGCGACTAACGAGATGTGTCTCGGCACGTTCATCCTCACACACAAAACTATTTTCGAATCAGACAAATATGATTGGACTCGCGTCAACTGCTTCGATATGACTGTCAGCGAGTATGTGGATAAACGGAACGCGCTTCTTATCGATGAGCCGTCTTATGAACTGGCGCCAGATAACTCATTTGCTGATTATTTTGCGGCCACTATGCCCAATGTAGTCAGCGTTAGCTTTAACATAAACCCCGTCACCAACAAAACCACCGCACTGTGCAGCAGAATTATCAACGGATACGGTGGCCAACTGCGCTCGATATACAATAACTGCGTTACAAACTTCACAGCGTTTACATCTCAGTCTTTTTTGGCGAATCTGACGCATTTGGATATCAAATTGGACTCTGTGGTAGAGAGCATCCTCCCAAAGATCAATCCAGCGGCACTCTTTCATTTAAAGATGTGGAATGTGCCTTTGCATTTCTCATGGGATTATTTTTCTCAGAATCAGTCCTCCAACATTATCGTCTTCAACCGATTAAAGGTTTTGTTTTTGTCATTTGTTGACGAGACAGTCAGTTCAAATGTCATTCACACAAATATTCAGGCCGGCTCAAATAATATTATTGGAAGGCATTACGTTCGATTTCCAAAGCTCGATTACCTGACAATTATTAACAACCCAGGCACTCAGCTTCTCTCGGCACACTACACATTTCCCGAGGTGATTTGGTCAGTTACCATTTCAAAATCGCTGAATACAATACAATTGGTCAAGGAGTCCAACATAAAGGAGATTAAGAGCCTGGTACTCTACGTCGACAATATCGGGCAAGAAAGCGAGTCCGAGTTTTACAGGTTGACTAACCATTACTTTAATAGCAAGACTCGCGTATCTAGAAGCAGAATCTGCCTCGAAAGGACACATTTCCCCCTGGACTTCAACAGAATCAACTGGACCAATCTTACCCAGATACATTTGAGAGAGGTGATTGATATTCATCACATCACATCACTATTAGCCAATATGTCCGAGTTGACCAGATTGTCGGTTGGTTTTTTCCGCGTGGATTCCTTTTCAGAGTTCATAAGCGACGCGGTGTACAACACAGATCATAGCCGGTCAAAGTTGGCACCGCTCAACACGAGTATCCAGGTGATTAGTTTGGTCAAAGTTATCTGTAATGCTTTGCAGCTAGGTGATTTGGAAACGTGGGTTTATTTTCTGATTCTGCAGCTACCTTCATTGAGGCAGATAAACATATTTCAAAAACAATTTGTGGGCTTGAATGCTTTTATTTTACAGTTTGAAGCCTTATATCCCCATATTAGAAATATAAAAATTATGTACTAGACGTTTATATAAAATTATTATTCACCCGAATAATTTATTAAAAACTTACATGACTAAATTTATATATAAAATGTAAACAAGTATAAGCCTTTAATAATAAAAATTGTGGAAGCGTACACAACTATCACTCAACAGTCATTCAACGTATCCTTTTGTGGTTTTATTTTAATAAACACGAAATCCCGCGGCCGACGACGAGTTTGCCGTGGTCAACAGCATTCCATACACACTGGACTCCATGATTAGCAGCACAGACACCCTAGCACCCGCCTCACAGTCACTTGGAGCCGCCCTGTGTGATCACGAGAGACTGTACTTTTGCGTCATTTATCTGGCGCCCAGCGACTTTTCCCAGTTGAGCTATAAGGCCCTGAACCTCAGACCTAATGGCGTGCCGCTGAAGAAGGGACAGGAGGTTGGCGGCCTCAAGTTGGGCTTGACCGTGGTGCTTGTCTTCTCGGCACCGAACACGTTCAAGTTCAACGTCAGTGCTAACCAGACCGTCAAAATGGGCGAAGCGCTGGGCTATGTAGCATAAACCAAGCAATTTACATTTGTTTGTTTTTTGGATGGTTCAAATATGTTGCAAATGGCCTTGGTGTACAAGTTAAAGTTGTATGCATATGACAATGCTTTTGCCAAACAACACCAATAAAGATATCCTATAAATAAGGGATTGTGGACGAGCATCTACGCCCTGGGATTTCTTTTAATTCATATTCAAAATTTAGCCCCTTTCAACAAATACAATTTGATATTTCAAAAATCAATTTATGCAAGCGCGGAGTAGGCTGACAAAAAAAGAAAGCGAGCGCATACTTCATTTCCACTGTTTTTTTTGGCGCGTGCACAAGCTGCGGATTTCTGGCTGCCATTTTTTGTGCCTGTAAATGAAGAGAGATTGCGTGATCGTCGCAAAGATCGATTGGCCACAGGCTTTTTCAACATTTCTTACTTCGTCAAGCACGTCAATGCGCACATGCACCGAAAAAAAAACCCAGGCACAAGACGGCCTGGGTCCATTCGCAGTCTCTATATCTTCCTCGGGCAAACCCCAAGATAACAAAAAAGACTCGCGTCCTTGTCTCTTCAGCCTCTCAGTCTAGTCTTTCACAAGTTTTAATCTTATATTTCCATTTTTTGCACGCTTTATACACATCACGCCTTTTGGCACATGTCTGACACAACCTTTCGTGATCCCCAGAGCGGCGGCTCGCTCATCCTGGCGTGGCAGGCCAAGGCCAAGACCATTCTGATCGTCGGCGGGGGCGCAGTGGCTGCCGGGCGGGTATTCAGCGCGCTCGAAGCCGACGCCCATGTCGCAGTGGTTGCGCCAGAGCTGTGCGCCGAGCTGCAGTGCCGGGCAGACAGCAAGCAGATCCAGTGGCACCAGCGGATATTCAAAGACAAAGACCTGGCTGGCGCCGACATGGTGCTGACAGCGATCAACGACGGAGACGAGTCGCGGCGGATAGCGACCATATGCCGGGCACAGCGCATTCCGGTCAACGCGGCGGACATCAATGACCTGTGCGACTTTTGGTTCATGTCGACGCACCGCGACCACTCGGTGCAGATCGCCGTGAGCACAAACTCAAAGGCACCGCGGCTGGCCAACCGCATCCGGCGGCAGGTCGCATCGGCATTGCCGCGCGGCACGGGGTTGGCGGTCGAGCAGATCGGGCGCTTGCGCCGGCGCATTCGCGAGGTTGATCCCAGCCCGGCCAACGGCAAGCGGCGGATGACATGGCTGACGCAGCTCTGCGACTACTGGCCGATTGAGCAGCTGGCGCGCCTGGACTCGGACAACATCGATGATCTGCTCGACGCATATGTGCAGCAGGCCGACCCAAAATCCGTCAAAATCGCACACAACTCGGCGCCAGCGTCGCCGGTGCTGGGCGGATCGAATGAGCACAGCGCGGCCAGTGGGTCGCTGGTCTTGGTTGGAGCCGGCGTCGGCGACCCTGACCTGCTGACCGTGCGAGCGCACCGAGAGCTGCTGCAGGCGGATATCGTGCTGGCCGACAAGCTGATCCCCGAGCCGGTGCTTAGCATTATCAAGTGCGAGGTGTACACGGCGCGCAAGTTCCCTGGAGCCGCATCCGAGGCGCAGGACGACCTGAACCGTCGCGGGCTGGAGGAACTCGCCAAGGGCAAGCGCGTCGTGCGGCTCAAGCAGGGCGATCCCTTTGTGTACGGCCGCGGCGGCGAGGAGATCCTCTTCTACCGCAGCCATGGGTACGAGGCGCAGGTCGTGCCAGGGCTGTCCAGCGCGATCAACGGGCCGGGGCTGTGTGGAATCCCAGTGACGCACCGCGGCGTGGCCGACCAAGTGCTGATAGTCTCGGGCGCCAACCGCGACGGCGACTTGCCCGTTGTGCCAGAGTATCTCGACACGCGCACCCTGGTTGTGCTGATGGCGGTCAAGCGGCTGCCTGCCATTGTCAGTCTGCTGCGCGAGGCTGCTTACCCAGACAGCCTGCCGGTGGCTATTGTTGAGCGCGCCGGATGCCTTGACCAGCGCACTGTCAGAGCAACCGTGGCATCCATTGTTGAGGTGGTCGAGCGTGTCGGCCACAACGCACCTGGGCTCATTGTCATCGGCCGCTCTGTCAACGTGTTGTCCGATGCTGCTATCCAAGACCGCTTCCTCGATGCATCGACGCTTGGCCTGCACTCGGCAGAATAGAACCGATTTTGAATTTGCTAATGTGATATTATTTTTATTACGCACGTTGTGTGTCTTGTGTAAACCCAAAACTACTTTGTGTGCTTCTTGGCACTGCTGGGACATGTGTACAAAAGCTGTGTTTTTTTTCGTTAAACAGAAACAGTCAATAAATATCAAGATAAACCCTTTTTTAATTTGCATACACACATATACTTAGTCGACTTCATAATGGCCAATGACTGCATAGAGGAGCTTGTCAGTGGATTCGGCGACACAGGCCAGCGGTTGTACCGGGCGATCGACGGCAAAATGACTGGCACTCTGCCCCTGGACCTGCAGACTCACAGCATGCTCATCTCGGGCCGCTCGGGTATTGGAAAGTCGCTGCTTGTGTCCAGCCTTGCCAAACACTTTGAATGCCGCGTTATCAAAATACACATCAGCAGGGTGCTGGCCTCTGGAAACCAGCACACAGGGCTAAAGCAGATGCTTGCCAACATTCCAAGTGACACTCCGGTCGTCGTGTGGCTGGTAGACATTGAGCTATTCAGGGGACTTTTCGGCCGCGTGGTTGAGGGATTTCTTAAACAACTGGTCCGAATGCCCCGGTGTCTGGCGATTATGACCACACGGAGTCCAGATAAAGTCCCAGCGCCGTTGCGGTTCGCCTGCGATGACTATATCCGTCTGCTGGCGCCGGCGAGTATTGCCGATCGATTGCAGCTGTGCCGCTGGTTTGCCGGCAATAATGCTGCGCCCCAAGTCATCGAGGATATTGCGGCACGCACTCATGGCAAGATTGCCTCGGAGATATTTGCTATCATAGCGGCCCATACCAGAGTCAAACAGCGACAGCAGCAGACCGCCACCAGCAGTGTCGCTGACACTCCCTTACAGACGCTGGCTGGCAGCGTGCACTGGAGTGATATCGGTGGATTGGACGACATAATAGACGATTTGAAAGAGTCGATTGTGTGGCCGCTTCTCTATCGCGATCAGTTCAGGCGTTTAGGAATCAAGCCACCACGGGGAGTCCTGCTGCACGGGCCGCCTGGAACCGGCAAAACAATGATGGCCAAGGCAGCAGCCACCGAGGTATCTGCAAACTTTATAGCCGTGGCGATCCCCGATCTGATCAAGGGTGAGGTTGGCGAGTCCGAGAAGGCCCTTGCCGCTGTATTCGAGAGTGCCAAGCGCAGCCCGAGCATTGTGTTTCTCGACGAAATTGAAGCGATCTTTGGTAGCCGCGACCAGGCCGGCGAAGTCGGCAAGAAACTCATTTCGCAACTTTTCCTTGAAATGGACAATATCCCTGAAGACACCAGCGTGGTTATACTGGCTGCCACCAACGCACCGCATTTGATGGACGAGTCCATTTTGCGCGCGGGCAGGCTGGACAAGATGATACACGTGCCGCGACCCGGCTACGCTAGTCGGCTGGATATTTTGAAGCGCGCCACCAGGAATTTGGCTGTCGAGGACGCAGACACATTTTTCCCATGGCTGGCCGAGCTGGAGATGAGCGGGGCCGAGCTCAAGGGACTAATTCGTGCTGCGTGCTATGCTGCCATCCAGCGCGGATCAAAAACATTGGATAGGTCGGACTTTGAGTGCGCAGTGGCAGCGACGACCACAGATAATGATTTTATCTCGACATAGACGCGTTGAAACTAGCTAGTACATGCTGCTGCCATCCGCATATTGAGTTGGCATTATGTTTTTTGTGGTGATTAAATCCTGCTGCAGATTTCGAGGCCAAATCAATCATCGCATGGCTGCGCCAAAATAATACCCGCAAATAAAACAAAATAAAACATGGCGGCGACATTCCTTTCTTTTCCTTTCAACAATTTACAACAACAATAAATAATATACTTTTTTAAACATTCACCAGTAAAAATTCACATAGCGTAAAAATGAACTGCGCGCAGAACAGCGACACAGGGCCCGAAAGCGAGCTGGACGTAATAATCGAGGATGACGACCTCTCTGACATCAACGATGGCGACGATGCCAACAAAAACGCCAGCACCAAAAAGCAACTGACCGAAGACGACCCGGTGAATCTGTACCTCCCACGGCTTAAAACCAGCATAATACAATCCGTGCTTGACATAAACGCCCACATTATACGGCTCTGCCAAGAATACCAGAACAACAGTTTGATGGACGACCCTCAGATCGTCATGTACCAGATGCGGCTGCAGTCTAACCTGGCTTACTTGGCCAGCGTGGCGGACCATTATTTGGACCCCACGAGGGCGTCCCCCGACTTGAGCCCATTGCCATTGCCCAAGGTGCCATTGGTGGCCTCTGTAGGGCAGGAGATTGCGGCGAAAATGGACTACGCTAGGGAGGTTTATAAGGCGTATGCGGGGGCGTGGGAGGAGCGGCAACTGGAGCTGTCTATAAGGGCAAAGAAGAAGATGCAGGAGGACGAAAGGAAAATGTTTGAGGGATTGGATCGCGATGGCTTAAAGCAGAAGGTTGACGAGGTCCTGAAGATGAACAGAGTCGTGCTTGAGAAGCCAGCGGATGAGCAGATGGCATACGAGACATATACGCCGTTCCCCCCGTTCAGAGTGCCTGAGGAGGTGAAGCTGCCACCAGGGCTGGCCAAATGGTCGTTTGAAGAAAACATTGCCGCGCCCCAGGACGAATAGCAAAAGATAGTGGGAAACACTTTTTCTTATTTATTGTATAATCAAAACCAAAACCCAATGTTTAATGCTTCAATTGATCCCTTTTCACACCATCTCAACCGTTGGCTGGCACAAATGTCCGCATCCTGTCGGGCAACTGACCTGCTGCATGTCCTTGAACCACTCGAACATATGCTCCGAATGGCCGCCATGGCCACAGCCCCGGCACCACACGTACCTGCCCTTTGTCGGCTGCTGGCAGATAACGCACGGGTTGACGTCCTTTTTGCACTCCAGGCACTTGGCATACCCGACATCCGGAATATAGCCCAGGGAGCTTCTGCAGTTCGGGCAGTTCATGCCCACAATGCAGCGCTCCGCCATGAGCTCTCTTATAGAGTCAAACGGCGCAACCAAGATGACCTCGGTCGCTGGGGCAAACGCCTTGTGGTCGTCGAGCATACCGATATACGAGGAGAACCAGTCCTGGGCGGCCGTCCATTGGGAAAGCCGAATAAAGTTGCGCATGAGCAGAGCTGCTGTCACGGCTGTCTGCACGTCGCCCCTGTCGGCGTAGTACACGCATGAGTCAATCACCAGCTTGAGCTCGGCCTTGGTGACGTTGCGCCGCACGCGTAGTTCCAGCTTGGTGGGCGGCAACACCGAGGGCCGCTGCTCGGCACTCATCGGGTCTGGATCAGCGTGCATGCTGTGGGAATCGGGGTGTTGAGCCAGCGATGAGGGGGCTGATACGAACTTTGGGTAGGACTCAACCATGGGAGTCGTCGAGCTGTTGCCGCATGGCTGCTCGTTGGCAAGAAGGGGTCGCTTGTAAATGCCAGCCGTGTACTTTGATAGCCCGTGCGAGGCCCCCGAGGCTATCGAGGCCAGGCTCGGGTTGGCCGTGTGGTTCATGAACACCTGTTGGCGAGCCGGACGGATTGCCGGTGTGGCGGGCTCCGAGGCAAAGTTGTTCGATGAAGAGGGACCTGAAAGCGAGTTGGAAATGGACTGGATCAAGGGAGAAGGCACGCGCGATTTTTTAAACTCTAACGAAACGTTTTGGAGGTTGGTGTGAGAGAGCGACAGGAAGTTGCGGTCGGGCTTGGTATTTCCGTTGTTGAGGTGCCGTGGCTGATGCGATTTCGGAACCGCCGACTGTGGCGTTACCGGCGCCGGTGCTGTTGCCGAGACCGGTGCTCCCGCTGGCACATTGATGCGCAAATTAGTGAACGAGTGGGTGGACGAGTGCCGCGAGATCGTAGTGGGCGAGAGCACGCTATTGTATCTGGTAAAGTTCTCCTCATCACTGCTAACATCTGCGGCACTGATGGCAAAAAACTCTGTGGTTGCAGCCTTGCTTGGAATGATAATAGAGCTTGCGCGACTGGTTACTGTCGACTGCCGCGGCCCGCTCCCCATGCCGTTAGACAACAGATCTCCGACATTCTCAGTCTCCAGAAGAAGCTTCTGCGCTTTGAGCGCAGCGTCTCTGGCAGTAGCTAATCTTTTGTTAGCATTGCGCTTGGGCTTTAATGGCAGGGCATCGCCAAAAGTGATGGCCAGGAACTGCCAGAATTTCGATATCTCCATCATGCCAACCTCCAAAGCAACCAGCGCGTTTGTTTTGCAGCTCTTAACAAAATCATCTGGATCGTAGCGGTACCGCATGGCCAGGAGGCATATGGTAGGGCCTTGGAAAGACAGATCGCTCTCCAGCTCATGCACATCAACAAATGACTCAGGAAGGTTGGGCTGGAACCTGGTCAGGCTGCACGCGTTGTTCGCAGCGTCTTCGCTCTTGCTGAGCACTTCGCTGGCAACCAACGCGCCAGTGCTGTCTTTGCCCCTGTTAGGCAAGGGTGGAGGCTGCTCGATATCCGTGCGCGGAGTAAAGCTCCCAGTGGCAACAGCCAAAAAGTCAACAGGCCCAAAGTCGGCGGCGGTCGAGCCCAGGAGCCCAGCTGTAATGACAGCATCGGTCTGCATATTGCACTGGACGACGTCAGTTTCGTTGCCGTTGTTAACGTCGCGAGAGATGCTCCACACAGTGTCCTGGTCGACCCAAGCGAAGCCCGTGATTGGGCTGTAGTGCATGTCGTGGTACATGAGGCTGTGGTTGGGGTTGCGCATGTCCCAGACCTGCAGCCTGGTGTCGACCGAGAAGGCGCTGGACGAAATCTGCGTGTCGTAGCCGGGGCGCCAGGCTAGCCTGTGTGTGATGACGGCTGCCGTGTGGATGGTGCAAAAGGGCGTAACGCTGGGCTTGCGCAGGCTGGCCGCGCTGACGTCCCAGACCTTAATAACATGCTCGCTGGCACCGCTGGCAATAAAACGGCCGTTGGGATGCCAAGTGAGGCATTGGCCGTTGTATGCCATGTGGGCGTGAATCTGCTTTATTGGCATCGTGGGCTTGCGAATGTCCCAAAGGCCAATCTGGCCCTCGCTGGAAATGGCCGAGATCATATTGGAGTCCAGCGGATTGCAGCTAATGTCTTGCGCCGTGCGCGGCATCTCGATGCGCAGGCTGGCTTGGTTGCTCTGCGAGCGCACGTCCCAGCACATCAGGTTCACATCGCTGAAGGCGGCGTATATGAGAAACGGGTTGTCGGGTTTGTGTGCCAGCCGATTGACAGCGCGCTTCACCTCGGGATAACAGCGCACACGCGACCCGTCGCGGCGCTCTGGGTCCCAAATCATCACTGTGCCGTCGTTGGATCCCGTAGCGATAAAGTCTGATGGCCGCCATATGACGTCCTTAAAGTCCAGTGCCATGGACCACCGCCGCACAGCTGCTGATAGCCGCACTCCCTCGGTAATACTGTCGTTGTTCATGTTTATAAGCACCAGGCCGTCGCGCCCGGCCACTACGCACAGAGGTCTCGAGTTGGGCGCGGCCGCCATGTAGTTCCACTTTAACTCGAACGAGCTCTTTATTGTTCTGTTTGCATTGATGCCGGTAGTCGGCCGCTTCGGGCGCCAAGGGCAGATCGGGTTGGTGGAGCGCACAGCAGGGGAGTCGCAGTCGTCGCTGCTGTTCTCAGGAAAGGCTAGGTCGCCGCGCCCAGCACCCGGGTGCGGCATACCGCCCCGCCCAGACTCAGCGCCTGTTGTGACGCGGCCGGCGATGCCCAGCCCGGCGACTGACGGCGGGTAAAGAGCTGAGGCACTCTTCTGCATGGCTACGTGCAGGCTCTCACGCCGCTGATGATGCTGGTGGTGGGCCTGGTCATGCTGCACAACAGACACGGACTCTGATGACCTGGCCAGCGGCGGATGCGCGTATGTATCAGTGTTGTCTGCGCCCAAGTCGGTCTGCGACAGCGTATTGGGCATCTTGGCGACGCGCAGCGCGGCGGGCTGTGTGGGCAGCGGCATCGCGCGGTGCATGATATCGGGGCTGCCGCTCATGGAGGTACGCCCGTAGCTCCTGGCGGCGTCCTCGGGCGGCACAAATGAACTGGCCATCTCTACCGACGCACTCCGCTGCTGTGCCGGTATGTCTTCGGGCGACCCGTCCTGGGCGTGCTCGCCGGAACTGAGGCGAAGGCGCCCGCCAAAGACGCTCCTGCTGTCGTTTGTGCTGCTGACACCCCGCCTGCCCCGTCCCAAGACGCCCGTTGAAGGCTCCAGCGGCATGTGCGTGTTGGCCACCGGGACAGTCTCAGGAGCAGTGCTGATTAGCATCCGTGCGAGCTGACCCTGTGGCGCTGTATCAGCTTCGATCTCAACTGTCGACGTCGTTGTGTTTGACGAGGCGCTGCTCTTGGACAGTCGCGCTGGAGGGTGCACTGCCAGTGACGTGTTCCCCGCTGCCACGTGGAAATGGCCCACAAGCTGGTCTGGTTCCAGCGTATGCCCGCGCCGGCGCAGAACCCCAGCTGCTACGCCACTGTTGGATGCCTCTGGTGCAGGGCTGTACCGCTCGGCAATCAACCCGGCAGAGTTTGTACCGCTTATACCCGACCCCTCGCTGCCAGCTGCTGTGACAACGCTCGCACTGGCAATGCTGTTGCCATCGCCGCCGCCGCCGCTCTGCCTGCTTATTTGCATCCGCGTGCTATTTGGTCGTCCGAATACCCCGCTCTGCTCCCGTTGCCGGCCAGAAGGCCCAGCCCACAGCGCTGCTGAGCGTGACTGTGGTCGCTCTGCCCTCATCTGCTGCTCGCCAATCGGGCTGACGTCCTTGCTCGCAACGGAAGTGTTTCCGGCCACTGTTGTGCCGACCGAATCACCCCCAGTATCGCCTACGATCAGTGGCGGTGTTGCCTGGCCATCCGAATGCGCTGTGCTAGTGAATTTTGTGTTGATATCATGTGTGTCTGATTGTACTTTTATGTTGCCCTGACCTCTTATCGATGGCACGGGTGACGTCTGGGGAGTGTTGAATTGTGACATGTCTGTGCTGCCAAGGATTTCTGGTAAGGCCTCGAGCCGGACCTTGGCGCTCGGACCTGTGCCTGAGGGAACCCGTTTGCCGGACCGATTGCCGTGTCTTCTGTTGTTGCCGCCGCCGCCGCCTGCTGAGTTTTTTGGCCTGGAACCTGACATTGTGTGAGTGTATGTGCGAGATAAATGGACGAACGAAGGGAATAGGGAATGAGTAAGCAAGTGAGTGAATTAGTGAGCGAATTAGTGAGTAAGCGAGAAAGGTGTGGTTGGATTAGAAAATAAGAACTTGAATAAAAAACTTCATATGACGGAGAAGGCAAAAAAAGAAGGGGTGTGGGTGCTTAAGTCCAAAAGACAATAAAAAAAGGGTGTGATGGCATCTCAAATGCAGGTCCTAGCAATGTGAAACTGGCCCGGGATATATACACAAAAAAAATTTAAGTTGCAGTATATTGATGCGTTATTTTATTATTATTAGCTTGGTACGATTCATGTGCTTCTAGATCTTGAGTTCCACGTGTCATTGGCACTTGGATCAAAGTTACCTCCTGCTCGGCTTTCGACAACGACAACGACAATGACAACAATAAAAGGGTGTAAATATGATTGAGGTGAAAATCAAAGACAAAATTAAATGCAAAAAACGCAACTGGCTTCTTTGTGTGATTAAATGTCTGCTCGTCATTTCGGCTTCTCGGGACCATTAACAGCGCGCGCAAAAAAGGAAGCTCATTCATCCGCCATGCTAGCGTCAGCCTCGGCAGATTTGGCAGTGGCAGCAGCAGGCTCAGTCGGCTTGCTCCCAGCGCTCCTCTCGTTGCTTTCATTCATGTACGCATCCAGATCGTCGTCCAGCTGCTGCGCCGTCGTTTGCGCCTGCCTACCAGTGTGGCCCTTGCCGTTGCCATGGTTGTTGCCGCCGGAATAGTTTTTGGCGCCACCGTTGTTGAACCAAGCCGAGCTCCCGTCGTCGTACGCCTCAAACTGCTGCATAGCAAACATCCCTGCCGACGCAATCGCCCTGCTGGCAACGCCGCCCAGGCGATCCATCACAGGCACTTCTCTTGGCTGTGGCAATGAGCTGACGAACTTGAGCTCATCCAAATATTCGGCATCCCATGGAGTTGAAAACCTGACGGCAATTTTTTCGTGAAACTTGATGTCTGTGCCGTAGAGTGTCTCGCCATCAAATACCTGCATGGCGCTCCGAGCATCCTCGGGCTGCCTGTAGGTTATTTCGGCCTTTCCAATAAACCGATCGTTCTTGTCTATGCCCATGCGCACGCTGTCTACCCGCCCAACATCGCTAAAAACCCTTTCGAGTTGCTCGCTGGTGAAGTTGTGTGGGATTCCAGTCGCGTAGATTACTCGGAATGCGTCGTGGGCAGTGGTATCGCGGCTGCGCCCGGCGATGGCCAGGCCGCGGCCGGAGGATTTGGACTTATTGGGCGGAGTGCCTGCTTTTTTGGTGCCCAGCCTGTCGCTGATGTCGTTCGACGGGCCAAGTCTGTCGTTGGATGGACCGAGTCTGCCGTTGGACGGACCGAGTCTGTCGTTGATGCCCCCCGGCCCGTCGAACAGATCGTGCGTCCCTTTGCCGCGACGCTGTGATTGCTGCGAGCTGCCGCTGTCCCTCTAATTGCCGGGTATAAAAATGTGTTGTTTGTGTTTGTGTGCGCAAAGAATGTAAGAATGTGTAAGTGCGCGCAGATAAATTAGAGACAAAAAGGCCGAGTGATGCTTATCGCGCTCCAGTGGCGGTTTGCCTTATAGCAAAGGGTGTATTTGAGTATAGATTCATTTAAACTTACGTTGCGGCCATATGGCGAGTCGCGTCGACTGCTGCTGTTGCTGTTGCTTTTGCTATCGGAGTGGCCTTGGTTTCTGATTCTCTGCGAAGTGTTTCTGCTGTGCCTGTGGCCCCCCCCTGAGCGACCATCGCTCCGTCCACTGTCGCCGATGATATCATCCAGTGCGCGGTCCATATTGGTTCTGCTGCTCATATTTAAAAACAAATAGTGTACACAAAATAAAAATATATAGTCGGAAAAATATGCAATAAAATATCAGAGCTAGAATGGATACCTGAAAGCAAAAAGGTTGAAAAGTAAAACCAACGAAACTTCATATTCTCGACCGTTACGCGTTTTTTTCTGGGCGGGTGGGGGCGCATGCGATCCAGAGTGTTTGCAAAAGCCGAGCTGAGGCTTAAAAAAAACCTTTCCCCTGATTGGCCGAACAGGAGACAATGCGGTCAAAGTGACAATGCAAGCACCAGCCAATCACAATTGACCGAGTGTCACAAAAGAGCGAACAAAATTCAGTGGCACAGAAAATCCATTCTTTTCCGCCTACAAAGAGCGAGAAAGAAAAATTCCGAGGATGACAAAAGGCGCGTTTGCCCACTTTTCCATTTTTCTTCGCTTTTCATCTCCCCAAAGTCGTAAAATTGCAAATTTCTCCCTTTTTCTCATAACATTTTTTTGTATTATTTTCCAAGCAATTATTTCTTCGCAATCACTTCAAATTTAATAGCTCTAATAGCTTTACGTTTATTATTTTCTCTCACCCGCTTTATCTTTTTGAACAGCACCTCAAAGGTATAACACCACCAAGAGCTTTACTAAGCCTGACTGTGGAGTGAAGGTTTTTTTATATAAAGAATCCCGCTTCCTCTTGTCACTTTTCACCCTCTTTACCCTTTTTATTTTCATTTTCTTTGGTAATTTGTTTTTTATTGTCCTTTACGCGACAAGTATGCACTTCTTTGCGAAAAAATGAGCTGATGAGCCACTCTTCACCCGCCCCTTCGTTCTCCCGTCCCCGACCCACATCACGACCACTACACCTCATTCTTTTTTGCATGCACTGCGACGGTGTTGATGCTTTGTTGCCCCCGACTGATACCCACCCACAGTTGTCCACGACCCCAATTTGCAGCTAGCTACGGGAGAGACACAGAACAGAGCAAAACCAACCGATGGACCCGCTGGCTGACTGGCGCTAAAGCTACTATATCCCCCTCCCCTTTTCTGCATTTCTCCGTTTATTTTGACGGGAGGAGAAATGGCGGTATGGTCGAGGCGCACGCACAAGCACGAGAGGACATTCAGTCTTGGCTGGTTGCATTGCTGGGCGCCCACTAGATGGCCTGCTTTAACGGAAATTTGCTGTCCCAAGCTTCGTTTGGCGATGTGTGGCGCCCAAAAATCAGTTGCAGGCGTGTTTTCATCCTGTTTTTTGGGGATGGCTTTCTTTATTTGTTGCCACTACTGCAGCAGCTGCTGGTCTTTTGGTTTTTGGTAAGGGTGCTTTTGCGCTCTCGTGCTTGTGTGGGTGGTGGCCGTGGTTTGGCTTTGGCTCTTGCGCCCTTTCTTTTTGTGCTGTCTTGTGCTCAGCGGCTTTTTACTTCTCTTCCTCTGACCGCCCTTTGTTCAATAAGTTGTTCCCGGAGAGAGCGGCGGGAGGAGCGGTGAGACAGATGAGCGCTTTGCTGACGGCTGTGAAGACGACGGATTTACGGTGATGGCGGACGGTTGTTTGGTTTGGATATGGTCGGATCGGTTCTGGCTGAGCTGGGTTGACGGCGACAGCGACAGCGCTTTTGTAGAAGGGGAAGAGCTGGAGATGTGCTCGCTCATGGCTTTTTTGTTTTATCTCCCTACATGTATGCCGTTTTTTAATTTTTTTCTGCCGCCAAACTGTTCTGCATTGTTTTTTCTTTTTTTCTTTTTCTATTTCTTCATCTGTGTATAACTAACTTTTGCCATTGTGTATCTATACAACCGCGTCCGTGTGATTTTTCTAACTGCCTGTTTTTTCTTTCTTTCTTACAAAACACCGCTGGATCCGAATCGAATCTGCGTTCTTTTTTCCTTTACGTTTTGTCCGATTAGCTCAACATCTTTCAAGCCATGTCTGCCAACCTCGACAAGTCTCTCGACGACATCATCAACGAGTCTCCCCGCACCGGCGGCAGAGGCGGCCGCAACAGCGGTGGTCGCAGCGGTAACCGCGGCGGCAACCGTCAGAACGACCGCCAGAATGACCGCCAGAATGACCGCCAGGGTGACCGCCAGGGTGACCGTCGGTCGGCTCGTGACTCTCCCTATTCCCGTCGTGATGGCGGTAGCATCCAGAAGCGTGGTGCTGCAAACAACAACCGTCAGAACGTGGCTCTGGCCGCAGCTCAGGGCTTGATGTTCAACCCAGCGGCGTTTATGGCTGCCAGCCAGCAGCAGGCGCAGGGCAGTGGCAAGATCCTTATCAGCAACCTGGACTTTAACGTCACCGAAGCTGATCTCCGCGATCTGTTCAGCCAGGTCGGCCCTGTCAGCCGCGCAACCCTGAACTTTGGCCCCACTGGAAAGTCCAAGGGGACAGGCGAGGTTCACTTCAGAAACGCTAGCCACGCCAAGGTGGCTCTCGATAAGTACAACAACGTTACCCTGGACAATCGCCCAATGAGGATCGAGGTTGTTTTCAACCCGTCGGCTGTTGTCCCGCCCATGATGATGCCAACCATGATGGCCGCGCCCATGATCCAGCAGGGCGCAATCAACGGCAATGCCCGGGGCTCTCGGAGGAACGCTGGCAACAGCAATGGCGCCATTCGCAGCAACAACAACAGCACCGGTAACAACGCTGTCTCCCGCAACAGCAACAACGCCAACGGTGGTGGTCGCACTGGTGGTCGCAACAGCGGTCGTGGCGGATCCCGCCGCGGCGGCAACAGCGACAAGGACGTTGATGTCACCAAGGAGTCTCTCGACGCCGAGCTCGACAGCTACATGATGGACGCTGAGAAGACTGCCTAAATCTCCCGGGCATGCTCTATTGTTTTTAAACTTTTTTACCCTCTTTTTTACTTTTTCATCTCTCTTGGGAGTTTTGCACTTCAAAACTCCATATTTGGTCAAACACATCATATAGCTTGATTTGTTGACGATTTCTCATATCTAAAAATATTTCTCTCAAATCCTGCAGCTAGTCAATGAGAATAAAAATCGCCAGATACCAAAAAAGCTTGTTTTTACTTGGTAAATTCCACGAGAATATGTCACGGTGAATGGCATTTATACTCTTTTTGTAAACCCCTATTTATACAATTCGTTTTGCACATGTTCCCTCGGCTTAAACATTCTCTACCATGTTTGATACAAAAAGAAGCGCACAAATGCGCGGTTTGACCTTATTAATTAATTTATATAAAAATGATGGTAAGCGGTTATGTTTTAAACAGCTGAATGCTTGAGCTTTAATAAAGTTATCAGATCGAAGAAATGAAGATGAATAATTTTTTAAAAATTGCAATTCTGCAGTTATTGTTTGCCTGACTGCTCGCTTGTGTTTGTTGTTGCTGCTTCTTTTTTTTTACTTCGCCTGCGAGCAGACAAGATTTGGTTTGTATTAAAAAATAAACTGAAAGTCAACGTATTAAAATGGAAAAATCACGCACTAGAGTGAGTGGCATGTCATTTATCCTTTCGGAATCTATCAATACAACATACTCGTAACACACCAGAGGCGCAGCTTAAAATTAGTAACGAGTTAGTTTAAAAATGTAAGTGTAAAAGAAGTGCACTTAATAATAGTTAGCAACACTAGCTCAACTATTCGAACAATTTACTTCTCAAAGTTTAAAAAACGAAAATGCAAACCACTTGACCAGTGTTGTAAATAGTTTATTTACAATTTTATTGCTGAATTTTTGTATTGCAAAAATAATAATTCATTTTTCTTTCATCTTTTTTCATTTTTTCAACATCAACATCATCATTATTATTTGGTTTTGCTTTATCAACAATAACAAAATGCATAGAATATATATATATAAAATGTGTCAACCAACGCAATTTGCGTTTTCCCTTTCGTTGTCGCTGATGTCAACAATATCGTCAACCACAATGGGCCTTCTCTTGTTCAGCACAGTCAAGTTGTGGCTAACAGGCGTTGCAGCATCCATGCGGAACCGCTTGACGCTCTCGACAAACCCATCTAGCCTGCGTTTGGCAGACAGCGGCGTCGTTGACAGCGAAATCACTGGTGGCGGTAGTGGTCTATTGGTCCGATCAGACAGACTCGGGTGATCGCTTGAAATCCGCCTCCCCATTTGCAAAATCGGCGCCTGTATCGGCTTTAAAGGCTGTTGCCGTGTGAATGTTCTCGACCTCAGTGACATCGTGGGTGTGACTATGTTCTGCCTGCGGATATCTACAAAAGTGGTAAAAATGATATTTAGTTCGTAATTAACGTTTTTCTGTGTAGATTGGATTGGCAACCCAGTGTGGTACGCTTCGCTGCTGCGGACTCATTAACTGGTCAAACAGATAGTACGCACCTTCGTTGTGTTTCTCCTCGTAGTTTGCCAATGTCGCCGTGGTCGGCGACTCTAAAAAGGACGATGCGCATATCTGATCAAAGCCGATGACCTCTGAACACATATCGTCAATCTCCGCTGGAGTCAGCAGCAAAACATCGTCGTCGTCGTCCTGCTGCTGCTGTTGTGTCAGATGTTGTGACTGCGAGTCCACGTAACTGATCGGCGTTTCTGGCCACAAAATCGGCACGGCAGCAAGCCTTTTGGGTGTTGCTGTTTTAGTTATGTCAGCAGCTTTGGTTGGTGATGACGAAGCCTTTACACTACCCGAAAAGAAGCGGCTCTGTTGACTCGTCGCCACCACCTCGCTGGTGCTAGTGTCGCGGGCACGAAATTTGACCTGCACGCCCTCCTCCTTGTCGTCCACAATGAGAACGGGCGAAGGCGAGGCTGACGGAGTGGCAGAGATTACGACAGGCTTGGGTTTAGCCCAGAAGCTGAGCAAGTTTTTGGCTCTTAAAGTAGGCTTTGAGGCACCCTGTGGCGGATTCAATAACGGCGAGATTAAGCTTGACGCGGTATCTGCACACACGGGGAACGCATTCGACAACCCAGCGATAAGGGTTCCTGTTACTGTGGCACTGCTAGGGTGCTGATCAAACGGAGCCTGGGTGATGGGATCGATTCTGGCCATGGCAATACCTTCGGCCACATGTGGCTCCAAATGGCCGCCCACAAACGCCATCTCTCTGACATCTGGCATTCCCACACTGGACTCTGTCACATGCACTATGCACTTAGTATCTGGATCATAGACGCGCTGGTACCGAAAGGTTAGGTCGGCCCGGACGGCTTCTTCTAGGTAGCCCTCTGGAACATCGAACCCGTCATCGCGCATCAGCCCAACGGCCCTCTCCAGCCCCGTCGACCGACTGACATACCTATGAGCCTTCTTCAGACCCACCCCGGGGATGGACGCGGCGTAATCGCATCCGGACAAAATGCACATATGACGTATCTTTTCCTCACTCCACCCACTAATATCCACCGCCTTGACACCCGATAACAAGGAGCGGTCAAATATAGTCGCCTCGCCATACTGATCCAACTTGAAAATAACATTGCGACAGCCGAAAACGACCAAATCAGAATCCTCCGATATGCAGGCAGAAATAACACGCCGAGTCTCTAAAAACGCCAGCTGAGCATCAGCCTCATACGGAGCAACCAAATACCGAAATCCCTCCTTTTTCAACTCATCAATAACCGCCTTTGCCATCCACGGCATAACCTCCACGCTCCTAGTAAAAAACTCATAAGCTTTCTTCTTATTCCCCTGGTTCCAAAACTTTAACCCCTGCTGCCGCTTCTCTGTGCGACTGCGATTGCGTTCCAGCTCTGTGTGCTGTTTGGAAGGAAGTGGGCCGCCGTCAAAGACAAAGTAGGGCTCTATGTTGTAGTGACGCAGCATGCGGGCGCGGGTCATGAAGAACGCTATGTATTTGGTGGTTGGTTGATTCAGTGCAAGCTCGGAGGCGCAGCCGAAAGCTCCTTTGTAAAGCCAGATGTAGGAGTCGACGCCGACAGTTTGCCCTGAGAATTCCCTCACGTGGCCGGAACGCTGGGCTTCGCGCAAAAGTGGGAGTAAGCCGGTAATTCCCATGGCTGTTTGCTGGTACAAAAGTGTTTATAAAGAATGAAAAATTATTAGACCTTTAAATTAGAAAATCAAGAGGAGGGAGAGGGAGAAAACTGCGCAAGATGTTAAGGAAAAACAACGCGTTTTCAAACGAATCGAATAGTACAGGTTTGATTGTCGCGCGTCTCGCGCACATTATATCTATAAAAGGTGTCCAAGAAAATTAGTGACCAATGTTCTCACAAGCCAAGAAATTGCCAATAATTCAATCAGTCGATCAATAAGCGTTAGATTGTAATTAAAACTTTTAGCCTGATCTAAGCTAATTCGAACTGACTATTGCTACTCTGTTCCCCCACTTCTCTTCTCCATTATTTTTTAACTTTCAATTCGTGTACTTTTTTCTCCTTTTTATTGTATTGTATATACCCGTAACCAAAACCAAAACCAAGTTCCGACATTCCGACATTTCTGTAACTATGACCGACAGCAGCAGCAGTGATTTAAAGTCGGGCGTGGCAGTTCCAAGCAGATCGGAACGCAAAATATGCCATGCCAAACGCGACGCTTACTTCAAATGCCTGGACGACAATGGCATCGACATTCCAGCCAAACGTGGCAGCTTTTGCGAAGATCTGAGGAAGAGCATGTTTGATGGATGCCCTGAAGTGTGGGCCAACTATTTTGAGCAATTGCGGACAATGAATAAGCAAAAGGAGCTGGCATACAAGCGGTCGCAAGCGATAAAATAGACAAACTTATTTTGTTTTCAAACAATGAGATAAAATTTATACATACAGAGATAAAGAAAAAAGAACCAATGAATTTTTTATTACAGTGAAAAAATCCGAGATTTAGTTGTGGTTGGAGCGGGAGATCAGGCCATGCAACTCAATGTTGAGCTCGGGCAGCTGGAGCTCAGCTGAATCAGCAACAGGCGACTCGAGGAAACCAGCCTTGACGAGGTAAGCCAAGTAAAGCCCAATCAGGCTCTGCATCTTCGGGCAAGCAACACCGGTGCCTTCGAGCAAACCCTGAGTGTGTGTGTCATCGAGATCGGGGCTCTTGGTGGACGTGGGCAGGTCATCCAAAACATAGTGCAAAAGCGGGTACAGAGCCGAGTCATTGTTGGCCAGCGTATACTCCATCAGATGCGAGCGCCACTGCATGTACGCGATGTCCTTGACGCGGTAGCCGTAGGCGCGCATGAGGTCGAAGAGGTTCTGGAAGCGGAAGTGCTCGCGGTTGAACACATGGTAGACCACATGGTCCAGGGCGCGCGGCTGCGAAATGGCCTCGACAACGACGCTGGCGACATAGTCGACGGGGCACAGATTGACAGCGTTGTGCATGACGGGCGACTGGCCCAGCTCCAGGCATCCCTTGGCAAGACGCCAGATGAAATCATCGGTGTTAGTGGCGCCAGTCTGCGAGTGGCCCAGAACGTACCCAGGCCGCACAATGGTCACTGGGAATCCGTCCTTGCGAGCATGCATAAGGAGCTTCTCGGAAACCCACTTGGACTGACCGTAACCGGAGCCCAACCCCGTCCGGCTGCCCTCGAGATCATCGGACTCGCGCACACCCAGGGGCAGCGCCTCGCCGACCTCCACGTAATGGTCAGTGTCCAGAGCCGACGTGCTCGAAACAAATGTCAACGGCTTGACATGGTGCTCGCTGGCCATGCGCAAAACCTCCAGCGTGCTGAGCACATTGGGTGCGCGCAGCTTCTCGTACGGGTACACCCAGTGCACCAACGCTCCGTTATGCACAATAGCATCGACACTCTCGATGCACTCAGCCCAGTCACTGTCGCTCAGACCCAAGTGCGGCTTGGCCAGATCACCGACAATGGCGCGCACGCGCGTCGCCCAGCTGTCCTGCCACACAAGGTTGGCCTCGGCAGCGGCACGGACGCGCTGCATGGCAGCCTCCTCCGTGGCAGCGCGCGTAAGGCAGAGCACGGTGCTGCGCGGGTGGCGGCTCAGCAGCTCGGCCAGCACAAAGGCGCCGAGGAAGCCCGTGGCACCAGTAAGGAAGAACGTCGGCGCGCCGTCCTGCTCAACCAGCACCGGCGGGTATGCCACGTATGCGGCGCCGATGCGCGGCATCTGCGGTAGCAGCATGTCGAGGTCGGCGGCGTAGTCCGTGGTAGCAGTGACTTCCTCGGCCTGTGGCTGGCTGTCGTCCAGCTGGAGATCGCCCTGCAGCGAGTCGATGGCCGCTGCCATGGCGCGCAGCACGGGTGCCTTGAACACCAGTCCGAGCGGTGCATCGATGGCAAAGTCGTTGCGCACGCGGAAGACCATGCGCGTGGCCAGGATCGAGTGGCCGCCGATATCGAAGAAGTTGGCGTCCAGGTCCACGGGCGTTGTAGCCGGCAGCTCCAGCAGATCAATCCAGATCAGCGCCAGCGCGCGCTCCGTGGGCGACATACCATCGAGCTCGGCGCGCTCGGCAGCCAACGCGGTCTCCGCAGAGCTACCCTCCCTGGAAAACATTGGCGTATCGGGGAAGGGGAGCGCAGCCTTGTCGACCTTGCCGTTGGGCGTCAGCGGCAGCTTCTTCAGGGGCACAAAGGCAGACGGCACAGCGTAGCTGGGCAGCTTCTGCTTGAGATACTCGCGGATGGCGGCAATGAGGCTGCGGCGGCCCGGATCGTCCGTGCGCCGCTGCTCCTCCTCGCTGGGCACAATGTACGCCACCAGCGTCATCTCCTCATACTTGTCACGACGGACCATAGTGACATTGGCGCGGATGCGCGGGTGCTGCGAAAGCATGTTGTTGATCTCGCCCAGCTCAATGCGGAATCCGCGGATCTTGACCTGATCGTCAATACGACCAATGCACTCGACATCGCCATCAGGGCGGTAGCGACCGAGATCGCCCGTGCGGTACATGCGGTCGCGGGGGCCCTTGTAGAACTCGATGGTCTCGGTGGGCGCTGCAGGCGCCGGAGCAAACCAGTTGGGCACAAACTTCTCGGCCGTGGCCTCGGGCAGCCGCAGGTAACCCTCAGCCAGACCGCCGCTGCGCACATAGATCTCGCCGACCTCACCGACCGCACACATGGCACCGTTGCCATGGCGATTAACCACAAGCAGCTGCACGTCGTACATACCGCGGCCAGCCGGAATGACATCCTTGGCCGACGTCAGGAACGACGGGCTCTGAGCGAACGGTGGTACCTGGCAGTATGACACGGCGCGCTGCGTCTCGGTGGTTCCGTACATGTTGATGATGCGACAGTTAGTCGCCAAGCTCTGCATCCGGTGGCAGTCACGCTTGGTCAGCAAGTCACCGACAAAGAACGCGTTGCACAGCGACGGAATCGACGCTGTGGCATTGGCGGACAGGAGCTGACCCATGGCTGGCGTCAGATGCGTGACGGTAATGTTGTGCGCCCCCATCCACTGCGCAAGCTGGCCCGGAATGCCAATGTCTTCGGCAGTCGGGATATGCAGTTCGGCGCCGAAGAAAACAGGCGTAAAAACGTCACGCTGGATCGGATCATGCGCAATGCCCGACAGCATCGTGAACCGGTCGCCGGATCCAAGCCCGAACTTGCCGCCCATCCACGGGTAAAAGTGCGTCAGCGAATAGTGGCGGCCGCGCACACCCTTGGGGATGCCCGTGCTGCCGCTGGTGAACGACAGGGTACCAACCGAGTCGGGGCCCACAGCAATGACATCGTTCTCCTCAGACCCATCAAACTCACCCTGTTCAATGCCCAGCCCCAAAGACCCGTCGTCCTGCAGCTCCAGCCCCGGCACAGTGCACACAACATCGAGCTCCGCCGCAACATACTCGCGCACCTCATCGGGAAGCTGCCCGGCATGGCTCAGCACTACAAGTCCGCGTGGCTGTGCCACTGACAAGTATACGTTCTGGCGCGCCGGCGGGTATGCCGGGTCAACGACGCTGTAGGTGGCGCCAGCCATCAGCACACCGAGGATAGCCACCACCAGGTCGGCGCCGCGGTGAGCGTACACGATGACAACGTCCTCGCGCTGCACGCCGCCGCGTCTCAGAGTGCGGCTCAGGATGCGTGCCGCGCGGAAGATCTGCGCATAGCTGAACGAGCGCTCGACAAGCACCTGCTTGCCGCTGTGCTCAGCGTCGTCGCGTAGAACGTTCTCGACGATAAAGCGCCGCTCGGGGTGCTTCTGCGTATTGCGCGCAAAGATCTCGGTGATGCTGCCGGGGAACTCGCCCCACTTGAGCTCCTCGCGCGGGTTGGGCACCGCAGCCAGGTCCAAGGGCGCGGCAATGCTCATGTTGCCCACTTGGTACTCCGAAGCCAGCGCATGACCGGCCTGCTCCAGAGCCAGCGTCGTCGAGGCTGCTGCCAGAACGACCTCGAGCTGCGCGACCATGTGCGCAATGCGCTGGGCCGTGAACAGAACCTGGTTGTAGGCGATCTGCAGCTCGATGGTCGGGTACAGCTGCCGCAGGGACGCTGTCGACCGCTGGCGCACCAGAACCGTAAAGTCCGTCGCCAGAGTCGTTGTCAGCCGCAAAGTGTTGTCAGAGGCATCGGACTGGTTGAAGAACCGCACGCGGAACAGAGCCGGCACGGCATTGGCATCCGCCTCTGCGCCGCTGGCTCCCGCCGCCGATGCTGCCGCCGCCGATGCTGCCGCCGCCACGGCCGCCATCAGAGCGCCAAAGGGTACCTCGTCGGCTGCTGCCTCGCGCGACACCCGCTGGGCCATCCGCAGGACGTCCAGGAAGCTGTCCGTCGCCTTGACCTCTAGCCGCAAAACCAGCGGGTTCGAAGTCTCGCTCGAGCTGCTCACTACAATGTCCTCCTCGGCCGTGTACCTGTGCATTAGCACCGCGAATGCTGCCAGAAGCACTGTGAAGGGGGATGCCGTGTGGTCGTCATCATCGGATTCAGGCTGCTGCTGTTGCAGGTAGAGTGCGAGCTGCAGTAGTGAGAGGCTGGATTGAGTGCTCAGCGCGAATGTCTCCACAGCCTCGACGACCTTGAGCGGAATTGGACGTGGGTAGTCCGTCGGAAGCTGCAACTCTGTTGGGCTGCGAAGCCGCTCCTGCCACCGCGACAGGCGCTCGTTGAGATCAGTCATGTTTGCCACGGAAGGCGCTGGTGTCATCACCGGGAGTTGTGCCATTTTTTTAGATGAAATCAAAGTTGAAAAATAAAATTGAGATGTGGTTAAATAATGTGCACCTGATAAGCAAAAATGAAAAATAAAGATGTGAAGAGAAAGAGTGGTGATTTTTTTTAAACAGGCGGTCACTTTATAATTGTTTTTTTGACAAATGCATAAGCCCGCACCCTATCCATTTTAAATGATTGCTTCCCTTGAAATAAAAAATAAGCACCAGAATGCTATGTTGGCTGGCTGGTCGGTCAGTGCTTGAATCAAAATTTTTATTTTGCTTGGTGTGTCACTTTGTCCCTCCCTCCACACTCAAAACTTTTTTTTGTATTTTTCTAATGCGTCAATCGCTTCGATTGCTCACAAATAGCCCAGACAGGGTTTGTCAAATAAACCCAGGCCCGCAAAACTTGACGGCAGTGACTCACAAATGCACTCGCATATATTTGCGGCTTTTGTTGAGCATAATAACAAAATATTGACGCACACCATTTTTTTTCCCGGAGGGCAATCTTTTTGCTTCAAAGTGAAAATACAAGGCCTTTTTCGCTTCAAAATTAGTGGGATTTAAAGTACGATTTGAGAAAACTGGTCCACAGAGAGAATGTCAACCGCCGTCCGACATACCGGAATACAACGGGCATTAACATGCCAATAAAGGTCGTGTACAGAACCTGTTTGACCTCCTCCCACTCGGACTCCATGTCAAAGGAAGATGTCACCGAAGCGTCGCTCTCGTCGTCCGTATAGCCAATGTCTTCGCTGTTTGTCTCGGAGAGTGTATCATTGGCTTCGACAAAGTTCCCACTACGAATGCTGCGGTATGTCAATGGCTGGGCCGTAGTGGGCAGAGCTGGCGTTTCAATAAATGCGCCAGACGTGCTCAGTGTTGTTCCCGATCGCCCGAGTAATCTTAACACGTCTTCTTGAAAGTACCCGTTACTATCTCGGTAGTCCATTTGACTTTAGTATTGATAAAATTAATTTTTGTCTATGAGCGTGCGAATGGAAATAACCGGGCCTAGATCAATTCAACAAAAATAATTGACAAGCTTATTTATTAACCACCAAATGACAGCGTAGATATGGGCAAAGCGGTATTATATCAGTGGGCTAACAGTAGTAGAGCTTTATTTTGGTATTTTCCTCGTTCATTCTAGGTTTCACATGTCTTAATCAACTGATGTTTTACGTTACAATGAATCCATTTCAAAGAGAACGACAATTTTTGGTCACATAAAACGAACAATTAATATTTCTAACAAATAGGTACGCTTAAAATGAAATAAGCTGGGTTATTTGTTTTGATCACGAATATACAAAATTGTGTTTATGAGTTGTGCACTTTCGGGGATTAATGGTCTTGCGCCCAGAGCTGTTGTTATATTTATAACAAATATTTATTTAAGCTTTTCAGCGACATGAAACGGCATAGGCAACATTTATTCAAATAATATGGACAACTTAAATGGACTGACCAATGATTTTAATATATTGAGCACAGGTTGGATATGTGTGATATTGACCTAATACTAGCTAATCGTCAAGGGAAAGAGGTAAATCTGAAGTAATGTATGCCCACGTGCTTTCAAGTTCTGCGTCTGTAAATTCTGTGAGAATGACTCGAATATAGCTTCTTAATTCAGCACCATTATGAGATAGTTGCTGAACAGGTCCAGTAATGGAATTTGCTGAGATCCAAGTTGTTTTGTGCACCTTTTTATAATGCTTTCCCATATAATCTTTATAACAAACAGCACAGTTGCAGTGCTCACAATAATAGGTGTTTTTGATGACTTTGGTGCCCAGGATTGGCAAATTCACCCGCTGCAAACGATCCTTATACCAAATATGAAGCTCACCCTCTGACATGGCGCAAGAATCCTTTGACACTAGATAACGACTTGCCTCCTTGACGGCTTTTTAATTGAATTCGATATTGTGCTGATGTCCATGTTTTTTCTGACAATTGTAAAGGTGAATATAAATACTACCAGGAGTTACCATATAACTACAAGTCAAACAAATGCTCAAACCACTGCCGCGCTCAACCTGCAAGTCCAACGCACCCATTGCCAATTCTGACGGAGGTGGATACAATTTTAGATTAAAAGTATAGTTAGTATTTAACAGTCAATTGCACACAATTTAGTATTGACTCAACTCAGTATATACTTGCACTTCTGTTATCATCATCGCTAGTCTCAGTCTGATTGTTGGAATCTGCTGCGTTGAGTACACTGTATACAAGAACATGGGTTCTTCTCATATAACATGATAATAGTTTGCCACATAGTCACTTGACCTTGTTGCCCTTCCACTGCATTAAGTATTTTTTGCCGCTGGCCGAAGTGAATTTAGCTGGTCTGTATTCTCGTAAGGTGATCTCCGCATAGATTTTGTAATTAAAGGAATAGAATACATGGGTCACTTGGTATCATTTGGTTTGCTTTCGTTTTTGCTGGGAGGCATATCAAAAAAAGGGGGAATAATTTGTTAAATAAAAAAGTAAATGAGAAACAAATTATGTGTAATATTAACAGCTAACAAAATTGCGCTCAATCGAGAAAAATGAATCTGACCATCATGATTGTTCATGTTTGAAAAGTTGGGTATGGGAAACCATTGTATTGTTCAAATTCTAATGTCTCAGAACTATGAAACATTATGATTAAAAGGGGGGTGAGAGAGAATTACTGTAGTAGTGTTAGAAGGGTATGATATTATAATTGGTTTTTAATACTAATGTTTCTAAAGTAATACCAGCACCGACCTCGTCTTATATATGTGTCTCGCTGCCTTTATTGTGCAGTCCACCAATTATGCACTCTGTTGGCGAAACTGGTTATTCTGCGAGCAACCCAGTACCCTGGCATGTCAATTTTGTGGGCTTTGCGTATGCGCGCTTGTGCGCGTGCGTCATAAAAACAGGGAGCGTATCTGGGTGGCATTATTTAGCCCCCTGATTTAGTCACACATGGTCCAATCTGTGCCCTATCAATCGGCATGCGGACGGAAACTTGTTTCACGATTCTCAACCTCAACATCCACTTCCATGTCCTCGGACTACGCAATAAACATTTACCCTATCAAATTCAAATATAGTCTCACACTCTATTTTCGTAATCTAAAAATCAAATATTTGTAATTAAATTTAGAGAGCAATATTTAGTAAATAATATTTTTTTTACAATATGTACAGCACTTTAGGCACAATACAGTGATTAGCCAAACAATTGATATTGCCAGTTTTGGAACATTGAATGCGTAGGAATAAATCATAACAAAAAATAGCTTAATTTACAAAATAAAATTATAACAGTACAATAATATTTACGTGGACTAATAAAAAAGGAGTATTATTCGTCAAGCAAATTATGTGGAGAAATAAAAATAACAAACTAGTACCCCCTGTTGATTGTCAAAAAAATACACCATATACTTTTTTGTTTTGTCGTGCAAATAAAAAATACATGGGGCTTCCGTGGATTGAACACGGGACCTTACGATCTTCAGTCGTACGCTACTCCCAACTGAGCTAAAGCCCCCAGACAAGTAGATCCGAGTCATACAGCTCATTTCTGAGCTACCACTCGTTCTTCTAAACGTTATACTTATGAAACAAACTCATTCTTGGGAGTAATATATTTGGTTTGATTTTTTAGATGGGCTTTGCGGTTTGGTCTAGGCAGTCAAATGCCAAATAAAAATATTTATCTAATAAAAATACAACCACTTTATTATTTCCGATAGCCTCGGCGCGTTTACTCATCGAGTTCACTGTCAATTAATTTTAGAGAAAAAATGCAATAAATTACCATCAGTTTATTTTTAAGTCCGGGCTTTAAAAGTGTTTGAAATACGCTTCAGTAGACCAGCATCCTTATTGTTATTATCATTGGGCTCTGCCTCGTTCGTCTTGATCCCATCACCGCTCATAGTTCCAGAGTTCATAAACGCGGACAAATCCGCCGGCGAAAAGCTAATTCCCTCTTCTTTCAGCACAGTCTGCATATCCGTAAAGGTCTTCTTAATCTCTGTGTCGCTCATCATTTGCATCAGCTTCATGAACGAGGGGGGCTTTGGGTTGTGCGGATCAACGAATCCCTTTTTCTGTAAGAGCTGGATTGCTCCTGTCATTGCTGTCATTACTCGTGCGTTTTCTTGGATTTTGCGCAGCGTTGGGTTGTTCGCATCGAACTGCGGGATCGAATGCCTGGCATGAGTCTGGTGCAAAAGACGCAGTCCGTCCGGCCGCGAAGTTGTAGGGAACTGGCGACCAGCAGCAGCGGCGGCTACATTTGTAATTGTGAATTTCGTGCGTAGAGTCGCCAAAAGCATTGTGTAAATTTGTTGGAAAAAAGATTTGAATTTAAAAAAGAGGTGCTCAAAATTATAAATGACTTTTGGAATTTACAAAAAGGGAAAAGAAAACGGGTGCTAATCAAAGTTGGGCGGGCTGATAAAAAAGGGTGTCGATTGCGAGTGTGCTACATCACACCGCAATCAGAAACTGCACTGTAACAAATCCCCAACCTGTAGGGGTAATTTTTAAGATCGTGATTATGCACTTACCCCTAAATTTTGTTAAAAGGTAAGTGCGCCAACAATACGTTAACACTTTTCGCTGAAGACAGGACAAAGGCAGCGCACACATGTGAATCATTCATAGGCATTTAGCAGCAGATTGCTCTTAAATTTTTTTAAGATATTTGTAGTCTCATTCTTTTTTCAGTGTGATTTTATTTGTTCCAAATCGATCATCAGCAAAAAAAAACATACAACAGACTTTTTAGTAAAATAATTTTTTGCACTGCGAAGCGAATTTTCTAAAGCCTGCAAGACGCATAGCCTTGTGCAGCTCAGTAGTATACGATTCTTTCTCATAGATGGCTACCGCAGCGCAAGAAAAGCCAGGGCACATGACGGCCATAAGCAATGCGGCAGAAGCAGCGTTCTTTGGCGACGTTTTCTGGCAAGTAACCATATTCCAAAAGCGAAAGTTGTGACTCAGAGGAAAGTACGTAGCATGCATGTGTGAGGGAAGCTTGGCGTTCATAATACCCTGAGTATTGATATCCATATAGGACATTTCGCAATGAATGTCGCAAAGAAGAGGCATTGATTTGACCAGCGATATGATCCCGCTAAATGGAAGACCAATATTGCCCAGACTCAGCATTTGTAGCCTTTCAAAGCCCGCTGTATTGGCAATATCAGAAAACATATTTTGATCCAGTGTATATCTAAATACCAACTCTAGAGACCGCAGAGCTGGCGACATGTGCTGGGCAAACTCGACGAGTGCGTTGGTTGCTGATTCAAAGTGCTGTAGGCCGCTCAACTTGATGTGCTGTAATTTGGTGTACTTGCCGTCTGCAAACACACCGCGATCTTTGATCATCCCTATGGTCCTGGTGTCCATTGTGATGTTTAGGAATTCGAGCGACGAGTGGTTTCCGCGGAACAAGGTGTCGTCCCCAAATGCATACACGGGCGTCACACTCAGTTGCCGAAGACTCGGAAACTGTAATGTGATTTGGACTAGCTATAATATATATTAATAGAAATGAGACTACGGGAAGAGCTAAAGAGCTCACTATTCAGAATTCGCCGTACGCGTAAAATATCATAAACATATTTTACGCGTCTGCGCTGTCACGTGACTCGGCCCCCATTTCTGATGTCACATTCGCCCCTACTTAAGATCAGACTCCGTCGGTCTTGGCGATAGCGCGCGCGGTTAAATATCGTTCATATGCTTCTGTCTCATCCACGCTACTCTTGTCCTCCCATGTTCGTCCTTCTATTCCATATCCTTCCCACTGCACCAGGTATTGGCGTTTTCGCCTCCACACACGGTCGTCAACAATCTTTTCGACCTGATACTCGAGGTGTCCTGCAACTTCTACAGGTGGTGGTTCAGAGCGGAGTGCGGCACGGTGATCGTCGGCAGCATGGTATTTTTTTAGGTGTGACCACGAAATGACCGGGTGAATGCGCATGTCGAGTGGGAGTTTGAGGCGGAATGCATTTCGGCCGATCTGTTCTTCGACCTTGTAGGGCCCAGCCCATTTATGTTGCAGTGAGTTGCTGGACCGGTTACGCAGGTAAGGTGGCGTTGTAAAGTTCGTCGAGATCATTACTTCATCGCCTGGCACAATGTCGGGTGAGGTTATCTTCTTGTCGTGGTTTCTGATCATGCGTAGCTGTGCGAATTCGATGTTTTCCTTGACTATTTCGCTAATCTGTTTAATCTTCAGGATTGTATCGTCGGCGTCGGTATTGGGCTCAGCAGTTTCCATGTTGAAGGCGATGGTGGCGGCGTTCAATGGTTGGAAGCTATAATTTGCATAGAATGGGCTGTGCTGTGTCGAGCTGTTGCTGCGACTATTATAGGCGAACTCTGCATGCACTATGTGTTGGTTCCAGTCGTTTTGGTAATTGTTGCACGTCGCACGCAGCATTGACTCCAGTATCTGGTTCACACGCTCAGTCTGTCCATCAGTTTGTGCATGGCCGGCAGTGGACATGTTGAGTTGCGTTCCAGTTTGCTTCCACAGTGCCATCCAGAATGCAGAGCGGAATTTCGGATCACGGTCTGATATTATGGACTCGGGCAGGCCATGTTGGCGGTAGATGGTCTTGAAATACAGGTCGGCGGTTGTCTGGGCGGTTGCGGCATTGTGTGTTGGTACAAAGTGTGCCATCTTGGACAGGCGGTCAACGATTTTACTCGTGTTGTTCAGCGGGGCATCATTTAGTGGTATAGCTGGTGCAGTCAGTCCTGTCGGTGGCGTCAGTGCCATGTGTGGCACCTTGCCTGAATGTGACGCTGCGTATACTATGTTGTCGGGTTGCGATTCGAGTGAGCGTGACAAGCCGTCAGCAACTGCATTTTGAGCGCCCTTGCGGTAAATGATTTTCATGTCGAATTCCTGCCAGATATCCAGCCAGCGGGCCTGGCGCGGGGATATGTTGTTTTGCGTCTTAAGGAACTCGATTGATTTGTGGTCTGTAATCACTTCAAACTTGATGCCATGTAGGTAATGCCGCCAGAGGACCAGTGCACGAATGATTGCAAGAAGTTCTTGCTCGTGGACTGCATAGTTGCGCTGTGCTGGTCCCAGCTTTGCCGAATAGAATGCCACTGGGCACCACACCTTGTCATGTCGTTGGTGTAGGACACCGCCAATTGCAGAGCCGGATGCATCTGTCTCGACTCTCGTTTCGCAAGTTGGATCATACTGATGGAGTATTGGTGCTGTGGATAGTTGCTGCTTCAGCTCGGTGAAAGCCCTGTCAGCCTGGTCGTTCCACGAAAAGTCGGTATTGCATAGCAAATCGGTCAGCGGTAGTGCTATTCTAGCATAGTTTTTAATAAACCGGCGGTAGTAGCCGCTTAATCCAAGGAATGCGCGGATGTCTGTAATTGTCTCTGGCGTGCGCCACTCTTTAACGGCATCTACTTTGCGTGGGTCAGTCGCAATACCCTTGCCTGAAATGACAAACCCAAGGAAGTCGACTGTGTCTTTGAAGAATGCACATTTTTCGGGTTTTGTGTGCAGGTTGTGCTCCTTGAGGCAGGCGAGTACATCCTCGAGATCTTTTGCATGGTCGGCGTCATTCTTTGAAAAGACTAAGATGTCGTCTAGGTACACGATGCACGTTTTGCCAAGTAGGTTGCGCAGCGCATGGTTCATGACACGTTGGAAGACGGCAGGGGCATTTGTCAGCCCGAAAGGTACAACTGTGAATTCAAATGACCCTTGTTTTGTGCGGAAGGCAGTTTTGGCGATGTCTGCATTGCAAATTCGCACCTGGTGGTAAGCCTGTACCAAATCGATTTTCGAGAAAACTTTTGCGCCACGGGTGTCGTCAAGCAAATCGTCTATACGCGGCATTGGGAATGCATCTTTTATCGTCACTGCGTTCAGGCCACGGTAGTCAACACACAGGCGCATTGATCCATCCTTTTTCTTGACAAAGAGGACTGGTGCACCCCATGGGGAAGATGACGGGCGGATATACCCCTTTGCAAGTAAGTCAGTCACTTGTCGGTCTAGTTCATCCATCTCTGCATGTGACAGGCGGTATGGTGCCTTGGTCACAGGTGCTGTGCCCTCATGTACATGGATTTCCATCTCAGGGCCGCCTGGTGGTGGTCGTTTGGAGGGCGGCTGATCAAGGACTTGGGTGTATCTGGCATGTAGCTCCTGTAGCGCCCTGTCTTGTGTCGTCGTGGTTGCTGCCACATGGATTGCTGGATTGGTATCGTTGTCAGGGAATGTAATTCGTAGCCATCCCCATTCCTCAATTTGGTCGTTTGCACGTGCAGTTTTCAGTGCACTGATTGACATAGGCTTCAGCTGGTCCTCGTCGGTCCGAGGCTCTGCATTACCCCGGATGGACCAGCTTTTCCCGCCATAGTCAAATGTCACCTTGTCAAGGTGGCTGTGGATCGTGGCCTTGTGTTTTTTTAGCCAATTATTTCCTAATATTATATCTTCGGAAACTGGGAGAACAAGGCAATGTACTGTAATTGTTAGGTTGCTCAGGAGGCGCAGCGTTACTGTGCACGACTCGGTGCAGTCCTTGTAGTGTGCGCCATTGGCCAGTTGTATTGGTTGGCTGTGTTGTAGTCGTTCGGATTTCAGTTTAAGTCGGTCGCGGGTCTGTTCGTTGATGATGGTAATTTGTGATCCATTGTCGATGAGCACACGGATGGCTTTGGTGTCTATAGTTGCATTTAAAATCAGTTGGGGCTCAGGTGAGGTTTGTCTGTTAATAGCGGTTTTATTTGGGGGGCAAACGGCAATTTCAGAGATGATAAGGGCAGAGGACTCACATCCACTCATGCCCTTCTTGCTTTTGGGTGTGTATTCTTAGGGCAG